GACTCGTTTGGAAACGCACGCGGCGCGAACAGCGCAAGTCGAGCGTCTGCTGCCGGCCTATCTTCCACATTCAAGCGCCTTCCATTCAACTACTGCGCCGTCTCGCTTCAGCCCTTCACTGATCCCGTCTGTACTTCATCGGGTACAATCTTCGACCTCACACACATTCTCACCTGGTTGTCGAAGCACCCCAACACGAACCCCATCGATGGAACGCCTTTGAAGCGCGCTGATCTTATTACGCTGCACTTTACGAAAAACGAAGATGGCGAATACGTAGACCCGGTCACATACAAGGTTTTGACAGACAACACGCACGTTGTTGCGCTGAAGAAGAGCGGTAATGTGTTTGCTTGGGATACTGTGGAGCGGTTGAACATCAAGGCAAAGAACTGGCGGGACCTAGTCAGCGACGAAGAATTCACGCGCAAGGACATCATCACACTACAGGATCCACAGAGCATCGAGTCGAGAGACTTCAGCTCATACAAACATGTCAAGGATGGAGACACTGTAGTGACAGAAAATGAGAGCAGCGTGAACAGGGATGCATTAGGCAATGCAGCAAAGATCCTCAAGGCAAAAGAAGCAGTTGCGAAAGCGCGCGAAAATAGGAAGATCAAGGAGCAAGGTGGGACAACATCCAAGGCTATTGCCAACCTCCCACGAAATGGCTCGGCAGCCGCGACAAACGCAGAACCCAAAAAGCCTGCCTACAACGCTGCAGTATACACTTCTGGTAAAGCTGCAGCATCCTTTACATCGACCGGCGTCACACCACACACGTCAGGCGAACGCGCCCTCCTCTCCGACGAAGATTACATGCTCAAGCCGAAGCGTGTAAAACAAAAGGGCTATGCGCGGATATCGACCTCTCTGGGTGAGCTGAATATTGAGCTCTTGCCAGAGTTTGCTCCACGTGCAGTATGGAACTTTGTCAAGCTGGCGCAGAAGGGGTACTACAATCATACCATTTTCCACAGAAATATCAAGGGCTTCATGATACAAGGTGGAGATCCTACAGGTACAGGAAGAGGTGGACAGAGTATATGGGGCAAGCCGTTTGAAGATGAGTTTGAGGGCCCCGAAAGGCATAGCACCAGAGGCGTGCTGAGCATGGCAAATAAGGGCAAAAACACAAACACAAGCCAGTTCTTCATCACCTACCGAGCAGTCCCACATCTCGATCGAAAACACACCATCTTCGCGCGTGTAGTTGGGGGGTTGGACACGACACTACGATCCATGGAGACCGCTGAAGTAGGCGAGAAAGACAAGCCTGTGGACGATATTGAAATACTAAACGTAGTTGTCTTCGTCGATCCCTTTGAAGAGTGGCAAAAAGAGCGCAAAGACAAGGAGAACAAGGAACTCGAGGCCGAGGAAGTCAAACGGCAGGGCGGTACCGTCGACGACAAGACTACCTGGACCGGTAAGCGCATACGTGCCGATGGCACTGTAGACAATGCCAGCGGTCAGGGCATGGGCGTAGGCAAGTACCTCCAAGCTGCCAAGCAAGAAATGCAGAATCAAGACGAAGACGAGATTGTAGGGTTCGTAGATGAGGAGGATGCGGCGCCTGTTAAGAAGAAAGCCAAGACTGGCTTTGGCAACTTTGACGCCTGGTAAAAACACACGCGAACTCGGTTTTCTTTTCTTCATACATGGTTGCTTGATTGATAGCAACATATGATACCCCCGCTCCATGCTTCTTCCAGAAAAACACACAAGCTTCTTATCCAACATCCCACTCCCCAATCCTAAGTCCGCAGACTCCGGCGCATGTTATGTTATAGCTGGAAGCACTATGCATGTACATATGTATATGCATGATTGCGCACTACGCTTGCTGCGCGCCGCTGACTAACACCACTCCCCGCTACACCACCTGCTGACTTTGCATATCGGGCGCGGGGAAGAAAACTCGCCCAGTTGCGTGAACTGTTGGTTGCAACATGCATGTGCAAGCGAGTACATACGTCGAGCGATCATGGGGTCGAGTATGTAATGCTACGCCCTGCATTGTTAGAGAGGAGGGCGATGTAAGACAGGACTGTTCTAATCCAGCTTGATAGCGTGTCCTACGATGTTTGATTGCGGAGTTCCACGGTAGGTATCGGGGTTGGCGGGGGTTGGTGGCTGCGCTCATGGTTAGTAAACAAGAAAAGGAAGCGAGGTAATTATGATGCGGGGGGATGCGTGGTTGGAGGTGTAGATAAAAGGCGTGGTATGGTCGATGTTGGTCACCCCGTCTGCTTTTTAGCACTGGTAGGATACCATTCTTCACTGTCATTCAAGATTCATATCTCGAATCCCTTTCACAATTAAAAACAGTGGAAAGAGGGAAGTTGATACACACACACACACACAAAATGCCATCAGACATCCCCACCTCCTGCCGCGCTGTCGTCATCGAAAAAGTCGGCGCACCATGGTCCATTAAAAGCGTGCCTGTTTCCTCCCCAAAGCCGGGTGAAGTCCTTGTCAAAGTACAGGTTTGCGGTATATGCCACTCTGATGTCTTTCTACAGCAAGGCCACCTCGGCGACCACGTTTTTCCGCGTATCCCGGGTCACGAGGTGATTGGCAAGGTGGTTGCGGTTGGCGAAGGAGAGAAGAAGTGGAAGGTGGGGGATCGGATTGGGGGAGGATGGCATGGGGGGCATGACGGCGTGTGCAAGGCGTGTAATCGGGGTTTGTTCCAAATATGTGAGAAGCAGGAGATAAACGGTGTTAGTAAGGATGGCGGATGTGAGTTTTCTCCTTTTTGTACATCTGAGTATTGTTTGAGTTGAGGGTTTGAGACTGACGCGTGAGGGTAAATATTTAGATGCCGAGTATTGTACTCTTCGCAGCGAAGCCGCGGTACGCATTCCGGCTGATGCGGATGCCGCTGAGTACGCACCCCTTCTCTGTGCTGGTGTTACGGTGTTCAACGGGATACGCAAGATGAACATCCAGCAGGGCGATACGGTGGTTATTCAGGGCTTGGGGGGGCTGGGGCACCTCGCTCTGCAGTACTCTCGCAAGATGGGGTACAGGACGGTAGCGCTGTCGTCGTCAAGTGACAAGAAAGACTTTGCGTTCCAGCTGGGAGCCACAGATTACATCGACACGTCTAAAGAGTCTGCGGCCGAGGGACTCCAGAAGATGGGAGGCGCATCCCTCATTGTCGTTACAGCACCGAATCCACAGATCATAGGGCCTCTGGTCAATGGACTCGGACCGCTGGGTAAGATGCTTGTTCTTGCGCCTGTGGGCGACGTGCCGATTAACACTGTGAGCCTGGTTCTGGGGGGCCGCTCTGTCCACGGCTGGCCATCGGGACACGCACTGGACAGCGAGGAAGCGATTGACTTTGCGGAACGTCAAGGGGTCAAGTGCATGATTGAGAAATTTCCATTTGATAAGGCGGAGGACGCAGTCAAGCACATGGAAAGTGGCAAGGTGCGCTTCCGGAGCGTCATTGTCATGGACTAAAAGTCGTTCCACCGGGATGAAGCTGGGAAGTATTGCGAAATTGAGGATCGCGCAATGCGCTCGAGAACTATAGTCGAGGCTATATGGAAACGTCGAAACATTCTGGTCGAATCTTCTCCCTCTGTCGTTGTTTGGCGGTTGGCGTCCTGGGATGATCGAGGGCGCTCACCGGTGGTAGCAGGTGTGAGGCAGAGCTAAGCTCTGGGCTAGTGGCTGCTAGTAAGCTGAATGTCGCTGGGCTCTGTTTCCCTGTTGATACACCAGTGCATAGTAGCAGTATCTAATTTCGTCTCTTGAGCCCTCGACACCAAGTATGGCTTGAATGGCTTATCTCGCTCGACCGAGTGACTGCAAGCGCCAGAAGCGGCGCAATCCACGGATGAGTACGGCCCGCTCGCCACTTCAGCAGCCGCCGAGCATTTAATCCAGACTGGCCTCAACACAAGCTTCCCACCAACGGTTCTTTTCTTGCTTGCGGGTACCTGCACCTGAAGCGCGCTCGCGACTTGTAACGCCTGCAGTGCCTGCGTCGGCCTATTAGGGGCCGCACTGCCCTGGCCATTAACGACGTGCGCTAACTCCGTTGTTTCAGAAGACTGGGTTTTGGCCACTTGCAACACCAACTCAGGTACACGACAATCCTGCAGGGCCTGCAGCCTCTCGTCCAGGGGGCTGGTCCGCCAATTGCTATGCAATACGCGTAGCTGCAGCTGGGGCTGGGGTTGGGGCAACGGGGGGCTACTTCGACTGGCCTTTGTAGATCTGCCTTAAGTTGTTGGCCGGTCCGGGCGCAGGTCAGCTGCGACCTGAGCTCTGAGTTATTGAGCGACTGAACATCACGAAGATCGCGGCTCTCCTCGGTTTCCTTTCTTGTTCTCGTCCCGCGCCACTGCCTGCCTCTTTTTTCCTTCTTCTCCCGCTTCTTGTTCTTCCCGGCTTCCTTTCTATTCTTGATTGACGCTGTGCGTCGTCAATGTTGATCAGTCCATTTGGGGAACAAAGTCATTCTTTGCAGGTCTGGGGTCAAACTTTGAGCTTGTCCATTCATTTGCGCGTTCTGGTTTGCTTCTCGCTACATTCTTTCCTGTCATTTTCTCGCAAGAACGAGGGTCGCTTTCGTCTGCTCCGTGGCAAGCCCAACTTTGTTCGAGCACTTGAATCTCGGGCATCGTTATCTCCCCGACGTGTTCGCCAACAAGAAAATAGAACAGAGTTTATCTACAGCAAAACCAGTTGCAGGATCATTGCGCCGACGCTCAGGCTCTAGTGGACTGGTAGCATATTTCAAAACTATCTACGAGGCTAGGAACAGGCGCCACCGTCTCAAGAACGTCATAGTCCATATTCAAACGGCAGTCGTCTCAGATCCCCTCCGGAAGACGTTCTTCCATCGGCTTTTTGCGTTCGGTAAACGACGCCTGAACGTGCGCCCAGATATCGTCGCTCGTACACGTTTGCTCCCTCACACCAGACCTGCCAGCCTACACACCGTCCCTTCACCTACCACAACAAACCTCACAATGCTATTGATATCATTACGTACAACCGCACTGGCGTTGCTTTGCGCATCCACCGCCCTTGCTCAGACTGTCTCGCTCTCGGCCTTTATCCCACGGATCGACAACCTCCCCTCGGCCTGCAACACTGTCTACTATTCAGCCATTTCCGGGTGCGTACCGGGAGACTTCCAGCCAGGCGCAACATGTAGCGCTGCCTGCGTACGGGGTCTCAACCAAATTGGAGACAGTGTGAAGAAGAGATGCGCCGACGTTGACGTGGGCGAGTTGAGTATCATCGGCGTCTTCCAGAATGGACTGGGTATCGCGAGTCTGTGTCCTGGCGTTACTGTAACGACCATCAAGTCAGACTCTCCGACAACGAGCACACAGTCGTCTAGGTCATCCACAAGCACAAGGGCAGCATCTTCATCATCATCATCGTCGTCATCATCTTCATCGTCGGAGACAACCTTAGCCAGCTCGACGGTTGATGCGAGACCGACACCGTCAAGTTCATCGACCGACACACAAAACGAACAAACCACTAGCTCGATTTCATCGACAAACGGCCTGGTTCTAGATCCGAATGCTACCGGATCGACCCCAACTACAACGGTAGCCGTCCCGCCCGAAGACACAAAAGCTCCCAACCCATCGCTCGCGCCAGGCACGCAGTTGTCCAATGCCTTTTCAGGTGGTGGGTCACCATTTGATATCGTCGCAACAGGCTCATCAAGTCACAAAGATATATTTGGTGGTGCCATGGCAGCTCTCCTGGCGACAGCCCTGCTCATCATCATCTGTGCATAGTTGCATATCATTCTTTTTTTTTGTTCTCTTATTTCCTAGCGTTGTATATACGGCTCACGACACGGCGTTTTGGGGCATTAGCATGTTTGATTTGTACCATATACCCGTACTGATGGATTACAAGATCGATCAGTACTACAGCTAGCTGGGAGTGTCAGCAGATTGGAAGCAATGGATATGTGTACGATGATGCAAAGCAGAACGGGCTGTAGAGCAGCGCCACAGACCTAGGCAGAGACACAGGCAGCTGGTCTCGTGCCATAGTGGCATAGTACTATACGCAACGATGAATCAAACAGAAGCACACCAGCTCATGACTCGTCAGTTGACAGATGACACTCATGCTTTAGTTTCCGTCCTTTTCCGTATACTGTAGGCCGTATTTTGTATATTTGTGACGTCTTGGCTCATGCGTTGCGGTCCTACTATCAGCCGCGGCAACAGAATGCTCCGGCCAACCCAGGCGACCCATGGAAGGTGGTAAGTAAGCGAGTGGGGGTGGCCGCCACCTGCGCCCCAGACGTAATGGCCCATTCCCGCTCCGCTCGCCGTATTGTCGGCTGCCTTTCCGCTGACTCTGGACCCACCATGCAGGAGCACAGCCGTGGAAGATGAGGAAGACTTTATTGCTATGCTTTATCCACGGCTTCAAGGTACGTCAGCTTCTCTCCATTGCGGACCCATGCGGGGCCAGTGCAATACGTCATTGTCAGGTGGCGGCCAGGCCCAGTCTCGGCATAAACAACCAGCAGCGCCATTACAGCACTAGGCGGTTTGAAGGCAGTGAAACTGGACAGTGAAAACATGTACTGACAAATCGAGTAATAGGGCGGGGATGAGACGTTCAGAACGTTTCCGAGCCATGTGAAGGCGCTGCTCCAGCATGCCCTGCCCAAGGTCACCATCCTCACTATCACGTATCCCCAGTTTGAGACAAGAGGCGACTTGCACGAGTGTGTAGGAAGATTCAAGGAATGGCTACAGGACAAGATCATCGACCTCGAGGTGGCAAACTCGACGCCCTCACCCACAGTCGACCCCTCAGTGCGGACCATCCTGGTCGGCCATTCCATGGGTGGCATTGTAGCGGCAGAAACACTGCTCTCCATTCTCTCGGAACAGCCGATCCATTCACAATCGAATTCGCAAACGGGCGCCGAGTCGCTTTCGGAACACTCAATGCTCATGTTCCCATACATACAAGGTATCCTCGCCTTTGATACGCCGTATCTAGGCATTGCGCCGGGCGTGGTAGCCCATGGCGCTGAAAAGCATTGGAACACGGCGAGCTCGGCATATTCTGCGTACACAAATCTTGCTGGTGCATTTGGATGGGGCGTCAAAGACACGGCCTCCAGCACGGTCGACACAAGCAAGATGCTTCCTGCGCCCGCGACCTCTCCAAGCGCGGATGCGGCATCAGCACCTTTATGGCAGCGCTACGGCAAAATGGCCATGTTTGCAGGAGCCGCAGGAGCCATTGCAGCCGGCGGTGCCGCAGCATACATGAAGAAAGACCAGATCAGCCAGGGCGTAACGTGGGCAACGTCGCACCTAGAATTCGTTGGCGTCCTTGCACGGCCCGAGGAACTACGTAAGCGATTAGAGAAGATTGCAAGGTTTACTACAACACATGAGCTTGGCTTCTGCAATATGTATACTACTTTGGGTCACGCTATCAACAGCGAGAACAAAGAGCACGGCTGGACAGGCAAAGTCGCAGGCAAAGACCGCACTTTTTGCAACCTACCTAAGGGCCCGCTAAAGAATTTCTTCATTCCTGCTGTAAACGATAAAGCTACGGCTGAGACATGGGCGCACACGTCCATGTTCGATCCCCGCAATAACCCGGGCTACTACACGCTCAGCGAGACAGCCAAGGAAAAGATTATCGAGTGGACCGAGAACACGGAGTGGTATGGAGAAAGCGAGGGACCGCTGATAGGGGAAGTAGGGGAAGAAGCAGAGATTGTGGAGCGTCAAGAAGTGGATGAGCAGATGCAAAAAGAGGCGGATGCCAAGGAAGCGGCGAAGGCGAAGAGCAAAGGGGATGGGGATGGGGATGGGTTGGAGGAGGAAGGAGGGTTTGTGCATCTCAAGCAGGGAGTTGAGGCTGCGGAATGGGAGGATGAGGCGAGGAAGAGGACGGAGTTGTGATGGTTGAAGTCACGTTTTTGTGGTATACCCCCCTTCCCTGGTTGCTATCGAGTCCTATAAGTAAGTACCCGCATAGTTGAGGCCTATCTGACCCCCGTCCTGCTTCTCTACCTAGTTAGTCCCTTATACTAAATAAATCCAATGCTCCTCCCCCTTTTCCCTTTTGACCCTCTTACTTAATTCATGTCCTTGGCAAACCTGAGACTCAAAATTAGCTATACTTGGATTCGCTCAACAAACTGACTTTGTTGTGTTGGGGACATTGATAAGGCATGAAGCTGGGCAAGGGGTTTTTTTTAATTTAGTACATAGCCCCATTTACAGGCTACATCCTTATCGCTGATCACGGCCTTGTGCGGCAATGAGGGTCTAGCGGCAGCGGGAGATTTGCCGTTGTCCGGGGCTAATGCGCGGGTATTTTGGACAGGAAAAATGCTGAGGGAGCGGGAGACATCACTTTAATTCATTCACACGAAAATCTTTGCAATGTTCTTTCTCTGTGTCCAGTTGGAGGAGTTTTTTTTTGCCAACTGGGTTGAACTGTTGAGGTGATGGAAATAGCTTGATTGCTATTTCTTCTTATTCTTGTCATCTTTGATGCCTTATGAATCTTCTAATGCTGAAAAAAAAATAGATTACTATGGGACATCGATATCCATCCAGTCCGGGTCATCGTCGTCGTCATCTGCGTCCTGCGAGTCTTCACTACCAGACGTATCAGAGGGGGATCGCCGCATGCGCACAACGAGGTTCTTGTCGCTGCGCTCGACGTCATCGTGCCATATCTCCAATCCATTGACGCTACCACCGCCACCAACAAAGTACAAGTAGCCGACTTGCCCCGCAACTTTTGCCGTCTGGCGCTCCAGTTCCTCGCGCTCCTCACGCTGTTTCAGCGTCTCGATGAATTCCGGCTCGACCTGGACTTGCTCTGACGACTCCGAGTAGGATAGAGAGCTGCGCGGAGGACGAGGCCGTGTCGTGTTTCCGCGAGCTCGGCGCTCCGCCATGCGGCCCTGTTCCTGGATGCTGCGATAGTTGCGCCAGCTGAAGAAGCCGGGTATAGGCCAATCCCAGAAGGCGGCGGCAATCTCAAAGTCGGGGCCCAGGCCGTGTTTGCGGCGCACCGCTGCTTCTGTCTTGTTTCGGGCGTTCCAGGCCTCGCGGAGAGCGTTTTGCTGCTGCATTTGGTGGCGGTGATTGTTGATGATTTGGAGCAATTCGGGGCTGCCTTGTTGTGGTTTTGCTGGCGGCCGCCAGTGCTGCGTAGTGCACGCTGGCCGAGGCGGAGGCCGTGGCGGTGTGCTGGACTCGAGGGGCCGTGACACGATAGGGGCAGCGACGGCCTTCTCCCACCAAGCCACATTGTACGCTGCAGCCTGTGCCTCGGGCACACTAGTTGGATACGAAGCTGACATGGAGTCACAGATGGTGCAGAGCGAGGGGCTCTGGGATAGGACTGCTGCCTGGGCTGACCGCGGGTCTGATCGTCTGTGTGCGTCGTCCCACAATTGTTCCCGCTCCCAGCGGAGTTGATCGTCCCTCCTCGTTTTCTCGAAGCGCTGCTTTGCAATGAAATACCCCTTTCTGGCCGTGTTCCACCGCTGGTTGCGCATGGGCTCGGGGGGTTTCAAGCCCCCTTGGCTGGCCAGCTTCTTTAACGCAGCATCCGACCTTGCACGGGCCCGGGAGAGAGCGCATCGAGGGCACCATGGCACATGTGTTGAACTCGAAGGGTGAATTGCATGGCCACATTTACTAGCTGTCCGTATTGGGTGACCGTAAAAGCAGCCGGGAGGCGTTTGTTTTTTGTCCAGGGTGGCAGGCATGCATTCTGGGTTGAGCATCATCGGCATGATGGAGACAATGGTTTGGTTGGTGGATTTGGTGGTTGAGGGTCGTAAAGGAGCGTATGTGCATTATTGCTGGTGGGTTAAGGTATGGGTCGCGTGACGTGGTGGACCACAGCCAGGCGAGGAATTCGGAAAAAAACTAAGCAGTAAGAAAGGATTGGAGCCACCAAGAGAGGAAAAGACTCGACAACAGCAACAGCGATCCGAATCGAGACCAGGGCAGAGAAAGTGCGTACTGCGGCACTTTTTAAACTGTGAGATGGACCTTCAGCCCTGTTGAACGAGGCGCGCAAGCGCGTCATCGTGCTGGCCGCCTATTGGTCTGTTACTACAAAAAGTCGCATGCGCGTCAGTCATGGCCACCTGCCCGTGCGCCTATTGGCTGTGAACTGCCCACCCGCCCGCCTGGATATCGTGGGGGCAGATCGACTTACTACAACACATCGCCTCTGACTTGGCACCGACACCATGCTCTTGGGCATCTTCCCGGCACCATTACGAAGCCCAACCTTGCCACGCTCATCCGCACCAGCCCTCTCAGAACTACCCTCCCTCCGACATCACCCTCACACTCACCTTCACCCATGAGACTCTGCCTCAAGCCCTACATGATCCCATGTACAAGATCCAGTCAAGCCGGCATGAGAGCTGCCATTGTCATGGTATGGCCTCGAACACAAAGAAACCTCCTTTCTCGGTTGCTCGATACAAGCTTGTCCATTGGCTGCAAATATGCAACAAACACTCAAGTCCCGTCTGGGCAATTCGTAAACGAGAGTGAATGGTGATTGCCCATCTAATTGGTTGTCGCATTCACTGCAGCACGATGGGTTAAAAAATAGTTTTGATACAACCGTTTGAAGGTCTCACTTCTTAATCTCAACTCGCACCCAGCAACAATACTGCCAGCATGCAAGAGAAGCGACCAGACTTCCCGCGCAGAAGTGCCTCGTTCAATCCTGAAGCAGAAACCTTCAGTCCGGCGCCGGCTAAAATTGGAGCGGCAGATATTGATACTAAGCTAACTCCCCGCATGAACTCTCCACAGAGGTTGAGCGTCCTGGAAATGTACGAAGGTGATTATCTTCTATCTCGGAGTTCATGCCATCAGCCAGTGACTTGGATGTAGAAGATTCTCCCTTTCGGCCTTCCAGAGAGATGCGCCCCAACTACCAGACATACAGTGGACCGAGTGTCCCACAACTCGCAGGCACTCAGTCGGACCAGCTGGATATGTCATTTCCTGATTTTCATGATATGCTGCATGGTAAGACTAGCCCAGCGCCGCTCAAACATGCAGTGCTAATGCAAACACTGCGTAGCCCTAAATCAAGCTGGAAACAAAGCAGCACAGAACCCCAGTACTCCGATGGAATCCATCCACATCGCAGCACCCTATCAATCACGATGCGTTGAGCCTACGCAACGCTATGCGCCCAGCTTCAGTGCCCCCGAAGTCGAAGAGCTTAGCACCAGTCTTGGACTCCCCGGCATAGTGGGGAAGGGAAAGGCGGGCGCCGACGACTCAACAGCACGCCCCAGCAATCTCCCCGACTTCAAAAGTCCTGCTAGCAGTAATCTTCATGGTAAGCTCATGGGTCGAGCTCTCGGTAAGCCGTTTACTGCTAACGCTCTAGCCCGCTTTCTTAACGCGCAGGGTGTCTCAGATCATACGGCTATAGGACCCCAGAATCTTCACAACTATAGATTTGGCGTGCAAAATGAGCGGGAGATCGGAGAAGATCCACCAACTAGAACTGTACAGCCGCCTCCCGGATTTGCTGGAGAGCATCCCCGCGAGATTCTTGAAGAAGATCAATCCACTAGAACTATACAGCCACCTCCTGGATTTACCGGAGAAAGTTCACGCGAGATCTTTGCTGAAAGGCGCGGCACCAACTTTGCGGATATCCTCGAGTCTCAAGCCCTGCCTACAGGTCTTTCAGCATTTAGACACCCCCGCCGATTCAGCGACCTCCAGTCCGCCGTTCAAGCTCTGCAACAGAAGAGCCACGCAAACCGCCTGCCACCTAAGAGAGTCATTCGCCCGCGAGCCACCACCCGCACCAAGCGTTCTGACCAAGGTCCCGAGCCCTCATCCGCCGACATCTACCCAGACGACGCACCCTACCCATCTACTCGCCGCCCTTCCTACGTGCCGGACCCAACCCTCGTATTTCACGACTACTCCTCGCATGGCCGTAGCTTCAAACCTCAAGACACAACATCCTGGCCCACCCCTGCAGAAGTCTACTCTGAAAACCCGATTCAAGGCCCCGCTCACCCCAGCTCCTCCGCCAAAGAAGATACAGAACCAGGATTCGATCTCTTCAAAGACCACTACTACCCTACTGACGCCGATATCCATGAGCCTGACGCGGAAATCGATGCTTTGCTCAAGGCTATCCCGCATCTTTTGGACCTCCATGTACCGGAGCTGAAGTGTGATTCGTGTCCGTTGACGCCAGGCCAGACGGACGGGTCGCGGTATGGTATGCGGTTTCATGGCATTGGTCTGGGGGACAGGTGGATGGGCCCGGATTTGAGTGGTGATCCGAACATCAAGGTTCTGTGGTGATTTGGTGTGGTTTGGGCACTGGGATAGATCTGAAACGAGACTGGGATTGCCAGAGTGCTTGGTATTATTTGGGATCTTTGCACTGGGATCTGTTTGCTTGCCGTCAACGAAACCGGTGGAATCGGTATGACGGGATTGGAGCTGGGAAATCCTTGCAATGGAATAAGGAGGGTCAAAATGTGTAGGCCTGAAGAATCTTACTTGTAGGTTCTTTTGAGATGGACTGTATGATTATAATTGGCCAGTAGAAGAACAGTATGCAATAAGAATACTACATACTAAACATGAATTTCCCAAGAATGTGTATAGGTCTAACGAGGTCTACACAAGTATCTCCAACGCCACCATAGCCAAATACCCATTCATGTCATCATTGTCAGAATATAGCCCATCTCCACGAATCAAGGCCTGCCTCACATCCGTTTTTTTCTCGATTTCCTCCCCTCAGACGAAGTCAAAGTCCCTCTTCTGGTTCATTGCCAAACGCCACCCGCCACAGGTGCCGGATCGAGAACCGCGCACAAGAATCAACACGTGATTTTGGATTCAAGAGCTAAATATCATGTTGCTATTGCGGCTGCGCGGGCGTTGCAGTGCCGGAGCCATTGGAAGGGGGAGTTCCCAATCCAGACAGCGGGCTTACGGTGCCACTTGGCGGCACAGGGATTTTGATGTCTTCGGGACTACCGGGGACCATTGATTCGGGTAGGTCGGGGATCTTGATCCGCTTTGCGACGTTGTTGTAGGACGAGGGTATGATCTAGAAAATGATAAGCATGGTGAATGAGCAATGTGCGTAGATTATGAAGCGCAGACTTACCTCGATAATCTCATCACGGGGAAACTCGAGTTTGGGAATGTCCGCTGCATTGCACGCCATTAGGTACCCGTAAAGCACACGAAGTACAGATTCGTGGGCGATGATCAGGAGATCGTTTTCTTCGCGCTCGAGTTCGAGGATAATGGGCTCCATGCGTACAGCAAGGTCGTGGTAGGACTCTGCGCGTGGGTATCGGTGGTGGTATGGATCTACCTCGTGCTTTTTGACTTCCTCGGGGAACTCTTCTCGAATCTTGGCTTCGGACATCTTCTCGCATACACCGGGGTTCATCTGGCTCATCTGCGATCGCTGCCTTACCCGGTAGCCCATAGAAGCTAGAACCTCTGAAGTCTGGACAGTTCTTCGACGTGTCGAGGTCCAGATGGTCAGTGGTTTCAGAGACGCATCTGTCGCTCCAGACTCGATTAACTTCTGTCTTTCTTCTTCACGGTACTTCAACAACACTTCGCTCATCTTTCTTGCGTACTCGTGACCTTCTGGTGAGAGACTGGCATCGGCTTTGTATGAATCCTCCTCTCGCGTCGTTCCCGCACGAGCAAAGTATGTTTGCCGTGACTTGATGTGGAGATTGAGCAGGTAAAAGACAATACGCTGTGAGAGGTATCCAAATGCGCAGTTGTTCACAACAACTCGTTCGCCGGCATTGATCATCTTGATCCAATGTAGGTCGGTCTCCTCCATAGTCTCGAAATGAGGTATCCGTGCATTGATACGTGCCAGGTAGTCCTGAACTGCGTCCTCGTCCTTCCAACCCTTGTAATCTGGTGAAGAAATCTTAACGCGACGTACGTTCTCCTGGATGATGCGTTCGTCTGTGCAGTGTGATTCGATGAAGATTGTTTGGATCCCATTCTTTGCAAACTCCTTGGCTAACGACCGACGGCCCTGGCTGATGGCGTTGACGGCATCGTAAATGGCCACTTGGCCTTTGTCGTTCTCCAGAAAGTGATAGATATCATCGCGGCATTTTTTCAAAATCTTATTGCGAAGCAAGACAGACTGTGGTGCTGCGTTGAGGAAGAAGTAGTCTTCAGGCACATCCATGCCCGGACTTAGCGTAGCGCGACGGTAATCGCCAAGATGAAACACGTGAGTCTTGACCCCGAGCCAGCGCAGGTAGCGGGCCAGTGCAACAGAGGTATGCGTCTTTCCTCGAGCCGGGAGTCCGCAGGTGGCGATGACTATCCTGCCTGAATGGAAGAGGCGGCCCGATTCTGTGCTATAGAGTTGGGCAGGCGCCATTTCTTCCCTGGCAGGCAGGTCGTGGATTGCATCGACGGCTGTACTCGACCGCCGCCGGAAGCGGGGCGAGTTTGCGTATATCTCAGCGGTGCTATGCATGGTGAGTGAATGTTCTGTTGGAGCCATGTGCAGCGCTGCTGCTCGGGCATGGCCGCGGAAAGTGGGGTCATGGCACTCACAGGAGGGTGTCCATAGTTGCAAATAGGTAAAGTCTACAGGGAGAAGAATTGAAGCAAGGAGAAGACTGCGGATTGTGAGATAAAATGGAAACAGCCACTCGTTAAGAAATGTGAGTTGGGTATGGATGCTTCAAGAAGGTCACGGTTCCCCGGTAGTCCAAAGGTGTGCCGAGCGACGTCAGCGAGCAAGGCGCGACAACCCGCGACAGTTCAATGTAGCGATTCTACCAGGCCACGTCGCAGGACTGTCTGAGAAGAACCAGTCAGTGCTTTTTCTTTTGGGGGATTTGGTAGTCGAAGGACCCAAGGCGCAAATGTCCGCTGCCGTCATGTTGGGGAGCCAGCCCTCGAAGATAACGGATTCGGGGTTCTGCGTGGGCTAGCGCCTATTATGTCATCAGTAACTTGAGAAAATGTTCACGATATCATCACTGCCCAGCGCCCGCGACGCATCACAGCATCCCCTCACCCACCTGCTGCCATTTCCAATTTCCCCTGTGCCGGCCCTCCCATATACATAGGGAGCTTCTACTTGGACCCCGACGCACACTTTCGTCATGGCTACCCCGCTGCAGCTCAGCAACCCGGCGCAGGAACAGGCTGTCGCTGACATCCTCTCGCGGCCTCGCGCAGCCAATACCGGCCCATTCGCACAATTCCTCAATGTATACGATGCCTTTCAAGAACGGAGAGAGGCATTGGGTCTCAGCAACCCCGGCACAGTGGAAAACATTGCCCGCGAGGTCCAGCGCGATGTCTTTCTGAACAATTCCAGTTTTTCGGGCCTGCGCGCCGAACTCACAAAGGCATTCAGCGCTGCCCCGCTCTTCCAGGTTGCCCACTCGCTGTCTATGGGGTCGCAGGTCATGCCTCCATACTCATACATGGTTCTTTACGGATCACCAAGGGTGCGTTGCTCGCTTGCTGGGCTGTTTTTAGCACGCTGACATTTTGCAGGTATTCATGCAAGGAAACATTGACAACGAACTCGCCTTCTCCGGCCGCTTCAACTGGCGCTGGACGTCAGCATTCGTTTCCAAGGCCGCTGTCCAACTCACTTCGCAGGGCAACATGGTCTCGCTTGAGAACGACTACACCGGCGCCGATTTTTCAGCTTCCCTCAAGGCCGTCAATCCCTCGATACTTGATGGTGGTGTCACCGGTATGCTCATGGCGAGCTACCTTCAGTCCGTTACCTCAAGACTCGCACTCGGCATTGACGCTTTCTGGACACGCCCCGCCATGGCATACCCACCAGAACTCAATGTTTCGTATGCAGCACGCTACAGGACTGAGGACTGGATGGCATGTGGCCAGATTATCCCCGACCGCGGTGTATTGGAAGCTTCATACTGGCGCAAGCTCACAGACAAGGTCGAGACGGGTATCAACTGCAACTTGGCGTTTGCTGGTATTGGCCCCGGAGGCCCCATGGCTGGCCCACAGAAGGAGGGAAACGTCACAATCGGTGCGAAGTACGACTTCCGTCAGTCTTCATTCAGGGCGCAGATCGACAACCAAGGCAAGGTAGCTTGTCTGTTGGAGAAGATGATTGCGCCACCAATCCGTGTGACCTTTTCAGGCGAGATCGACCACAAGCAGGTATGTCATGGCAGAATTCAAGTTCAATGAGCAATGCTAACGACACGCAGAATGCTGCTAAGCTTGGTTTGGCCGTCGCGATAGAAGCAGCCGACGAGGCTGTCATGGAGCAGCAAGAACAACAGGGTGCCGCAATGTCAGCCGGTGCGATCCCTTTTTAAACGCCTCCCCACTCACACCCATGTATCGACTATAATACCATGACTCTTCTCTTTGCTGTATTACCACCTTTCTTGGAGCGAGCGCAGTCTGGGTAGAACCTCTACCCCACCATCTGCGGATTGGTTACGGTACTGCATGCGCGCCGATAGAGTGACCATTTTTTGCTACAGCATCTTACGAATGTAAAACGGCGCAATGTTCACATGGAATGGGCTACGAGCGCTTGGTAGACCGGACCGTGGCGGTTTATGTTTGTGCGCCAGATGATTTCAGAAATCGAGGTGAATGTATTTGTAAATATAGTTAGTGGCCGTGGGGCATCTAAAAACGAAAATCAAAAATACTCTAAGCAGCTACACTCTTAACACATGGGTTTCAATAGCAGCCATTTATGTGTGACGCAATAAATTATCGTGGAGTCGAGAAATATAATACAGATCGTTAACGGCTGGGAAAAAGAATTGCCGGTTTCCGCTACATGTACATAATCATTCCCGTCCAAGCACCAATCCTACTATCGTAACAAGCCAAGTAAGAAACCGTCGGCGCTTGTGCCCGGCGAGAGCCCATCCGTCGGAAATGCGACAAATGAGGGGAGATGGCAATCGTTTCTAATTTTTCTGGTTTTACAAAGCCGGCTTTGCGCCCTGCGGCTGGCCTGGAAGTGGTGCGCCGGGAGCCATGAACTGTTAAGAAAAAGTTAGCATACCAAGATATTATGTTGATAAGACACAAGCAATATGTTGGCTGAAAAGGATTGTCCGCTTCAACATATAAAAACGTACCTCGTTCTGCGCGCGCTGTGCCTGCAACTCAGCCCTCTCTTGCTCAACAATCATCTGCTCCTCGCTGTATGCCAAAGCCCATGGCACACCCAACAGCAGCGCACTGGTGCTCACGACCCACAGCGTCTTGCCGCCCATGCTCAGGCCGCTCTTGAACCACGACGAGATTGTGCTTGCTTTTGACGAGACGGAGCGCCGTGTGCTGGCGGGAATCATATCTTGCAGCGCAGAAAGGCGCTCGAAAAACGTCTCATCGGGCTGCGCCGAGTGGACAGACGAAGTATCGGAGTCTGTGGTTTTTCCATGGTTAGCAATTGCGGCGGATGTATGGGAAGTGGGTAATTGGATTTATGAAGAGGCAGGGTTGTGGTATCGTACCCGAGTCCGTGTCCCAGTCCTCGTCGTCAACGGGACCTTCCTGCTCGCGCATAAACTCCTCGTCGGTGACTTCTGTGAGCTGAACCATTTTGATGAGTTTCTGCTTCTGTAATTGGTGGGATAAAGAGTAAAAGGTAGTGGCTGGATGGATGTGAGGGTGGGATTGACGATGGGTGGTGGTGGTGTTGGGCCTCGAGCTTTGTCGCTTGTGACGATGATTGCGATGATGAACTTTTAGTGCACGGACCATATGACCTTGCGCTAGACGGGGGCGGGGCGGGGGTCTACCGAACGACTTCAACCATGGAGTCGGGTGACGACGACTTTCTGCTCATACTAGTTTATGCGGTTCAAGTCTGCATGCTAAGCACTGTGTTAAAATAGGCCGTTTGTATGCATGCAGAGGGTTACCCTGCGTGCGGAACAATCGTGCGGCTTTTAGTCTACCATTGTTGTAAGTAGCTATCGACTATTCCTTCAATGCAAGACACCTGGGTTGGCCTTATGTATCATCTCTAGAAAGAGATCATATTGACTGATTAAATTCGCACAGGTATTTGAACAGCAAATCGCTGCTAATGCCTTCATTTGGTTTCTCCCATCGCCAAACTTTAGTAGGGTACCACTTAGCATCCTTTCTAACATCTGTAGACTTTGCAATATGTACAACTTCTTTTCAATATCTCGCACATACGATCACTGGCAAAGAGTCGCTCTGGGTCTCGTTTCGCTCCCCGTACGATAAACCTTTGACCGGCAGATCAGTAGTCAGGTGGGTGGCCACTGGCGAATCCCCGCTGTCGTATGTTTTTTGTTTTTATTGTAAGTCATTTAGATGGGCAACTTGTATCATGTTCAGTGATCAATATGCCTAAGGGCCTGTTCTGTTGCGCGGTTGCGTTTTGCGTTTTTATTGCCAGATTTAGGTTGCGCTTTACCGAGCACGGCATCGTCTTCAAAAACCTAGCCCAAATCTAGGAACAAAAACGCAAAACGCAACTGCGCAACCGAACAGGCCCTAAGACTAAGTTTTTGTATAGTTCATGCTCATTGTGAAAGGAGTTTAAGCATGTAAGCTATCTTTGGACGTTCGATTTATCCATGGTTCGGGCAACACGAAAATTATGTATTATCCTGGATGGCAGAAAAATACTAAAAGTTTAGGAGGCTTCAGCTAGTGATGGATTATGTACCAGTTCTTGAATCCACAAATCGACAAAACAAAGATGGTATATACACACACCTCTTTCCTTGACTCGGGTGTCTTTGTCTTGCGATACTGAATATTATTTTTATTGTCAACAATAATTACTAATGGACTCAAATTTGCTCTACAATTCTTTTCCCCAGAAAAACTCATATTCGTGTAGTCTAAAATGCAGAGCCTTTTCTCCAATAGATTGCCCCAGCCTACAAAAGACTCCGTATTACAAACGCAAGCTACAAGCATCACGTATGAAAAGACTTGAAATAATATATAACTTGGCCACCAGAGTAATCAAAAGATCAGATGAATTAGGAATTACCCAAATCTCAGATATCTCCTGACAATCCATATCCTTGCAGGACTCAGCATGCTTATCGTTCTGTTCAGCAGCAGCCTAGCGGTAAAGACTATACACGCCCTTCTCTTTGTAAAAAGCAGTCTTCACAGTGCCCTTACCCGAATGCCTGTCTCTCTTATTACTGTATGGAGGAGCATAACCCTATTCAAACCCATTAGTTGCTTACGCATCACACATCGCTCTCTTCCTTTCCTGCCATACCTGCTAGTGACTACTTGAGGAATATTTTGTAGACAAATTCATGTGTCAAAAATACATTTCCAGGTACATTCAAGTTCCAGGGCTGCAGTGATGGTTGTGCCCAAGTCGTTTCCGCACCCAACTCGTCCAGTTCTTCTAAGCACAAAATCATCTATACTGTTAAGGTAATAGAAAAGAGGTGGAACATTTGTAAGCTCAGGTGTGGTAGTAGGGCGATATGAGATCGCCTTTGCATAGAGTGGCATTTATAGCTTCTAGAAACATCAGTGATTCTCTTAGTCACTTCTGCGCGCATGTGCTTTGGAGTAGATATTTACTCAAGAAAGACATTTTATTTAGGTAGATCCCCATTGGTTACAGAGAGATGCATTTTGACTCTCTATAATACGACTGACGGTCCGTAAAGAAGGTCGAGGGTCACAAAGTCAAGTATCCTACTATACTTTCAAGAAAAGGCATTTACAGCATATCAGTAATTCTGCCAATCCTACAATTTTCCAGTAATACAAAAGAAAAGATTCTGCTCCAAATTTTCTCTTACTCATAAAAAAGGAGTCAAATATCCATTTTGGTGTTCTTCTGTCGACAAGTAGACGACCTAACAACGCCACCAACACAAGCCTCGATAACTAACTCCAGTAGCCCCATGCTTATCCAAAAGCTTCTCCCCCTGTCCCGCATTCTTAGCCCCCACCCCACCCCCCCCTTACAACCTCAAAAGCCTCTCCGCATTCCTATACGCAAACAAATCCATCTCCTCATCCCTCAACACATTTGCCTGGGCCAACTTCTCCACAAACGCCCACCCATCCGTCATGTCACTAAACGGATAATCCACCGAATACATAATCCTCTCCACGGGACTAACTTGGCGCAACTGCTCAAACTGGCGGACCGTGAAAAACGCACTGGTGGTGCTCCAGATATTGGTGCTCCACACGCGCTCAAACGTCGTGTCGTTGCGCAGCCCCGTCGAGTCGATGCGGTCGATGAACATGGGCAGCCCCTCGCCGTTGTGCCCGATGATGAGCTTGAGGCGCGGAAAGCGGTCAAAGAGGCCGGCGCCGTAGAGACGTAACACATGCGTTCCGACGTCGATGTGCCAGCCCCAGGAGTTGGAGCCAAGGCGTCCGGCGAGGGCGGCGGGATAGTTGCCGGCAAAGAGCTTGGAGGTGATGTCTGCGGTGGGGGATGCAGGGTGCAGGTACAGTGGGACGTCGAGGGCTTGCGCCATGGCGAAGACGGGGTCGAAGCGTGCGGCGTCGTAGTAAGTGCCGTCTTTGAGGTGGTTCCATATCATTGCGCCTTTGAAGCCGAGGTCGGTTACGCTGCGGTTTAGTTCTGCGGCTGCTTCGTCAGGGAGCGCCATGGGTAGGACTGCGAAGCCGGCGAAGCGTTTGGGGTTTGCGTTGATGGCGGAGCGGATGGCGTCGTTGGCTGCGCGGCAGCCGGCTGGATCTTCGGATCCTGAAGCGGATTGCTGTGCGAGGACTTGTAGGGAGACATGGCCGGCGTCCATGGCGGCGATTCTGCCTGCTCCGACGTCTTTGAGCTTGGCGAGTATGCCGGGGCTGCGCTGAGCTAGGCCACTGGCGATGATCTCGGCTTCGAGCGAGGGAGATACGGCATGTTCTTCGAGTGCGATGAGGCGCTTGGGGAGGTAGTAGTGGGGTTTTGGAGGCGGGGGTGCCGTTGGTATACTGTTCGCACTGAGGGCGAGAGAGAAGAGTGTGCCAAGGTGAGTGATGCGCATATTGGGTAGAAAGAAAATGGAAAGCAACCTTTATTCACAGCCATTGTCCGAATCCTTTAGACTTTATACGCACCGTGCTAAGGCTGCACTGGTTAAACAAATGCGCTATCGCTCTGTTCATCTTTCTGCACACCTTGAGTCTTGTACTAGCGCAAAATTCAGCTATGTAGCATACAGCCTCGTGCTCTTTTATATCGAACTTGTGATCCTCCGACTGGTTATCGCCGTCTTCGCCCCCGCGTGGCGTTGGGACGGCTCGTAGTTTATGTGTCTAGATCGTGGAGGTGCAATCTCCACCAGAAATGGGACGAGTAGCGGTATCCTCTTCCCCTCCCCCCGAAAACTGCTGGAATAGTCGCAAACAGTATACTACAAAATTATTATCAGCAATATGTATTCTTTATAGTTACTCCACTACCAAACTCTCTCTTGAAATCGATAGCAACCCTCCCACTACTGTTTACGAGGGGGTAACGTAGAAAACAACAGCGGATCTAGACCCTAGTTGCGGTGGCTTGCTTAGCTTCGGTCCTAATACCAGCGGATAGATGCTCCCGCATTTCGACCACTATTCCTAGAAAGGGTGGCTTACTAGGTATCTGTTGATCGCCTAAGTTTGTCATATATAAGTAAATTCAACGTTCAGTTAGCGAGTCTTCATTGGGCTGGGCTAGTTGAGGTAACCCAGCGATCGCAGAGTAGAGACTTTGCTGTTACGATGAATAAAGACATAAACGATTGCAATGATAAATTATACTACATGATTACAAAGAATAATGGTAAAGAAAAGAGAAATCACTCCTGAATCAAAGAGACCATCGTACCCCCAGCATTCCCATATGCATTCAAGTCCACGGAAGGCTTTGCAAAAGATGATTCTACACCGTAAGATAGGAATATGCTCCGATACAGCCCAATGAATTTCAGTATTTCATTTCTCTCCACCTGGGAATATGCTACTTCAACCCGATCTTCAAGGTTCCGAAGTGTACTCTCCCACAACACGTACCCGTCGCGTTGCTCCTTAGGATTAGCACCTAAATCAAGAAATATTCGGATTGTTTGCAACTGGCCCTCCATATCCCAATAGTCCAAGAAACAAAATTCAGAGGGCAATCTCACTAAAAGATGGATCCAAAGAGATGGTAGCTCGACTCTAGTCCATTCTTCTGTGATCTGCTCTTCTAATACATTTACGAGGAGCCGGACCATGGATGCACAGCGAACACCGTTCCCTAGAGCCCAATTCATATTCATTGCAGCGAACATCAGCTTCTTGAGGCTCGGTTGTAAGCGCTTTTCCGAAGACGAACGCAACTTGCAATCGACGTAGTTATACAGTGCATATTTAACTGCAATTTCTAAGAAAGATCCACAGTGGAAACCTAAAGACCTAATAATTCGCGACGGTACTGGCACTTTTTCGATCTTTTGAACAGATGATAGAGCTAGAAGGGTAGGTTCTAGTTCATCCAGCGTCTGTATTTCCGGGGGTTTGGGATTCTTCATCAGAGACTCTTGCGTGGGAAAGAATCCCGTGGACCATTTGCCCCACAAGAGAACAATATCCTTGTAGACGAGCGGGAAAACTGGGTGGCAGTGCTTTGATTTGAGCTAGGAATGCTCGACATATTGCAGATGTTGGTTGAAAATCGGTTTTTATGTTTTGCCTAATCGTTCTTCGAATGTCCTCAGTGTTGAGGAAGTCTCGAACGGTCCGATGGAGAAAGTCAACCTTGAATGAGTCGAATATAATGGTCTTGTCAATAATATCGATTACGACTGATGCGTCTTCGGGATCATCGATGATTTTCCTGAGACGTTCACGTTCATCACCATCTCTACGGTCGATTGTCATCTCGAGCAATCCATTGCAGCGTGCATTGAGACGTCTTTTCATGGTTTGCAGTCGGTGGATGATCTCATGACGCCACAGCTCCTTGATCTCTGCGTTGATTCCATATTGTGGATCTTCTTCATCGATGTACGAGTATGTAAACAAAGACAGAGGCTCGATAGCTTTGAGAGCGATTTCAAAAGTTTCAGCTGCACGCTCTGAGTAGGTCTCGTCCGTAGTAGAAAGGATATGCAGGAAGTACTCTTCCAGCGTCGAAGGGAGCAAACGTATCCTACGCCGTAATTCGGAGAGTCGGTCGCAATTTACCAGACCTTGAAAGAGCGATCAAACAATAAGAAACACCTATAGGAATACTCCATCCGCTTTTTGAACAATCTCTTCGATAAGTTTGTCGTATCGATTATCCATGGTTGTTAGTGACGTAAACTGTCTCCTCTCGACAATCCCTTCAAGCGAGATTTCGCAAGATTGATCTCATTGTCTTTCCGCATGACTCGCACCGCCTGCCATAGACCCCCTAGTCTTCCCGCTCTTCCACGGCCTTTGAGATTCTTGAGCAGGTCGGAACACTCATCAGCAAGCTCTGTACAATCTTTTGCGAGGATAGCCAGCTCCCTCTCCCCACCAGTAGTACCCGTGGGATCGAGAAACAGTGGATGCTGAGGAAATTAGGTCGTCTTTGAGAACTTTGAGTCTCTCCAAGGTAGATTCAAGGTCTGTGTACTCTTGGGTTGCTCCATCCTCGGACCGATGCGCCTGCCGCGCTTTTGTGAACAGCTTACCGCTAAACTCGACAAACTGGATAATGTTGGCTCCCAGTGACAACGCAACAAACGCCTCGAGTACCGCCTTTTGCTGTGGAATTAGCAGTTTACGGGAGGAATCATTAGTTGACAAAGTAAGGGAAGATCAAAGGATGCCTCATGTTATGGCTGTGTTTGCATNCCGGCCAAGGCTGAGATGTGATGCAGCGCCAGCACACACCACAGTCTGCCTCTTAATCTGCCTCAGGGGCGGCCAGTAGCACCTTCCTCCAAGAAAGCCACCAAACGCATTCCAGGTGTCACACATTAATCTTCACTCCCACCTCTCTACCCACTCACTGCTGCGCCCCTCCAACAATAGGCTACCCCTAAGCTTCTAATCAATGGATGTAATTTTCGAACATTCAAGGCCTCTTGTTGAACAAAAGTAAGAAACGAAAATGCTCCTGAGAGCTACCAAAACTTCTATAAATCTATGCGCTTTCTAGACGCACACAAGTCATGTATGTGATGCATTTGCTGCGCTAGTTTTTTTATATCCATGAGTACTCGTTCATGTATTTTTATCTCTCAACGCCTTTTGCCCAACATCTCCTTTCCCAGTCCGTCCCTGCCTTCTTCCTTTGTGATCTGCTCAGCAGCTTTGACAAGATCATAGGTGATTTCGTCATTCACCACGCTATCCTTGTTATACGATGGGTGCGACTGGACGAAATGTCTGATCCATTTAGCCGCTGTCCAATACGTTCCGTTGGCGCGTTTGCGGATTAAGTCGAGATATGTGGCAAGGTCACAGCGAGTTTCTACGTCGACATTCATACTGTTGAGGTATGATTCCACAAGAGGAATGAGACCAGGGAAGCCAGCTTCGCCAGACGAGGTTTGTTGCCCATTGATGACTTCGTTGATAGTCATCTTCTCATACTCATCTTCAACTGGCCCAGTGGGTGTTACTGGCCGACTTGGATTCTCGGCAGGTGTTGAAGTACCTGTGCCATTACTGGCTTTGTGTGTCGGAAAAGGATCTTTGCGGAACCAGAACTTCTGCGTTGACACGGCGTCACGGATGTGTGCTGTCTCCATGTTTTCCGATACCAGTGTAATGGGGATATAGAAGTTGAGGTTAAACGACAGTATCGCACGAGTAAGGAGGACAATGAATATGGAGAAGGCCGCGTTTTCAAAGTCTGTAATCTGGATCTCCATAGGCCGGAACTCGACGCGCCATCCCATGTCTGAGCCAGCTGGCGGAGGCTTGAAGCGCATGTGCTGCCAGTTTGTTGATTGCAGATTCTCAAAATGGTCAGCTTTGGTAAGATCGAGTTCTTCGAGATCTTCTGCAAAAACAACAATGGGGTCCCGGATGAAGAGATGAGCAAAGTGAGTCGCTAGCAAATCATCCATGCCCCCTTCTACCAGACGCTTCTTGAGGTCGGGGTCTATGATGAGATTTGGATCGAGGTATTCTGGCCGCAAGCGGGGATCTTGAGCGATGTAGGTTGAGTTGGATGCATAGCGAGACTTGGGGAGCCGCCACCTATCGTTCTTAAGAGGCTGCTGGAAGTCAGAAACTCGTCAAAGACATTAGAGGAGATTGACTAACCTTTTCTCCCAGTTCTTCTGGGGTACGGTCGTCGACTGCTCTACTGATCTGATTCCAGCGCACGTCTGTGTCGGCGAGGAAGCCCTTGTAGATTGGAGTGGCTGCTGTCAGTGCCAGCAAGATCGGAGCTATCGGGCTGAGCTGATCATACATGGTCCTGCCCTCTTCAATGTTTTTTGCTTGGAAGGTGATTTGCAAACAGCAACTTCCCATACCAAAGGCCATTGCATCCATGTGGATGTAGTTGTCTTTGGCAGCACCATTGCGGACATCATCATCTTCGGGCCAGTTGTACAAGTCATAGTTTACGGTTGGATCTTTCCAGGGCCATGCAGTCTTTTCGTCTCGAAATACAGGTACGTTGACCTGTACTTTTCTACCTCTCCGCCAACGAATATTTGCTGCTAAAGTTGGGAAGCGGATATGGGGATTGGCAATCTCATCAGGGACAAACTGAGATCGCAGCTTTGGGCCTGAAACAGGATACGATGGTACGATACAATCGGTCGATCCAAGCCGAGGGAATGTTGTCAATGTGATTGGGAACTCAGTCTCGGCCATGTGATCCTTGGCTATCGCTCGTCTGCGGGATTGTGAGCACACGACTATTGGACAATCAAAATAAGCTCGTCTACCTCCACTTCATGTTTGGCTCGACATCAAGCAGGTCCTTGAAGCCAATTCCCCATGGCTTTCCTGGGGTGGCTTCCAGCATGAAGCGCCCGAATTCGGGGTGGAACACGGGAGCGGGATTGTCCTTTGTGCTGTACTAGTCAGCACAAACAGGTGAGGTGAGGGATATTCTGGCTCACTCGGCATTCCCGGTCTGCAGGTCAGGCACTCCGCCACCTTGTTGCAGGAGCTTCTCGTCGCTGGCCAAAGCAGCCAGAATATCGGCCTGGCGGAGTGACAATCGAACCTTGTGGTTGTCTTGGTCGTAGCAAACCACGAGATACTCAATCTGCACGCAAATCAGTCTCACATGCTATGACGGACGAAAACACGGTAATCACCTCATCGCCCCAGAGAAGTGCGTCCCTCTCCTTTGCTTTGGCATTGCGCCATACGACAAGCAGTTGCTGTTTATGACATTACTACTTGTCCGTTTCAGGGTCTCAAGGCATGCGTACTTCGATCCCCCATGACCTGACTTGATCAGCGGCCTTTTTGGCCTCTGGCCAGTCGAGAGGCGTTCCAAGGGCCCTTGACGTGACATTAGCGAGGATGGTGAGTGGCGTAGCATGGATCTTACAGCAGACCCATCCCGAGTTTCGTAACGCGTCGTAAGAGGTGGTTTAATCTGGGATGGTGCACGGGCAGACAGAGTAGGCGTATGAATGGGTGGCTTGTGGCTCTCAAATGACGATTGCGGGGAGGTCTTCGGCGAGCACTGCAGGACTTGGGTCTTTTAAGTGGGGGTTAGCACAAGCTAGGGTTGCTGCAGTTTTTCACCAGTTGCAGACCCCTCGGTTTCCTACGTTATCGAAGGATCGTCGCTGACCGACAATGTAGAGGAGAGTGTAACTTTTCTTGCCCTCTCGCACGGATGGCCAGTGTAGAATTGCAGTACGAGACTAGGGTTCGGAGAACGAATGGATTAATAATGCATGGTGCAGTGCAGCAGGTCCATGCCGCTTCGGAAGAAGAAGGATCTAATACCGAATGACGCTTGCCGTTTTGGGGAGGCTGAGCAGAACATTGACTACTAGTACTATGTAGATAGACCGACTTCACCACTGTAAGACACGCTGCTGCTGCTGCTGTGCACGCAATCGATCTTAGACTGCGCAACGTTACTCGGATGTACTGACAGCGAGCCTAGAGACACGACAAGGGCATGGCGTGTCATTTTGTCCTACTCGACCAGATGCGTCGTATCGCCTTCTGTTGGTCTGCACCCACGTGCACACTCGTCGCCCATATTGAGAAAAAGTCTCGTCGATACATGTACATATGTAGTAGCTACCACGGGCCACAGTGGCATGATTTCTGCAAGCGGATCTTTTCCCTACTCGTTGTGCTGACTTGGGCACCACCTCGTCAGCTTAGGGCCTTGTCGCTGCGTCCATGTCTTTTGCAGCTTCATACGTAGATTGCAAGGGGCTACCCTGAGGGACGGTTATTTGGCATAGTATGGAAATAAGTGGAGACCATTGCCTGATTACCGCGACGGGCAAAGCTTGCATTGGGACGGGCCTGCGTCAGCGTCGTGGATGGAAAGAGAGACAACTGCCGTCGTGCGAGGGATGGATGGATGCATCAATATCTGTCGGCCCACACACCCCTTACCCCCCCCCCTCCTTTCCCATCACTCGAAGCCATGATGACATGTCTGGCTGCGATGATTTGCAAACACAATACGAGACAAACATGGCCGGTGGATAGGTAGAAAGCTTTTAGTTGGAGTGGGCCTAAGAGCCTGTGGTATCTCTTTGCAAACGCTAGTCAAAACTGCCCAGATGCTTCGTGCGCTTCTAGCAAAGCGCGTGTCGTGCAAAAAAAAAAGCTTGGAAGAACAATCCTGTCCTCCGATGATAAGCGCTTACTTGCGCAACAAAACTCCCGTCCTATGATGGAGCCATCCTAATAGATGCTCATGTACAGAAAACGCCGTCCACCAGTACACAGGCCTAAAAGCCCCTGTCTATGTGCCAAAATGCAACCACTGCTATCAAAAGACAAACATGAAATAGCTAACATGTGTCAGCCCCGACGAATGGGCCCCATCTGTAGCTTTGAGTGTAACAACCTTTGGCTGGTGGCTCGTTACTCCATCCTAGTGGTAGTCGGCGATAACGTCTCGATGCCAAACTCCGTCATGAAACCCGGACAAGGATACCGCGACCCCTTGGAAATGATACAGACGTCTCGTCTCTAAAAAAGACAGAATTGTTGAATGAATGCCGCTAGTGCAAATGCGAAATGAAAAATAATAATAATAATAATGATATAAAGATCCTCTTTTTATGCAGACAGCCGGGTGTCATCAAAATATGGCAAATATGTGCTACTATCTTTGAATCGCTGGAAAGCGTCAATATAGACAGATGCTTGCCGATGACGGACGACCATGGGTATAGAATTGGTGAAGATTGTGCTTCGTATGTCCAGGACAAGGGGTTGGTCATATCGTCGGTGAGCTATGCTCTATGGGCTTAGGTCGTAGGTTGGAGCTAGTCATGGCTTGCTTTCCGCCCATTTTGCGAGTCAACTTGGCGTAGTCTACGAGTAGTGTTAGCTGATGGCAAGTAGCAGCATCAGGGTCTTGAACTTACGCAGGCCACAAGCATTGCACAAGGTTCGGGCACCATCCGGCCCTCTCCGCCACTCGGGTGTCTCAGCACGATTGCAACTGTGGCATCGCCCGGGTGGAGCAGCACGCTGCTCATGAAATCAGTACACATGTTAAAAGAACGTGCAGGGGTGCTACTTACGCCTCGTTTCCTGGTCTTGTTGTCGCCACCAGTGAAGCCACCCATGCCCTTGTTGTCATCGCCATAACCGCCTCCACCGTCGTCGTAGCCGTTCATGGGCCTATACCGGGGATCTTGCGGTGCTTCCACAAGGCTTGCTTGATGGTGGTTGAAAACAACATCTCGCATGCGTTGAAGAGACATCTGAATCCGTTCGCTTTGCTTTAGCATCTCGTCAACCTCTTCCAACCTAGGCATCGACTGTGGTGTCATGCCAATGCGTTGGTTGTCGTGTGCCCGTTGTCGGTAGATTTTCGAGAACTCTGCGATGCGCCCTGATCCGTCAGCCATCTCGTTAAGTGAGGCCTCGATGTCGAAGCTCTCCAAATGACGCTTGACAGACTCGCCGTACGGAGCCAGACTCGAGCGACCAATCTTCTTTTCTTCCAGACGAGCCATTTCAGCGCTATCTTGCCATGCTTGATGCGCATAGCGAGGCGGGGCAGAGTAGGTGGATGTTGCTGGGGGATATGTAGGATTTGGTGCGCTGGTAGACGAAGCTGAGACGGCATAGCTGGGGGGATATTGCGAGTACGGGTGATGCTGGCTCATTGGCGGTGCTGACCGAGGGGCCGGGCTCTCGTAAGGTTTCGAGACTGGCGGAGGATACGAAGAATAAGGGATGCTGGGATGTGGGGCGCTTGGAGGCGAGGCAGGTGCGGTTTTGAGGGGATGAAGCGAAGGTAGCTTCGGGTTGTGTTGAGGGGTTGGATATGGCGGCCTTGGATCCGAGAAAGGCGGGCGAGGAAGGGAGTCTGTTGGAGCTGGTGCCGGTGGAGGAGGTGCTGTTTGTGACGCTGAGGAGGCAATGTATGGACTCCTTGGGTGGGATAGAGAGCCATGTGGCCCTTGGGTGGGGTGCTGGAGATCTGGTGGGTAGTTTCGCGGACGTTGCTCGGCCGGTGAAGGAGCTGCAGAGGATGAATGGTAATGCTGGGGGGCCGATGTTATCGAAGAGGGCGGGGGCACTGTAGCTGGATATGAGAGCGGTTGCTCGGATCCCAGAGCTTCGTGGATGGATGGCAAGGACTGGCGGGCGGGCGCTCGCTGTGAGTCCTTGTCATCGCCAGACATCCTGCGCGATCCAGGAGGAGACAGCAAGCCTCCAAGCGAGCCAGGCACTGCGCTGGGAATGGAGGACTGGGGATTGCTGTGTGCATGCGATGGCCCGGTGTAAGGATGCAGCGGGCTGGGCATGGCTGGGGCCGAGTGTTTTCTCTGGTACTCGACCTCCTCGCGCTTGACTCTCTCGGCATCCATGTGGTTGATTGAGGGGAGGCCGACACTGCAGTCTGTGGTTAGCACTTGTATGGCGAGGCCAGGGGAACGGGGATGACGTACGCTTGTCTGCTGCCAGCGTCTAGGGTTTCCATCATGAGCCGCACCTTCCGCGGGTGATGGTAGAGTTTAGTTGGGAGATGCGACAGGTAGATGCGGCAAAGGAGTGATGGTGGGGAGTGGCAGGCCGGCGGCGTTCATGTGCCTTGCTGCACAAGGTTGGGAGGCGGCAGAACCTGGAGTCGTTCCTTCCTCGACAAGCGCAGCCAAGCAAACCACACGGTACTACTGGCGGGATTCGTCGACGACGGCCTCTTTTTTGGTGCGATTGCCACGCTCTTTACGTTGACCACTTGTCTCTTTCTCTCTTTCTCGCTCCGTCTCTCTCCAATGAGTGATGCTGGGGCAAAGTTTTGCTTGTTGTGACGGTTTTTCTCTTTTGCCGTCTTTTGTTTTTTCTGCTCAACCGCACACGGTTTGGAAGGCGGGCACCTTTTGGTCACAGGCAAGGAGCGTTGTTAGCGAGAGCAAAGGCAGAGTCAAGAGTGCAGGTGCAGGCGATAGTGTCAGCGACGCGGCTGACGTAGGTGGAGTGGATGGGGCGAGTCGAGGCGAGTTCTCAGCACAGTTGGCAGGGCGGCGTCAGGGACCTTGCGTGTGCTGTGTTTCTGGCGGCGGAGGTGGGTGATGTGTGGGAGAGGTGGGCAGGTGTGGCATGGGGTTTGGAGCGGAGCAGATGGCCAAGCCGTGATCTCACAGTGAGCTACTGGTCGCAATGCCGCGTCTTGTCGATGGTTGCAGGCATGGGGTGAGCGGAAACAAGAACTAAGCCCAGGTGCAGCGGGCTAAAGCAGATACGATCGGAGATGAAGCGCGGCGGCAGCGAGTGCGAGTCGTCTAGGACGTGACGCGAGAGTGCAGTGAGCAGGCAGGGATGGGTTACGGCACGTCTGTTTGCCACGGCAAGGATGCGGGTGGAGAAGGCGATGGGTGGGTGTTCAAGCTGCAACACTGAGGGCGGCACCCCAGCGCCCCAGCGCCCCAGCACCCCAGCACGCTCCCAAATCATCGGCGAGCAATGCCTATCCTGCCCCCTCCCCTGCCACCACGTCCCTACACGGCGCTGTCGAGTAGTGTAGGGTAAAAGCAGCAGCCGGCCGGGCGGACACGGAGCGTGGGCAGTGGGCGGGTGCATCGATCAGCGCCACAGGGCCCCCCCTCGCCTTGCACACCCTCGACTGACTTACTTCTGCTCGATCCGCAGCCGTTGTGACCAGGGACCAGCATCGCGACCAGCATCCGCGCGAATGGACGTCCCCGCGGCCACGGGCCAAATTATCGCCGTGGCATGCAGTCATGCAATCGAGATGCAGCCGGCCTTCGCACTGATGCCGCTACGCCTTGGCTGCGACAGCAGACAGTGACAGCCACACATACGCTCGACTACTCATACCAATGCCCTCTCACCACTCCATGCCCACAAAAAAGAGTGCGCGCCACGCCGCCGAACGCCTCGCCCAGCAGCCCGCGCCTGTAGGAGTACATGGTCGCGGGGCCGGGTCTGCCGGCTGGGTTGCCTCTGCTGCTCTTGCTCGCTTTTTGTTTTCTTCTTCTTGCAGCCTGCTGTCCACGATGCGCCATCAGGGCAGCATCCTGGCCTCGCCTCGTCCACCTCGTCAGCCCATCGCGATAGACATAGATGCACACAGCACTCATGTACCTCCGAATGTACCCCCAGGCACGCACATCAGCAATCGCCGCCGTCAATGGCCCTCTCTCGGGAATCTCCAGCCAGCCCAGGGGTGATGCCCACACGACGCATCTGAATCGGTGGCAACGCGATTAGTGCAGCGGGGCGGCGGCCATCATACATGGCCGTGACAGACAAGGCAGCGCGTGCCGACGAACCATCGTCTTGCCTCGAGATCTCATCGGCCCGGATGTAGGAAACTTTGACTCAAGAGCCGCCTGTACGCAACGCCTAATGCCGCTCGCTGCTATTGCATTATCGTCCGCATTATCGCTACGGCGCACAGGGCACCTGCTACTCGATGGCTCTTACACTTGTCCGTACACAATGAGGCCACTTTGTCGCGCCTGGTGATACCTCTGGCCTGTGCCGCTACGTCAGTCGTCGCTAACGCCTCCCTCAGCGCACCCATGCAGCACGCCTCCCTGGTCTCGTTCCGAACCATGGATCCACCATGCACTAAAGCACTTGCCCGTTGACGTCTGCACGTGTCTGCGAAATCGCTGGGCTGCTTGCACCACGCCATCCCGGCTCGACTTGCATCTGTCATAGCACAGTAGCCCGTGCTGCCTGTGCGCTCCCTCGTGCCCTACAGTAGCACGCCCGAGGCAAAACGGCACCCGACCCAGACATCCACACCACGCTACCCACAAGTCTCCGTTGCGATTTAGCTGCATTAGCGGAACCACGACCGATCTGCCTTCACCACCCTCTCGACTCTCTGCCTCTGCCTCGCATGTCCTATCTTTATAGTCTGTATGTATACATGCCACACTTACTCGAGGGCTGAGCCCTGTCTGCGCGCTGACGATAATGCCCGCATATGCCCAATCGCCGTCGCACCAACACTCCGTGGCAGAGTCAGTCGAGCCAACCACCTCGCCACCTGCCTCACATGCGCTGACAGCCATCACCGCAGGCCGAGGAGATATATCGCTCGGTGCCATCGTCCCGCCCTGCGCCCCCCCCTTCTTTGCCTTGGACAATGACCAGGGTGCCAACATACTCCAGTGCAACGCGTCTTCACAGTATGCATCAAATTGTCCGTCACACGTGTCTCACAACTCTGCCATCCTGCTACTTCAACTTATCAAACAGTGCTCTCGGTCATGACAATTACAGCTCCGCAATTGCCCGTGCCATGGTGCCCTCCCGACAAGCTTCATCGCGCACCCGTCGGTGGCTTGCAACGTCGAACCGGCGCAGAATACCCGCTTACGCCATTATGTACAGAGGTGCCTTTCAAAAGTTCTTGCTGACAGGGGTATCTATCGGCCCGATTATCTTGGCACCCACACAGGTTTTTTTTTTGAGCTGGAGGCACAGATATACTCATTTTTTTGGTGTTTTTGAATCAAATATGGCTCCAAATACTGATATCTGTACCCGTGCCTTGATTGTTACATTGAAATCTCCATTTGGTGGCAAATCCACCAATCAGATTAGTGAAATAACGGGTATCTCACCACGTACGATTGACTCAATATATGGTAGAGCCTGCCAACGAGGTTTTGAGCCAAACGCGCCCACTATTAAGCTTCTACCTGAATACTTAGAGGATGCCCCTCGCGCTGGCCGTCCTCGTAAGCAAGAAGATATCCACGAAACTACCCTAGAAAAAGTACGCCGCGATAGGTATGGGAGAGAGAAGAGCTGTGCTGATATTGCTGGGGACCTTAGTACTCACGGCTACAACGTTTCATCCGCTACCGTATAGAGAGTCCTCAAAGCAGCGGGCTACAACAAGACGAAGCCGACGCGCAAGCCTGGGTTGACACAGAGGATGAGACAGGAGAGGCTTAAGTAGTGTCTTGCGCATAGAGATTGGACGCTAGAGGATTGGAAAAACGTTATCTAGACGGATGAGACCTCTGTTGTACTAAACTACCGGCGTGGTGGCTATCGCGTCTGGCGACGACCAGATAAGGTATTCACCAAGTCAGTCATTCGCGAACGGTGGAAGGGCTACTCTGAGTTTATGTTCTGGGGCTGCTTCTCGTACGACTATAAAGGCCCTTGCCACGTCTAGAGACCAGAGACTGCACAGGAGAAGAGACGCGCAGCTCTCCAGATTGAATAGATGAACCAGGCTCTAGAGCCACTTATAAGAGAGCAGTGGGAGCTTACAACAGGTATAAAGAGATTAGGATTAAGAAACAAGCCAGGCAGGTCTCCTCAGTGGAGATTCACAAAAGAGACTGGTAAGCTAACTCGTGATGGTGGAGGTGGTGTTGATTGGTGGCGCTACTAGACTGAGGTACTACTCCCAAAGCTTATACCCTTTGCAAAAGAGTGCCAAAAAAGGAGACCACGTACGATTGTTCAAGAAGATAAAGCTCCTTCGCACGCTCATCATGCCCAGCGTGTAATATATGAACAACAGCGAGTAGAGCAGCTTATTTGGTGTGGTAACTCACCTAATCTTAATGCTATTGAGCCAGCTTGGTCTTGGCTCAAAAGAAGAACAACGAGCAAAGGAGCACCAAAAAGTAGAGCAGAAGGCACAAAGGCATGGCTACACTGGTGGCAGGAGCTGCCTTAACACCAAATACAAGCTTGGATAGAGAGGATTCCATTTCATATTAAAGAAATAATTCGACTTGATGGTGGTAATGAGTACAAGGAGGGGCGGCGGGACAGATCTGACCAAGCTTCGGTGGTATTTCGGTAGTAATACAGATGATCCCTGTCAGCAAGAACTTTTGAAAGGCACCTCTGTATTACCAACCATATCTCTCAAGCGACATATGTAATAAGTACACATATATCCCACATACTTATGTGCATATGTCGTCCCTGGTCCCTGTGGCTAAATAGTGCTGCTTCTCTGCACTCGGCACCGCGCAACCCGATTTGCCTGTCCGATTCGTTGTCGTGTCGGTAGGTGTACACTTTTTTTGTACCAACTGGCCCCTTGACAAACGCCTTCCCGGACTATTACATTATGTCAAACCCATTTATGCGCAAGCGTTTGACCGCTGTCATTCAATGCCGGTCATGGCGGGAATCAAAGCGTTTCGAAACGCATATCTATGAGACTCACAAAACACTCAAGTGACCCGCGTTTGTCACTGCACAGGTCGACAAGATCTTGCTCGCCCTGCAGGAGTGCCTCGGACAAACCCGCCTTCAACTATTGGCCTGTCGCGCACGCACATCAACACCCCCCAATCATGTGCATCGAAAAGCACAGCCCATGACCTGATCTGCTAATTCTGAGTTGACTTGTCTAGTCTGGGCATATATTGCGTGCATCGATACTGGCTCGCTGGCTTCGTGTCAATGTGGTACGCCAGAAAATTATGCCATCTTTCAGCTTAACCAAGATCAACAATACGGGTCTCGTCGCAATCACCATGGTGCCAACGACTTGCATGCACGGCACTGGGAGGCAATTGGAACCCGTCCTCGGACACGATTGGCAGCGCGAGGAAACTAGATGCAATTTTACCGGTGCCTTACTTACCTTCTCCGCGTTGCCGTCTTTGACAGGTTGGGCTCCACGTTTGCTGACCTTTTACGACACCGCTCGGCGGCCATGGTTTCAGCAGCTGTCAACGTGTCCCTTCCAACTCGCATCGTTTCTCGGGCAGAAAATCCAAATGTGCGTCTTGCCACGATCCAGGCATCATGTAGCTGACCAAAAGGGTCATTCTCGACCCGCCGCAAGGGGTCCTTAAACCCTATTGACAATGAGTTGCGAGGTCCATGCATGCTTCACGTGTGCCGCCAGATGAAGCGAATCCCTACCAAAAGCACATATGCCGAGAAGCTGTCACCAGCCGAGCAAACTCGATGCTAGTTGACAGATGAACCCTGTCAGCACAACACAGAAATATGATGTTAAGAAGACCCCGGTAATAGTAGTTTCTCAATCTGACTCAGGATCTTCAGTTACTTCGCTCGCTTGGCGGCGATCTCGATCTAACGCTGGTCACACCCTTTTCATCTCACACGTATCTGATACCCAGTTTTAGTGGGCGGCACCCCGAAAAAGGTTTAATGCATTGTGCCCGATTCGGTTTCTTGCTTAAGCGACATGGATGCAATAAAGATATTGTATCGTACGACTCTCGGTGCACCCCTTGCCCTTCTGCGAGTTGTGTTTCGAGAATATCCGCCTGTCCACTTTGGGCCTGATTGATGATCCTCCTCGGCCGTTTACTCAAATTGGTTTATGATCGTCTCACCCGCACTCAGCTTCATGGAGGCGCCGTGAGCTTGCATCGTGACGATTTTCGCATGGCACAGCGCGGCAGCAAAAAAAGCAACGTCGGACAACGCTCCAACAGGCTCCACTGTAGAATTCGCACTTTCCTCACAACTCGTTCTGGCGGCATGCAGTCGCAATCTGTTGATCAAAATAAATACAGTCACCTTTCTTGGGTGAAGGAAACATGGGTCGTCGCAGAAATGGCCGGCTTATCGCTGTCTGCATGTCCGAAGGAATCTTTAGGGTCGCCCGTTTCGGGAGGATCCTACTTACCTGACTGTCATCGGCACACACGTTCCGGTCGTGCTGGGGGACGACGTGCCAGGACCGGAGTCGCCTATGGCAGAATATGGGGCAGCCCTGACACCCTTTTTGGCCGTCGTGCAGCAGCTCCCGTGCTGCATTCGCTCCACGGCATGAAATCTGACTGCATTTGACGTTATGCAAAGGCGGAGGAAACAGACGTGTGCGGTGGCCTTTGTTGGAATCTCTGCTTCAAAACAAATAGCGCAATTGCCCCTGGAGCATGGTATGTCATCGCCACAAATACTTTATGGTCTGCTGCACTCATGGCCCGTCCCTAGCCTGGGTGAACAAAACAGCTTCATAGTCTTGCCAGATGGTCATAGTCGTCGACTGTGTGGTGTTCCTTTATTGGCATAACACGTGCATATGCGAAAACAATGCAAACGCATCTCTGCTTGATTACACATAGTTATGTGGAAAAAAAGCAGTGCAAATTTGCAAAGCAGATTACTCAGAAAAATTACAGGATGCTTACAAGCTGTCTATCTGCGACAATATCAGGGAGCGCGTACATGGGTCAGAGGGCCATGCACTGCTAGTCAACGCAGCGTATCTCTAGTGTACCGGCTATCGTGAGATTTGTCTTGAAGGTAAGTAGATCTACGGGCTAGTAACAGGATTGACAAGTGAAACGCATTAACAGAGAGGCCGTGGCGGTGCAACTGTAATTGCAAACACTCGAGCCTTTGGAGATCCATAACGCCACCGATCTTCCCTCCCAACATCAAACGCGAGTTATGCACGAGCATTATGTCCATGTCCAGGCACAGGCGTCGAAGCAAAAACCTAGTAGTTATGCTTGCAATGATCATCGCCGAGGGATTTTCGTCGCATTTCAATTCTCCGCCTGCGGGCGTTTGGTCACAGTGCTTACATGCGTACAGTACAATTTTTTGCCCTTCTTCTTTGCTTCTTTTCTTCGCTTGTTTTCTCGAAGTCAAGGCTGACATGCAGTTTCTGGATCGTCCCGCTTCGGTTGACGGCGGAGCTTACCCCACATTGGATTTCGCCCCCCTCTAGACCAAATTCCCATGGGTCGGCCCATTCGCACGCGACAAATCTGGACTTAAGGCGATGCCCATCAAGATGGCATGGTATGCAAAGCGGATGCATACAAGATGTACATGCGTACATTGCGTACACAAGTGCTGGTATGAATGATTGACCCTTTTTGCTGGCTCATCACGAGACAACCCCCCCTCTCCCCCCCCACCATACTCGTCATCAATTGATTCTCAACGCGGTCACGCTAGGTACCATGTGGCTGGTTCTGGCGCTGGCGCTTGCGCTTGAACACTTTGCTAAGTCAGCCGGCGGCCGTGCCGTGTTAAAGCGGCAAGCCCGACCCCGTGCCGCTCGCCGATTGGTCGGCTTATTGTGCCGAGAAAGAACAGACGCAAAACACCCACAGCCAGATCTCACTCTCGGCATCAATTGCCTTCGGTCTTTCCACAACTGTGCAATGACTACTACGCTCATCAAACCAACGGCATTACTAGGCACACACATACCCACTTACTCACTCATCGTCCCCATCACCTCGTAAGTTGGGACTTACCAAACACCTTGTATCCTAGGCTTGTCTGAAGCACCCTAGCCCGTGCCGTCCCAAGCTAGACTTTTGTTGGCCACAGTTATGCCTCTTTCTGTATGCAGGTCATATCTGCTTTTTTTCTGTTTAATCGCCTATCGAAGCAGGTTCTCGAACGCCATGTCGTACGAGATCCCGGAAAGATTCATCCGGGCTAGGTGTATTAGGGTTATCAGGACCATTTAGATTTGCCCTGCAGTAGTAGGGCGTGAAAGGAAGGGGGGCCCTGGTTCGGTCCCTTGCTGGCTAGCAAAAAAGTGTGAAGAATGGCTATGACCCACAGGATGAGTACGAATCTGATTAACTTTTCTGAGTTGCTTTGGTATCTTGGGGAAAACCGCATCGTAGATGCACATGCATACGTGTGTGGAAGTACGATGGGTTGAGGTGGGGACGAGCCGATCTCTATCTCTCTGTTCTGTTTTGTCTGGCCCTCTCTCTGTCTGTCTCACTCCCTTTCCCACGAGAAATTATGGAATTTGCACAAATGAAACGAGGCGTAAACGTCCTCGTATAACCTTCCATTATCCTTTCTTTTTCTCTTCTGTCCCTCAAACTATGTACTTTGACTACCTACAGAGAGAGCCCCAAGATCAAATCCGTGCTTGTGCACGAGCAGATTTTCTTTTTCATCTCCCACGCTTAAAAAGCGGGAATTACCATAAGCGGCTGAAAATCGTATGCCAAGAGCCTGCATTCTGTACACAAATGCTAGCCCTTCCTTGGAGGTGTCACAAGGAGGGAGGTAGGTGGAGGGGACGGGTGAAGCCTTTTTTTCGCCGCAAAGAGAAAGGGTAGATCCCTCTTGAAGATCATTGATCAGCAGTAACTCCACGCGGGCAATGCGGGTACGGGAGGGGGATCAAGAATCCCCCCAAAAAACAAAAAAAACCCACGTACGAGGCTTGGTCACTACAGAGTTCATGTTGCAGAAAATGGTTGCGTGTAATTGGGTAAGTTTTTTGGTTTTCGGACTCCCTCCCTTGTTTGGTTTGGCCAATTGGTACCTGACCAAGCTGTGTGTGCACTCACAATGTTCGTGCTTTGCGCTCGCCGGTTGCGCCAGAAGGAATAGAAGCCCCATCCCCTCTTCTCCCCCCCCCCGCCCCAAAAAAAAGCAAACACACGACGACGGTTCCAAACTCAAATTCTGGAAACGGATTTAGGGATCTCGTATACAAAAAAGACAGAAGCACGAAAAGCGCGGCACTCGCTCCGCGAACGCGCTACCGAGCGCACGCCTCGGTCGGGTATATTTTCTTTTTTGTGCTAAACCTAATCTACACTAGGGCCTTTTTCGAAACTAAAGCTTGCTAGGCAAATACGGGAGAAAAGTAGAATAGTAGTAGAGTGTGGGCTAGAAAAAAAAAGGCGTGGACAGTAAATGTGGCACGTCACAGACACACACATACACGAATAACCTTTTTTTCTGACAGATGTTTATTTGGAAACCCTGGAATCCTTCCCTCCCCTCCCCCCCCCCCCCCCCCTAGAAAAAGAAAAGAAAAAGTGGTAAACGGAAAGGACGAAAGAAAACAGAGTTTCTGATTCGCTCGATCCACGCTAAGGAAAATTCGGGGACGGAAATCGTACTTTGGGGTCACCCTCGCCCTACCGCTCTTTCTGTGCAAGTGTGTCCCATGTTCTCCTATCTGGGGTGGGTTTAGTGTGTATGTGTGTGTATGTATGTGGTTAGGGGGGGCTAAGGCCCAATATGGAATTTTTCAAGGACAAAGATTTGTGATTAGATTTGATTTGAGAAACAAGATAGAGAGAGAGAGAGAGAGAAAACACAGACCGCTCTCTCTCTCAAGCAGCACTAGAAGAAGATAGGCTTCTGGCTGCCTTTTGATTTTTTTTTTTTTTTGCGAACAAAGTAATTGGGCGATCCATGCGTCTGCTTCCCGTTTCCCCTGTCCCGGTTTTGCCTATTCTGTTTTGCCATTTCTCTGTATGTTTGAATAAGCGTACATGTTGGATGTTGCTGTTTGGGTTCCGTTGGTTCGGAAACCTTGGGAGGGGTTGGATGTGGGTTTCGGGAGGCTTGGGGAAAGGGTTTAGAAATTATCCCGTCTGGGCGTTCTCGTTTTGTGTGAAGAAGCAATTTTTTTTGCGCGCACTCCAGGGTTAAGAAACCTTGTAAAGGTTCAGTTAGGTGGATGTGAGATTAACGTACGAGAGAGACGCAGGGTAAGCGTGCGTTGTGTAGGGTTGACGCTTGTAAGCGCATAGAAGGGCCGTTTCTTTCTCCTCTGGCCTGCTTGTTTGCTTTGTTGGGATGGATGAAGAGTAAGCAAGCCTCACTTTAATTCTTTTTAGTGGGTGAGAACGAGTTAGTTTACCTAACTAATTACCTTGTGCTGCTGCTTGGACTATTGAATAAACGGGCTCTATCTACCATCTGTGTCAGTGTGTGCAGATGACTCCATCTTTGTACATGTAGTTACATCGCCTCATTCTCCCCGTGTGTGTTCTATCATTTCCCTTATCGTGGACTAGCAAAAGACCGGTGCCTGCTGGGCGTTCGTATCTCTCTTTTTTTTAGCCAATTTAGCCTGGGGCCGGAGGGCTGTCGAAACCACGTGTTGTGCGACAGTGTGTGGGTACTAGGGCTTGGCCGGGAATGTCACTCGTTTCCTTTAGGCTCTACCTCCTTTAGGCATCCGGATGCGGCGGCGGTGGCCGGAGAACGAGGAAGCGAACGGAGAGCGAGGAAGCGAACGGAGAGGAGGGGGAAGACGGGTATGACAGCGGGGGAAGTGTGAGGGGAGGTAACGAGGTGAGGCAGGGAGGGAAACAGGCGTGGCAGGGACATGAAGGCAGAAACTAGGTTTCTTCGTGTTCTGCTGTCATGAATTACACCCCCCCCCCCACCCATTCTCTCTCCGGTGAGCCTTTTTGGGGGAGTGAACAAGGGAAAGAAAATACCGCCATCAAGGGGGCTCGCACAGTTTTCACATGAAAGAGAGAGTACGTGGCATACAGGGTGTGGAGAGTGATGGCCTCGTGTTTTTTTGTGGGATACTGCGCGGCTGACGTGTGGGAATCTTTCTCTTACGTATGCAAGGCAACTCGGGGAGCATGGCTCGAATACGGGCTCCCCTGATTTTGTGTTCTGGTTTTGTAGGAGTCAAATCTGAGGACGAAATCGTTGGTCTTGATGACAAAGAGGGTGCAGTGAGTGGACAAACAGTGAATTGAGGGAAGGAACGTTTTCTCGCGGTTGCTTTTTGGGGGTTCTCAGGGTCCCGCGGTTTCACAGTTTCATAGTTTCAGGCACCAAGTATAGCATGGAGCGTCTATGGTTTTTTGTCCCGGGCTGAGAGAGAAGGCGAGAGGGAACGAGAACGAGGAAGTGACGGTAGTCTAACCGTGGTTTCCCGTGTTTCTTGAGCTCGGAGAAAGGTTACAATGAGCAGTAGTGAAGTGTCAGTTCAGATGCAGGACTTGCAGCTGTATAAGTTCAAGACTGCCACGGGACAGGAGACGATGTGTTTGATCAGGGCTTTCACTCAGCAGGTAGAAATTGTAATGGTTCCTCAACCGGCGGAGCGGCTGCTATAGGAAACAGAACAATTTAGAAGACACACCTCACGAACAGATGAAACCAGGTGGTGTTGCAACACCGTAAGCCCTGCGCTTCGCCCGTCCGCATGCCTCATGGGAGGTCCTTAGATAGGACGTTAAACCCGAACAAACAATGTGTTTGATGACAGGAAGTATACTCTGACCGGCACGCAAAGCGCCATGCACTTTCAGGACCAGTTCATTCGGCAGGTGAGTCTTTACAGCAACAACAGCAAGGACAATAGCGTCATCACCAACACCAGAGACACTGTCCTTTACCGCTTTCTCAGAGCACCACTACCATTATGGCCTTGAGTGATGTGTGGATGCGCTTTGTGCTTGTGTTTTTGTAAGTTGAGTGATTCTTGTTTGGATCAGGGGTACAAGTGATTTTTCCACAAAAAGGGGAATAGCCATCACAGATTTTCTCAGCAGGCACCATTGAGATGGAGTCTACATTGTTCTTCCCCCTTACCTTGCTCATTTCCTTGAGGAAACAGGGAAGACTGCGGCCACACAAGAGACTAGGGGACGTTGCACAAGATTCCCGCCAAGACACAGCAGTGACAGATGCACTGTTAGCACGACAGGAAAATGGATTCCAGTGGTAGGATGTGCTTGCTGCCTGGGCAGTAGACAAGCCTGCTATCTGTCTAACAGAGGCTATGCGAATCGACTCGGGGTTCTGCCCTGTTGTTCCTAGTTGACTCATCTCTTGTTACGAGAGCCCAATTTTGTTCTTGTTCACAGTCCAGCACCGTGCTGGCATTGAGGCATAATGGAAGCACAAGGGTCGAGCAGAGAGCAAAGAGTCGAAATGAAGCGTGGTGCTTTGTGCTGGGCACAGGGTGCAGACCTGGCGGGTTTGGTGTTTGTGTCGTGGTTTCATGTGGGTTTGCTTTGTAATTTGGCATGTCATTTGGCCGCTTGGTTGTGTCTTTGGCGGCCTGGCCTCGATGCCAAGTCTGCGTCGCTGATGCGGAAATTTTTTGGTGCAAAATGTTAGTTGAGAGAATCGTATGTGATGGGCGGTGGTTTGTGTGGGAGGCTAAAAAAAGACCAGTGCATGGCCTCACTACGGCGAGAACGGGTGGGTGCGCAGACGGGATGACGCAAGATTGTGACGTTTGATTGATGGAAAGTCAGGTTGCGATTGAGCCGGAGGGCTGCGAAGAAGTATGTTCCCAGCAAAAGCGGGCTGGAGATGGGACCGCCGTGGTGTAGTGCGCGGGGATGGTGGGTGGCGACGAAGAGCGAGTTGACGACATGTCAGCAAGCGCAGGGTTCGAGTGTCGTATTTGGTGGGCGGGAGAGGGAGTAAGAGGGCCATATGGTGTGGATGGTGAAACGCGAAAAAGCAGTCGAGTGATTAGGGCGTGGAGTATGTACATGTGAGTGCTGGGCCTGGAGGAGGCGGGGCGGAGAAAGCGCATTGGGGCGAACCATGGCTGAGGCAGCGCCTGGGCTGCATCAGCCACACGTCCAAACGTCAGCGCAGCCATCGCTGTTGCTGTTGCTGTGGCCATGACGGCCGACGTGTGGGCGTGGACAGGTGTTGACAGCGGCGAGTCTGCGTCTGTGGGCGCAGAGGACTCGGCTATCGAGATGGACAGGACAAGCATGACGCCTCATCTCAGCGGCGGTCGTGTCTGGTTACTTAGATGAGAGCCATGCCGCCGAGACAGGGATTTGCTCGCACAGCGCCAGCCTCAACTCTGACCACCACGCCGCCGACCACAGCCAGTGACAAACTTAAGGGCCAGCTCCCCTGAGCCGGCCTGAGAAACAGACGCAGCCCTTGCCTTGCCGCTGCTGCTGCCCTGCCCGTCGACAACACACACACGCACACACACGCACCCACGCACCCACGCACCCACGCATCCACGCTGCACTCGCATGCGCACTCGCTGCAGCCGACGACGTTGAGCGGCAACACGGCTGCTTGGTGGTTGGTGTTGGTACGTACCTACTGCACTGCCGATTGCCGCGGGGCGCCCCCCCTAGTCGCCTGTCCATCATCGTACGACTTGTCGAACCACTCCAACATCCTCCCTTACGCGCAAGCCATCTGGACCCTCCCGGAGCCGTAGCACGATTGCTGCATGCCATCTCGACGCCAGAGTGCCATTCGCCATTCGCCCAGCAGCCCACAGCCTCTGCAGCTGAGTGCAGCTTGTGCGTAGCCTGCCTTACCTGTCGCAGAGCGAGCGCACTCTGCCGGATCTGCCGCCACCGCCCGCATTCGCCTTGTGCAGCATCTGCGAGAGAGCAACGAGAGAGTGGCATGATTTGAGATCGTCCAAGTAGCTGCTGGTAAGGCCGAGCTCCCTCCTACCTGCTGTGTTGCACACGCCCTCGTGCGTTATCTCCATCGTTTTTCTGCTCTTTTCGTGTCCTGCTGTCGTCCTCGCCTGCGGTCCCTTAGTTTCGCAGCAGACGGTCCTTAGTCTCCCTCCCAATGGCTTCTGACCCCTATGCCAGCCCCGATGACGGGCTGGAGCTGGAACGAATCGCCGTGCGTGACGCCGTGGGCGCAGCCACTTCTAACCTTTGTGCTAACATGCGCTGCGCTGCCAGGTCGGTCCCTACTGCGTCTTTGACAACTTCAGATTGCTGCCGAAGCCCGAGCCGACTGCTTCTGCCCCAACCACCCAGGACCCAAGCCCGCCCACGACGACGACGTCGGCGGCCATCACCACCACCACCACCACCACCACCACCACCATGGAGGATCCCATGCTCTCCACTGACTTTCCCTTTGGCACCATGCGCGGCCCTTGGCTCACCACTGCTGCCGACGACATGACGCTCACAGCTTCTGCCGCCGACGACACGACCGACTGGAACGAGTGGATGCACTACAACCCCGCCCAGCCGTCTCAGGACTCCCAGAACGTGGACACCAAGCCCGTCAACCCACAGGGGCCCGCCGCATACCCTAGGACCCGCCAGCAAACATCACCCCATATCACCCACCTTCCTCAGTCACAGCCGCCATCACTGCCATCCACCCTCACTCCCACCACCGCTCCCATGTTTGCCCAATCCCACGCCGTTCCTTTTGCCTTTGGCCAGAGCGCTGACGTGCCGCTATCGTTTGACTTTAATGGCTCCGACCTCAGCTCGCCACTGTCAAGCGACATGCAACAACAAAACGCATACTACTCGGCTCAGCAATGGCAACAACAACAACAACAACAACAACAACAACAACAACAACAACAGCAGCAGCAGCAGCAGCAGCAACAACAACAACAATTACCAGACAACAACAACCTCTTCTCGCCTTCACAATACCAACAGTCCAACTATGCTGCACCACCGCCCCCTGACTCCACGCCCAGTCTGCACCACAGCCCCAACTCGCTGAACAACGGCCGATCAAGCTCAACGTCATCGCATTCATCACCAGAACCCGCCCCATCAAATTCGAGAAAGCGCAAGTCATCGGCCGATTCTGAAGAGCCCGACGACGATGCGCCGTCGAGCAAAAAGGGCGGCGCGCCACCCAAGAAGACTGCGCACAACATGATTGAGAAGCGATATCGGACAAACCTCAACGACAAGATTGCTGCGCTCCGCGATAGTAGGTCATCATCCAGCGCATCCTCTCAAACACTTGCTAATCTTCCCGTCAGGTGTCCCGAGTCTGCGTGTCATGTCACGGCCAAACGGCACCGAAGAGGACGATGACCCCGAGGATCTCGAAGGTCTCACTCCTGCACACAAGCTCAACAAGGCCACCGTCCTCTCAAAAGCGACCGAGTATATCCGCCACCTGGAGAAGCGCAACAAGCGTCTACAGGATGAGCTGAATACCATGAAAGGCCGGGTAGAGAGCTATGAGAAGATGGCCATATCCGGTCCCATAACACTACACGGCCCAGGTGGCGCGTCTGACAGATATCACGATGACCCATTCACGCCTACACACGGTCTATCCATGTCTGGACCGCCCCAAGGCATGATTCCTGTCCCCGACAACATTGCCGCTCTTCAACGCGGACTGCCGCCACAACAACATTACGCACATGCCTACCCTACAGGATACGGCGGCCGCCCAGCCGTCGGCCCACCCATGGTCAACGGACGACGCAGCAGTGCCATGATGGGCAAGCTCATGGTTGGATCTCTCGCCGGCCTGATGATACTCGAAGGACTCGTCGAGCGCGAACAGTCACAAGAAGAGCCAGAGGGCCGGGGCTTGTTCGCTCTGCCCATCAACCTGGTCAGCATTCTTGCTCCTCGCGTCTCTCTCGGTGCTTCGTCAGCCCAGATTCCTCTGGCTAAGCTTCTCTTGGTATTCGGCGCCTTCTTCTACCTCGTCGCTCCCCTGCTCGACTTCAAGTCGAAGCCCAAGAAGAAGTCTCCATCCATTCTTTTGTCGCCTGCACCGTCACTCGCTTCACCTGTCGAGGTGCGCCGAAAGGCCTGGCTCACTGCCATCCAGACTGTCTGGGTACCGCAGCACAACTTTATTCTTGAAATCGCTGCACTCGGCCTGAAGACGCTCAAGCTCAGCATGCGCAGAATCATCGGTTGGGAGGGCTACGCATATCTCACCGGAACCACCCGGGAACAAGAAGCTGCACGTCTCAAGGCATGGGAAATTGCTCTAGATGCTCAACTCACCGGTGGCGACGCAGAGATTAGCAAGAGCCGACTTCTCCTTACACTCATCGCCTCTGGAACCCTACCCGATACTCCCGCAAGACTGATGCTCAAGGCTTTGCATATCCGAATTGTCCTTTGGGAGATTGGCAACATCGGTCACAGCTCCCTGTGGACACTGAACGACTTGAGCGCGAAGTTGGCACGCAGCTACTGGAACATGGCACGAAGCGAGCACCGCATCGCTGCAAACGCATCCAAGAGGAACAGTGGCATCGAGCCATTGCCGGATCATCTTGCTGCACTGATTGAGAAGGAGTGTGACGATGTCCTCGTTCCTGCAGTCGTACAGCGTGCATACAACATTGCCTGGAACAAGCCCAGCGCCGAGCAAACGACTGTGGATACGTCCATGGATGCTGTTGTAGAAGACTTTGCCATCTGCTCGCCTTTGGATGCGCTTGCCGCCTGGTACTCGAGCCTCGTATTGAACAAGGGACTGGCCACAATACTTGGTACCAAGAACTGCACTCCAAAGGCCAACGTTGTCGCAGATCTTGACCTTGCCTACCGAGCTGCACCTCCCAACTCGCAAGCTCAGCTTCGTGCCCTTGTCGCTCAAGCAGTCGTGCTTGATGAGGGTCGCAATGAACGCATCGCTGCAGCTCTCGAGGCCCTCCCATCCACACCCAAGGCCGCCGATTCCGGATTCATCAACATTGTCGGCAACGGCTTTGTAGCACCCGATGTGCGCAAGGCCCTCACTCTCGCTAAATGCATTTCGCTATCTACATTTTCCACTCCCGAGGCACGTCGTCGCGCTGTTTTCGTCGTCAACAATACCTTCCTGCCCGAGCCCACGACGACACTCCTCAGCTTTGTCGCCGCCCACAAGGTGCTCACACAGTTCATGGCCGACGATGATCTCAAGGCTGACACTAGCCGGGGCTTAGAAAGGATTGCCACTTCTCTCCGCATGTGGATTGGTCACGAGACTGGCAAGAGGAGCGGTGTGTCGAACAAGGTCAGGGCAAAGATTGTCAACAACTATGTTGACGTAACCAAGAATCTTGTTGGGCTTGAGGAGGACAAGGTGGTGGAGCAGGAGGGGACCAAGAAGGAAAAGAAGAAGAAGGAGGAGTCATCGGATGTGGATGATGGATATGCAAGTGCTAGTGTCAAGGACGACTAGTGCTTGAATGGTGATGGTCTTTTTTTTTTCTCTTTTTTTTTCTTTTCTTGTTTGCCATAGGGATAGGGTAAAACCGGGCGTTTTGGGCCAACTAGTTGTTGCACGAGAAGGGATATGTATCTTGTTCCCCAAATGGCGTTTGCAAACAGGGTTGCACATGTATATTTTTTATGCCTTGTGGGAGCGGCCTCGGCCCTGACGGTCACGATTTCATTTTTTTCATTACAGTTCAGTTGGTAGTCTATTTGGTGGTTGTTATTTGACCTGGATAGCTTTTTTTTTGAATCTGCTACCTATCTTTTTTTTTTTTAAAAAAAAAACCCCCCAAATGTGTGTACTTGAGGTGAATACTATAATCCTTATTCAAAGTTTTTGTATTCGCAAAAGCATTTGTTGATAACTATGTTTCAAAAGTCTACACTTTTCATGATTTCTTTTTTTTTTCCCTTCAAAACATACATAACAATGTCAGTCATTACGACATGATGATAGTTTGATTGAAGAGAAAAGAAGAAGAAAAAAAAAAGAACCAGAAGAAGATTGGGGCATTTAATTTCAGCCAAGCATACTCCTCTTCCTTCCCCTCAACCTCACGCCTTCCAACCTCTTAAGCACACTCTTTGCTCCTTTCCCCGTCTCCGCATACGCGCTCAGGACCTGATTGAACAGCGGCTCTGCAGCAGGATGCGTAGCGCTAAACGCACGCTCTAGGACGTACAAATCGACGGCCTTGTCCTCGTCGGCTATGGACGCACTAGTGAGGCCAAAGTCGATGAGGTAAATGGTGCCGTGGCGTATTAACCTCTTTGCCTCGTCTTCTTCTTCCTGCTCCTCATCATCATCGTTGGAAGAACAAGGGGAGCGAACCATGATATTACTCGTCGTCAAATCACCATGACACACCCCCACGGCGTGGAGTTTACCGATTTCGCGGCCTATGCGTGCCATGAGGTCAATCATGTCTTGTTCGTCTGCTGCTACTGCTGCTGCTGCTGCTGCTGCTGCTCCAGTCTCACGCTTCGCTTGTTCGGCTCGTCGCGCCCACCCATCAAGCACCCGCCTTACCGTCGCGCCCCCCAGAAACTCAAGCACCATCCAGCCTTGGTCGGCATCCACGCTCAGCACCCCGGGGACATTTATGCCTTCCTTCTTCACCCGCAGCAGGCTCCGCGCTTCGGCTAGGAGCCGCTGCCGTGTCAGGCGCCGGTCGAGCGTCGGGTGCCGGTATGCTTTCGGCGGCCGGTATTTGAGGATGGCGGGGGAGGAGGCGAGGAGGAAGGGCGTGGTGTAGAGGAGCGCTTCCGCGCCTTGAGTTATTGGCGTCAGGGTTGAGGCGTCGAAGGGTGGTGGGGGGTTGTGGAGGGGGAGCGAGGTTGGAGGTGCTGGTGGGGGGGAGATTGGGGGTGCGAGGGGGGGTTCGGCCATTGTGAAGGGTTCGTGGTTCGTGGTCGTATACGCGTGTCGGATTTTTTTGGGGGGTGATTTCGTTCGTCTGTATAGATATATATGTGTGTGTATGTAGGAATTGTAGTATATCGAGTCGATTGGTATAGTTGTGTCGCTGGGTTGGTGTTGTGATTTTTTTTTGGAGATGTCGCGGGTCGCGCGTAAACTGCCCCGCGTTGGTGATAAACCAAACCACACCCAGCCTCAGCCCTACACGATCGCTCGATTCATCTCCACCCCCTTGTAATTGGCAAACCACCAAGCGAAGTTGACACCGTCGATCAACCGTTTAAACGCCCCTCCCCCCCCTCCTCGCCCGGTGTGCCGAAATTAGACTGACATGTCAACCCACAACTCGGCAAACCCAAGTGCACAGGTAAAAGGGTGTACCCGGGGATCAGCACTTCATGATCGCTAGGGCACAGATGGAAAGCACGACCAGAAAGAACGTGCAGTCCTAGCATCACATCACAAAGCAATGACAACAACTTCCTTTGTAAGCGAGTGACTATTGCATTGAACAATCTCATTCTACATTGAATTCACTCATCTCTGGTTTTTTTCACCTTGCCACCCATAAGCCACAAAGCAGCGACCTGAGTCGATCAAAAAAAAAACGGACAATGTTGCTAAAAGTAAATGATAACACAAGAAAAAGAAAAAAGGGTGCCCAAGGAGTGCAATGATCTCTAGCCGCAGGCAATAGAGTTCGTTGTCCGTGAAGCATAAAAAACCAAGTCGCTAATCCCAAAAAGCCAGAGCCCACCATGCTCGTAAAAGCAATTCGCATAACAGTCCGATAAACACGAAAGGAGAGAAGCAAAAAAAAGGGTTGGGCAAAAGAAGATCTTCCCAAGAGGAAAGAGACGAAGGGTAATCGTGATGTTGGAAAGATGAAAAAAGCTCGACCTTGGCCGGGATACGGAATCAATAAGAACAAATGGGCAAGATAATAAAAAAAAAGTCGTCATGGGCCGTGAAGAAGCACGTTTGGTAAAGCGCGACAGTAATATGCACAAGGGAGCAGAGTCCCGGAAAGGTTCTTGTCAATTGCCTAGTAGACGGGGCTCTTGCGCTTCTCAGTGCCAGTGAGAATGAGCTTGGGCGTACCGCGGCGCTCCTCGGGGCGGATGTCAACAAGGCCGCCACCAACAGAGGCACCATCATCACTGCTAACGCTGTTGGCAGTGTAGGTGCGGTTGATGGAGTTGTCGCGAGAGCGCTCCTTGGAAGCCTTGCGCTCAGAACCGATGGCGCCATTGGCTACAGCGCGAAGGCTGCCAATGCTGGGCCTGCCGGAAAGGCTGCCACTGCCTCCGCTGCGGACACTGTCCGAGTCGTTGTCAGACGAAGGGAAGTGCTCGCTGTCCGGAGAGGCACTTCCACTGCTGGTGCGGTGAGCACGGCGACCAATGCCAGCGCGGACAAGGTTGCCCACAGCCTGACGGCGTTGACGGGTGGCAAAGTTCTTGCTACCCTCGTGCTTGGTAGTAGGGCGCTCCTTGAGCTCCTCAATCGAAGGAGGGTTGCGGGGCTGGCGGACAGGGTGCTCTCCAGCACGTGCCTGACCAGGACCGAAAGTGCCAGTCATTGGGGTAGCAGGGAAGCCAGCGGAACGGGCAAGTGCAGAGCGGGGACCGTCGGCAGCCTCCGTCTTTGCGTCAACAGCAAGAGTAGAAGGGTTCTTCTTGTGGCCGCGGCGGAAGGCATTGGCTGATGGCGGCGGAAGAGGAACCACGTCCTGGGGAGGCGTGTTGGACTTCTTGGGAGGCGAAGTGCTGCGGGTGGCCCAGGGGCTGGGATTGCTCTCGTTGGGAGGCGACACATGAAGGACAGGGGTGTCAACCTTGGGGGGCGATCCGGCAAAGCGCGGGGTTGGCGGAGGCGGGGAGTTGGACATACCAGCCATGGCGTTGAGAGCCTGGATGGCGCCATTGTCCTGCTGGTAGCTCGGGTCGACGACATACTGGTACTGGCCGGTCATCTGGTTGAAAACGAGGTAGACACCAGGCTGGTTCGTCTCCTGGATAGCAGCGGTGTTGCCAAACTGCTGGCCATAGGCGTTCATCTGGGGAGTGTATGGCGTGTTGGGGTAGCCATGGCCTCCGGACATGTTCATGCTGCCAAACTGCTGCGTGGTTAGAGCAAGCAGTTGCTGCTGGAGCTGCTGCTGCCTCTGGGCAAGGTACATTTCGGTAGCCAAGAGTTGGGCAGCAACGTTGGGGTCCATTTCGCCATCGTCAAACTCGAAAGAAGGAGGGGCCAGGACCTGGTTGTAGTAGTCTGGCTGCTGTTGCTGCTGCTGCTGCTGGAACTGGTTGACGCCGCGGAAGCCGGAGCCGATGGCCGTCTGGGGAACACCCTGGTTGGCGCCGTTGTACTGCTGCTGCCTGGGCATACGGTTGTTGTTGTTGTTGTTGTTGTTGTTAGCAGCAACAGTGTTGGCACCAAGGTTGTGCTGTGCCTGGGAATAGGGCGCTGAAGCAGGAGGCTGAGCAGAGGTAGGCGTCTTGGGCGCAGTGCGAAGGCCAGCCAAAAGGTGGGAGCGGCTGGTGCGGGGGGTAGCAATCGAGTCCTCGGCAATGGAAGCGACCTTTGGAGGCGAAGCAACGCTGAGACGCTTAAGCTGAGCGCCCTTTCCGCGCGAGGCAAAGCTGGCGGTAGGGCCGCCAAATCCGGCCTGGGATTGGAAGTTGTTGTTTTGGTTGTTGTACGTCATTTGAGCAAGACCGCCAGCGTCCATGCTCATTTTGGTGGTCTAAAAAGAGGTTCCGAACAAAGGGTAAGGCTGCAAGTTGGGGGGTGTTGGGAAGCGTATGCAAGGAGCACACGAGAAAGGATACAGAATCGAAGATGATGCAGACGAGCTCGACAGTCGACGGTGGGCGGACGGGCGAAGGGGCTGGCGATTACGGGATTAAGGATCGGACTGATCAGAAGTTGTGTAAGGTAGAGGTTGGAATCGAAAACCGGCCGATGGGCAATGCAGTTGGAGCTATTAACAAAGGCTGTGGTCGCTGCGTGGGTGCGGCGGGCAGGCGGGGTGGGCCTAGGGCACAAAAGCTGCAGGGGATGCGGCGACGGGAGCTCTCTCGTTTTTTTTGGTAGATGAAGGTGAAGACACGAACAAGCCGTGACGGGATCAGTGGGCAGGCAAGCTGAGGATGATGCGTCGACGGGCGGGTTCTCTTTTTTTTTTTGGAGGATGGTGGGGAGCGACGGGACTGGCGCGCTCTCACACACACAAAAAGGCAGATTAGGCGGAGGGTAAGCTGGTCCAAAGAAGCGGAACAGGTAGAAGATGCAGAAGCGGCGGATGGGCGGCAGAAGAGAGCGAGGGGAGGGTGGTGGAAGAGAGCGGAAGAGGAAGAGAGAGATGGAAGAGGAAAGGGCGAGATGGCGGAATGGAGGAGGGGGCGAGGAAGAGAAAAGTGACGGGCACAGCGAGAGGAGGGAGAAGAGAGAGAGGGCGAGACGGGCGGTGGGGACTGTGGGCGGCGCTATAAGGTGACGGGGCGTGGGCGGGCGACAGGGCGGGTTAGCAGCTCAGCAGCTCAGCAGCAGCGACCCTGCATCGGGCTAGGCCCAAAGCAGGCCCCCTGGCCACCCAGCCAGACGCTGGATGCAGACTGCAGACTTTGAAACGCTGGGTTCTGATGCGCAATCACGGAGGAGCGACCGTTCCTGCGTGCGTGTGGGCATGTTACTTATGCTTGCCGGCATAGCACATGGGCCTGCGAGTCTCGAGTGCGCGCGAGGTTTCATCCATGGCCCACGGCCCGTCGCCATGATGCTGGTGACCCGGCCAATCTTAGCTCGCACCCATCGAGCAGGCCAGCAGAGGCTTACTGAGTACCGTACCCATGCCCATGACGGTGACGACCACCATAGCAGCAGCATGGCCCACGGCCCTCACCGCAACGCGCGCACCGCTGGACCAGACGGCGTGTATTGACGGGCTCTGGGCCAGTCATTGGCAGCGAGGCAGCAGTCGCCAACGGCGGCCACGCCAAGTCGCGCCGCTACTGGCCAGCCCCGAAGGCCACGACGGCCGCTCCTCAGCCACCCAGCAACCCCCCGTCTAAATATACTTGCCCGGCCATTCACCACTGCCCACTGCCCACTGCCCACTGCCCACTGCCCACTCCCCACTCGACCTCGCTCGCGTCCAGCGCATGCGTCTCCCCTCCAGCACGCGTCTCTCCAGCACACGTCGCCCGCGCGCCATGCACCGCCAGCGCAGATGTGCCCACCCGCCTGCCGCTGCGTGTGCATGTGCCTGGCTCGCATTCAGTTCGCTTTTGCTCGTGCGTGGCCAACAAACCCTCGCTTCCTCACACTGGCGGTCCTTTTCTCGAGCCGCGTGGTGCTCAAGCGGGCCTGAAACTGTCGCTCCGTCTCAACTCGCCCGGCCCGTGCACCGCTCCCTCATCTCGGCACCGCCTGCGCTGCCCTGCAGACTGCAGACGGACCTGCCAAGCCCCCTCCCACCAGAACATGCTCGTCCTCCTCTGCCGCCGCTCCATACTTACCCTCTCCTCGTGGCTTCGACGCGGCTGGCGCCCGGCCGGCGCCTGCGCTGCCTTCACGCGCGACAACACCTGTCCAACGGCCTTGGTCACTCGGCCAAGTCCCGTCTCGCCTGCTGGCCACCGCGCCTCTTCCGTCCGGTAAGCTGCGCTAAGCGCTACTGGACCCCGAGCCGCCTAGGGCAAACACTAACATGCCTCGCTGCCCTCTGACTTGGGCCTTGTCGATGGAAAAAGAAATCATGCTCCCTTTGCTCCGTTGCCTCAATCGGGCCAGCACGGCCACGCACGGTGGGGCCGAGCTGCCGATTCCGGCACTGTCCATGTGTGCTCGCGTCAAGTAAAGCTGCCTTCCCCCAAGGCACAAGGCCGTGGCCATGGCCGATTCATATATACACCACACCACCACCGGCCCTCCCCTTCCCATACACACCTCGTGCTTCACCTCGCTCCCGCGTCTCCAAGTCGGTTTCACCCAGATTGCCGATCCAGATTGCTGACGCTCTGGTGCCACCGACCTACTTGTTTCGAACCCTCTCGGCTACTTTGTCCTGCGAGCCTGCATCCCTGCCATCGGCTGCACCGAGCATGTGGTTTGCAAGGCCCTTCACGTGACTGCCTCTTTTCTTCTTCCGCTTGCACTTGCCTTTCGCTGCCGACATCATCATCCACACCATCTCTGTGCCTCGAGCTCACAATATGCACCCGCAAGACGAACATGCTCAGCTTGCCCACTACCTGCCTCGAATCCATGACCTGCAACCCGACAATGTCTGCTAACCCATCAGCCCATCCCGTCTGCAACGCACAAAACAAGAGATGCGTCTGTTTGCCTCGTTTCTCTTACTGTTTGCCTACACTCTCTCACAAAGGCATCCATTCGCCTTTGCCATCTCACCCCACGAAGCGTTTCTCCATGTTTAGGACTTGGCATGAGACTCCAAACGAAACATCTGACAGCACCAACACCACGCAATTATGACTGTGATATGGCCAATAGCTTCGTAACCCGAGTTAGAAGCACCTTCACAATCGCTTCATGTTCCGTTTCTCCTGAGGTACACTAGGAAAACATACAAAGTCAGGCTCTTAGGCATACCCAAATTCAGGAGTATATATGTATCTTCCTGATGCTGTAACATGATTCAGCCAGATTTGCAGGTCACTTCTTCTTTACATATACCACCATTACCACACATACTCTTCACCACATACCCTAGACTATAATTTGTCTAATACCACAAATAAACATCTTCATCATGCGCTTCTCTACCATCCTATGTGCAGCTCTTGCCCAGAGCTTGACAGCCTCCGCCGCGACAATGATGGTCACGGTCGCTGCCAACAACAAGTTTCAGTTCACACCAAACTCGGTTACGGCTCAACCCGGAGACACAGTCGCATTCAACTTTGTCGCTCAGGTACCTCCATCAGGGCTTTGTTCTTTGCCTGTTCAGACGCTAACTCTTACTCTCACAGAACCACAGTGTGGCCTCCTCGACAGCAAACCAGCCCTGTCAACCCGGACCCAACGCCCTCTTCTCCGACTTCCAGCCCATCCCGGGTAACCCCAAGGGCAGCCCCAACCCCGCCAACGGCCGTCGCCAGGCCGGCAACACCCCCATGTTCATGGTTCCCATTACCGACAACCAGCCCATCTACGTCTACTGCCCCCAGGCCCAGCACTGCCAGCAAGGCATGGTCATGGTTATCAACCCCCCCAACGCTGCTGCCGTTACCCAATACCAAAACGCCGCTGCACAGGCAAGAAACAACATCCCCCCAAACGGTGGAGTCAACGGCGGCCAGGTGATCAACAGCAACGCTGGAACCAACCCCAAGAATGTCCTCGGTGCCAAGGCTGGTGATGCCGCAAAGGGTAAGGGCAAGAAGGCCGGTGGTGCCAAGGCTGGTCTTGCGGGTCTCCTCGGAGGTCTCAAAGGAAACTAGTGTTTTGTAATGAACTTTGACGGACGTAATTAAAAAAAAAAGGCTATGATATATGGGTAATATCTGGGAGTAATGACTAGGTTAATAGATTGGGTTGTATACGCGGGACGTTTAATACACAAAGGATAATTATAATTCTCAGATAACACACAAGTTAGCAATGACACACACTTTCGTTAAAAAATCAGGTGCTTGAGTTTCTTACAGTGAACAACGTGACCCTTCTTTTCCCCCCGTCCAAGCTAAACAAGTTCGAAGACGGTTGACTTGTGGTCTGCGAGTTAGGAACAATACTACCATCACTCCTGCTCACCCATCTGAAGAAAAAAAAAACAACAACACTCTCACTTCCACCACGATTTCACCCACAGATACAACAATGGTAAGCAGAACAATACCTAGCATTAGCATACGCATACAACCGCCATACCTATATCTACCTCCAACCCTCACCCACCTCCCTCAACCAAATCAATCCGGAAAAAAAAAATCCCCCACCCTTTTACTGCTCAACCCACCGGCTGGTCCGAACCAAAAAAAAAATCCCACCATCAATCTCTTCAAAAAAAAAAAACTCAACTTGACCACTTGCGCATTCCTCCTTTCATAACTCAAAAATGCCAACCCACCTCTTCCTCTACTTCTTCACCATCCTACACACCACCACAACCACGACCATCAAACCCCTCACCCGCACCTCGCACCCTCCCTCCCCCCGCCCCCNCGCCCCCGCACCCCCGCCCCGCACCCCGGCGTGTACGAGTTACAGCGGAATCCCATGATAGGCCCGGGATGTGCCGTTATGTGATTGTACGTGTCTTTCTTTCTTTCCCTCTTTCTCTCTTTCTTCCTCGCTTCCATTACGCAACTAACACATGCATTAGGCGAAGTAATCCGGGGGGTGGGGGATTTATAGTTTGACGCAGGATCGTCGTTTGGGGGGTAACAGAAAATATTGGATGGATGTGGGATTTCTGAAATCAAGGCTGTGTGTGTGTGAGAGAGAGAGAAAGAAGTAAGCCGGATGTGAGAGAATTACAAGAGTATGAATGTCGGATGGTAGTTGGTTTACTAGCAAAGAAAATTTTAAAAAAAAAATTTGTTTGGAGGTGTAAGTAGAAGAGTGGGGTTTTTTTTCTTTTTGTATGCCTTGCAAGATGGATTTTCTTGTCCCTTTTTTTTTCAAGCGATTTATTCGATTATCGCTTTGCTTACAGTCTTTCTGAATAGCTGCGGCGTTGGACTATTTGGGAAATTCTTCTCCCATTGCTGTTTCTTGGGGGGGTTTAATAGAGGGGCGGTAATAATGCTTAGACGGTGTTGTTTGTTAGCAGGTAAACACATATATCAATACAACATCTGCACTCTTGTCGTCAGTCATCGTAACTGAGTGAGGAGCTCTGTTTGTTCGTTGTTGATACGCATTGGACCATTGTTGGATTTTCCAAGTCGCAGATGTTGATATCAATACGTACGTGACAATGAGATTGAATCTGGAGGAAGGATCAAGTTATTTGATAATTAACTTTTATCTTTTTTAGAATAACTACACCACCCCTAACCCAACCCTCTCACGTGACGTCCTTGGTCACCACGCGTCATCAGGGCCTAGTTAATCTGTTTGTTCTTATCACTCGGCGCCCCCTCCAACTTGAAGCCTCCAGGCTCCCTTGTCTGAAACACACCAGTCGGATCATACTTGCTCGCAATCTCCAGCAACCTCGCCTTATTCTCCGCACCATAGCTGGCGATAACATCTTGCGTGGGGCCAGCATAGTTCATGTAAATGTAGTCTGTAGCCTTTCCAGCGGCGAGTGCGGCAGCAGAGGCGCGGCGCTTGACTCTCAATGCAAACGCTTCAATGCGCTCGTCGTCGGCGGCGTCGGACCAGCTTAGGTTCATGAGAGCAATGGTTAGAGGGCCGTCGGCCGGGTCCAGGCCGAGCGGGTTACCGCCATTGGAAGTCGTCTTTTGGATGAGTGTGGCGGAGAGGTCCTGGAAGGATATCGACGGGCTTTTGGCGGTGGAGTTGGCGATGCTGGCGACCTCTTCGAAGAAAATGTCCTTGATGGTGCTGATGAGGTTTTGGTCCAGCTTGAAGGTCCAGGTCAGGGATCCTTGACGGAGCCCGTCCGGATCACTGTTTGTCGTTGAGAGCGCGGCAAGCGTCGCGTTTTGTCCGCTGCTCTGGACAATGCTCTTGCTGTCGATTGCATTGTACTGGGCGAGGATAGGGGCGTTGGGGTTTGGTTCAGTGTAGGCCAGATCAAGTTGTGCTGCGTTGCCAAGCTGAGCTCCGCCATAACCAAATGATAGGCCTTGAAATGCCTTTGGGTCTTTTGCCAAGTTGGTGCTAACGCTGTAGAAAGCTTTGATAAGGGCAGGGAAGGCTTCCTCGGTGTAGATTCGTGAGCCTCCAAACAGGAGTGGATTCGCCTGGAAAGCAGCTACAGTGAATTTGGTCACGATACCAAAATTACTGCCGCCGCCTCGAAGAGCCCAGAAGAGGTCGGGATACGAAGTCTTGCTGACGTTGATGATCTCGCCGCTCGCTATAACCACTTCATACGAAATGACATTGTCGCACGCAAGACCGTACTGGCTCGAGTAGTAGGAGAGGCCTAAGGTTGCATATTAGCTCATGTTGAAAATTGTGCTACTGTACTGTAAATCCCTACCTCCACCAAGAGTAAAGCCTCCAACACCAACGGCACCAAACTACGTGACAGTTAGCAGAGTATGATTCACCTTCATGGAGTATGTCTTACACGAGCACCAAGGACTTGAATGTTCTCCTTTTCCAGCTTAGAGTACACTTGGACCCATGTCTGGCCGGGCTCCAATACGACACTCTTCTTATCAGCGGAGACTGTCGTCTTGTTCAACCTCTCAAGACTGATGGTAATGCCATTTTGAATGTTGGACGCTCCTGGCACTACCGAATGTCCACCGCTCTTAGTAGCAATTGGACAACCCGCACGCCTGGCAATGAGGAGAGCAGCGGATACATCTTGGGCTGTATCAGGCTTGAAGACACATCCCGGTGAGAAGCTACTCTGCTGAGCAGCCCAGTACGATTGGATGAAGCTCTTGTAAGCATCGTCAAGCGGGTAGAGGACCTTGTCTTTGCCGTAGTCTCCCCTCAGTGTACCGCACTTGTGAGCAGTTAGCGTAGCCCAACAACAACCGGCTAGTGTTACCTACTGCTAGATAGCAGGGATTAAATGTGTTGGCTCCAATATCTGGCGTACCAGAAGAATTGGTATTGCCGTCATTGACTGGTACCGTTATAAACTTGTCATCGGCCAACGCCAGTGCCACCAGAGCGGCAACTGAAACAATTGACTTCATACTTGCAACACGCGCGCTAAAGCTAAACCTGACGAGTAAACAAAACGACACTAATGCGATAAGGCCAAACAACGTGCAGGATGGCACAGGAAACTGTGGGGCAACAAGGGAAATTCTGCAACGTCCTTGAAATATTGGAAAATTACCACCCTTTTAATGCTTTCTAGAGTATAGCTCTAGTGAAATCACCTGATGGTAAATCTCGGGAACAAGCTTTTGCAGATGCTCGGAGGACGTTGTTTGATTGGGTAGTATAACAAATCAACCTGAAAGGTAAATTAAACCGGTCAGTCTCACATCCAGCTAGCCCTAGATTGGTACACTTCTATGGCCCAAGGTAAGGAGACGTAGGTAGCCGGTTGTTCTGCCGTCATGCTCCAGTGGCCAAGGTGCCCGCAGACCTGGTAATCTCTTCGTATCCGGGAGCAAGAAACGCCAACAAGCATTTGATTCGAAGTTTACATCCACCTGTTGCCGCGAGTCTGAAAGCTTGTTCATACTTCCGTTCTGACCCGGACTCATTCTCGTAGAAATCGGTGAGCCTCTCATTGTTCACTCTCCGATCTTGAATGGTTTAAAATTAGACCCGCATGGTCAGCCCTAACGCGAACAATATTCAAGTGATGACAGAATAATAAGGGTTGGGCATCGGGCCTACTATAACGTAAGCTGAAAGAGAACTCGGAGATGCGAATACATTGGCGTTGTGATGGAATTGTTTCCAACAGGAGGTAGGTAGAGGTAGTGTCATAGGAGATTCGTTGGCTTGGCTAATACAAGTGGAGTCAAGGAAGTAGTAGTAGTAGTAGTAGTAGTAGTAGCAGGGAGTAAGTAGCTCCCTGGTGTGGGTTCTATAAACTCCCACAGCAGAATCGCGGCACGGCCCTACTACTATTTACACCGACCCGGAATCCGCGGCGCAACGCTCGGAGCACCATTAATAAGTACTTATGCAATGAGGTAACTTTGTAAACCTTGTGTTCCTGGCGGTATGCAAGATCCACTCGACATGTAATTATTCACACCTGATCGAGGGGTTCCTGGTGTATAGAATAACCCATATACCGTTATGTACATGATCTTTTCACCTTCCAAGTCGACTAAAATCTTCTATGCAAGAACTAGTACCAAGTTGCTGCCATGTGAGACATGCTCGTTGGAAGTCTCTTGTCTAGGCCCTGAAAATCACTAAATTAATAGAGCACGACAATGTAAGATTGGATTCCTGCTCAAGTCATGTCTCCAAACATCACAGGCTTTCTTCCTCTTGTTTCCACGCCGAGCCCTGCCTGTTACCCGTAAGAGGAACGCATGAGCTTACTGTGCTTCAATCATTGAAATACAAACATTAATTTGCAATCACATACGCTTACACCGCCGTCATCCCAGCCTCCCTCTCCATAACCGCACGAATCAGAGTCTATATCTGTATTCAACGGGCAGTGGGATCCCAAAATTACTTTCTTTGTGCCGCATTCATTCTGTATCTTGCAATGGCGATACGATGCACCGTCATTGTACCAAATAAATTCGCGCTGAGCAGAACGCAATTGCAGAGAGCAAGGGAACGATAGTCACCACGACGTCGGATCAAATCACCGGATACCGAGAACAAACCAATGACAGCGGTGTCACTTTCATGATTCTGTACGAGGTAGATTGGTGACAACAGTAATTACTAAACATGATCATACGGATATCGCTATGTTTTCTTGAACCCTGACCGCATACCGCCCTTGATATACAGGTGGATATACATTACAAAACACCAAAACGCCTCGCTCCTCCAGAGAGCGAACAACATGCCATTACCAGAGTGCAGCATCTTTGTCAAACCGCACCAGCTCCTTGCCTGCATCCTCGACGTCTTTCCTTGCCTTCATGCGCATGTAGAAGATTGGGCAATCTCTTGACGCACAGATGACTTCACAGTGAACACTTCCCTGGCAGCGCTGACATTGCGTCCAAAGACGAGAGAAACGCACCTCGAGCTCACTGACCTTGGTCAAAGTCTTTGTATATAGCTCAGGAATACGAGGTCGACAGTTCTCACAAACTGCACCGTCCTTTTCGTGTGCGGCGGTAAGAGGCTTCTTGCAGCCCATACATGTTTGTGTCTTCTTTGCAAACTTCATGAGACCACCCATGGTGGGTGCAGCGACGGAGATGGATCGTGTGTGTTCACCTGTGAGGAGTGAGGCTGCTTTCTTTTCGCCTAAAATAGGCTCGAAAATTCTGCCCAGCGGTTTTGCGAGTTGGTTGTCGAGATAGTAACGTGTATCGATGGGTAGGTTGTTCTCAAGAACATAAATTGGGTCTTCGGACTTTTCGAAATTCTTTGCGCCAGTGGCAGCCCTGACCATGACATACGCGACACGGTCACCAAGAGCAGGTGCTGAACCAGCGTCACGTTTCTTCATACGCTCCGCGAGTTCCACGTGCGCCTGCTTGTTGGCGTAACCACCTTTGCCGTCCTTGTCTTCCTGTTTTGTAAGGGCTTTGGTGATGACTAGATTGGACATATCGATTTTGTTTTGTAAAAGGTCTGCAATGGTCTCCTTGACGAACCTGCTTCATGTTAGCGTGGAATATGTTTTCCAAAGCTGGCTGACTTACTCTTGTGCACCCTCAGGATCTTGATCGATCAACAACATGCGGAGAGAGGTCTCGATGACAGTTTGAACAAGTCGACAATTGTCACGACGGACCGTCTCGATACCCTTGGTATCCATCTTGTCCCATTTGTTGGGGTTCGTCCAGTAAAGACCAGCATATCGCTTCTTGTTGATGAGGAGATAGGGGAAGTAGACCTTTTCGAACTCCAGCTTGATGGGTTTGAGAAACTTCGATGTCACGTATTTCGCCGCCTCTTCGCCCAGTTTCATTGCTTCTGCTAATTCCGTGGTACCGAACTTGACCATGACCGAATCGGTATCACCGTAGATGACCTCGGCATCGTGCGAGTATCCATTTGCGATATTGTACTTGGCCTCGACTTCAGCTTTGGCTCTTTCAATCATCTGACGACCGAAACTGGTGGTACTACTGGCGATCGCAAGACAGGGCAGCTTTCCGTTGGTGGCACCAGTCAGACCATAGACGGAGTTGGCGGTGACCTTCATAGCCAACTGACGACCGTTGAGCACAGCCTTCTTGAAAGGGTCCGTCTCAACCGCCAATTCCTTCTTTGCTTTCTTACGTGCGCTCAGCAGTTCTTCTAAAATTTCAGTCAAGAGTCCCTTCCGCGTTTTGGCGGTACAGAACATGTCTCCATTAGGAGTCACGATGTAGTCCTCGTCCTTCTTCATCTTGAGCTTCTCCACCGTCTGTCGATCCAGCCACGTCGTGTAACATAGGTTGTGGGCTTGCATGATACTAGGGTATAGTGAAGCAAAATCGAGAGTAGCAACGGGCTCTTTGTAGTAACCACGCTTGGGCTCAATGACAGTCGCACCTTCGTATTGATCGCCGTTGTCGCCTTGGTTTGGAAGGTCCGGAATAACGAGCTGATGCTCGAGAGCCTTACGAAACAACTGACTGATGAAGCGCACTTGTTGTCCTCGAGAGAGAATGTAATTGAAAGGAACACCTGTAGCCCTAGCCATCTCCGTATAGTTGACCAGACACATAAGCTTGTCGAGAAGACGTTGAGGGAGATAGGCATCCTTGAGACAGTATACAGCCAAACGTCTTCGCGAGTTGGAGTCACCGTTGAACAGTTCTGTAATCATGCTATGGTGTACATCCTCTTTTTGTTCTTTCAGGAAATGAGCGCATACAGAGTTGAGTGTGTAACTTCGAAGCTGATGGTCCCTTTGGACCAGCTGAAGCAAGTCGAGTTGGAGACGACCGTTGGTGTTGGTGGTTTTAGTGTCCCTAGACCCCATTTGCTTGCTAGAGAAGTTGGATGTTTCCACCTTTGACTGAACCGTCTTGAGACGTGACCAATAAGGAAACTTTTGGAGTTTCAGATGCTTGGCGCGATCGAGCAAATATGGGAAATCGAAGTTACTGGTGTTGTAGCCAATGATGACATCTGGGTCGACCTCGTCAAGAAAGTCGCGCCACTTCATCAGCATATCGCCCTCGTCCTGAAAGGACAGAATCTGTGTTGCAACGATGGGGCTGACTGTGTCTAGACAGAAGACGTTCCTAACAAAGGGCTTGTCATCTCCATATTTTGTAACAACGTTCGCAATCTGAATCACAGGGTCTACATTTGCCTCTGGGAAGACACCTTTGCGGCCAGCGCACTCGATATCGAAGGAGAGGATGCGAAGAGGGGCAATTTTTGCCCACTCGCCTTCAGCTTGGTGAGCGATAAGGTCTTCATAATGTACCTGACCCTCAATCTGGCAGTTGGAGTGCCGGTCTCGTGCATTGATCATCTTCCACTTGGCGGCAGGGGCTTCGACCCAGCACATGCCGGTGACCTTTGTGTCAATCATGAATCGTAATACATAGGCGATGTTGTCAAATGTGAGGATACCATCCTCTCTGGCCGGCCAGAGTCGCTTGTAGTTGGCATTGCCCTTCTGTACCATCATGCGTACGCGGTTGATCAACTTGGGGTCGGTGACGGTGATCTTGAGGTATGGGCTCTTTTGGTTGCCCTGGAAGCGTAGAATGTTTTCTCTCATGCACATTTTCACTGATGCTATGACGGCGGAGTGTTGATTGAAACTCTTTTGACATTCGGCTTCGAGGAAGATTTTGTAGGGCTCGCAGTCGGCCTGTTGGAAGTTGACGGGGGCAGCGACGTAGAAGTAGTGTTGGAATCCAGTTACGTGGAGGAGGACGGAGTGACCAGTCTGTGATGTACTTGTTAACATTGCTTGATTTATGTATCTGGCGGCTTCTTACCTCTGTCACGCCGAACAGTTTGACCGTGGTTTTGCCTCCATGGAGCACGCCTTCTTCAGCCTCAATTTGCTGGAACACGAGGTTGTTGGTCAACTCGCTGAATTCATGAGGCAATGGCGGCCGTCGCCATTGCTGGTCCTTTTCGGTGTTCTCCTTCTGGAGGGTCTCCATATCCTGTGTCATTTTCTCCAATGTCTCCTCAAACTGACTGGGGCCTGGCTGGCTCGAGTTAAACGAATCGTTGGCCATCCTTCCGGGTGCCTTGCTCTTGTTCTTGCCATCCTGGAACTTCAACTTCTTTGTGGAGCGGGGCGATGTCTGTACATTGGTGCGCGTATTAGACGTCTCGGCGAGAGCGCGTTTCGCCGGCGCTCTTGTTACTGTACCCGGCATCTTTGTATATGACCAACAGACACAACACCCGAAAGAGCGGTATATGGCAGTTTGAAAAAAGAGGGTATGTTTGTTGTTGGGTCTGGTCGGGTTGAATGGTTGCGCAAAGTGCCTAGGGGAACGCGAACCGTGTGCGAGGCGCGAGCGCGTCATCCCTGCTAATTGATTGCCGCCACGCTAGTCATTGCCTTCTACCGTCTGCACGTGATGACAGGCCTCTTGTCATCTTGACCAACTGCTACATTTCTCAATCGATGTTCCAGCACCCTACAGGTTAATTGGCAGACATAGTAACCGTATCAGAACACCTGTACTGAAATTTCGGTGTTTCCCATAGTTGTTTTTCATACATCTAATTGAGCTGCTAACCATGACCATGGACGTCAGATAGTAGTGGGTTTGTATGGTTGAACTTTGGATGCTTTCAACCATGTTCACAGCAGATTGATTGTGTGTTTCGACATCCGCAGCGTCCGTTTGGCATCTTCTGGACTTCAAGACACCCTGCCAAGCTTCCCCGCTGGGTGCGGACGTGACCCGCGGCTTTAAGTTAGTATGTCATTAGATCCCAGCTTGATTTTGGTTTCTCCATCTGCCGACTCGAAAATACGTAAAAAAGTATCGTTGCTTTCAACACACTGGATCCAACGCAATACGACAGACACAATCTTTGCACTGCCCTCAACATGACTTCCAACACTAATGACGTTGTCATATCTCCCTTCGAGACCGAAAAAGATTTCAAGCAGGCACAACATTGTGTGTCCGAAGCTTTTGGGCGTCAAGCAAAAGACTCCATCTGGATGCTGATGAATCCTGGGTGGGACACAGAAGAAGGACAAGCAAAACACGCCAAAGGATTAATGGAGAAATGGCAGTCTGTCACCACCAACAAGGATGGACAGCCTAATGCCATCTATCTAAAGGCTACCCTTCCCGACCCAAATGAACCTGGAGAGAGACGAGTTGTTGGTATGGCTATCTGGAGGCAACTGTCATTTGTAGAAGGCTACGGTGATCCTTTCTCAGACGACGTGAGTGCATCCCTTACCAACTTCGACGAAACGAAACGACGATTTGCAACTCAAATGTTGCGCTCGCTTTGGAAGCGCCGTATTGCATACATGCACGAAGTCAAGGAGTCAGGACGCAACCCGCCTGCCATTTTTACCCTAGATATATGTGCCGTCGATCCAGCCTACCAACGCCGCGGCATTGCTTCGAAGCTTGTTGAAGTCGGTCTTGCTGAAGCGAAGAAGAGAGGCGATCTGGAGTGTACAACTGAGGGCAGTGCTATGGGAAGAGCAGTGTACCAGAGACTAGGATTCAAGGACGAGGGGACTGGCGATATTCAGTATGAGGTGGACGAAGAGTTCAAAACATGGGACAAGCCAGCGAACCTCTTCTTGAGGACTCGCGCTTGATAGGATGGCCGCATGCTGTTGAGTGCTGCTTCGAATGAAAGATTGGAAACCCCCTTTGTAGATACGTACACATTTTGGCTTATCACGACATCCCAAAATGACCAATTCTCCTACGGCCATCTCCGTCAACAGCATAAAAAGTGACTCCATCGTTCCTTGCCTTTTGGGGAAGGTGGGATGGTCGGCGCTTTGTAGTGGGGCAACCCAAAGCTACCCCGCCAGGGTCAAATGTCCAGCGCTATCTCGAATGCAAGATGATGAATTAGTCCAAAACTTCACTTACTTTTTTCTTCTTGTTCTACACGAAAAAGCGATTGCGCACCCACTGCCTTCCAGGACATTGACGCATACAAACACGTTTCTGAGCGCCAACATGCCGATTGTTGACATTCACACCCATGTTTACCCCCCTAAATACATGGAACTTCTGCGCTCACGCTCAACCGTTCCATATGTTCGCACATTCCCAGACGCCCCGGATTCTGCCCGTTTGATCATCCTACCAGGCGAAGATGACCCCTCAATGCCGTCCACCTCGCGCGGTCGCCCAATTGGCCAAGAGTACTACGAGATCAAGGAGAAGATAGCATTTATGGACCTCCACAAGATTGACAAGTCAGTCATTTCACTGGCGAACCCATGGTTGGACTTTTTACCTGCTGAAGAGGCGGGAGAGGCGGCCAAGAAGATAAATGACGACGTCAACGACCAATGCTCGCAATATCCCGGACGATTGTACTTCTTCGGCACACTTCCACTATCTGCCTCACCCGAGGTTATAACTGCCGAGATTGAGAGATTGAGTACCCTTAAGTACGCCAGGGGTGTTATCATGGGTACATCGGGTCTGGGACAGGGACTGGACGATGCGAAGCTTGACCCAGTCTATGCAGCGCTTGAGAAGCACCAGCAACTTATCTTCCTGCACCCCCACTACGGTCTTCCTGCTTCAGTCTACGGTCCCCGTGCGAGCGAATACGGCCATGTGCTACCATTAGCACTTGGGTTCCCCCTTGAAACCACAATTGCAGTGAGCAGAATGCTCTTGAGCGGAGTCTGGGACCGGTTCACAAAGCTCAGCGTATTGCTTGCGCATTCAGGAGGTACATTGCCATTTTTGGCTGGAAGGATTGAGTCGTGTATCTTGCATGATGGGCATTTGAAGAAACATGGCAAGACACAGAATAGGAGAGACGTGTGGGACATACTGAAGACCAACATCTACCTTGATGCAGTAATCTACTCTGAAGTGGGATTGAAGGCGGCACTAGATGCGTCGGGATCAGACAGGCTGTTGTTTGGTAAGTGGCTAAATTGGGGTATTTCTTGGGTGCGAGACTGATTGTGACTAGGTACTGATCACCCATTCTTCCCACCGCTGGAAGAAGATGCAAAGGAGTGGCATAGCGTCAATGCGAATTACGGCGCTATATCGAAGGCGTTTGCAACGGATGACAAGAAAGCTCAAGATGTGCTGGGCGGCAACGCAGTCAGGATACTGCGGCTTGACTGATAATTCCAGTATTTCCAATGATTTACAGTGGAACTTCTCACGCGAGAGCCACGAGATACCTGGTCCACAAATACATTCAACTATTGTAAACAAATAAAAACACGGACCCTGATCAATATCCGGGGTTCGGCTCATAATGCTCCAAGCTATGATCGAACCTGGTTGACTACACATACATTGCGATAGACAAGAGAGAGCCTATATCTATACTTCTACTACCAGCTTAATCACAGCATATCCAACTACCCTCATGCCGTCTTCACCTCAGCAGTCTCCACCAACTCGTCAAACAACATCTTCATCCACTTCTCCTCACTCTTGGTCGTTGCACTAACAACCCGAATTACATACCTCCCCCCAATTACCGTACTTGTTAAAAAGAAATCTCCCTTGTTATTCACCCTCTCATACACCTCCTTTGTCCGCTGATTCACCATCTCAGCATACTGTGCTTCAGCATCGCCCTGGAACCCATTCTGCAGCGCCCCATGGCTGGGATCCGGCCGATTCGCCGCCACACCCACATCGCCATCTTGCCGAGTCACAGCCTTGGGTTTAATCTGAAAAGTCACAAGCCCAAACGCTGCCTCAGTCTCCACCCTAAAAAGATCCTTGCGTTGCTCGAGCAAATTCTGGAAATACACGCCCAACTCAACATGCTTGCGTATGAACGCCCTCAGGCCCGATACTCCGTAGCTCCGGAGTACAAACCACACCTTCAAGCTACGAAAGCGGCGGCCTAGCGGAATCTGCCAGTCGCGGTAATCCGTCACAAGACCCTGATCCGAGTGCGGATTGCGCAGGTAACTCGGGGTGATGGAATACGTATCCATAAGATCCTTCCTCTTCTTGATAAAGAAAGCAGAGCAATCAAAGTTCACAAGCAGCCACTTGTGCAGATTGAAATTGAACGAGTCAAACGATGCGATTGGGGGGCACAGATGCTGGTATTCAGGGCAGACGAGCGCGGAGCCGGCATATGCGGCGTCGACGTGGATCCAGAGATTGGGGTACTCCTGTGCGAGCTGTGCGATGCCGGCGAGATCGTCGATGGCGCAGGTCCCCGTGCTGCCAAGGGTGATGGTGAAGTAGAATGGTTCGAGGCCTTTTGCGCGGCAGGCTTCGATTGTGCTGCGGAGCGCGGCAGCGGTGACACTGTAGTTTGATTCTCTAGGTGCAGGAACGGTGCGGAACCGTGTTCCTGCAATGATTGCTGCCTTTTGGGTTGAGGAGTGCGCGTGTTCGGAGCCCAGGGCTACGAGTTTGCTGCGTATATCTGCTGCAGCGTCGAGTCTTTCTTCGCCTTCGGGCATGTCGCCTAGTTTGCGGCGGATGATGCGTTCGCGGGCGGCGACGAGCGCGGTGAGGACGACTTCGCTGGCGGTGCCTTGGATGATGCCTCCGCCTTCGCCGTCGCTGAGAAAGTCACTGGGTAGGGCGATGAGCTTGGCGACCCAGTCCATGACGACGGTTTCGAGCTCCGTGATGGCGGGCGAGCAGACCCAGTTGAAGGCTGCGGCGTTGAAGGCTCCGCTGTACATTTCACCCAGCATGGCTTCGAAGGAGGAGTTGCAGGGGAAAAAGGCCATGAATTTGGGGGATTGCCAGTGCGTGAGACCAGGCATGATTACGCGGTCGATGTCTGCTTGGATGGTTTCCCATGGCTCGCCTTCTTCTGGGGTTGAGGATGGGAGGAGAGGGCGGAGATAACCTGGCTTGACAGCGGGCAGGACTGGTCGTTCCCCTACTGTGTCATAGTATTGTGCAACTAATTGATGTCAACCAGGGCTGTAGGGGAAGATTGATATGCGTACTTTCGTCAATGGCTCCTTTCGCCGCCTTTCGGAACTGTGAGGAATCCATCGTGGGGTAGACTGGACGGTCTGATCAAATATGACAATGGAAGCAGAGAAACGACAACAGAAAAAGACTGGAATGCCGCTTCTTATATCTAGAAGTGTTTACCAGGCATGGGTTAGAGAGTTTGTGGGGAATCCCGCCAACATGTGGATATCAGTCAATTAGTGATGTGAAGCACTCAAATGCCGATGTCGGTAATTCCGCGCTAATTACCACAAGAGGCTAAAACCTCGAAAGACGGAATTATAGCCACATGTAAGATGGGCGTAGGGCGTACAACTAGGCCCTATGTGTGAGTTCATGCTCTAGGCTCCAGTTGTTGTACCAAATGAACGACATGGCTATGAGTGCCAGTTTGTATGTTCAGCAAAAAAGATCCTCAAGGTAATAGCAAGAGAGCGTGAAATACGTAGCTGCTCTGGATGATCGCATGCGGATTTTCGCAAGTATCAAAAATGATATTTGGGTATACCTATGCGCCTTGCTGAAACTAACATTTTGCAACTGTTCCCACTAGTCTTCATCGTTACACTATTAATATCGTTTGCCAACTTCGACACCAAGGTTTTCGTCCGGATTCGCAAAGCCACGTGCCCGAGGCGTAGACTTGCCAGTCACATCTTGAGGAGCTTCGCCCTTGTAGTCCCATCCGCCATCTTGGGTGAAGAAGTCAACTTCGTCAATGATATCCCAGACAATGTCTTCAGCAATCTGCTCCTTGTACCGTTCACCAATAGCACGGAGTCTGCGACCCTCTGGGACGCGTTGCTCGACTGTCTCTCCATTTGCCATCTGTGTATCTTGCTCTCGCTGCTTGACTATCTCTTCTGGCGGACACCAAAAGTCCGGCCCGAAGTTGACCTGAGCGACACCCCCGTTGAACAGTGAAATTGCTGGGAAGTAACCTACCATGCCATCGTCGAAGCCCGGGCGCGCACCAGCCTTGATTGCCTCGACCGATGGCATACTTGCTGGGGGAAGGAAAGCTAGAAGATTCTCAAACGCAATACCCACTTCCTGTCCGTTCTTGTAGACTTTAATGTGTGAATGTGGCAGCGATCGCACACTGACATCTTCATGGTTTGGCGAAGGGTGTATCTTTGGTACGGGACCACGGTCGTGATAGGCTTCAACCATCTTGGTAACCTGGTAGTCCAACTGCTCAAAGTAGAAGTTGCCTTTGTAGGGCACTGGTATACGATCACGGATGATGTCGATAGGCCGGTCGAATGGGTCTTGATTGCTGACAGTATCGAAGCCGTCTCCTAGATCTACGGCCGGGTTATAGATGCCCTCAACAACTTTGCGGTGCATAGATATGGAGGGTAGTTGGATTTCGAGGCCAATGACGTCGCCTTCTTGAACATGCTGATCTACAACATACTCGACAGGCATAGGCTTTCCGTGGGGTGGCCTAGCCTTCATGTGCTTGCTCTTGGCATTCTTTGGCAGTGGCTTGAAGATCTTAGAGGCGCGCGATCGGTGTTGGGCCTCGAAGCGTGCATCAGTGATGCCATAGCTGTAGCCATCGAAACCAACAGGTGCGTCAAGAGGCGCCTCTCTCCGTGCCCAACCCATACGCACATGTGGGCCAGGCTTGGTCTCGCCGGTGTTTGGGTCAATGGGATCTTTGGGGCCATGCTCAGGTATGCCGCGCAAGACCTTGACCTCGTAGTATATTCGGCCTTCTCTTGCAACTACATTGCCTCTGCCCATGCGCCAGCCTTTTTCTTGGGAAACAATGGTAGCGCTGTTATCGAAGTGGAACCACCGGTCACAGTCCTCATGGCTCATCCTTGGCCCGTACGGCCTGGAGTCGCTCTGGCGGTAGTACTGCTTGTGACGAAAGAGCGGATCGGCAACACAGTGCGTGTACTTGTAGCCCCTCTTGTTCCAAGCGATATCGTGTGGTTTTTTGAGCTCCGTTACTCCGTCTGGCGCATACATGGGATTCGGCTCGTGAGAGAGCAGAGTGCTGTCCTTGGGGGCTTCATAGTCGGATGGCCTGGGTTCAGGAATCGAATATCTCATAGGTGAATCGGCTGTCGACCGCTCTTTCTTAGATTTTGTACTAGTATTGGCATTTGGGGTGCTCTGACGCGCCGAAGCCGAAGCCTCACGCTTCTTGATCGTCTCGCGCTTCTCTCGCTGCTCGCGTGCCGGCGCCTTTGGTCTTTGACGCGCCGCAGCATCGGGGTTGGGGTTGAGGGGGGACGAGACGGCGGGCGCATTGTCTCCCTCAATCGGGCGCCGCATTGGGGGCACGAGTGTGGGAGTGTTTGAGCGTGAGGGAGGGTGTGAGTCGGCCATGGTGGAAACTATTTAGAGTCGCAATTGCGGTGTCGTCAATCCAAGTCGCGACCATGGGCGAGTGGAGACGTGCAGCTCCTACGGCGGGCCGTTTAGACGCAAAAGTCGAACCCCCACCAAATTTTTGGTTCCGCCGCCGCTGCAACTTTTCTAAATTTCTACGAGTCGACTTGCCAATAGCACGCCGAGTAGTATTCCGCAACTCTGCAAAGGCCCTAGTCTCTCTTACAGCGGTCTCCTTTGAGAATCCCTAAAATCGACCCATCATGCCGAAAGCACCCAAGTCCCCCGGTGTGCGCGACCAGCGACACAACCCTCTAGCCGAGGAATATGCGCCCTCAGACCCGTGGAAGAACAAGGCGCAAAAGCGACAAAAGCGCGGCAAGGGTGACAAGGACGACGAGGAGGAGCAGAAATATGTAGACTCCAAGAGCTCGCGCAAAATCTTGGAGATTGGCCGAGAGCTGGAAGAGGAGGATGCACGAGAAACCAAGGCCAAGAGACCGCAAGAGGCCAACCCTGCCTTCGACTTCGAGACGCGCATGGGGGAGGATGACATGATTGAGGAAGATGTAGCACACGCAGAGGACGACGACGAAGCGTGGGGCGACGACGATGAGGAGGTCGAGGAGGTCGAGATTGATGCAAATGACTTGGCGGCATGGAACAAATTCATCCCAACCGACGATAACCCAATTGTATGGCCCGGGGAAGAAGCACAACCTTCAGGGCCAGGAACAGATCTAGCTGCACTCATTCTAGAGAAGATTGCCGCACACGAGGCCGGAGGCGAAGTGCAACACCCTGAAATTCAAGGCGGTGGTGCTCCAGAAGACGCCATTGAACTACCCGCCAAGGTTGTGGAAGGTACGATAATACGATCTACATTCTTTACCCCACTGCTAAATATACACAGTATACTCCAAGATCGGCCTCATCCTGAGCCGTTACAAGAGCGGCAAGCTACCCAAGCCCTTCAAGATCCTCCCCACAATCCCCGCCTGGGAAACTCTCGTTGCCATCACACGTCCCGATGACTGGACCCCCAACGCAACCTACGCAGCAACCCGAATCTTCATCTCCGCAAAGCCTCAAACGGCCCAAATCTTTCTCAACACCATCCTCCTGCCACTCGTCCAACAAAACATCCGCGAAACCCACAAGCTAAACGTGCACCTCTACAATGCTCTCAAGAAAGCACTCTACAAGCCCTCCGCCTTCTTCAAGGGCATTGTCTTCCCCATGCTCACAGACATTTCCTGCACGCAACGCGACGCCGTCATTGTCGCCTCCGTCGTTGCCAAAATCTCCGTCCCCGTCCTGCACTCGGCCGCCGCCCTGCACCGCCTCTGCGAAATCGCCGCCGAGCAAATGTCATCGGACCCCGATGCCGCAGGCCCCTGCAACATCTTCATCAAAACGCTCCTCGAAAAGAAATACGCGCTCCCTTACAAAGTCATCGACGCCCTCGTCTTCCACTTCTTGCGCTTTCGCGGTGTAGGTGCCAGCAGCGCTGATGCCATGGATACGGAATCCGTAGCTGGCGACTTGGGTAACACAGGCAAGTTGCCGGTGATTTGGCATCAGTGTTTGCTGGCGTTTGCGCAGAGGTACAGGAACGACATCACTGAGGATCAGAGGGAGGCGCTGCTGGATTTGCTGCTTACGAGGGGTCACAAGAGCATTAGTGCGGAAGTGAGGAGGGAGTTGCTGCAGGGCAGGGGGAGGGGCGTCATGATTGAGCAGCCAAGTGTCGGGGTCGATGGAGATGATACTATGATGGGGGTTGATGCGTAGATGTCTCGCATGTTCTCTTTGTCTATTGTCTGGGGGATTTAACGACCATTTCATGAGCATTTTTATGGCGTTTTATGGGGTTCAAGGAAAAAGGGTCTTCTGCGGAAGCTTAACATATTACTATTTCCCTTCCCTGGGGGAAAGGGTTCTTTTGAACAATGGATGTTTTTTGTATTTGTATTGCCTTATTCTGTCTTGATGTCCGCCATGCTCTTGTAAAAAGCGACATAGCCCTTGATCTTATTCATGTTCTCGCGCGGCTCTGGGTAGTACCATGCTGCGTCCTTGACTTCGGTCTTGTTGGTCGTGATGGTGTAGTAGCTTGCCTCGCCCTTGTAAGGGCAGTGCGTTTTTGTGCTTGTAGGGGTGAAATGGGATTGCTTTATCGAGTCTGGTGGAAACTATTGGCGGGCAATTTGTTAGTTTCGGTCGATGACGCAGGAGGCCAGACTAATGGTGAGAAAGGAGAGGGAGACGGACATAGATGTTTCCGTCAACGACTTCGTACGAGTCTGTTTCGGCGACGAGAACGCCATTTACGGTTGCGGTTGCGTGGGGCATGGTGAGGGGTTTGTGCTTGAGAGATTCAAAGAGAGATATTGGTGTAAGACAATTTCACAGTAAGATAGTTGTGAATTTATATGTTACTGGGACCTATTGCTTTTGCTTGACATCCGCAGCGTCCGCTACATGTGTTGTATTATGAATCTGGGGCCTAAACTACATTGAGTAGTCTGCGAGCGGGGGTAGAGGGATGGTCATCGTCATCATTTCCAGCATCCTTGCTTGGCGTCTCTCAGCTTATAGCTACATACATGTGCGTACATGTTGGTTTGTTGAGACGTGATTCAAGGTAGAATCCATCGAGTACGTTTACCCATGGTACATGTATTGCTTGTGCTCGTTAGTGGTGCCAAGAGCGATGCACTTGTACTTAAGTACCGCGTCTTGAACGCGTTGCAAATGTACCACCGGTAAATTTATTGAAGGAATCGCATTGAAAAGGAATGGCAGACCCCACTGGCGGCCAGGGGACAATGACCGTAGCCCACAAAATTCTTGCTTCGTTTGGGCCCACCTTACGGAATGCAGGGCGTTGAGGCTGACGGAGACAGCGCAGCCGCCGAGGACACAGTCCAACCCTACCCTTTCCGGTGGGAAATGCTGCTCGGCAATCTGCCACCGGGCCAGCGGAGTCGCACGAGATGGCGCGCTGAACAAAACATGCGAAAAGGAAATGCTGGGTGGCTTGTGGCCATGGAAGATTTCGGGTTGATCAAAGTTGCCTTTGGGGAGAGGGGAGAAGGCCGGCGGCGGGACGCAAGCGAGACCGGATCCGCAGGCTCGATTCGACTGCAAAGAACGCGGGATTAGGGATGGGATGCGATGAGGAGCGAAAACAATTCTCAGGGCCTAGAAGCAGCAATTGTTTGCGCGGGAGGGTGGGTGTACGAATGCGTGGGCGCGGCCAGCAAATGATGTGATTGGGACGACAGGCTTATCTTTTGGCGCACAAGCAAAGGGCCAGTGCGAGGCGACTCGGTACGCCGCTCGTTCGTCATCGCTAAGAAAAAGTTGACTCCCAGGGCACCACAAGTCATTATCATCAGCGCCTTGCCCGCCTCCCTCGCCCTCCGCCGCCCTTTCTTCACTCTTCATCCTCTTCTCATTCTGCAATTGACTCTGTGGCCTCTTGCCACGGTCTCTCTGCTTTTCCCAATGGCGCCCGCAATGAGACCCCTCGCCGCTGCCAATGTGCTGTCGCAGGTCCAGCAGGCCGGACGCAGGGCCTTCACCACCAACCGCCCGTCACTCATCGCCAGCAGAGCGCGATGGACTCCCCGCCCTACCCAGAACCAGATTGTCCTGCGCCAGTCTGTCCGCCAACAGTCAACTGGAAGCGCCCCCAAGCCCAAGCGGTTCCGCCTCCTGCGCTGGTCGTATCGCCTCACCCAGCTCTCCGCCATTGCCGGCCTGGCATACATTGGATACGGCATTTACGAGACTCGCAATCCCGCTGACCAGCCACCGCCCGACCCCAACAAGAAGACTCTTGTCGTCCTTGGTGAGTGGCTTGACAGTCTAACACCATTTGTGCAGCGAGCATCTGACTGACCATGCGGAACAGGCACCGGCTGGGGCTCCGTTTCCCTGCTCAAGAAACTCGACACGGAAAACTACAATGTCGTTGTCGTCTCGCCCCGAAACTACTTCCTCTTCACTCCGCTCCTCCCTTCCTGCACCGTCGGCACCATTGAGCACCGCTCCATTATGGAGCCCATCCGCAACTTCCTGCGCCACAAGAAGGCCCAGGTCAAGTACTACGAGGCGGAGGCCACCAAGATTGACTACGAGAAGAAGGTCGTCTACATCAGCGACGACTCGGACATCAAGGGTGATGTCTCCAAGACCGAGGTTCCCTTTGACATGCTGGTTGTTGGTGTCGGTGCTGAGAACGCCACTTTCGGTACGCTGGTTGCTGTGTCAAGTCTGACTATTGGCTAACAATTGACTTAGGTATTCCCGGTGTCAAGGAGCACGGTCTTTTCTTGAAGGAGGTTGGTGATGCCCAGCGCATTCGAAACCGTATCATGGATTGCTGCGAGACGGCTACGTTCAAGGACCAGTCTGAGGAGGAGAAGAAGCGTCTGCTTCACATGGTCGTTGTCGGTGGTGGTCCTACCGGTGTCGAGTTTGCCGGAGAACTCCAGGACTTCTTCCACTCGGATCTGAAGAAGTGGCTGCCAGAGATCCAGGATAACTTCAAGGTTACCCTGGTCGAGGCGCTTCCCAACGTCCTTCCCATGTTCTCCAAGCAGCTCATCGACTACACGGAGAAGACATTCAAGGAGGAGACCATCGATATCCGCACAAAGACCATGGTCAAGAACGTAACGGACAAGTACATTGAGGCCGAGTCGACTGGCCCTGATGGCAGGAAGCAGCTCGAGAGAATTCCTTACGGTCTCCTTGTCTGGGCCACCGGAAACGCTCTCCGTCCCATTGTCAAGGACTTGATCAACCAGATTCCTGCTCAAAAAGACTCGCGCCGTGGTCTTGCCGTCAACGAGTACCTCGTTGTCAAGGGTACCGAGAACGTTTGGGCCGTCGGTGACTGCGCTGTCGCCAACTACGCCCCAACCGCTCAGGTTGCCGCCCAAGAGGGTGCTTTCCTTGCCCGCATGTTCAACAACATGGCCAAGACTGCCGAAATCGAGGGTCAGCTTGCTGAGCTCTCGATTGCCCAAGAAAAGGCTCCCGGCAAGGAGGCCCGCGACAAGGTCTTTGGCGAGATCAAGGCTCTACAGCAAAGACTGAGGAGAATTAAGTCGATTGGCCCCTTCGAGTACTCTCACCAGGGTTCGCTCGCCTACATTGGCTCGGAGAAGGCCGTCGCTGATATCTCATGGTTCGCGGGCAACATTGCGTCTGGCGGTACCATTACCTACATTTTCTGGCGCTCTGCCTACCTCAGCATGTGCTTCAGTACCCGTAACAGGATATTGGTCATGCTTGACTGGGCAAAGGCCAAGATCTTCGGCCGTGACGTCTCGCGTGTCTAGAGCTGCTGAGCGGTCTAACGTCGAAACGTCGTTATTTTCTCTTTTTTCCTCTCTGGCACAAAAAAAAAGGCAGGGTTGCCATGCTGTATAGACACATTCACACACACATATCCCCCTCCCGGCTTCCTCTGTACGATTACAACTAGTCATGTCTTTGTATAAGGGTGTGATACCTAGGTAGTAGTGGCGGGCTTTCCGGGGTGTCTCTCTGGGTTCTGGCTGCTTAGACAAATTACCGTTTTTCTTCTTCTTCATCTGTCATGTTTTGCTTGATCTCGGCGTTTTCCTCTTTCCCTTCTTGACTCTATTCCGTCCAGGATTCTTTTCTTCTCTTTCTGGTTAGCGCCTCTGTAGTTGTAGTTTTAGATGTGGTCGTTATCGAAATGATAGAGTATCCTCTTTTTCATTTTCACCAGAGCAGTTGCTGAGTGACTGTGAAGACGGACTTTACAATTTGATGTAAATGCACAAATGCAGATGCTGTTCTTCTATAAATAAACCGCGATATCATGCCAAGTCATTTCCCGTGTAAATGGTAGCCCATCCAAAAAAAAACGCCTACAAATAGATGCATGTATGCAAGATAACAAAATGCCTCTAAAGATGAAAGGAAACCTGCAAGTCGAGCATCATGTAAAATGCTAGACACACGCAAAAAAAAAAGAAGAAACCATAAAAACAATGCTTAGTACTCCAACAAATCAAGCGTATACTCATCTCTACCTGGGACTCCCCACGGCCCCATAACTCCTCGGACTAGCATGCCTACTGGTCCCCAGCAATGCCCTAGCCTCATCCAACGCATTTCCTCGCCCTTTAATCGGAATACTCTGACTGCTACTTGCGGCACTGCCCACACTACCCGCAGGACTAGTATCACGCGGCGAATCCATCGGGGTAACCGCACGACTGACATTGGGGGTAGCCGCGACGCTAACAGCAGGCGCCCAACCCCTCATCCAGCCACTGACCCTGCGCCAATGCAGACTCTTGCGAACAAGCTTGCCATTCTCATCGACCGTAATGACGACCTCGTCGTCGCGGGGAAACTGCAATCTGCCACGTGGCAGCACGTCATCGCCGAAGAACCAGAACTGGAGGCCTACGGCTGCATCCATGAGGAGGACGCCTGCGGCACCGAGGAAAAAAGGTGAGGCACGTAGAATCCAGCTCTCGCGGTTGCTGCCTTCGGGGCCGACCCAGCCGGCGCCTTGGCCGGGTGCGAAATCGCGCCAGGCGCAGGGGTTTGTGGCGAGGGAGGAGGAGTAGAAGAGGTTGCCGAAGAAGGCGGCGGCGAAGAGGGCGGGCGAGAGGCCTGCTGTGGATTTGCGGACTTGGTTCATGTAGAGTTGGGGAAGCCGGGAGCCGAGGTAGAGGAAGGTGCTCATCCAGGAGAAGATTTTGCCGGCCAGGGCGGCGTTGTCGGTGGACATGGTGGTGATGGTAGTGGTGGCGGTAGTTGTGTGGGAGATGCTGCGGGGGCGGGCGAGACCGGGAGCAAAAGGGGAGATTGGCTTTGCGATTGTAGGGTTTGTGAGGACGGCGATGAGGAGGGTTATGTAGATGATTGTTTTTGGGGAGGGCATGGGTGGGCTGGAGGCTGCTACGCGGCGGATATGTGGGTTTGGAGATGCGCTGGAGGGAGGAGTGCCTTGCCATGATTCTTTGGCTGGGTTCGGGGACCGCGCAAAGTTGGGGATCCTGAACACGTCCTTTTGGCCTGACTGTGGTACGTCCTTTGGCGTACTCCCCTTGGTGTTATCCTTTTTGTCTACTGTATTCGCTGGCTTGCCTATGCCCATGCCTTCCAGAACTTGGTGCATGGAACCACCTGCTCCTGGATTGCTACTTGGAGAACTGCTCCATCGCCCCCAGATGGGGCGTAAGGGTCGTCCATGGTGTAGCATCTCATACCACACCCACTGCCCGCACAGGCAGCAGTCTACGAAAACATAGTATGCCGCAATGATGATCTGCCAAGATGCCTGCCCTGTAAACAGGCACCCCAGCAGATTTGTCAAATCACCCAGGAGCCATTCCGTCAGGAAAAAGGCACTCAACCCCGAAGTTGACTTGAGCTTGTGGTTCTTATATATCTGCGGTAACTGTGCGAACAGCCACGATACAATACTGCATGTGCCGAGGAGCGTCGAGATAAGCGCGAGATTCGTAGGTATGCATGTATGGAATGTAGCTGAGAGGTGGTACAGGAACGCGTTGGCAGGTTCGCAGCTCGGTGGTAACGAGGGCTTCGCTATATGCAAGGGAGATAGGTAGGGTGGCATGGTGCCATAGACGGATGGCGGAATTTGGCGAAGGGCGCGGTGCAGAGTTCTTAGGCTACAGGTCCTGTATCTAGGATTTGGGACGCGTTTCCCGGTCTGTTCTTCCTTTTGTACTTGCTTCTTCTTATTGTTCGCGCCTCGGCAGCGGGGGCGGAATGGTCAAAGGCTGGATTCAGCGCGCAGATGCAACCAGCGACAAGTAGTCACAAATGCCCAGAAGAATATGCAACTCTAAACTCTCGCGACTCGCCTAATGAAGTCGTCCGTCTCCAGTCGGTGTTCCAGTGCTCGGCGCGGTGACGTCGTTGGGTCCGACGGGCTGCTGATAAGACGCGAGAGGTGCTTTACGGGAGCAAAACGAAGCACAGCAATTGTTGCAAAACGTGGAACGGAATAGAGAGCACGAGGACGGAGAGATAAGAGAGGCCAATGTCCAGGACAAGGGGAGGCTGTAACAGTCATCCGTGGCCCACTCGGGCTCATCAAGAGCCCTTTGCCTCCAAGTGCGCATCCCCGGCAGGCTCGCATGACTGACGCCGGGGGTAAGAATAGGACAAGCGTCGTTGGCTGCGGCTGGGCCAGGCGGAAGGGATACGACGGAGGCGCCAGGAGAGGTGTGACTTGAACGGGTGCAGTGTCATGAGTGAAAGATAAGCCTTATCTCCACCCACCTCGGGGCCCTGGAGGCGGCCGGGGGTGGGCACGCGATCTCAGCTCGCCTGGGCTTGCCTGTTGCCGCTTGCCGCTTGCCGCTTGCCTGCCGCCGCTCGCGGGGGCTTGGCCGTGGATCTGATCTGATCCCCCAGCCCACTCCAGCCCCGCGACGTCCTGAATGGCTCTTACTCGGCCACCTTTGCGACTTTGAGCTGCATCCTCGCATCCCACCGAGATATCAACAGACGATCGACGGGGTCCATGGCCGCAGTAGCCCGGACATGGCCTGCGGCTCCTCCGCCATCGGCCCCATGGCGCCCCCGTCTACTAATAAACACCACTAAGACCCCCCCCCCCGAAACGTAACAAGAATGCGACCCTCTGCCCAATGTGGAAGTCATGTCGCCATGGATTGGCGCACATGTGGCATCAGGAAGCCCGCCATGAACCTTGACACGCGACAGCAACACGTTCCAGTATTTGCTTATATGATTACAGCAACTAATCTACACATGACATGTCCTAGGATCGGATCGGATCGAATCGTCAAGTACTGCAACCCCCCCTCAGTCCGCGTGACTCTCCCATGTCTAAGCATCATCACCGCCATTTCCGATCTTCGAGTATCCGCCTTGCGTTTGGCCCTTCCATCGAGGACTGCATTCGGTCAGCATGACCCTGCATGCGATTCGTCCAAACCAACATCAGTATACTTACTAGAAGAAGTTCCTGAAGCCCACAATACCCGCTGTCATGGCTGCGTATCCGCCAAGCAACCTTGACCAGCTGCCTTCTTGTCCTACAGACAGTGCAACGAGATCGTATACCAGACAGCCGCCAAAGATCCAGTCGCTCACGCTTGCTGCAGCAGCGAAACCAATGCCCGTCGCGACCTGCACGAGCGAGCTGGGCTCGACACCAACATAGTATGCGGCTGATGTGTTGTGCAACAGGTCCAGCACACCAATACCAGCAAATGTCTTTGCAACAATATGTGTGAGAAAGTTGGGCGTCGATCGTGTATCCAGCGGCTCCAGCATCGTCGAGATGTAGGTCACCTGTGCCAGTGTGTTGATAATCACAAAGATGTTCGAAGTCGCAAGGTCATTCGCATTCCAGAAGAACATCCAAGCTATCCAAGCCGTGTTAGCAAATATCCCCATCTTTTCATAACCCCCTTTCTCGGCTCAAAAGGTTCAACACTTACTTCCGATACAAACGTTGCCCAAACTATAACACCACGCAAACTTATTCATCATGGCACGCTCCTGCTCGTTTCCATCCTGCTTCCACAGCTTCCACAGCCACGCCAGCTGGAAGATTTGCTGGGGGAAAAAGAAGGCGCCGATGAAGTAGGGGTATGGTGAGAAAGCTGCCAGATTCCGGTTGTGAATATCCAACATGTTGGGAGTCGAGAAAATGCCATACTGCTGCGCTGCAAAGTCGTAAATGAAAGAGGCGGGCGCGAGATAGCGCACCGTCGATTGCGTGTTGCCCATGCTCATGAATATTACTGTGGTGTATGGTGTCTGCGTCACGTGGCCAGACTGGTAAGTATGTATGAATTCCGTGGAATATAAATACGATTGCAAAGAAATCCCCTTGTTCAAGATATGGGCGAAAACGCAGGTAGCAAAAGTGGATATTATGCAAATTGTTGTCAGAGCCGCATGTGTCCGGAGCAGAGGAGCATCGAAGACGTCACTTGCTCACGTTTGCGCGATCTCAGGGTCCAGCACCCGATGCCGCGCCAATGTCTTCGCCATCATCGTAATCGTTCGCAGAGCCCGGCAGCGGGGTTCGCATCAATAAAAGTGGCCCCGAACTACCCGTGAGGCTTCATGGTTTCGGGGCTCGGGGGTCTGAGAGTGCGAGGGCCAGGTTGATTGCATGTTGAGAATATGTGTTTTTTTGCCATGTCCCTATGTACCGATGAAGTGAACCAAATTCCGATTTAACAGTCATGTCAGCTTCGGTTGCATGTATCAATTGGTCTGAGTGGTGTTGGGAACGAGAAGTAAGGCTATTTGATTCGTTTTTTAAAACAACGTCTCCTCTAGCTATCCAATTCACATCCTTTATGAAGATCAAAGTGGTCCTGTCTTTGATTAGCGTCCATGTCACACGACAACCACGATATATCAAACAGTGCAGTCACAGCAGTGAGCAAAAAAAAAAAGCTAAAATTACATTTCTGTTCAACACCAGCCACGTGCTATCAGTATCTTACATGAATTCATGCTCGCCATGCCGTGCCGCCTACTCTACATTCGGCATAATAGTTAGGAATCCATTATCGCTTTCAATTCATGCTTACACAACGGCATGCGTACCCCGCAGTACATGCTCATCTCTCGACTGTCCCCACACACTCCCTATTCCTCCTCAAAACACTCGCCAAACACCCAAAGACCAGCGCCCAATGCCCCATATGTTCAAGCCCTATCAACCCATTTACATCCCTACTCAGACCTGATCATCCGACTTCTCGCGGATGACCAGATCAAACTCCAGCCTCTTGAGAAAAGCATCGGTGACCTCTCGATCCAGCCTATCCTTTTCCTTGTGCTTACGACGCTTAAGCTTCACGTCTCCCTTTTCCTTGCTGACTTTACCCTCATGCACGCCATCGCTGGACTGCTTGCTGCGTTCTCTATGCTTGTGCGACATGAGGCTTCTGTACTGGCGCAGGTAGTGCTCTCGTTCCTTTTCCACGATGCGCAACTTTGCGGCTAGGACATCTCGTTCTTCCTTGGGAGTGTAGAGGCCCTGTGTCCAGTCGATGTGCTGGGTGGATGGTGGGCTGAGTAATGGTGAGAAGGGTATGCTGAGTGCTTGTTTGGGGATAACTTACTTGAGGAATTCAGACTGATCGGAATTTTCTGGAAGACAGCTTGGAGCACTAGCACTGTGGAGGTCGTGTAGGTGATTCACGTTATCCGGGTTTATCTCTGCGCCCGCATCTTCTCCAGTACCCTTAGCGTTGGATTTGGATGGCGGCAAAGTCTCAGTAAGCCTCTTGACCATGTGAACCAGGATATCTCTGTGTTTCTCTTTTTCCTCAATCTTTTCTCGAAGTGCTACGTTCTCGCTTCCCCCAAAGAGAAGATCCAGATTTATCTCGTCCTTTGAAGTAGCCGGTGCGGTAAGCTTGGCGTGCTCGACTTCCTCGGTTGGTGTTTCATATTCGAACATGATGGCTACGATCTTGTAGAATGAGGTGAGGAAGGAGAAATCGTAGTAGTACTTTGAAGGGAGTTGGTATCGAATACACGCTGGAATCAAGTGGGACAGTCTGAATAGCAACCGGTGATTATTGATTTGGCAACTTTATATTGTGGTCCGGTAAGAGTGAGTCACCACGGCATGCTCGTACAAACGGATGTGGCGAGAGTTTGTCTATCATCTTCACCTTCACTATAACACATGGGCTAGGCTTTGGAGTATAGACATACTTCGCACATCACTTGCATGCAGCACGCCTGTAAGTCCCTGTACAACGCCTTAACTCTACCCTCTCTCTGCTTTTTTTCCAAAGGCCGTCACTTCATTCTAAAATCATTAGTGCTAGGGAGTCGGCCTCGAGTCCTCTGGGTCTATGTGCTGAACGCAATTATCGCTCAAGGGGTCCACACTTTGTCAGTGTTAGAGCATTTGAACAGTCTTCTTGGCAAAGTTGGCTCGCCTTTGGGCTTGAAGCTCTACCTAGACGGGCGTGTGTTGAATGAACTTGACTGCTGACCTTTTCCGGCACTGCCGTTCCCGCTGTGTTTAGGAATGAAAGGACAGTTGATGTCAGTCAACTCTGCACTTACTCACTGCCCCATTTTCATCCATGGCCGTTGCTTTGTGCATGGTGTTGAGGAAGAGATAGAGTACACATTAACTAGCTTTAATGATAAAAGAGGGAGGGGAATTGTGAAGTACGGAGTTGCCCAAGAATCTTGCAAACCAGAAAAGGGTGCCTGGCGATTGATAATCTGGCACTTTTCCAGGTCTCTCGAAATAGCTATCAGCATCGCGCACATAATAGCGATGCTACCGAGTGGGAAAGCTTGGGGCTGCATTGATTTTATGAAAAGACTATTATTTTCTCGCAAACCCAATGAAGGAAGTGTTACTGTTGCGATTCGTTTACGAACTGTGACATAGTAAGCTTAAAGTGAACGAAGAGTACGGATTCTTGTTCTTGAAGCATGTCTTGTTGTGAGAGTACGACTGGGCATCCAAATTGGATCTCTGCCAATGATCTCTATGAATTTGAACAATCTGGTGATGAGATCTACGAAACCTAGACTTACGATACATGAAGATGTAACGTTGAGCGTCTTGTCGTCCCACTAACCCCGCCATTAGCCTTATCGCGTCTCGTCTGCACCTTCCCTGTGTGGCAACTACCCCACATACGACTCCCAAGCATTTCACGATGCACCTGACACGGCGGAAACGGCCGATTCATAGATAATCTCGCCTCGCAAATCCTTCAGAGCGTGGTTCTAGCCATATACCGATCGTGCTGCTGTAGTCTCGCATGCACTCAGGCAAGCCGCCTAGTAGACACACTATACGAACGACCACAATGATGAGCATGACTGTTGACTCTGCAGTTTCGCAGGATGACTTGGAAATTCCAGTATTTATTTTCGCACATGACTGACTGCTTCCTTCGTCTAACACCACACAGCTCATCGATTTTTCCGCATTCCTCTCTGGCGACGCCGATGCCAAGAAGCAGACTGCTGACGCTGTCCTGAAAGGCTTCCAGAACGCCGGTTTCATCTATCTCAAGAATCATGGCATACCCCAATCTACAGTTTCAACAGTATTCTCACACTCGGCCAAGTTCTTCGCTAGACCGAAAGAACAGAAAGATGCCTTGGCATGGTATTCGGCGGTCGCCAATCGTGGCTACGTAACGCAGGGACGCGAAAAGCTCGTTGTTCTCGAAGAGACGGGAACAGAGGCCCAGATGCGTGCTCTGGTGCCAGACTTGAAAGAAAGCATGGAGATCGGGCGTGACGATCAGCCAGAGACTCCTAACTTGTGGCCGAGCGGGGACGAGGAAGCAAAGGAATTCAAGGAACAGATGATGGGTTTCTTTGAGACCTGCAAAAACCTGCACATGCATGTCATGCGCGCAATTGCACTGGGTATTGGTATCGACGAGAAGTGGTTCGACGGCTTCACAGATGCCGGAGACAATACTTTGAGATTACTTCATTACCCGGGCGTATCCAAGAGCGTCTTCAAGAGGAATGACGGACAGCTACAGGTTCGCGCAGGTGAACATAGCGACTACGGTAAGAACATGTGCTTCAAAATCCACCAAAACAATTGCTGACAAAACCACAGGCTCAGTAACCCTTCTTTTCCAAGACTCTCGCGGTGGTCTCCAAGTCCGCTCACCGAAGGGTACGTTTGTCAATGCGACACCCATCGAAGGAACCATTGTAGTCAATGCTGGTGACCTACTTGCCCGCTGGTCCAACGACACCATCAAGTCAACCAAGCACCGCGTTGTAGAACCGCCACCAAAGCCAGAGGATGCCGACAAGGACGAGTATCCACCACGATACTCGATAGCTTATTTCTGCAACCCGAATTACGACCGCAAGATTGAAGCTATTCCTGGGACGTATGAAAAGGATGGAAGAAAATATGGTGATGTCCTGAGTGGAGACTACTTGGTGCAACGACTGACTGCGACATATTGAGGTGAAGTTAAGCGTCGAAATTATTGTAGACAAGTCGTGTTCCGCTGGAATTACAAATGAAGAAACATTTACTGAATTCCACGGCTTTACCCCATTCGCGTGTTTGAGAAAGCGAAGTGCTTTTTCAAAGTCGTGCTCTATCCCACTAAACTTCAAGGAATTTCATATTATGTATGCAGCACCCTTCGTGCCTCTACTATGTTGGACAATTAAGAAAGAGAACTCCAAAGCTCTCCAATGACCAATGCACTTCCCACATTCGACTTTGTATGCTATCTTCACAGGACAATCAGCGCCAGTATTATACCAATCACCGTAAACAAAACACCTCCACCTGAAGCGGCCTGTCGCCCAGCACCGCCCGTAAACGGCGGTCTTGTCTGGCTTCCGTTACCTTGCTGAGCCGCACCATTTCCAGCCCCAGCCTCCAGTACCAACTTATCAACTCCCCCTTGTACACTTTCCAGCGGCGCCACAAGCGCCATCTGACTCCAACTAAACAAGGTGTTCCGTCCACCGAAAACAAACACCTCAAAGCGGCCTGCAAACGCATCATTGACCCATACGCGACTGCCATTCACAACATCAGTCTCAATACGTAATTTTGCAGGCAGCGTGATGGGAACAGGCTCGTGCGAAGACGTCGACTGGTTCGTCCATATGCGGCCTGGATGGCCGGGTTCATGGCCGTCGTTGAGTGACACACGGCGTAAGGGGTATGGGAAGCCGTCCGACGTGGTGAAGACGAGGGTAGTGATGTTGCCGCTTGTATTTGTCGAGAGTGAGGTGTCAGATCCAGACAGCGCAAAGGGCGATGAAACATCAAGTGTGAGCGTATAAGGTGGGCCGTAAGAGCCTAGTCCTAAGGAAGAGTTTGCGGGCTGTGATGCTTTTTGCATCCAGGATACTAGGGGCGAGGAGTTTTGCGCAGAGAGAGTTTGTGAGCCTGGTAGTCGGCGATCGAGGTTTTGTCCCGGAGCTAAAGGTGCCTGTGGATTTTATGTGTTAGCATACGCACTCGCCACTCCGTTCTTTTTGCTTGTGCTTACTAGAAATGCAAGGCTGTCTGATAGCTCTTCTACATTGATCTTTGCGCCGCGATCGCCCGCCCAAGCGCGCGCTGCCATGACTGGGATACCCTCCCGCATTGCGTAGTAAGCCTCTAGCTGCGTTGTTGCATCCGGACCGTTGTCGTTCCAAGCTGCCAAAATAGCGCCCTTATTGCCTTGAGCCCCGGGCTGCAGCTGTTCCGTCTTGTTGAAAGGGTTGTATAGCGATGGCTCCCACTGCCACCCTGGCACATCTGCGAAGTTGAGCGTGCGCGTGACGTTGTAGAATTGCGGGTATGGGGCTGGCAAGATGGGCATGTGGTCGTTCTTGAGACTCATGTAAGCCCACCAATCTTCCGAGTTGATGATTTGATAGCCATCTCTTTGTAGTAATACTGGATCTGACTGGCCGTATTGCCAGTGCTGTATGATGACATCTTTTGAAATGGTGAAGTTTTCTGATGGCTCATATGTGCCCCAAATACGGATCTCTTTACCAGAACTATTTTTGACGAAATCGGCCATCTCATTGACAAAATTGATATAGTCATTGGCTAGGTCTGCGTCATACTCGTCCGCACCAATGTGTATTTCTTTTGTTTGAAACCATGGCAAAAACTCTGACCAGATGGCCTTTACTGTAGGAATTGTATCCGGATGGCTGAGGTTTAGCAGATCCTTCTTACTCAAGGCCAGCTCAGGTTTCCACTTGGTGATTGCTAGTGCATGGCCTGGAGCTTCGATCTCAGGAACAACGGTGACGCCTCGCTGTGCGCAATGGCTTTGGAAGTCCTCAAAATCAGCGCGCGACAGTGTTTCGTTAGGACGTTGAATAAGTCCTCTGAGTTCAGTGTTCTTCTCTGGGTATAACGAGAAGTGTGAAAACACATCTTGCCAGGTCTCGTTGCGGCCACGGTTCAAGGGATAGTTATCACTCGAGTGGTAGTGAAACTCCGAGATCTTGAAAAACGACGCATAAGAGCAAAGCTCTTTGAGAAATTGCTTATTGTACCATTTCCGGCCTGCATCTAGCATAAATCCACGAGTGGCATATGCTGGCGCATCAATGACGTTTCCGGATGGTAAAGATCCATTTCCAATCAGCAGTTCCTGTAGTACAGTCCGAGTACCCCAAAACATGCCTCGTGCACCAGTTCCGCCAACATAAATGCTGCCATTGGTAACATCAAGCTCGTATCCTTCTTCTGTCGCGATGCCGTTCTCATAGGTCAGTTGGTCAGCATTACCTCGAAATGGACCGAGGAGAATGCCAGTTGTAGGAAGCTCGTCGACGCGCTCCAAGGTCCATTTACTACCAAACAACGACGACAAATCTGCGCGGAATGTTTCCGCAAACTCTCCAGCACTCGGAGGTATCAGCGTAAGGCCACTGGAGTCTTTCTTATCAGCGAAAGCATTTTGGATGTATATCTTTGTTCCTTGCTTGGTGACTGAGAAGCCGAGGTCGTTGTTGCCCTTATCTGCTGGTGAGATTGGTGGTAAGGGCTGTAGCGCAACAACCAATTGAGGCAGTAGGAGCAACGACGCGACGAAAACCATCGTTGACGCGAAATCGTTGGAGTCATAGTGAGCGCGGTGACCCAGGTAAACTATTCTATTGTATTGAATAGCCAAGGTATCTTGGCAGATGCTGTCAAGTCGCTTCGCCCCGCAATCTGCAAAGCCGATGTAACCTTGGAGCGGCTGGCCGTTGGAGATCACGATAAGAAGCGTTGGGTAATGGCAAAAGGGGTATGGTCAGGCACGGCTCAGCGAGGACGAGAAACGGAATGAACGGTGCGGAGGTGGAGAGGTGCTACTTCGGCCCCGGTAAGTCTCGTACAGGGCTTATTCTTGTCAACGTGAACCGTCTTCACAGAGCAGAGCATGGCTTGTGCGCGGTCGTTGCGACGTGTACATAACGAACAAAGAACAAACAACCTGAAAGAACTACAAGTATCAGGTCTGGAAATGCCGGGAAGAAAGATGTAGGCTGACCAGGAACCAGGAACTCTGAGGCTAGACGAGCGAAGCTTAGCGCATCGGAGAAAATCTGTACCTCACCGATAAAGTCTACCAAAACACCATCCCCAATCATACTACGAGGACGTGATCATCATGTGTCCATGACAGCGGCATTGCTAGTTATTCCAATTCACAAAACTTCCTGAAATGGACCGTCACCAGCGCGTGGTCGCGCAAGTCGCGTCTAAAGTCAAGGACTACTTTACACGAAAAGAACCATTCCGAATCTCACACGGCTCAACAAATAGTACGCGGCCAAACCTCAAGAAGCATGTTGTTGACATTAGTGCTCTGAAAAATGTCATTAAAGTCGATACGCAAAGCAAGAGAGCGCTGGTGGAGCCCAATGTCCCTATGGATCGACTCGTTGAAGCGACTTTGCCACATGGTCTAGTACCGCCTGTTGTCATGGAGTTCCCTGGTATTACAGTAGGAGGGGGGTACGCAGGGACAGCAGGAGAGAGTAGTAGCTTCAAGTTTGGTTTTTTTGACCGGACAATCAACGAAGTGGAAATGGTAATGGCCGATGGCAGAGTAATGAAGGCGAGCGAAAAGGAGAACGAAGATCTGTTTCGGGGCGCTGCTGGTGCAGTCGGCACTCTCGGTGTCACCACTCTGATAGATCTGAATCTTATCGAGGCCAAAAAGTATGTCAAGACCACATACTATCCTACGCGAAATGTGGCACAGGCTATCAAAGAGGTCAAGGACCATACCGAAGGCGAAAAAGGTGCTAAAAATGACTACGTGGATGGTGTGCTGTTCAGTAAAGATCACGGCGCTATAGTCACTGGCGAAATGACCGACGAACTTCCACCGAATACTAAGCCGCAAACATTTAGCAATCCCTGGGACCCGTGGTTCTATCTTCATGTTGAAGCAGCAACGCGAAACACCAACGAGCCGGTTGTAGAATACATACCATTAGCTGAGTACATGTTTCGCTACGACCGCGGCGGATTCTGGGTTGGACGATCGGCCTTCAGCTATATGCGCTTCCCCTTCAACAAGTACACCCGATGGTTTCTCGATGACTTCTTGCACACGCGTATGCTCTACCGAGCTTTGCACGCATCCGGAATTGCAACACGTTACATTGTACAGGACATGGCTCTACCATACCCAAACGCAGAGAAGTTCATCGAGTACACGGATAAGACATTCAAAATCTGGCCAATATGGCTCTGCCCCCTCAAGCAAAGTCCCCAGCCGACCATGCACCCACATACAAAGGGCTCTTTCAAATCAGACCAGATGCTCAATATCGGATTGTGGGGCTTTGGACCTAGCGACCCTGCGACCTACCTCCAGAAGAACCGAGAACTCGAGAAGACACTTGGGGAGATGGGCGGTATGAAATGGTTGTACGCGCAAACATACTATAGCAGAGAGGAGTTCTGGGCCCAATTCGACCACAAATGGCATCAAGGACTGAGAAAGAAATACAATGCTGAGATGCTTCCACAAGTGTATGACAAGGTGCATGTAGATGTTGAGAAGTATACGGAGATGGTCAACAAGGACTGGGGTCTTAAGCTGAGGGGTATCTGGCCATTGGGCGGACTTTGGGGCATCTGGAAGTCGATACAAAGTAAAGATTACATGATATCGAGGAACTCGACATGGAGGTCCAGGCCCTAGATGCTGGCAGACACTAGGAGGCTGGATGAGCAAAGCCTAGACCTGAAATATGCAGCACAGTAGTAGAAGTCGGGTTAGAATTTCATGTAAAATACACAGCTTAGCTGAAAATTCAGCCAATTTTGGTTTGATCGATCGCTACGATATCTCACAAAGATAATTTGGTTGCACAGAAGCGGGGAAAACCATCGCTAGCGCTGACGAAGGAGAAGACGCTACACTAAACTACGTATTGCCACAGATGATTTACAAAAGAACTTTTCATCAACAACAATCATCTTAGCAAACTGGCTTTGGGGTGTGCGAACGCGACACGCTTGCGCTGGAAAATCCCCATTCGTCTTTGACTTTGGCCTCCATTCCCAGCACGGAACTATGCCAAGCATGCTTCTGATACTCGCGAGCATGCGGAAGAGACCATGAACTAGTCTTCAGCAGTTCATTGACTTCTGTTGTCATTCCAGAAGTCTTGTCTTCTGCCATCATTGTGGTTGGGTGTTCGCTGCTTTGTGAGAAAAGCACAGTGGCTTTTGGGGAGGGGTAGTCATACTTTCCTTGGCCTACAATGCCATGACTAAGACCCGGGCTTGTTTGATTTCGGTCTTGATGCCCAGAGGAGGGGGCAGTCTCTGTGCGTGGTTCGGAGCCTTGCTGTGTCATTTTGTTGATCAAAGGCGAGGCTTTCTTAGTCTGCGAGTGGATTTCTACTGGTAGGAGAGGTATGAAGTTCGTTTTTGGTGTTTGATGCGACATGATATCTGATATGGAAGGGTCTTTATGTTAGGAGGGTGTCTCGCTTGCTTTATATCTCATTTGGTTCGAGTAAGATATGTTGGGGCTGCAACATGTGTCAGATCATCTCGTGATTATCACGTTTCTTTGCATTATCGTGTAGTACAGAAGTGAATGAATGAGGGGTATCAGCTATATGAGTGGTTGTCGTATGACTTTTACGTCTCCAATTGACTTCGTACCGTGTTCATCCCTTCCAGCCGATTGGTAAAACTAACTGGAAGGGCACGATCGGCTGCGCTAGTGTTCGATCGGGAAAGCGTATCCCCGCACGAATCTGGCCAGCATTTTCAGCTTCCCTTCTGCATCGTTATTTGATCCATGCATGTTGCGTCTTATCAGATCGTTTAGTTCATGCAAGATGGCGCAAGCGCCGTTGAAGCCCTTGATTGCCGTCGTAGGTGCGACTGGCACAGGCAAATCAGATGTAATGAAAATAACTTGAGTCATGCTGAGCGAGAACTGATCACAGTAGACAGCTAGCAGTAGAGATTGCGCGGAAGTTCGATGGCGAGATCATCAATGGCGATGCAATGCAATTGTATCGGGGTTTGCCGATTATCACCAACAAGATTACTCCAGAAGAAGCGAAAGGCGTGCCCCATCACCTCCTAGGATCAATCGGTCTGGAAGAAGAGACATGGACCGTAGGAAAGTTTGTCGGCGAGGCTATCAAGATAGTATGAATCAAGCCTGCATAAAGGGCGTGCCACTGACCAGATCAGATTGAAGAGATCCGAAGCCGTGGCAGGTTACCTGTTCTGGTCGGCGGAACCCACTATTACACGCAATCGCTTTTGTTTCAAGATGCGCTTGCTGATGAGCCCGCATTGAATTTGAAAGAAAATAGTGAAAAGCTACCAATATTGGAAGAGCCCACTGAAGTCCTTCTTCATAAGTTGAAAGAAGTTGATCCTATTATGGCAGAGCGTTGGCACCCAAACGAACGGCGTAAGATCCAACGCTCACTCGAGATATACCTAAGGACAGGACGGCCAGCATCTGAGTTATACAATGAGCAACGACTCAAACGCCAATCTTCCCCATCTTCACCGGATACTCCACAGTCTACTAGTAACCAAAGCCTTCGCTTTGAGACTTTGGTATTTTGGGTACATGCTGATAAAGAGGTTCTACATCGTCGTCTTGATGGGCGTGTCGATAAGATGTTGAACAAAGGCCTACTCTCAGAAGTTCAGGAGCTAAGCAATTTTGGTCAGCAGTATGAGGCTAAGACCGGTATTCGCGTAGATCAAACTCGTGGTATCTGGGTATCAATAGGCTACAAGGAGTTTTTGGAATATCAGCATGCGTTGGAAAACCAAGCAATGCCACCACAGGAGCTCGAGAAACTAAAAGTAGCCGCCATCGAGAAGACGCAAGCAGCCACACGCCAGTATGCCAATCGTCAGATCAAATGGATCCGCATCAAGTTGCTCAACGCACTGCTCTGCTCGGGACAGAAGAGTAATACCTTCTTAGTTGATGGGTCCGACATCTTGAAGTGGGATACTGATGTCGCGCAGCCTGCAACCACCATCACTAAGCAGTTTCTTGCGGGTGAGGTTCTTCCGGCGCCATCATCACTTTCGCCTACTGCAGCAGATATGCTTACACCAAAACGGGAATACGATCTCGGCCAAAGACCGGATCTTTGGCAAAAGAAAATTTGCGAGACGTGCGGAACAGTGGCTGTTACCGAGAACGACTGGACTTTGCATCTTAAAAGCCGTGCGCACCGTCGAGCAGTGGGAGCAAAGAAGAAGCAGGAGAACACACAGGGTGGGTCAAAGAAAGCTATAAAAGTTGCCCAGGCCGATGTGGTTGATGTTCTAGAGAGCTACCTGGAGAGCTCTCCGGACGAGAAGAACTTAGAGTGAAATTAAGCTGCTGAAAGATCACGGTGGCGCAATGCACTCACAAGCCCAGAATGCGCCCGTTGCCCCTTTCATACTCAGCATCAAATCACACAAATAGTTTTCAAGCTGAGAAATAAGGGCAGATGAGAACCCAGGAGCTTCAATAGGCCTTTTGGGGGGTTGAGGTGGGATTGCCCAATCGGGAATTGAATAACGCTCAAGGCAAAAGAAACAGGCTTAGCCTTCTTGACACAGGCGTATTTACGCAAGCTGATATGTCGACAGCCTTCCCGCATAAGAGCTGGTTTCAACCCAATAACTTTCAGGTGGTTCGGCACTGCGTTCATCACAGTCGTGTGATCTTGACTCCAACTTTGCTCCTCTAGTTCGTCCTAATCCCAACTCACCCTTGCCATGTCGCCCTTCCGGTATTCCAAAGTGAGCAGCGAAAGCTCCCAAGACAGTTCTCTCGAGCATCAACGCGTACCTCCTCGGCGAAACAGGTGCTGTTCAATCTTTGAAAAGTTGGAATTTCTCCGCTGGCCCGTCACATTCTTCTTGCTATTCATCATACTGCTATGCGAACTCTCTATGCTTCACAATCGACCAAAGGCAGTACCAGTAGGAACAGATTTCAACAGCATTGTTCCCGTTTGTAAGCAGGCTGTTCAGCTCCCAATACAAAGTTTTTAATGAATCTCTAGTTTCAACCGAAAAGAAGATTTTCCGTAGCGACAAGGGATTCAGATCCGACCACAGGACAATGGAATCTGTCAACAAAACAAAACAACAGTGGGCTGAACTCCTCCCCCGTAAGTTAATCCACTTTCCCACAGAAACAATCCTCCTTTCTGACCATACTAGTCGGCGCCGGCTTCATGGAAGTCCCGGACTACAACTCGTACACCCTCCCCCCTCCCATGCACTTCCCCGAAGCTCCGGGGAAAGAAGTCTTCTCCCTCGCCGTCTTCCACGAGCTGCACTGTCTCATGCACATCGCCGCCTCCATGGATGACCTCGTCATGCAAATCCGCAGAAAAGATTTCAAGCTCGATGAAAGTTTCCTATTGCATAACGACCACTGCTTCGATTATATACGGAATGCTATCATGTGCTTTGGAGATACGACGCTGGAGGGACAGACCAGGACGCCCGGACTCGAGCATGTGCCGGGTACGGATGGTACAGGGGCGATTCATGTTTGTCGGAATTTTGATGAGGTTTCGGCGTATGCGGAACAAAAGAGGTTGAATGAAGGGAGGGAGCATCTTTGAGATCTGGAGCGTTGTGTTGTATATGTCTTGTTGTTGATAGTGTAGGGTGTAAGGGATATCGTGGCAATGCTTTCGTTTCGCTTGAGTAAATAGTAGTACGTACATACAATATGTTCTTTTGAAGCATGAAAAGTCCAGACCTGAGACCACCATATAGCCACTATTTGAAGAAGCTATATAGAAAGGTTCTTCCGAAATGACGAGCACCTCACCATCCACTCTCGCGCGCAAGAATGTCCCAGCCAACAAGCCGCCAGACTTCCTCCTTATACCATGTCTCCACATCTTCGTCCTCCACCTTGGCCACATTCTGTAACGAACCTAGACGCATTTGAGGCATCGGCTTCGTGAGAACGTCCAAAAAGTCATCATCAGTACTGTGTCCATACATACACGTAACAAGCGTGCGCTGTAGTCGATCCTTAGCAAGAGGACTCAGGCGGGCCCTCGAGGTAGTGGCGATATTTTTGATATTCATTGTACGGGCAGCTCTATTTGGACTCTGCTGCACTCTAAGGCTCTGTAAGTTCATGTGGTTTGGGGCCAGACCCATTGCTCGCTCAAGGATCAGAATGAGTGCTTTGGCCTCCAAACGCATGGCGAGTGCATCGCTTTCTCGCTTGGAGGCCTCAGCTGCATCTTTTGCTCTAGGTATCGGTAGGATGTTCGTTTCGATATAAGAAGAGCGGTGCTGACCAAAGGTCGAGTAATAAAGTCTCCTGCCGACGCGTTCGAAAAGAACGAAGATGAAGCCCTCGAAGATTCGTTGATGAACATCATCATTCTTTTCGAGAAGACCCAGAAAGCTAATCAGGAGATGTGCGACTGCCCTGGCTGGGGTAGACTCTCTGCCGATATTTACATATGTCTTTGTTTTAATTTTCTTCTGGGCAGGTGGCTGCGAGAGAAAACTTTGTGCTGTGAGCCGGGCAGATATCTCAATAGCTCTGAGTCCCACCTTGAACATGTCTGCCAGCTCACAAATAACTAAGCCTGCAAGTCTTTTGTCGGAGTTTAACTTTGTGAGTTTGTCTAACCCGACTAGTGTAGACATGAAAGTTCTGGCGCACACCGAGAGTGCATTAGCAAAGTCCGATTTGTCTTTCTCCAGGGAAATCGATCCACCAGAGATCTTGTGTCCTTGTCGAGCTAGAGATTCATAGTTCTGAGCAACGAACAATATGACCTTCCCCATGGTTGAAGCACTAGTGGTCAAGTTGGAACAGAGTGTGTGAGCATCAGGATCGCTGGCTCTACATAATGAATGAATGTTGAACAGCGATCTCATGAGCATGTTGCCGTCATTTCCAAGAGCCTCCAGGAAATCCAAATCCTGATCGAAAATTTCTTGTGCGGCAGAGACCGTATGCTGAGCCTGCTTTTGTGACTGCCTTGGTCGCTTTAAGTTTTTCGTTGGTGATGGCGACTGAATGTTGGGATTCGCTTCGTGGTCTGAATTTGTGCTCAATTGGTTCGATAGCAATTGATTCGATTTCTCAAGCTTGATGTTGACATTGCGAAGCCGGTCGCATTCGTCTTCTGCTTCTTTGCATCGTTCCTTCCAGTAGGCAACTTGATCAACATAACACACCGGGTTCGCTCTTTCTCTTGGGTCTCGGCCAAGCCTGATTTGGGATCGTAGTTGGAGAATGTGTTCTTGCCTTGTCAGTTGATTTGCGTTGCATTCTAGTGACATCTACCAACCTCGTAATGGCACTCCGGTGGGTTTACATCTGATGATGGCAATAGCAAGGGCTATTTGTTGCTGAGATGGCAGAGAGTTTGAAATATTTTCAATGGCAACCGGGTCCATTACTGTGCCTTGTATCGAAGCTATGATACAAACGCGATCTGGGATAGAGAAGATTACGATATGGTGATGTAGAGGAAAGATGATGGTAAAGGCGATTATCCAGTTGCAGAGGGCATCTCACGACACGTGGAAAAAGAAGATGGCGGGCGGTAGGCGACGCTTATATGGTGGGGGAGTGAGAGACATTGGCACACTGAAAATGGAAGGAGCGACCTCCATGTGCTCAACCTTCGGACCCATACGCCCTTCGTGGATTTCACTCTTCTGACCATAACACATGCGTCTCACTTGAAGTGTAATAGTACAGTGCGTCAAGGTACTATATAATGTACATAAATCTACATCGTGCACGCGTTGTTCCGGCTTGGCTCTTACTAGTCGCTCATCGCATGCGTTCTGTCCTTCTCTTGTATGGAAGAGGCTCGACCTTCTTCCTCTTGAATTCGACATTGATCTGACTCTTCATTCCAGCTCGCTCCATGACACCTGCCATGCTGTCGTCCCACTTGGTTCTGAAAAGCGTAGCCGTGATGGGGTGGAGCTTATTCGAGTCGGTGAAACTGCGCAGGTTGAATCCTATGCGCTTGACGTTGCTGAACTTGGTAACATCAAGCGCCTGACCAGCATTCTGCTCAAAGACAAAGATTCCCAGACGATGGTATGGCGCACCCTTGTGAGCCCAGGGCGCAATCCAGGGCAGCGCAATCTTCTTTGCGCTAGGATCCTCGACCTTTTGGTCTTCTTGGGCGATGCGTTGAAGAGGTATAGATGTGTTGTTGGGGGAAAGGGGTATGTTGGAGGCAATCAAGTGGCATCGGTAGGTGAAGCTGTCAGTCTCTGGGACAGGCACATCCGCATCTACTACCACAACTGTGACGAGTTTCTCACCCGGGGTGAACATCTGAACGTTGAGTCGAGGCATCTTCTCACTAATGGCAGAGTCGACAAAATCGCCTGGTGCAACCGACTTTCTACCGAAGCCGAGGTCGATATCTGCTGCAAGGTCCAAGGAGGGAAGAATATCTGGAATAATGGCCAACTGTGTGACACGCTGTTCAAGAACGAGGCGCTTGTACTGCCGCCATTTCTTATCGGCGAGGTATCGATATATGGGCTTGTTCATGTCACCTTCACATTGGTCAGTCAAGCCCAGAAAACCAGACATATAACCTACCCTGTCCGTCCTCAAACTTTCGCTTGACCACTGGGTCGTTGATATCGGCCAGAATGATCAATTCATTCAAATGTTTCCGCATACTCCGCAACCTATGCTCCTTGGCTGCGGGCCCACCGCTGACACTGGGGTCCTGATCCATCAAGTTCTTAATTCGCAGCTGCTGCGTCTCAATCTTTTTAATTTTTTCTTGCCTGTCCTCCAACAAGAACTTGCGAGCCTCCTGGAAGCATTGGTAAGGCAATTGTTCAAAGGGAATCTCTGTCGCCTTCTGTATCGCAGAACGGCGAAGAGCAGCACGACGACGGCGAGATCCCACTGGCTGTACATGCTCTCTCCGTAGCAGGCGGCGCTCTTGTTTCTTGTTCTCTACCATCTGAGGGTCCAATATTCCCCATTTTTGCATGAACTCGGGTACTGCTTGGGGAGATGCATTCTGGGCAGCACCTTCGGGGGGGTTTGAGGGCGGGGGAGGCCGAGTCGCATTCGCAGATTGCGTCTGCACCTCTTCATGGGCCACGGCGGAGGTTGAGAGCAGACGGCGCGCGCCAATGGCGCCAGGCAGCTGTCGCACGCATCTCAGACATGCGCTGAACTGGCGTACAGACGGCGTGGAGGCCATGGCGGGTGATGGCTTGGTGTCGATGAGCCGAGTGATGGTGGTGCTAGAAAATGTGGTGATGGATGACGGTCCGTGCTCCGAAACCTCCGCCCTCAACTCCGCGACTTCAACCTTGGGGCTTTTTTTTGATACCCGACCCGGCATGGCTTCCTCGAGGTTATCCGCGCCGATGCGGGGCGTCACACTGCAATTGAGTAGACTTTCAATACGGCAGAATGCTTTGTGCACTCGTTGCGCCGTGAGTAGTCTCATATTTGTGGCATGCGACCTGCTAACGCCTCACAGAAATCTCTATGCACACCCTCTGCCCGCTCCATAACTACGTCTGCGCCAGTCAATGCCACGATATCAACAATCAGACAATCAGGCGCCGACTATGTCCCCGTCAAACCATTTGAGGAGCAGACCATCTTGGCGACTATCCACCAATTCCCCTCACTGGAGCCGCTACGATTCGAACAATATCCTGCAAATCACCTCTACCTGCCTACCCGACGAGACATACTACATCGTGCTGTCATCTATGAGGGTGACATGACCCGATTGGGAACTGCCTCTACGAAAACCAGACATGAGATCCGCGGTTCAGCAAGAAAGGTTCGGCCACAAAAGGGTACAGGTCGCGCTCGTCTAGGAGACAAGAAGTCGCCAATGTTGAGAGGAGGTGGAGTCGCATTCGGTCCCAAGCCCCGCGATTTTTCGTCAGACCTGCCAAAGAAGGTATACGACCTTGCATGGCGGACAGCACTGTCATATCGCTTTAGAAAGGGCGAACTCATCATCGTTGACAATGCCATGGAGATTGAAAGTCCCTCGACAAGATTACTGAGCGATATCTTCAAGCACCACGAGAAGCTGCGGGGTAAAGGCCGTAGCTTGATGGTGACTTTGGAGGAGCGACCGTTGTTGGAACAAGCGCTCGTTGAAATGGACCGCGGCGAGCAAACTCTCACATGGGAGGAAGTTGACGTCAAGAACCTGCTGGAGCTCTCTCGCGTTATCATTGAGCGCGACGCTTTGCACAACATTCTTCTTTCCCACGAAGAAGACCTCACTCACAAGGCTCTCCAGCCATGGCACAAGAGCCTCATCCGATCATCACCCCCTTCAGAACTCGAATCCGTCATCGGCTGGGAAGAATTCCGCAACCTCTCCCTCGCTGACCCCAAAGAAAAAGAGGCAATCCGCGCCGAAGCATACGAAGACACAGCAACAAGACGTTACGCTGAAGCCGAAATCCTCCCCTCGGGCCCCAAGCGCACAGAACTCACCATCTCAGCCTACAACCTCCTCGCCGAAGCCAAGGAAATTCAGTTCGCAGAGAAGACCGGTCAATCGTTTACTGACTACCTCGACCACGGCGAGCCCGACCGCTTCCCCCGCATCCAAACCCTGAACTACCAAATCAACATCAAGGACGACATTGTCAACACCGCTGCTGAGACATCTCGCCAAAAAGCAGAGGAACTCATGATCGAAATGCGCCAGCTTGAAGTAGAGAAACTAGAAGTCCAGTATGAAGCTGCACTACTTGCCGCACAGGTCCACGAGCACCGCGTCGAGGCTCTTCGTCTTGGCGGCGAGCTGGAAAAGGCAGAAGAGCTACTGGAAGCAGCTAGCATCGAGAGGACGCATGTTGATGATGTCGAAGTGGCTTTGTTGGAAGCGCAACTCGAGGTTGCAAAGCAGAAGTCTGTTGTCGCGAATCTGAACGGTAAATTCGCGGCAAAGCAAAAGGCGCAAGAGGAGATTCGGGCGTGTGATGAGGCACTTGCGGCAAAGAGGGCTGAGATCGAGGCTGAGAGTGCAGAGAATGTTGAAGATGTGGATGCAGTTGAGACAGGGAAGGAAGAAAAGAGGATATAGGCTTCTTTTCAGAAGTGTATGTGTTATTGTACAATTGTATCTATAGATGCTCATGAGTCGTGGCATGATCATTTACATACCATGCTAGATGGCAGGTGGTGGTGTTACATGTTGCATGTACCAATGCCTCTTTTCTACTCTAACACTGGCCGTGACTCAGCGTTTAGCTTCGAGAAGCACAGCCGATGCTTGCTATCAAGTTCGGTGACCCAGAAACCTCACGCTTCGTCATCCTCCGCCTTCTCTTCCGCCTTTTTCTCCACCTTTCTTCCTTCAAAGACAACCGTCATTACCCCTCCAACCTGTCCCTCGCTTTTGCCCTCTCTAGCCCCCTTGCACTCTCCAACAGCGTCCCTAACAGCCTTGATAACCGCATCCGCCTCTTCAGGCGTCGCCTTCCTCCCCTTCTTCTTCGGCCCCATCAAAACCTCAACCTTCCTCCCCTCCTTGAGAAACCTCTTCAGAGACTCCAATCGGTGTTTCAAATCACCGGGTGCAATAGCCCAATTGAGTTCGAGAGACTTTGAAATAGGACCAGCGCCCTGACCTTTTGCCTGGCGGCGCAGCGTCTCAAGTTTGCGTTCATGTTGAGCGCGAAGATCTATTTTGGAAATGACTCTGCAGGTAGGCAGATTCTCGGGATCGAGCTCTCCGTATTCATCGACCTTTCCTGGTGTCATTTGTACTAGGTGGTGCGTGACTTTGTCGTAGCTGGTCAGTGCCTCCTCAGTCGGAACGTCGTTGTGGAATGTGCCATTTTCGTCAACGAGGTTTATGCGCTCGGCTTCGATGGCATTGTCGATGATGTAGTAGTCTGATATTGCATGGCGACGGGTGTCTTTGGTGTACTTTTTTGTGCGGATTGAGGTCCGCGAGGTGAGGCTGGGTGTTGAGGAGGCGAGAGATGTAGGTCCTGATACTAAAGGCGCAAATGCTGGAGCGTACAACAGTGGGATAGAAGTTGTGGTGCGCAGAGATGGGGCGATGAAGACGCGGTACAGAGCACGCGAGGTCCCAGAGATGTGTGTGGGCGGCATTTCGGATGCAGTTTTGAAGACAGATGCAGCAACAAACAAGAAAGAAAAAGAAAAGTTGCCAATTATGGTGTGAGAATGATCGTAGAAGCTTCAATGTTTTCCGATTGGCGCTAGTACCGGTAGAGATCGAATCGGAGCAGCGACGACCTCCGAGAAGGCCGCATCCCCCGCCAACTCACACCTCCGCGACTATCTCCAGCCCACCCCATGTAGCCAACCACCATGGTAACGACCGGCCTAGCACACTGTTACTTTCGCTACAACCAACTTGGCCTGCCGCCATGAGTAATCCGCTCGAGGACTATCTAGCTGCGCTGGACGCGCGTGATGCCAGGGAGAAGGCACACGAGGTCTACGTCAACGCCTGTAAGAGGCCTTTCGCCTACACTGCGCTGCGCTGAAGCATCGAGTGAGGCTCATAATATGCAGATACGAAGCTCGCCGATGGCACAGCAATTCTGGCGCCCTCAGCAGTCCCCGCCGAAGAACCCTTATCTGCCAGCGCTTCTCTCAAGGCTCTGACGCATAGAGGCAAAGGAAAAGGCAAAAGCTCCGCTACAACAGATGCCGCACCATCTTCTACAGTTGCGCAACTCCGCGCCGAACTTGCGGCCACTCAGCGTACCCGCGGTGACCTCGAAGCACGGCTCAGTGCTACCTCTGCTGAACTCTCTGCCCTCAAAACCACAGAGACAGAACAGAGACGGCGTATAGAACATCTGGAAAAGACACGCATGGCATTGGAAAGGCGAGCCAGGGATACTGCTGAAGAACTTAAGGGCAAAGGAAGACTTGTGGAGGATGTGCACGACGAAATGGTGGCGCTCAACTTGCAGCTGAATATGGCAGAGCAGGAGAAGGAGAAGCTGCGCAAGGAGAATGACGAATTGACCAAAAGGTGGGTTAAGAAAATGGAGGAAGAAGCTAAGAAGATGAACGAGCGGTCCGGGTGGGGGGATCAGTCGCGGAGGATCAAGTAGACAATCGCAAGATGAGAGTGGATTTCTAGAGTATAGTGTTTGAGTAGGTCAGACTCGACGTTGAATCGGATTTACATTAAAAAATGACGAAATCCAACTGTGTAGAATTTCGAATTACTTTTGGGTCTTGCTTCTTGACACTGAATATGACATACATACATACACTGACATATGCTGGTGCCTGGTCATGTCTTGGCGTTCCCGAGCTCCCCGCAATCCCATTCCTCTACTATAGTTCCCCACCTCCAACCACCAGCAAACCAAACAACACGTCTCTGCGGTACCACTCCTGGAATCACTGCACAATGGGTACCGCACTCAAGACCTGGGGTGAGTAAGCGTGCTTCTTCAAGTGCACAGCGTCATGTGCGCCCCGCATGCCCCGCCACTCGACCATGTCACTAATATACATCTCCCAGAGCTCGAGAACTCGGTAAAGCTCGTGGATCCCAGCAAGGATGCACTATATAACTACTCTCCTGCTGCCCAGAAAGCAATCAACGAGGCGCACCCATGGCGAACCGACCCCAACTACTTTACTTCGGTTCGTATCTCTGCTATCGCCCTCCTCAAGATGGTCATGCATGCGCGTTCAGGTGGCTCCCTTGAGGTCATGGGCTTGATGCTGGGCAAGATTGAAGCACACACTTTTGTCGTTACAGACGCCTTTCGGCTACCTGTCGAGGGAACAGAGACACGAGTCAATGCGCAGGATGAGGCAAACGAGTACATGGTCGAGTTCTTGCAGCGAGCACGCGAACAAGGGCAAATGGAGAATGCAGTGGGCTGGTATCACTCGCATCCTGGTTATGGATGTTGGCTATCTGGTATCGATGTCAACACGCAGAAAACGCAGCAGCAATTCCAAGATCCCTTCTGTGCCATCGTCATCGACCCCGACCGAACCATCTCTGCAGGCAAGGTTGAGATCGGGGCCTTCCGCACATATTCGACCGAATACGTTGAGAATCAGCAAAAGACTGGTGGTTCAAAGGTGTCAGGGGGTACAGACAGCGACGGCTTTGAGACGATTCCGCTGGGCAAGATCGAGGATTTTGGCGCTCACGCCAGCCACTACTACTCTCTCGAAGTCTCACACTACAAGTCTTCCCTCGACGCCAAACTTCTCGAGGCACTTTGGAACAAGTACTGGGTGCAGACGCTTTCGTCGTCGCCTCTTATTTCAAACCGCGAATACGGCACCAAGCAAATCTCCGACCTGGCACGCAAAATGCAGCAAGAGTCACATAGCAGCTCACGATTCAAGGGCGGTCAGGGTTACTCGAGTAGCCTCGATGTCAAGAATCAACTGACCAAACTTGGCGCGGTGGGATCGAAGATTGCGCGCGAAGAGGATATGGGCCTGCTGGCGGCACAGGTCAAGGACAAAGTATTCAGCTTGCCGAGTGAAGGCGAGGTCAAGAGCCCAGACGTTGTTGAAATGGAGACTTCGTGATGTTGCAGGTCGAAGAGGTATGCGAACATGTGCAATGATTGGACAGCATGGCAAGGCGTTTATGGCGTAGCAAAGGGGATTATTCGGATCGAATTATAGAATTACAGAGGGTAGTGTATTAAATTCAATACAAACCTGTCATGTCTTGATGAACACGAAATCCGCTCCTCACTGGTATCATACAATTCGGCGAAGCAGACATAATTCATCTGCATCACAACCCCATCTTTTTTTTTTAGCACCCTAACCTCGCCAGTGTCTCTTTACGCCCCAAAATCAACATGACATCAAAAATCCGCATGCCCTCCTCTTGCCCCGTGATCGTCTTCCTCAAGTAATGATACACATCCTTACTCCCCTTCTTGCCTTCCTCCCTGCCATCAATAATCTCCCGCACCTTTTGCATCAAATGGTCCTTATCCCAGTCTTTCTCCTGCACCTGCGCCAGCATCTGCGCACGCATGGGGATATCCGACGACGTAGTTACGGGGGGCGCATTCTGAAACGGTCGTAGCGGGGTGAAGAAGAAGGAGTTGCGATAAAGGAATTCGTTTGCGTTTGTGTAGTTTTCTGCGTCAACTTGGACGATGCGTCTGATGTAGTCTTGCGGGATGGGGGAGTTGACGACGGCTTTCCAGTCGGTGTAAGGGGAATCGGGGCTGGTGAGTAAGGTGGCGATGTTGTCGACGATTTCATCGAGGGCGGGGCCGCCGATTTGGGCGCGGAGATGGGCGTGTTTGCGTTGGAGGAAATGCAGTTTACCAAAAGTGACGGTTGTGTTTCCTTTTGTGAATTTCAAGGAAAAGTTCTTGATGAGTGCTTCGAGGTCCATTACGTCAGTCTTTTCTTTGTGGCTCCAGCCGAGGAGGGCGGCGAAATTCGTAAGGGTTTCGGGGAAGATTTGCATTTCTTTGAAGGCGGCGATATCGGTGTCGAAGTTGCGCTTGCTGAGCTTGTTGCCGTGCTCGTCGACGAGGAGGCCTACATGGGCGAATTCTGGGGGGTCCCAGCCAAAGGCTTGGTACATGGCAATGTGTTTGGGGGTGCTGGGCATCCATTCGCTGCCGCGGATGACGTGGGTAATCTTCATGAGGTGGTCGTCGACGACGTTGGCGAGGTGATACGTAGGTAGACCGTCTGACTTGAGGAGAATGGGGTCTTCGTAGGCGGTTTCGGTGACATGACCGCGTCGCTTGAGAGGGTGAAAGGTGCCGTATATGAGGTCCTTGTAGGTTGGGTATTGCTCGGGCACTTTGAGGCGGATAGTATGTGCTTCTCCCTTTGAGGCTCTGTCGTCGCTCTCTTCCTTGGATATCGGGGCGCATGTACGGTCGTAGTCGGTGGCTATCCCCAGCTTATGTCTGTGTTGGGCCAGCGCATTCAAGCGCTCTGCTGAACAGAAACAGCGGTATGCATTTCCTGACTCCAGCAATTCATGCGCATGCTTTCTATACAATTCGCTCCTCTCTGACTGTTTGTATGGCCCGTATGGCCCTCCCACTTGTGGCCCCTCATCCCACTGTAGCCCCGCCCATCGCAAATCGTCAAAGAGTCGTTGCTCGGCGTCAGGCACGGTGCGCTTCTGATCTGTATCTTCTATCCGGAGAAGAAATTGTCCGCCGGTACGCTTGGCTAGGAGGTAATTGAACAGCGCTGTCCGTAGTGATCCCAGGTGTAGGTAGCCGGTTGGTGATGGTGCGAAGCGCGTCCGTGCAGGAAACGATGGCAAGGCTGTTTTACTTTTCTGGTCCTTGGGTACTTTAGAGCTGATTTGTCGCCGCGAACCCCGTGATATTCGCAGGAGACATGAGCGGCATGTATATGCGGGGAATTGCGGGCGAAGGAGAAGAGAAACGGACATGGCGGTGGTGATGCGACGGCGACCAGAAGCTGCCGGTCCGCGTGTGCAAAATGTCAGACAGGGATCTCTTCTATCTTGACCTTAGTGCGGGCGCGTCTGAACTTTTGCCCGCATTGCAGACTGATCGGCCTCTAGAGAAACTTTGTTGCCCTTACCTTTACTCGACTCCTGGTTGGCAGCCTTGCACATTGCACCCTTTCTTCTTGTACATATACCTTTGAAGCAAACTTTTTTGCCCTCTTCCCTAACCGTCCCATCCATAGTGTCCGCACAAGAGTACGTATCTTCTGTTCATTACGCCACGATTACATGCTGACTGAAGCGCAGTGGATGAAGAAATCGACCTCTACGGTGCGCTTACATGCTTGCCTGGGGCGTATACAAACTAACAGAAACAGAGATCCTTGAGATCGAAAAGGGCGCAACCAAGGTCGAGATCAAAAAGGCCTATCACAAAGTGCGTAGGCAGAGGCGGGCGACGCATAAAGCGACGCATCTCTAACATACCCAGGCTGCACTCGCACATCATCCCGATAAGGTCGCAGAGGAAGATCGTGCAGAAGCCGAGGTCCGCTTCAAGGCTGCAAAGCAAGCCTACGAGATTCTCTCCGATGATGACAAGCGCCAAATGTACGACACCCACGGCATGGCCGCTTTTGACCCGTCCAAAGGAGGAATGGGCGGCGAAGGCCCAGACATTGACGACATTTTTGCGCAAATGTTTGGTGGTATGGGCGGCTTCGGAGGCATGCCTGGAATGGGCGGCATGGGCGGTATGGGAGGAATGCCTGGCGGGCGCCACGTACCTCGTAAGGGACGGTCGGTAGAGCAAGAGTACGAGGTTTCGCTGGAAGAATTATACAAGGGCAAGACGACCAAGTTCACAAACACCAAGAATATTGTCTGCAACCTGTGCAAAGGTAGTGGCGGCAAGCAGGGCGCCAAGAGCAATTCTTGTGCTGTGTGTAATGGAAGGGGTATGTTATTGTTCTCACATCTGAACAGAAGTATTAACCAACCCTTGTAGGTGCCAAACAGGTACTCCGCCAAGTCGGACCTGGTCTGGTCACTCAGGAGACAGTCCCTTGCGGCAACTGTCAAGGCTCTGGACAAGTTATCCCCGAGAAGCAGCGCTGCAAGAAGTGCAAGGGCAACAAAGTCGTTGAGACCAAGAATGTTCTTGAGCTTTACATTCCTCGTGGTGCCCGAGAAGGCGAGAGGATCGTGCTAGCAGGAGAGGCGGATCAACTGCCTGACCAGGAGCCCGGCGACATCATCTTCACTCTTACCGAGACACCTCACGATGTGTTTGAGCGCGCAGGCGCTGATCTCCGTTGTGAACTCAAGGTCACTTTGGCCGAAGCTCTTACAGGCTTCAACCGAGTTGTTGTCACCCACCTTGACGGAAGGGGGATCAAGATGAACGTCCAACAACCCAATGGAAATGTTCTCCGACCAGGACAGGTACTCAAGATTGAGGGCGAGGGTATGCCAAATAAGAAGAGTGACACTAGGGGTGACCTGTACCTTGTAGTGGACGTCGAGTTCCCTCAAGATGGATGGCTCAAGAGCGAAGCCGCCGTGCAAAAGGTCCGCGATGCTCTGCCCAAGGATGAGAAGCCCGAGGAAAAGCATGAAGACGTCGAGGAAGTCGAAGTTGAGTGGGACGCTGACATGGAAGAGTTTGGAGCTGGCAGCGGTGACCCACGAGCTGGTGGCGCCGAGTGGGAAGACGATGAGGAGGGCGAGGGCGGTCCTCAGTGCGCGACTCAGTAGAAACGCTGCGTTGACACGACCTGATGAAATGCATGGTTTTGGCGTTGCCGGGAACGATGATGGGCTTTTTTCTTATTCTTTTCCCCATCACACACATATACACGTCCGGCTTGTTTGTGGACATTAGACTGGGATTCATCGGCTTTTTTCATGCTCATGTGCTTGCAACGACTCCCTACATTGATGCGATTCTTAGGAGAGAAAATACTGATACCCGGATATACAGCTCTTAACGGCAATGTATTGATTGGGAGAATGCAACATAATTCCCTAGGCGGTTTCATAGGTCAGATTAGTTGTGAATGATAAGGGCGAATGTGATTAGGATAGGGTTTGAAGCATCCGCGATCTAAGCCTTCACAGTGAAGTTCAGCATTAGACATGTACACAATAGTCACACAGTCTAAACAGGACATTATCCTATAAAATATCACTAAAATTCGAGCACACAAAAAGTTGGTTATTCGCAGTACCTAAGGACCGTTTTCCTTGACTTCAATGCTTCCGCGAGCCGAGCTTGCACCTGCCTCAGTGCAACTGCCACTACCGTTTGCTGCCAAGACCATGCGAGCGACTTCCCTTACTGAATATCACCCTCCTTCACTCTTCATTTTACCCCTCACAACAAATACAGACCATGCAGCAGCATCAACCCAACCTATTCCCGGTCCCCGATGTTGGACGCGTGCCATCAGCAAGATCACGCTTTCCTGCTCGACCCTCATCCTCACCATCAGCTCCAAATTTCATCATTGTGGGCCTCTTTGCGCTACGTCTAGCAAAGCGACTACTTGAAGGTCTTGAGTACTACCCAGGCCGTGATGCAGACATCATTTGGCTTGTCAACTTCTTAGCGCCCTTCAGTGATGACTACCCACTAGCAAAGATATCAGGCCGTCAGAAAGACGATTACCTCCAGATGTATCCAGCATTGGTATCTCGGATGAAGAAGCAACCCCGATATCCCATCAGGTTCATGCAGATGAATCCAGACCAGTCCATGTACCAGTCCCGACAGTGCGGCGTTGCAGAGCAGCCAAAGAAGATGACGGATGGTAAGTGAATCAAAACACCTAATAACTTGTTCATCGTCTGACTTAAGCCAGTCAAGAGACTAGAGACCATCGACTTTTGCGATGCTGCCAACGAATGGGGCTCTAGCGTTCCTATACCAGCGTGCGAGGCGGAAAGAATGATCGAGCTAGCTAACCAACGGCGTATAGCGGATCTTGACCGTTCACAAAGGCGTGAAGAGGGGCAACATACAAGTGCGAGACGTCCACATTTCGAGTCTACGACCTTTTCACCTGATGAACGCACACGATATATGAACGACAGTTCGCGGAGAGGCGATGAACTCTCAAGGCAAGAGGAAGCACGAACAAGCTCAGGGGCTAGAACGGGCCGGCATATATCTTTCTCGGATGAGAGACGGGATTTCGAGGCAAGTTGTCTACTTCTGGAGTAATATTCATTGGATGCTAACTCATGTAGGAGCGAAGACGATAACTGCACAACCAGACATCGAAGCTCATTTGTCTACAGGCGATTGATAGGTATGAAGCTTGTTTATACTAAGTCAACCAACTGCTCACAGTTTCCAGGATGCTTTTCGAATTACCATACCGGTCCCGGTCTGATGCTCATCAATGCTTCCAGTCCCATTACGTCGGCAGGATTACATGCCTCACTTGCGTACCTAATATCTTTCGATGCGGAACCTCGACATCCAATTATGGAACTCTCGTTATTCTTCTTTCCTTTCCACATACAACCACCTGCTCTATCGGTGCCGCGGTTCCGAGCTTTGGCCTACTTGTCGACAGCATCACGTGAGCCTTCCTAGATTTCGACAAATCGTTAAATGATTAATTTTTTGAAATAAGAGTCAAATGTTTTCGACATACAAGTACATACGACCAAAGTTTCTTGAAAGCATCGCTTCCCGTTCGCTCAGCGGTAATTAAGCAGGAAAACGGCGGATTAGTAGTTAGGTGGGTGACCACTAGCGAATCCCCGCTGTCGTATGTTTTTTTGCGTCTTTGAAATTCCACGGGTTCGGTGTTTTGTGGAAAAAGCACGGAATGGAGTGTTGGAGAATTTTTTTGATTGGTTTTCAGAGGTACAAAAGTGCGTTTTTGGGTCACCAATGGGTTTTTTGGGTGCTGTGTTGAATTTTGGGTAATTCTCGAGCCTTGACCCTGTGTTTTTTTGTGCATTTGCAGGGCCGCTGCTATGTACGAAAACCACTCACCTCGAGCCTGTACACGTGCAATTACCACCGCTCCACAACCCAGACGGCCATGGTTTAGATCCCAGATTACCACTTATGAGAACAACAAGGACTACTGCGTAACTGCGCAAGCATTGGCTGCTACTCACAAATTTTATTACTATTGGCCAACCCAGCAGTAGCTGCAAACACCTCAGATCGTTTCGCAGTTGTGAACAGGCCCACGCTGCCAGCCAAGAGCAGCGTAAAAATTCCAACCATGACCAGCTTGACGGTTGGATTCGAGATATAATAAGGAGCCAGGATAGCGACGAACAGAAGAATTACTGTGATTAAGATGCTGAGAATGGCTACAAATCGAGTCATCAGCTTTTCTGGGATATATGCCATATTGTCTTCATATCGCTCCGCCTAGAAGATATGAGCCTTGGTTGGAAACAGTATGCACTTATTTTACCATAAGAACACTGGGAGATATCGCTGGACAAAACTCGTCAGCATATCCTCGAATTCTGGCTGTTTTAGGACCACGAGATCCTCATCTGTGGTGTAGAGCTTTGCGCTGGACCCGATCATGATGGGCTCTCGCTGTTTGGGAGCCTTATCATATCTGGTCGTATCATGATTGATAGCATCAAATATGCGCACTGGTGGTGGCCCGAGAGATGCAAGTGTGCTTTCAAACATTAAAGCCTCTCCTGCCCACGGGTTAGCCGTCCGACCTTTACAGAGCTACAATCCTGAAATTACTATATTCTCTTAGTTTATGCCGGACTTGAGCACGAGTTCCACGCGAGCCTTTTGCCGTGGATTGCTTCGACCCTCTGCAACCACTTGGAACAGCTCTCAACTTCTCGCGCATTCTTGCGTATCAACGTCTCCATATTCTATACTGCAATCTTCGCGATCGAAACGGTCTTATATTCGCAATCAACAACCTGATTTAGATACTCTCCATAAGGGCAACAAACGAGTCTTGCCTCCAGAGCTGCAGGCTCGCTCTGGAGGTGCAGCAAGTTGCAAGCCGCCAGCTTATCAAACCCCTTCATCTTTTGAACACGATGTCTTATTCGTCTACAACATGCAAAATGCGTGATGGCTTGCGCTATGACATGAATCGAGTGCAAAAACATAGTTCATATAACTACTCGAATGAAGCCATCGGTCCAGACTCAGCAAACAGTTTGGTGTATAGTCTAGCAATATGGCACTTAGCCACTAAGCAAGTCTATGAAGATCATTTCGAAAACAACCTCTATGAAATAGTTGAAATCTACCTATGATAATTATAGATCAGCGATGGAAAATAGCTGTCAGGAGGAGTCCAATATAACAAACTTTTGCAAAAAAAATAATAGCCAAGAGCTGTTCAAGAATCATCTAGGAGAACAACTGGCGAGACGTTTATGCCAGTCGCAAGGGTCGGCGGCATACCTGAGAATGTAGGCGTAGTTATCTTGCCACTTTTCATACCATCATAGAATCAACGAAGCACATCTAGCATCAGCTCAAAAAGCGCCTACACTATATGTTTCCCCTTCACCTTCTCCCTGACCTGCCTCTCAGTGCACATCTTCCAATACCACCTCAGTGATGCCCTCGCCTCAGTCGTAATCGCAAACGTCAGCAACAGCACGGGCACAGCTGTAACCCAAAATACCCACCCCTTACTCTCGCCCGGCAAAAAATCATCCGTCATAGAGAAAATCGCGGCAATAGTCGAGAGCGGCACAAACACCATTGTCACATTCGTAATCTGCGCCAAACTCAACGCATTCCGATTCGCCGCCTGCGCCTCCTGCATCGTCGTAAACTGGAGGTAAGACTGTAAAAACGCTTCGGCCATGGTAATCACCCTGCCGCAATAATCCTGAACCGTAAGCCACCCATCGCGCTCCCACTCCGGAGCGCCAGGTCGGTGTAAGCCAAGGACTTCGAATTGCTCTTTTACTTCTGAGTTGACGAGACCCATGATGTACTTGATGTTTACGACGAAACCGAAGACTTCGTGGTGCCAGCTACTTATCAGGCCTTCGCCGAATTCACGCAGGTAGTCGCAGCGGTTCGTGTGCAAGATGGCGGTGCGTGGGTTTTGCTGGAGTCGCAGCATGTTGAGGATGCGGCGGCGAAGGAAACTGAGGAAGTAACATATGGCTAGTCTGCGGGCTACGTCTGTGCAGCTGCGGGGGCCGATGGAGTGTGCAGGCTTGTCGGGGGTGAGAGATAGTATGTCATCGAATATAGACTCGTACTTGGGGCGTTGCCAGGTGCCGGTCCAGTCGGAGGGGTTGGGCGGTAAGACTTCCAGGTCGGAAAAGTCCGGGTCAAGACTGTGCATACGGGCGTATGCGTGTTCTTCTGAGCAGTGGTCCACAGGGAATTTGCAACCATTTGTGAGAGATGTTACAGTCTCGCGGACTGGAGGGTCGACTATCAGCACCGCTACAAGGCCCGTCAGCAATGTCTGAGAGTATGTGGAGTAGCTAGAGAAAGCGGCGCCATACAATCCCACGAGCCGTCGTGTCTGACCCCCGAGGTCCAAAAGGATAGGGCGTGGTAGCTTTTTGGCTGGTCGAGAATCGGGGCTTTGGGGTCGTAGCAATATACATGGCGCTGGATGTTGAAGTCGCAGCGAAAAATGTTGCCGTGCACTTCTCGGTCTGCCTCTATGCGTAAAGGCTGAGTAACGGCATATCTAATGCTGAAATTCTTTTCCGAGTACCGGCGAAGGGGGTTGCTGTAGTTGAATTCTGGCGTTGCTGGATCGGCCCAGTGGGCAGCGAAGAAGGTGGGGGGAATCCGTAGCTGCGCACCAAGTATCTCGAGATAGTTGAAACCCAAATCTTCCAATATGAAGAGTCTCTTTCGCGGGTGCAGTTCCTCTGCGGCTAGTGGGTCGTCAAAGTGGGCCTGGAGGCCTTGCGAGTTCTTGAAGATCTCTGGTTCAAAGATTTCATCGTCGCGGTACTCTATCACTGCTACCCTGCCTCTTTCTCTTTCCAAGGTTGTTTGAGATTTCAGATTGCGCAGGAAGTTTGGAAATAACCAGCGGAGTTGTAAGTCGATAAGGTCGTGGTATGCTTCGCGTGCATCCTTGTCACAAAACGTTGTCGATCTCTCGTTCCAGGTACCGGTTGGTGATTGTTTCTCGTCCATGGTCAAATGGTGACGATTGGCAAGACAACTACCCGGCAGCCTTACGACCGTTTAATAACGGTCGCTTCTACATAGCTGGGCAGGGGAGGATGGAACAGCCTTGGGGGCGAAATCCTAGGAACCGTGGCTGTGTGTTGGTGGTGCTGTAGCACAACTATCCTATTGGCCCTGCGATGACTTTGGCCAGGGGAGTATGCAGACTGACTGCAGCATATCACGGAAAATACACCCCCGACGCTCGACTAGGCTTGAGCCGAGGTGAGGGGTTTCTGTCCCTCCTGCTCCCATCGCCACCTCAAGTACGGCTTAAGTTCCTTGTCTGTTGGTATTACCCTTTTCCATTCTGGTTCAATCCCAACCACGCCCTCTGTGCCGCGTAGTCTATCCCGATAGAAGATACGGTAGCTATCAAGTGCATACGCACCCATGCCCGGCAGATGAGCAATTTCCCAACCCTCTCGCTCGTCGTCGGGTCCTAATACCTCTCCTGGCCTGACATTCGTCCCACATCCACGGTCTGGGTAGTGCAACCTCCGGTATCTTCGCTGTCTGCATGGAGGCGCAGCAAGCCAGGCGTCTGCTAGGGCTATAAGCCGCATGGCCCGGATTCTATGCAGACCTATGGGCTGTAGCATGTTGATTAGGTCTTGGAGCGGTGCTACAGATAGTTCTTTTGGAGAAGGATAGGCTGAGAGCAGCTCGAACAGCACCGGTCGGGCCATTTGGCCACGGGTTTGGTTCCATAGAATGGCCTGGACTACTAAGGCATACAGACTATCACAGATTCGTTCTTGGATGAGACCGTACTTGGCAGGTTGGAGGGTCAAGCTGAGTCCTAAGGGCTGAGGTATTATACGAGGATGGTCTTGTTTTTCGACTCTTGTCTTGGTTGAAGAATCCTTCTTCTTTTGGGGAAATGGGACATGTTGTGAGGCGCCCTGCCCGTGTGTTTGATTAGAGGGTTTAATTCGACGACTTCTTGTTACTACTGGCATAGCTGAATAGCCAAAGATAGCCAAAACACTTGATTACATGCAGGAAGACAGGATCATGGCTAGCTGAATCTTGTCATCCGGAAACAACAACTTCACTCCCGCGGCGCTAGCAGCTAGAATCCCTACGTCATCGAAACACCTATGATGTCCTGACGATCGAAACACACCGCCAGCTGGAAATTGTTCAGACGAGATGGTGAGACCTAGAGAAAGCCATAACACCAATTCGTAACACATCGCGCAACGTATCCCACACTAAGGTTTCTTCACGAGCACCCAGAAACCAGGAATTGGGCCTCGGTGCTAATCACCATATTAGCACCGCCGGGATCAAGCTCCATCCCAGCGCACTTCATCCATCCCTCCTTCACGTCGCACCTCATCGTCAAAAAAAAACCTCAGGTCCCTTCATATCGCGACATGACCTAGTAAACCTGCGACCATGCTCCCCATACTTGCCTGAATGCAAAGAGTAAGGCCAGCCCTATGCTATCCCAGCCAGCTATCCCAACCAGCTGCCCCACCTCACCATTTAGCTCCACCCGCAAAAAGCATAGAGCCCGCCTTGCCCACATAATCCGTCATCGGAAGCTCTCGGGTCGTCATCATCATTGCTATCGTGCAAAAAACAAGCTCCAATGTGACCTGTTTACCAACTGCATCCCTAGCCCAAACAAATAAACAAAAAGAGTCGGACCAAAAGGGAAAGAAAAGCACAATGTCTTTTTCAGACAATGGCGACGAAATGGAAGAGTGGGCCGACCAATCGTCTACACAAAAGCGCTACGAAGGCGAAGACACCAGTCCAACCACACCCCGTGAATTAAAGGGCTGGTACGCGTATCCTATCGCCGCTGAAGTAAATCCAATTTTTTTTCAACCACCTCTGGGAACGAACAGAAAAAGAGAGCAAGCTAATAAACGTCCGTAGGTTTTTGCCGTGGTAGCAGTCGGTACGTCACCCCCTCATACCCGCCATCCAACCATGTCGCCTTTTATCTCAATCTCGCTTGGTAAAAGAACCACCAACTTATAAAAGTACACAGGCGCCTTCCTCCCCGTCCTCCTCGAGCAACTCGCCCGCGAAAACGGCGTCTTCTTCTCCGACCCCTCACGGCCATGCGTCTCTCGTTCCACCTCGTCTTCCCGCCGCGCCAGCGAGGGCGACAAAGCCGCAGCACCAGCTTCCTCAGAGCAGTGCATGGTGACCTACCTCGGCATGCAAATGTCAACGAGCAGCCTCGCGCTGTACACGTCGAGTGCGGCGGTGCTGCTGCAAGCCCTGGTCTTGGTGTGTTTGAGTAGTTTTGCAGATTATGGTACGTTAATATTCCTTTCCATTAATTTATTATCTACTTTGAGATGGATAGAGAGAAAGTCGGGAGCAAAGGGGGGGGTGGGCTGGTAAGAAAGAAGGAAAGAAAGTAGCTAATTGGATGCGTATAGGTCCATATCGCAAGAAGATGCTCATGATTACTTCCTACACCGGCTCAGTAGCGAGTTGCCTCTTCATCTTCATCTCCCCGGCGCTATACCAACTCGCACCTATCCTGGTCATCGTCGGCGTAGCGTGCTTGGGATGCTCGTTTGTGCTGCTTAACGCGTTTTTGCCGTTGCTAGTAGCCAACTATCCGGATAGCAATAATACTGCGAGTAGAAAGCCGCTGTCAGAAGACGATGATTCAGCCGTTGAACTCGACAGTTTGAACGCAAACTACGAAGCGGCGGCGTCACGCAGGGAGGGTGCAGAGAGGCTGGCACGCGACTTGGAGCGCTCTGCACAAATCAGTTCAAAAGGTGTGGGCTACGGGTACATGGCTGCTGTCTTTGTCGAGATAATAGCTATCCTCATCATCTTCATCTTCAGCAAGACGTCGGTGTCGAAAACCTCGCCTACCCTCTCGATCCGCGTCGTACTCTTCATGGTCGGTCTCTGGTGGGCCATCTTCTCCATCCCGACCTTACTCTGGCTGCGCGAACGCCCCGGACCCCCTTTACCCACCCAGCAGCAATCCAGCATCTCCGCCTTATCATCATCCAAACTCCGCACCTTTTTCTTCTACACGGCCTTCTCCCTCAAAAGCTTCTGGGTGACCCTCAAAAAAGCTTGTGCGCTCCGCCAAACCCTCATCTTCCTCATCTCCTGGTTCCTCCTCTCCGACGCCGTAGCCACAATCTCAGGCACCGCCGTACTCTTCGCAAAGACTGAACTGCACATGAGTACCATTGCCATTGCCCTCCTCTCCATCACCTCCATCGGCTCCGGCATCATCGGCGCCTTTGCCTGGCCACACATCCAGCGCCACTACGCCCTACAACCGAAAACCGTGCTGTTGTGCTGCGTAGCGGGTATGGAAATCATCCCTCTGTATGGCCTGCTCGGCTACATTCCCTTGTTCCAGCGGCTGGGCTTCATAGGCTTGCAGCAGGCGTGGGAGATTTACCCTATAGCCGTCTTACACGGCATCGTCATGGGCGGGATATCGTCGTACGCGCGGTCCGTCTTTGCGCCACTGATCCCCGAGGGTAGCGAGGCGGCGTTTTTCGCCCTCTATGCCGTCACGGACAAGGGGAGTAGTGCTGTGGGACCGACGCTCGTGGGACGCATTACGGATAATGCGGGGACGATTCGTCCCGCATTCATCTTCTTGGCCGTCCTGGTTATGCTGCCTGCGCCGTTGCTGTGGCGGCTGGATGTTGAAAAGGGGAGGGAGGATGCGAGGGCTATGGCCGAGGGAGATGCCAAGGGACGCGGGAGGTACGAAAGAGTCCGGACTGAGTGATATCTTTGAGCCGAAAGGTTCGAGGGGCCTGAGCCGAAAAGAGGGGCGCGGTATATGATATGAATTTTGTCACGCCTCAAGTGGCTTTTTTTTTCCTTCCCTAGATAGTTTTGGCCTGGGCCCGTCCACAGTAAGAAAAAAAAAGGGTACCGGCAAACGATAAAAATGGCCAATTTTTTTTATACCTGATCTTGTATTTTCGGGCGCTTACTATCCCTGTCGTTGCTCTCGCCGAATCGCTTTCTTTCTCCGAGAGGCTTTGCGTTTGCGCCCGTGGCACCGTCTCTGTCCCTGTCTCTTGCGCCATGTCCATCGGGTCTGAACCTCTCATCCACCCCGTACTCAGCCTTGTCCCTTCGCGGGCGGTCATGCCCAAAGTCACCCCATTTACCGGTGTCCTCGGTCTTCATATCTCTGTACCGTGTGCGACCCTTTTTTCCGAGCTTCGTCATGTCCCTAATCTGCATGTATTCGGGCAGAATCTCGCGGTTGGTGTCGTCTTCGAAGCGGGCGTTCATGAGATTGCGTCGGTCGACGCCGAGTTCCTTGAGTTCGTCGGTGAAGAAGGCACCCTTGTGGAAATACTTTTGCATGTACTGCATTTGGCCCCGGTCGCCTTTTTCTTCCTTCTGTTTCTCGATGAATTCGCGATCTTCGGCCTCGCGCTCGGCGGCTGATAGGTTGCGCCGACGTTCAATCTCGGCACGCTCAGCTTCGGCTTCTTCGATAGCGAGACGTTCCCGCTTGATGCGCTTGAGTTCGCGGAGTTTCCAGGCTGCGTATTCGGCGTCGGGATCGACCCCGTCGGTGTCGTCGATGGCGTTGATGTCGGCGTCTTCGATGTCGTCGTCCCAGTCCTTTTTGCCTGTTGCCTTTTCGGCTATTCGCTGTTCGACCTGCTCCTGTACAAGTGCCCTTGCCTGTTCTTGTCGCCGTGCCTCTTCCTCTGCTGCTAACTCGTCTGCTGACTTGACAGGTGCCGCAATCTTGTTTCGCTCGCTCTTCTTCAGAAAGACTGGTCGCAGTAGTTTCTTTGGCGCCTCATCTTCACTACTTGACTCCTCCTCTGACGACTCCTCCTCATCGCTGCCGCTTCCACTATCACTCCCACTGCCACTGCCACTGCCACTACCATCTTTTTCCTCTTCATCCTCACTCTCAGTCTCGAACTCGTCTTCTAGCGCTTTACGCGCATCCTCACTTTTTTGCCGCGACGCAAGTCTCGACTTGAGCGCTGATGATGCAATAGGTGCCGGTTTTGGTTTTGCAAAAGGTTTTAACTGGGGTTTTTGCTCGTCGTCTTCTGATTCAGATTCTGAGCTCGAGCGCTCTTCGGGTTCTACGACTGTTGGCTTTCCAGCGAATTGGCGCGTGCGGACAGGCTGCGCGGTGAGCTTCTTGGGCTTTGGCGGTGGCATGGTTGAAGGATGTTTGTGTGGCGCGCAAATCGAGTGTAGAAACAGGCAGACCAGTTGGAGCGCGAACGCGATACCGCGGCTGCAAGTGGCTTGGCGCGTGTAAGGCTGAGACCAACCCGCTACATTCATCCCAACCACAATCATAAATTTCAACACTTGATTAGATCCGCTTTTCTAAGGTTGGTTCCTGTATACAGGAACCGATTGTCTTGACTTTTTTTTAAAAGTCTGTACCCGACATATGACGCTGCCCTGTATTTTTGCTTACATATATTTTGCCTTCGACATATCAAAAATCTACGGTAGAAGTGAAAAAAATATATATGCACTTTCTTTCGTCACCCCAGATGATATTATTTTAAAAGAATCATTAAGCCTGTCCTTAGTTAAGTAGATTGAACAAGACACATCCCAGTTACGCTATACAAAATTTATTTACGGTTGTGATTCGTCAGAATAGCACACAGGTGGTCACCAATCACGTGTTCAGAAATAGGCAACACGACATATCATCAGTTCACGCCAATCGACAAAAACTTTGCCCATGAACTACGGGAAAGTAGGATTTAGGAAAAACACAAGAAATGAGCTTCGTCACGTCACCCGGCATTTTGGATCGTCGAGCTAAGGTAATTTTTTCAATTATCTGCTCATCGGAGACAATACACTACTGTTTTTTGATGGCAGCTATTCCACCTTGAATGATCATAATCCAGCCCAGCACTGTTGCCAGCCGTAAAACGCCAGTCATGAAAATTTCATCGTCTGTAACCCGTCAAGCTACGACGGGTTTGGTAGAATGCAACCAATAACGCCTATGAATGCTATGATGCAGTAAGAAAAAAAACTTTGACCAAATCAAATGGCCAACAAAGAGCCTCCCAGTAGTATAATGCACGCTTGAACGCAACAGATATCAGTGTCCACCGGACCAAAAAGCAATGCAAATGTAGCCGAAAGGAGGCTAGTCGAGAGTTGATACACGAAGATGATGTAATGACCCATTTACCTGAAAATAGGTTGTTGGGGGATGGGGAGTTGGTTGAACTGGTTCGTTTCGGGCCAAGCACTACGGTCCATGTAGGGCAGCAAGCCCGACCGACGATCAGTCATGGGCCGACCCAGTGGCTGGTACTGCATTTGATCGTATGCAATATTGCGCGCGGGGTTGTGGATCGATGTTTGGGGAGGTGGGACAAGCAGAGTATGTACACCACGGACCGGTCGATAAGGCGACTGTCGCTGATTGAGAAAGTGCGAGGGCGACAGTTGACGAGAACCAGTTGCAGCATACGACGTACTCACAGGTGACGACCCTGCAGACTGTGAATATGGGCTCACCTGACGAGGCTGCTCGGCAGAGGGTGTGTAGCTGTGAGGGAAAGCAGGAGGGGCCGAGCTTGTAGGAGTGCTACTGGGCTGTGGCCATTGGACCGGTGGTGGGTATACCATGGCCATGGACCGGCCGCCAGGTACAGGCAAGGGGAGCTCAGACCAGGTCTTTGCTTGGGTAGGCGGTACTTGCTGAGGTGGAGGGATCGAGAGGCTCGGCAGAGGCGGCAGGCGGTTCACAGATGGTGGCGGTTCAAACGATCGGTTAATGGGCGTCTGTAGTGTGGGGATTGGAGGAGCGTTGCTGTAGGGTCCAGGGGCGAATCCGTGAGCCTGTCGCTTCGCTGGTGGTTCGTTGGTGTAGTCTGCACTGCGTTTGCGTTGGATCGAACCCAGCTCCGGAAGAGCACCAATCGGAGAAACGTTAGTAGAGGTAGCCTGTGGTTGCAACAGCGGTGTCTTGGAGAGTGCAATGTGGCTCGGGGAGTACATTGAGGCTTGCGGAGACGCTTGTTGCTGAGTGGGCGGCGAGGGGACCACGTTTGAAGGAACGCCGAGCATGTTCTGGGGACCGACTGGGCTGACGGCGCCGGATGCGGGTATCTTGGAGGCCTGGTCAAAGAAGGTGCCAAACTTGCCCAGAATACCGTGCCACTCGTTCCACTTTTCCTTTGAGGTGAAAAGGCTGTAGCGCATGTTGCTGAGGAATTCAACTTCCATGATGTGAACCTCTTGTACTGAGATGCCTGATACTTCGGCCCATGTCTTGTTCGTATACGTGTTGTCATCGAGAAACTTGTTTCCCAGCATAAGCGCTACGGTGAGAAGACGGTATTCGCTGCCGGGCTTTCCCTTGACAGTTGGGTTGGTCTGCTTCAGCCTGTAGATGAAGAGGAGAGCAAGAAGAATGACATTCTGTGCTACCTGGGTTGTCGTCAGAATGGTGGCTACCCATTTCCTGAAGCCAGTTGTAGGGTGTGCATCTGGGACCAGAGGCTGCATGGGCTGGCGAGGTGAGGTTGTGTCAACGACTTGTTTCAGGGTTGCTGAACTCTCGAACCAGAAAAGACAGGTAATCTGCAAAGTTAGATGGCACGCTTTACTCAAAGACGGACATGACACTCACCTCTGCTGCCAGTTGAGGAAGGCCTTCTTGTGGTGTGTTGATGGTTGGTGGGATGCGTAGATTTGGAGATATTGACCACTTCTTCTTTGGTGTTTGTGACGTTTCGTGCGTCTGTTGTTGCTGCCGTTGCGGGCTGGGGCTTCTTGGAGCAGCTGCTGATCTCGAGTTGCCAATTGCGGGTAGTTGGTAGCCATATTGGTTGCCGGAGCCCTGGTTGGTTGGGAGCGAGACGACCCGTAGTGCTGAGCCAGGAAGATCTGGAGGCGTGAGGGGAGCTCGAGAGGCTGTGCGGAGGGGGTCGTGATCGCAGGCGTTGGCCATCCTTGGATATGGAAGCTGCATGGTAGTGTCCAGCTTGGAGGATGGCTGAGGGCCGGGGGCGTAGAAGGTGAAGGAATGCTCCCGCGGGATGGCGTGAGGCATTGGGCGAGGGAGCTGTAGCTCGAGCATGCGGACGGCGGGAGGTGAGTGAGGGTTGTGTTTGGGGGGGTTAGAGCAAGATCAAGGTGAGGGGGCGGTCATGGAAACGGCAGACGGCTATTGTTTGCAGAATGTCTGGCTCGACGGCATATCCAGCAGAAGAGGCAGGTGGAGTAGAGGCCGACTAAAAAGAGCAAGAAGAAGAAGGGGAGCAGGTGGGCCAGGAATAGATGGAAGCAGGGAGCACGATGGCAACTATTGCGGATGACAGCCACCGGGGGTCAATGTTTAGGTGCTAGGCCAATGGAGGCAGCCTTTGTTGGGGACAGCGGGAAGCGACGCTTGGGCGGCCGAGGATGGTGGAGGACAAGGGCGAGGCGAGACGAGGCGAGGCGAGGCGAGGTGGAGGAGGTGGTGGTGGAGGTGGTGGGAGTAAGGGTGAGTGTCGGTGGGCATGGGGAGTAGTAGAGGATGCGAGAGAGAGCGGGCAAGCATGTATGTATTGGGTGGTAGGCGTATGTACTACGGAGGAGGTGTAGGGAGGCGGACGGTCGGGGGCCCGCACACAGGCAGGGCAGACATGGCTTGGGGCCGTTGGATTTGAATAAAACACAGGTAATTCACACACACGGAGTCGTGAAGGGCTCGGAAGGTTCCAGGCAGGAGCGCGAGCAGGGTAGAAGGAACGCCCCAAGAGGCTGATCCAAAGCCGCGCTCTGACATCAACCGCGCCTGCGTGTTGCTAGCCGCGCACGGGCCCGGGGGGCACAACGCAACCGGGGGCACGCCGCCAGGGCAGCGGCGACCCGCCAAGCCGCGCGGGCGGATTAGCTGATTAGCTGACGAGTGCCTGCCTGCTTAGCTGCTGGCTGCTATCGCCTGCAAGCTAAGTGGTCGGAAGCGGGCGTAGTGAGTAAGTGTAGTCTGTCGAGGGAGGGCAGGAGCGACCGACTGCGCAAGCGGCTACCCGGCCGACCGACTGCGACTGCCTGACTGCCTGGCTGGCTGGGCCGGGCTGGGCTAATCGCTGGGCGGGCGGGCTGGCTGGCTGGCTGACTGACTGACTGACTGACTGACTGACGACTGACTGAGGTGTGTGTGCGTGTGTGTGCGTATGTGTGAGAGGAGAGCAATAGGAAGAGGCCAGGCCAGGCCCGGGTCAGATGGCGTCAAAGAACCACTCGCTCCCTCAACCAACCCGGCTGCCGACCACGACCACGACCACGACCACGACCGACCAAGAGACGACGACGACGGCGGCGGATACTACCTACTCCGGCTACTACGGCATACACACGCCTACGCCTACGTACATAGCACGCCGACGCCCATTCCTCCGCCCAAGCCTCCAAGGGAAAAAAGGGCCCAGCTGCGCCGCCCGGCATTGTCATCATCATCATGACTCCCAGCATCGCCAGCGTCATGCCAATCATCATGGTGCTTGTCGTTGATTGTTACTATGTATTATTCCCGTTAGCAACCCTGTCCCTCGCACCGGCCCTCAATCTACCCACGTAGTATCCAAGCATATGTAAGTACTCTACTCAGTCTCAGCCTGCCTCGCCCGCCGTAATACACACCACCCACCCACACATGCACAACCTGGCTGCACATGCGACAACGGCACCCTCGAACCGGCTCCCACTCGCACATGCACCGTGACTTTTGCAGCAGCAGGAATTGCCGGAAGCGGAGGCGCTGAGTGCAGCTTGGGCGGGTTTGCGGATAGCGTCGTGCGAGGCCGTGCAGCTGCGCATCCGTGGTCCATCCAGCAACAATAACAACAATCATCATCTCACTCACGCACGCCTCCACCTCCACCACCATTACCACCACCAATGCCATCTCCACCACCCACACACACACACACACACACACTCACATTTACTACACACATGCACTCTCACACGGCACACACGCACACACACTCACATGTACACACACACGCGCGCGCACATTCACACACTCCTCTCTCTCTTACACACACCCCTCCATCCATCCATCGCTCATATCACTCGCGCCCTCATTTCCGGCCCTGCCGTGTTTGACCTGCAGCGCTTGTCACTGGCCGTGCTGCACCACTCGTCGCCGGCCATGCCAAAAAAGCACCCTGCGATGCCGATGCAAAGACTGCCGTGCTGCCACCACACTCAGAAGCGATACGAACCAGGCCGCCCAGCCAGGCCGCGGACTAGCGGACTCGCGGTCTTACTTTACCCTAAGCATGCCCTAATTCCGAGCCCGAACCCTGTCCAACGCGACGCTTTGCAGGCTGAAGTTTGAGCGGGTGCTGGTGATCGTCAATCTTGTGTTTTTTTCTCTCTGCCCTCCGTCTTGCTTTGGTGTGACTTGCAACCATCCATTGGATCCACCACGCCCTGTCTGTGTCGAGGGCTCGGCCTGCCTTGTCGCTGTCGGGCCAATAGCCACTGCCCACCCTTCCCCGACGCTAGACAGCAGCTGGTTATTGAAGCATGCTCGCCTGTCCACCTGCCTGCTGAGCACTGCTGAGCCCTCCAAACAAGGCGAGGGCAGTGCAAGACAGGGCAACGCAACGCAATCTGCACTGCACAACCGCCCCTGACCAAACGCATATTGCGTTGTCTTGCCTTGGGTTGGGGGAGGGGGGAGGGGGATTCTGTTGCGCGCGCCTCAGTTACTGCATTCTGGCTCCTTGCACGCGTCCACTCAAGCCCCCCGGTGGATGGTTCCAAGATGCCCGAATTAGTTGGCGTGCACACACGGCCTGGGGCACCCACTCATCTCGGTCCTCTGTGCCTTGCCAACAAGTGCTGCCTACCTGCCATGCCATGGCCTCTCCCTCCATCCCTCCCTCATCCAGACCTGACCTGCCGCGGGCTGGCGGGTTGGCGGGTTGACGAGTCGCTGCCTGCGTGCAGTAGTAGCAATAGCAGCCGCAGCAAGCCCACACACGGTGGTTCGCGGATGCTGACCTGTTGACTGCTCCTAGCACCTCCACCACCCGTCCTTGTGAGCGAGCCATGTTTGCTTTCTCTCGACTAACTGCCCTTTGCCTGTCTCGTCTGGCCCACTGCCCATGGCCAGCAAGCAAGCAAGCAAGCACAGTCGGCCATGTCTGCAGCCGACGCCTCCTCTGCTGAGGGCCCGCTGCGCTAACCATGGAACCGTGACGGTGACTGAGATATTGCTTTGGCAGGCAAGTTGCAAGGGATTTGCTCCAGCCCCGTAATCTATCCATAGCACCATCTGTGGCGCCGGTGAAGCGCAGCTTCGCAATGCAATGAAGATGTTGCTGTGCAATGGTGGAGCATCGTTGCGAGCGCCCGTCATGCGCAAATGCTTGCAGGGGTGCCGGTGAAAAAAAAAATCGATGCCCGCGTAATCAACGGCGGCCCTCCATGACACGACACGACACGGACAATGGGCAAAGGCTTTGGCAGCAAGGAAGGCAGAGGCATGATTGCATTGCACATGCCTGTTTAGCTCAAAAGTCTTGTCCGGCGAAGATCAAGTGGGTAATAGAATACGGCGTGCCATCATGTATCGGTTCCATGTCGGTGTTGGGGGGTGGGAGGGGGTCGAGATCTCAAACACGTCCGTCCTCCTTCGCTACAGGCAAACGGGATGCTCGGGATGGCTGTCTAGCTGGTTGTGGCGGCGAATCACTGCCAAGCGCCCTCCAACCGTGGAAGCCCGCTCGCCATGTTGCAATGGTGATGCATCCATCGAGGCTAGCTAGTCCGGGCGCGCTCAGCGTTGAGCACTCGCCCAGGTCAAGTCATACGGTCGGTGTATACATAGACACAAGGACGTCGTCGACGCCCATCGCCTGACCAGCGACGCAGTGGAGACGAAGCCGCCTAGAGGAGCTCGGGGGTCCTCACGGGCGGCGCTCGGCTCCGCTTTCCTTCGTCATTCATCGATTGCACCACCTGCCATTTCATTGCCTTTCCCACCACTGCCACCCCCCTCCCCCCCCGATTAAACTATGTATACGATGATGGGTATTAGCGCGAGTCGTTACCCGACGTGCCCAGCCATGGATATTTGCGCTGCCTGGTGTATGACCCGCCTATGCCAATTGCGGCACATGTATTAGCTTGCTCATATGGCGCGCTGAGACGTACCGTGCTTCTATACGACGCGTACACATGGGGATATGTCATCCATTGTCAATAGAAAACCCGCCGTCTGTTTCGCTGCCATCAAGTCTGCCGAGCCGCACCATGGTAGCTTGTCTAGTGCGACCTGATTGTGCGCCGCAGTCCGGCGACAAGATAACCGCTGCTACTGGGATGAGACAAGGAAAAGGAATCAAAAAATCACCCCCCCCCCATACCCAGTGCGACTGACTGACCGACCGAGTGCAAGCCTTTGACGGCACGCGCAAAACACGAACATCCCTTGTTGCTTCGTCGGCTCTAGATGCAGTCAGAAACGGCCCATCACGCCCTGTCCGCAAATCCGCTGGCCGCTGGCCTCTCCTCGCCTTGGCTTGTCAAAAACCACTGCGCCGCTACGGCTCCTTCAATCCGGACTACCACAACAAGTCTGGCCTTTGCCGCGGCCCTGCAAAAGCACACACGCCCATGGACGCACAGTCTGGTGCAAGCCAAACGCCTCATGCCGACTCAGCACCGTCTGTACTCCTTTGCCACACACACACACACACACACACACAAAACCCACAGCCTTGACGTTAGTTTCTTCACACCGCGTCCTCCACATCCATCTCACACTCATCCCCGCTCTCTGGCGCGCTCAAACAGGTAGGTAAGACGACCCCTGGCGAATAAGCACAGCGGAACCCCACGCAATTACGCCTCTATCCAAACAAAGACCCTAATCCAAGGCAACCGTGTCTGTGTCCAGCTCGACGAATTCTTTGCTCGACTTTGTACATATGCCCTTGTATCAAAGCTATAGTGAGATGCAATCATCCGGCCTCAAGCTCTTGATTGTCGCACAGTGTCACAGCATGCTGACTGGTCAGGCCACCCGGCGGGAGCAATAGCCTTCATCAAGGGGTTATCACTGCTTGCTTTGCACCGGAAATTGAATAGCAATGTATATGTACAAGGGGCCGGTGTATCGATCTGCGCAGTTGTGTATGTGTGTGTGTGTGTGTCTGGTGCACATACACTTACCTTGCTCACATTCGCACATATGACCCAAAGCACCCACTTTCCGCTCATGCTTCGGTCACGACGCATCATGGTCGTGGGTGGATGCGTTACGCCACATGGGCCATTTAGCGAAGGACCCCCATCTCTGTGTGACCGAGTTACATGCCGTCCACCTCACAACACCCCTTGCTTCCAAGGACATGCAGCATGTTCCTTCTATTTGCGCCTACGATAACGGTCCCGACGTCGGCCAGAACCTTGCCAATAATCACTACTACTGATTACTACTATTCCTCCTACTACTTGCACCCATAGCACCATCACCGCCACCACCCATATTATGTCAGGCTAGCTCGCTAACACTGCACCCTTTCTTACTTTGTCATGGGCAATATGCTTTCGCCGGCTACACAGCACATGATCCAAGTTCCGTTGGTCGCCTAGCGTTGGTTTATGGGCCAACGATGATCTTACTAGCAGCACCTTGAAATCAGGTGGTGTGCTCTTTGATACCTTCAGCCACCATGTTACCAGTCCACAGCAACCAACAAAATAACCCTTGTGCCTGGTCGATGTCGCAACACCTCTTTCCATGGTGCATGTCTGTGCTTTTGTTTCTTTCTGATACATCGCAAAGTCACATTGTCATCGCCAACCATAAGTGCTTTGTTCGCTACAGACAGACGCACACTACCAGGGATTGCACGTATGACGGCAGTTTAAACCCACCCCTGGGGAAAAAAAAAGATGGCCGCAGCACCTTTTACTTTGGCACACATACATACACTTCAACTCTCTCCAAGGATTTCAAATGATGAATGTGTACTTTCTCACGTCCACACGAGTCCCGCGCCCCCCCCCCCCTGCGCCACCTTGCATGTCATCAAAATAGTCCGGGATACCATGGTTCCCTGCCGTCCAAGAAGTGTACCAGTTTGGGTCATATGCATATCGCCCTAAAGTAAACGACCTGTCGCCACAAGACACAATAATATGCTCAGCCTCGTACAGACAAACAGGGAAGACCAAAAAAACACGCAGGCAAGCCCCCAGCCCGTTTTTTTCTCTCTCTCTCTCTTGAATCAAAGTATATTGGTAAGACGCGCAGCCCTGTCTCACTCAAACTCCGGCTCATGTACGCCCGCTCTCTGCCGGGGGTGCGCGCGCGAGCGCGCCCGCCCAACTACATGTTCAACTCTTCTTTTTTGTCCATTTACACGTATACCGTTGTTCCCCTTGTTCACAAGAGAGAGGAAAAAAAAATGGCCTAGACCCCACCTTAACATACTACACTACACTAACACACATATGCGTTTGGGTTGTTAACCCCCGCCCAGTCGGTCCACCATCCGCTTTCTCTCTCTCTCTCTCTTTCTCTTTTTGGGCGTCTTTGGCAGGTTGCACGCCTGTTCATGTAGTGTACAAACGGTATTATTATTATTTTTTTCGCGCGGTTTTTTTTTAAGTAGGTCACCTGGGCATATTACATGTATATGCCCAATTTTGTGGGGACAAAGTTTCTGGCCTTGGCGCCTCGGGTTGTTTTCGCCACCACTGAGTGTCATGCTGACCGACTGGATAGCTATCCCGTTCGTCAAAGCAATTCCATCTCTGAGATACACCCCTTGGCGAAAGACACCATTCTTAGCTTAGCTCTCTCTCTCTCTCTCTGTGTGTGTGTATGTGTGTTATTCCTTTCTCACTCCGGTCTCATGTGAGTAACTATACTTGTTATCCGTCGTTATCTTTTGTTCTTCTTTTCTTGTTTCCGGACGCTATTCCCGCTTTTCCCTTCATTCCTTCAGTGGATACCCCCTACATACTAACCTCCCCCATTTTTTTTTCTTTTTTTTTCTTCTGGTCTATCTGCAAACACACACACAGACACACAAACGGGCACTTTTTTTTGGCACCCTACCTTCCCTCTTCCACATGGTCCAAAGAGAAAAAAATTCTGCATTACCGGCGGTCCGCAAAGTGAGATAGCAGAAACCGGGGGGTAGCTCTGGGCATCGGATCCGCATTTTTCTCTTCCACGGAGTAATAAGCCACGCATAGCCCATGTCTCTTTGATGATGGAGTTTTTTTTTTCTGTGAGACTCCGAACGGATGATGGGGCTTACGAGGTACATTATGTTCGTATATGTATATGCATGCTTTGAGTATAGTTATCCGACAAAGCAGATAAGCCAATGAGACCGCTTGGATGGGATACAATGGGGAATCTGACGTGCATTCTGTGGGGGGGGGCGGAATTCAGGTCTACAGTACATCCACGTTCACAAGCAAGGAACGGGGGATACCATTGCCTGAAAGAAGAATAGATGTACCTGGGTCTTTTTTCTCTCTCTCGCAACACTTGCACTCTAAAGATTTTTCCCCCCAAAGTTCTATGTCCCCATGTTGTATGTGTGCGTATGTGAGAATTCGACACACCTTCGTATGCCTTACCTCACCGCCACCTCACCGCCACCTCATCCACAAGTTCTCACACCCGTTGTCGTATCCATAAGCATCACCCTCAAACCTGTTTGACCCAACAATCCATATTCAATAGTCTCTCTCTCACTCTGTGCCATCCTTCTCGTAAAATCCCTTCAACTAAAACCCCCATCTATAAATAAACCCCCAAGCTTCGTCATCAATAACCTTCATCCCCGCTAAATCACCGAACAAAAACGAGACTCTCCACGTACGTGTGTGCGTGTGTGTGCGTGTGCGTGTGCGTGCATCCTACGCTTTATGCTACCCACCCCCCCGCCTCGCCTCGCCTCGAGTGAAAGAGAGGGGGGGAAAGAAAGGGATGTGTTTCAACGCCAGGATATGAGGTTTCACATTGCTTACGCGATGTAAAGAATCGGCCGAGAGAGATGGAAGGGGTTCTGGAGGGGGGTTTAGGAAAGGTAACTATTTTTATTTTTTATTTTATTGATATTTTTGATCTGGGGTAAATAGGGTTAGGGAAAATGGGGTACGTGAAAGTGCGCAAACGAGAGAAAGGGTTCATTGAATTTGCGATTGACGTTTAATCATTTTCATCTTTGATGACAGATGGTTTGGGGAGGGAGTAAACACGTTTATGAAGAAAGAGGCAGGGTAAGTTAAGATATATATCTCCAGGTGGGTAAAAACAAAAAGAAGTACTAAAGCGTCACGTTTTCCGTTTCCTAACACAAAAAAAGTCTTTGATAGCTGATCGGAGGCAAGATGCATATCATGTACATTATATTCTACAACCACGCAGCGATATCTGCCTTAGACTAGAATAACCTATTGTCGGCACTAGCCTTGGCGGCATCGCGTCTTGCGGTCTGCTTCTTCTTATCCTTTGCCTCACCTGGTGGCTTGAAGAACAGACTGGGGCTCTCGCCCTGCTTGAGCGTGTAGTTCAGGTACCCTCTATGCGCTGGGTCCCGATAGTACTCAATATCCTTTCTTGCCGTTGCGTCGGGAAGTCTATACTTGTATTTTGCGCCTACTTGCTTCATGACTGCGGCCATGGCCTCGGACTTCTTTTCTTCGGCGGCGGCTTGCAGCGCGGAGAGAATGGGAGACGGGATTTTGACGGCGGAGGAGCGGCTGGTGAGGGCGACGAGAGAGGGCGAGGCTTGCAGCGAAATCGTAGGGTGTGATTCCCCACGTAGCACGCGCTTGATGGCTGTGGGCGAGTAGAAGCGAGTAGTTACGCTACCGCCAAGGGCTTCGATGCGTTCAATGGCTTCGCTCGATGCCCGAGAGACGACTATGTGGATGGGCGTGGTGAGTTGCTCGGGATTCTAAACAAGTCAATTAGCTATGTGCGCTGCGTGCCCCCTTCTTTTCGATCTTCATACCCTTGCCAACAGCTTCACGCCATGTCTCTTTACGCCATGCAAACACCGTGACTTTGCCAATTCCTTCATAGTAATGGGTTTCTTCGGATCCAGCCGTCCCTGGTCAATCCAGCTTTGTATCCGGTCCAAATTAATTGGTGACATCTCCACCTTGAATGGATTGTGCTTCCCCCGCCCTCGCTCGGGATTCGTGATCCATTGTGGTGTCTGACCTCCCTCGAATCCAGCGGGCACTTTGCCGTGTGCGTGTTGTCCCTTCTGACCTCGTCCTGCAGTCTTTCCTTTTCCAGAGGCAGGACCCCGACCTCGGCGGATCTTTTTATTGTAGGCCCCGGCGTTGTCGGACAGCGAAGAAAGAATCGAGGCGCAGCGCTGCTGGGCGGGCAGCACAAAGGCGCTGGCTAGCGGTGTCACACATGACCACGAGGGCGACGATATCAGCGACGAGGCGAGTCGGACAGCTCGCACCCGTGGTGGCATGGCTGTTTGTTGGCAATTGGCGTCCCGGAGTGTTGGTGAAGTTCGACTTGCGAAGATTGGATGATGATTAAGCCTCTGGGCGTCTAACCGCATTAGGTTGAGCACTCTCCAGACATGAACATGCTTGAACACCATTTGTGGTTATTTTGGGTCATGTTTTGATTGCTATAGAAATTTTTTTTTGGATTGCTCAAGGCTGATTGTTCAATTTCAAGCAAGTTTGCAGATTGCCAAACTCGTTACTCTACACGGCTACGATTGTGTGTGATACTCAATAAACTTATACGTGTGGAATCATGAAGATATTTGTGGTTTCTGATCCTTGAAATCTCTTATTTACGAGAAAATCATGAATATCTTAAATTTATTGTAATCGCATTTCCAATCCCCAACCATATTTGTATCACACATATTTAGACTACCAGCAACCAACTAAACTAACCCTTGCTAATTGTCACTGGAGTATATTGTTTGATGGTGGCAGCTTGAACAATCACTCTTACTTCCACATTTTGCGTGTTGTTGCTAATTTTGAGCCTATATGAGATGTTCTGGAACAATATCACCGTGTACTTATACCACACGGTGCTTAACACAAAATATCCATTTGAATTCCTCATCCCACACTAATATGCTACCCTTCGTCAAACACCTGTTGCCCGTACATAATGGGAAATCTACACAATCAAATCTCTTATATCACTTATATTGTGCCGGTGCACAGGGTTACGAGTAACCCTTGTGCTAACAGTGTGCCTCCGGCCTACGAGGTATAAGAAGGACATCTTCGTGTATGGTAGCTAGACAAGCATTTTTCAGAGAATCTTTTCTTTATCATCTTGCCTTTCTACTTTCTCCTGATACTCTAGACATACTTAAAAGTCACCTACGCTCTATCGACCCTCTCGCTAACCCACCTACTATAGTAGAACTTGTGGCTCTGCACCCTCAGTAATAGCATAATATATCCAAAATATTGGAATGAGTATGCGCCACAAAAACGCATTCTCGTAACTCTATCGAATATAGTAACGTACATACCAATTAGTCCTCCGAAAACGAAGTATCACACACGCCAAAACGTCAACGAGCCAACCACGGCAAGAGACGCGGGTATAAAGAGAAAGACACGGATGATGACAACTCCAACTACATTATGACCGTCAGACTACGTGCGACGAGCCTGAGGAACCAGCTGCTTCATCGAGCCAACAGTCCCATTTAATTTAGCCACATTACAATGTTCTACTTTGTTATGGGGCTTCCAGCAAACCCGTGTCCAAGCTTAACCCAACAACCATCGCTTCTGGGTCGACCCTGTCCTTGGTGATGCTTGTAGAGGAAGTCCGATCTTATGAAGATCTCATGGGACAAGGATTTACGTCTTGTCTACTCCATGTCGGATTCTACATTACCTGCTCTACCCCGAAACATGTGCGACAACCAAACAGTCCAACGCACCCAAACCACACCTTCTCGAAAACTAGTGCACTCAGACTGACATCGGCAAAAGCATGGCTTGGGACACGACATGTCAAGAAACAAACTTCTGTTGCCCGGATCGTGACCGTATCATATGAGGAGGCCCTCTGCCAAGGACTCGAACACTGCCGCAGTGTCTTTCCTACTGACTGAGGGAACAAAAACGAAGGACATTTAGGAGGCTTTTGGTTCTCGCCTAGCGGTTTGGACGACTTATAGAACTGCGACACGTATTTCACCTGTCGGACCTGGAGGTTTTGTACATGCATTCTGCAAGGACGGTGAAGGAGCACGGGATTAGAGCAATTTTGGCGCTGGGGGTAAATGAACCCGAGAAGGTATGGTATGTTTTTTGGAGTCTGCGTGGCAAATAGGACGCCAAATATGCTGGCCAAATCCTCAATACGCTGCTTGTTCCGCACTTGGGGTAGAATGAACCTTCTGTTCTACAGAACGGGTGCAGATAGTGTCGGACCATCAGTCTTAATATGGAGGAGATGAGCTACCTTCACTTTCTCAACATCAGTAGTAGAAGTGCAGAAAAGTATTCGAGGATCGAGAGATGTACGGGAATTATTGAAAATCTATGAAATTGGATACTCAATCTATAATACAAAATATCTTGCTCTTCTATTTAAGCTTAGCCGACAATAGTTCCATACAGGCTTGTGAGTAACCATGTGCTCCGGCATATCGCATTTGGTTGGCATATGAGCATCAACCTAGCTTAATTTTATGCACAGTTTATGAAAACGATTGATACATTTTTGACTACGAGCAAATTGTTACAATGTTTGACCACGGTAAACCAACTAATAACCATACATACTACCAAAAGGTTATTGAGAATTGAAAGCAAGGATGTCTTGATTTGAGGTGTTTGTTCTCATCAAGACATTAGGTCGTAGCGAAATTTAGAGTCTCAGTCAACAAACTCCGAGACACTAACAATGAGATGCTCCATTCTTTTACATGACATGAATGTTGTTCTTGAATATGTACAGTCCCCCACTGCGAATTGAAGAGATATGTTACAGATTTTCAGAAAAGAAGCAATGCATGACCACTACGCTGTATAGCTACTGTCGACTCACGCCAAAACCAAAACTTCCATTTGACTTACTCACGTTCATGAGTGGGTTTGTGAATCTCACTTTCCAGAAACTTCCGAAAAACGTGTCAAAATTCCAGGCTGTCCAGAGAATTCGTGTAAAATTCTGCGAGGTAAGAACCGATCATTCGGAAGCGTCTCGCCACTGTAGAATGTCTGGGTTTAGCTCATTGGGATAATCAAAGAGATTCCCTTGAAACTGTTCATCGCAGCAGAGCGAAGTGTGAGATGCATGCACTTATGGGAGTCGAAGGCGACTGTTGCCACCGATCACAAACCATCGACGTAGATAAAAGGGTTGCAAAGCCTCATCAGCACCTCTACGGCACATTTTAGCAAGTCACGATCCCCTTGTTGAGAACAATGGGCTCTTTAAAGATACAGTTCTTAGCAACTGAAAGGTTATGTCTCCAAAATATTGACTATTCTAGCTTGGACAAGCGTACAAACGTTACCTCAATAGCATCAAAGTGATTGGAATCGGCAGCCGCATCAAGGTTTCGAAATGGAAAATAGAGGCGGGTTGGGGATAGACTAGGCAGCTGAATTGAGAATCAGCCGATTTGATTAGCACATTATGTTGGCTATGGCGAGATCTCGTAAATGCGCTATACTAATCAACTACAACCGAGGCAGCTAACAAGAATAGCGACATGATGCAGTAATGCGGCTACAGATTCTCTTACTGACAAGAAGATACATAAATAGATAATACGATACATCATATTTCATAAACACGCGCATTCGTGCTACCTGTCTGTTTTGTCACCGGCGGTAGCTTCCGTATGTTTTCTTTTGGATCGGCAACGCTTTCGCCACCAACCAATATCAGACGAAACCCGTAAAACGATCGGCGGGACAAAGTTGTAAATATAGTTACAAACCATCAAAGCTGAACTATGTTGGATTGTTGAATGCGAGCTGAACGCGTAAGTAACGAATTAAATGTGAGTATTGGGTAGTAACGACAAGTTTGGGTGCCGTCGTCATTTTGGTCTCACAAAGTGGGGCCGGGATTGCGCCACAAAATGGTTTCCAACACCAACTGTTCTTTCCTAATCTCCTCCACATAAGCAAGGAGTCGAGTCCGATATCACCCCAGGGAATCGAGAATACACCATAAATACCGACCTTCCAATCGTTTTCAAGCCATAGGGAGGGTGTTCGCATCATCCAAGCTTGCTCCGAACCGCAACTCTTCGCGGTGCTCGGCTGAACCAACAAAGCTTCATGCCCCTGTGGCGTAAACATGCCCGGAACCCGCTTTCGCAACCGCCTCAAGAATATCGGGGCCAGGACTGACCATTTTGTACGAAAAGCAGCTTGGTATACGTGCAAATGTCTTTTTTGGACAGTCTGCTCACCTTGTGTTTGTTGCATTGTACTGGTAATGCCTAACCAGAGCAGACGAACGTTCGGAGTATCTGCCGAGGCTCCGAAGCCCATGGTTCCTTGCCCTCGCAGACGGGCTCTAAGTGTTACATCGACAAGCTTGCAGCAATATCAAAGAACGTTTCCACAAAACCGATCTGCCTTTATGACTAAACTTCCCTTGGAGATAAGGCGACTCATCTATGCAAAAGCACTGGGCGAGGTGCCAATACATCTTTCACTTGTCAACGGCCAGTTGAATGCCCGACGGTGCTCTATTCGAGGCTGTGCCTGTTACCTCCAGCCTCTTTCAACTAAACACAAACTTCACATTGCGCTTCCGTTGTTGAGGACATGTCGCCGCATGTAAGTATTACCCACGTGACATTTCATTACACAGAGTATAGCCGTTTTAGACGGTGATTCTACCAAAAGGCTGGAGAACAGAACCGATACAAGAATGAGTTTACCAGGTAGTGGCCCAGTGTCATAGCTAATTGATGAATGATCAGTTATTCCGAAGCGGTCGAATATCTTTACAGTTCGAATAAATTCTTCATTTCTACAGACGTGGAAGACTACCCTACCTTGGGCTACTTGCCATATTTCATCCTACCCCAACGGATGAATCAAATCACCAACCTCCGCATCGACTGGGACCTCGATCGCCACGGTTTTTTCCAAGCCGATCTCATGCCTCCAGTGCATCGAGATGAGTGGTATAGGACGTGGGATGTGCTAGGTAGGATGAAGGGTCTCCGGACGCTACACATACGGCTCTTCTTCTTTCTGGACCTCTGGCTGCAATGCTACGGCGACTTTTGGGAGCAGAACGGAAAAGAACTTCTCGAACCTATTACGACCATGACTGCGCCAAAAGTCTTTGTTGTGACTCTTCCGGATTGGAGATGTTCTACGGATCTTGGTGTTGGGAAGTCTAGATGCATCTTCCAGCTGCCAGAACGGAATGAAGATAGCGCTCCATAAAGCAGCAGTCTCAGATATGGGATTCATGCTTTGGAAATAAATAGGCGGTCAAATGGAGGCGGCAGCTTGGATTGAGGCCGAATACTTGGCTCGTTGCTTTTAGGCCTTGTACCATGTATGAAGAGAATGGACAACTTGAGCACATGGGGTTAAGCAGACATGCAGCATCCCAAGGCTTTCATTCCAACAGGCATCAAGTTGAATACTACCGTTGGCAGCGTACTCCAAGACGGTTGCTCATAGAGACCGGCACCGTTGTCCACCTTCCATTCGTATCCACTTTGCAAGACACAAGATGCTGCCGGCCCGCCGAACGGCCGATGAATTTCCGCCACACCGGACCACAAGGCGAAAGAAGCAAGATGCGGCCAAGACGGGGAGGAGGTGATGCATGAGGCGTACCTCCCAGCCGCCAGTATTGTTGCTCCGACTGCTTCGCTAGGGCTTGTTCACGTATCTTATCGCAGGATTGAGAAACGTGAACGGCTACCTGTGCTTGGCAGGATTGGCAGTCTAACCGGACGCGGGTAGTTTTACTCCATCGTCCTGTTCTCCGCCGCAGGACCAAGAACTTCGAGCCGGGGTAGCTCACCCACGTGCAGAGGCTATGGAGCTGACGTCGAGGTCCCCCAGCCGTGCAGCTCGTCGGCGTCTTTGGACCATCCGAGGCATTGAGTAGAGATTGCTTCTGCCCCCATGTAGATAAGAAGCCGCACAGCCGCAGTCATGTCTGTCCTGCAGGGATCGTTCGTTTTTGCAGCTTCCCGGACCTCGCTGGCTTGACAATTGCTCACGATGCGCTCTCTCATTGCCGCCTCTGTCCTTGTTGGACTCGCATCTGCTGCTGCTGTACCTGCAGTTGCGCCTCGTACCGGGGGTCACAACCATGGACACGGAAAAAGGTTCAATGTCCAGGTTGGGCCTCGGCCATACTACCTCGTTGACGACATGGACGACGGGCCATTGAAGGAGAAGCTGGAGAGCTGCTCGGAGCAAGAATTCGAGACGTCAGACTTTGTCCTGGCGCATCGTGGAGCACCCCTCCAATTCCCCGAGCACACGCTTGCAAGCTACAAAGCGGCGCATCGTATGGGCGCTGGTATCATTGAATGCGATGTTGCCTTCACAAAGGACAAGCAGCTCGTCTGCCGACACGCCCAATGCGACCTGCACACAACCACCAACATCCTCGACACCCCACTCGCTGCAAAATGCACCAAGCCCTTTTCTCCCGCTGCCAATGGCACTGCTGCATCGGCCAAGTGCTGCACCTCAGACATTACACTTGAGGAGTTTGGCACTCTCTGCGGAAAGATGGACAGCTTCAACCCCAACGCCACAACCGCCAAACAATACATGGACGGAACCCCGTACTTCCGTACAGACCTCTACGCCCAGCACTGCCCCAAACTCATGACCGTCGACGATTACATACCACTCGTAGACAGCTGGGGCCTCAAATTCACTCCTGAGCTCAAGACCCCCGAAGTCGCGATGCCGTTTGATGGCTACACGCAAGAGCAATACGCCCAGGACCTCGTCGACAAGTTTCGCGAGTACGACATCGATCCCAGCCGCGTCTGGTTACAGTCTTTCTTGCCTGACGACATCTTCTACTGGATCGACAACGAACCAGAGTTCGGTGCCCAGGCCGTCTACCTCGACGAGCGCGTCGATACACCCGCCGGCTATGCAAACGCTACAGCCAGCATCCCCGACCTCGCGGCCCGCGGCGTCAAGATCATGGCGCCCGCCATGTTCGCACTCACTAAGCTCGATGACAAGGGCAAGATTGTGCCGTCCGAGTATGCGCTCGCCTGCCAGGAACACGGGCTGGACATGATTGCCTGGTCGTTTGAGCGCTCGGGCTGGCTGCAAATTGATGGTGGGGGGTACTACTATCAGTATGTGCTGAATGCTACGAATAATGATGGCGATATGTATACTGTGCTGGATGTTTTAGCCCAGGACGTGGGCATTCTGGGCATGTTTACGGATTGGCCGGCTACGGTGACGTATTATGCTAATTGTTTTGGGTTGTGATGGGGTGTAGAAAGGAGGGGGGAAAACAAAAAGGGAAAACGAAGTGATGATTAGATAATGTTGTTGATTGAAGGATGCTTAACATGAAGTCGTTTATACATGTATTATGGGTGTACTATATTATATACAGCGTACTAGCCTCCCTCTTCGAGAGCAATTCTACACGTCTCCCTTGTCATCCTCCTCCGCACCCCCATCCTCTGGTCTCACCAACCTCACACATCCATCCCCCATATCCCAATCCACCCCACAACTCTGATACGGCATCACGACCACGGCATCCCTGGGCCTCGTGACACCCCTCACACTCTCGAGCAGCACATCCTCAAGCTGCAACCAGTTCCTCTCCCACAGCCCCTGCGGACTCGGATCAATCAGCACGACGTACAACTCCCTCAGGCCCTGCATGCCCGCTATAATGGCCCAGCCCCTCTCCCAATTCGCCGTGTCCTCGCGATACGCAACGCGGCTCGAGGGGCCGCGCCGGAGGTATGGCAGCGCGCGGATGGCCCAGCGGAGATGCAGGGTGCGAATCGTGTTGAGGCGGAGTTGGGGCACGGAAGAAGGGAGGTAGAGCAGGTGCGTGATGTGTAAGAGGGAAAAGGTATGTGTACGGTAGAGATGAGGGATTGCTTCCGCGTATCTATCGTCATTCTCATCAGTCTATTTTTGTTCTCAACTTGTATTCCAGTGACGGCGCTGGAAATGGGGTGAGGGGACGTACATGCGTCTACAGGTTCGCACCAGTGCTGCTCCGCCGCCATCTAATCGCGCTCCCTTTTTGCCCCCGACGAGCACGCGACAGCTGCATTGTTGCTTTCCTTTACGAGGACCGTCGGTTTCGCACTGGCAGATGCAATGGCCGAACCGCCGCTTCTGGCTCAGCGTCAGGTGCACTACTTGCTCGCCCATGACGAACTCGTACACCATTCTGCGCAGCTCAATTGGCAAGCGGGCGAAAAACAGCGATTGGCCCTGCGCCAGTGTGCGCGCGTCGAGCCCGGCGTTGGGTTCGAAGGTTGTCGTCGGGCCTAGTCTGGATTTGCGGGGGCGGATAGTAGTTGCGGGATCGGGTGCGGATGACTTTAACGAAAAGGGCATTCGCGATTTGGGTTTGGAGGATGATGACGAGGGTTCTGGAGATACGAGGTCGTGCGGACTCCAGTGGATGCCTGGTATGCGGGCGTGTAGAGTGGCTTTGAGCTTCATGGTGAGTAGAGGGGGTGTGGTCGCGTGCGGATGTGACGGAGAGGGAGTCCCACGGCTATAAGGTGAGGTGTGATTAAAGAGAGTGGTATGACATGGTGTACTCTCCTTGCGTCAGCCCGGGCGCCCGCACGCAGGTGAGATTCCGGGGGTGGTCTCAAGGCGGGCCACAGAGTGGTGATGGAGTGGTTCCCCCGGGTCAGCAGTGGGGGAGGGGATGGATGGGCCGCGTTGCTTGTTTCGAACAAGCTCCGGATCGAGGGTTGCGGGGGTGGAGCTTGGTGGGGTGCGAGTGGTGTTTGTTTGTTTAATGCTGGATTCCTCGCGAGACTAACATGGAAGAGAAGGCGATGTGTTGAGATATTCATGTACCTTTATAGTGTGGGAGCTGAGGTATGGTAAAGGATGCCCCACGTTGTTTTGGCGAATGACAGGCAATTGACATGTCTCGCATTCTGTCGCTCTATTTGGTAACGCGGCATTGAGAGTTCGCATTCTAGTCGAATTGATGACGACGCAATATCTTTGGAAAACATTTACAAAGACAAAAAATGGATACGTTGCTGACATATGACAAGACATGGTTGTGGTTACAGTAGCGCGCACAATCGGTTTCCTGTTCTCATGTCAGAATTGTAAACCACGTATCGCACGGTACTACTAGCGCCCTGCAGGGGTAGTAGTGTTCAGTCGCCAGCGCATGGCTCCACCATACCCGTACAGTGACAATCCAATGTACATACCCATCCCTCTCCTTTCCTCCGCATGCCTACAGTCCTGCCCTGTCTAGCTACAACTTCATCGTTCTGGAGGCCTACAGAATCTATTTCCGATAATTAATCTCGCTATAATTGGCGGACGGCCTCCTGATTGGCTGGTCTCCCCCTGCTGCAAGCAAGAGGGTCGAGAGTATTGCGAACGATATCAATAGTACCTGCAGGAACTTGTTAGTCTTTCTTCCTTTTTTACGCCTGCCAAACCATCCCTAGGTCACAGCCTCGCTCAGTGGTGTTCACACCGCTATTCAGAAACCAACCACTAGATCTCATAATCAACTCCAACGCGCTCTCAGACATCTCTTTAGCTCTGTACCACTGCCAGCCTAACTTCTGCCCGATAAAGAAGTACCTTGAACGAGCGACCAGAAAAGCCAAAGGAATAACACCACCACCTAACTCCAAAATCAAGCTCTCTCGCTCGAAAAGGCTAAATGGCCCTTCTTGCATTCCCCATTTGATGATCTACCTAACGATCTTCGAGACTCAAAGACCAATCTCCTGTTGGTATTGGCAGCAGCTAACTTAGCCATTGCGAAAGAAAACAAAGTTCTGGCAGACGCGTTGATGAACTGGAGCATACAGAGATGCAGGCGACGATTTTAAGGCTGCAGAGGGCGGGAACTCTCAAAGTCAGTAGTTCAAACGACAAGTCCAAGGACGAAAAGGAGAGTGGAGTGAAGAGATTATTTCAAAGGACCAGCTTGAGGAATGGTGGGCGTAAGAAGGAGTCGGAAGGTCGTGTCGGTGACAACAAGGATAGGAATAACGGGGAATATGCGGAAACTACCCTGGGGGCGGAGCAAGTCACATCAAATCAAGCAATGCGAGAACAAAAGAAACAAAATCAGGCACCAGCTGCAGACACTAATTCGGCTCCCCAAAACCGGCTGGCCTCACAAGCGTCTGACCCATCTCAGACAAAATACTCTCCGGTTTCCGGCAGTTTGCCTGCAGAAACTCCCCTGGATAAGGTACCAACCGGAAACAATGAAGGGTTGATCAAGACAGACGCCGGCCGATCTGCAACATCAGATTCCGAAAGCGTCCAAGAGAATATCGAGGATGGAAACAAAGAAGAGGCAGAAGAGCTTGTTGCAGAGAATTCCAGTCTACTAGACAAAAGTATACAACATCAACAGGGACCGCCAGAAGAATCAGCTTCCAAAAAAAGCGAGGCCATTAATGTCGATGAACCGAAACCAAGCTTTCCTATTACCAAAGCGAGTGATATTCATGGATTTCTACAAGCTTGGACATTCAGCATACTTCCTGGCCTGAGCTCCGGCTTTGGTGCTTCTCTAGGCATCGTAGAACTCACTTTGCTGGAAACAGAGATCCGCACCCTTCTACAAAAGCAAGATGCACAAAAATGTAGTCCATTGAAGACTTTGCATGACCTTAACAGCTACCAACGGCATCTCATCCTCGCTCATATCGATTCCAGAGACGCTAAGTTGCTACATGTAGATGTATGGCACAAAGAGAGCATACCTACCGTCTTTGGTCAGCTCGACATTGAGACCTTGATTTGGATTACATCTTCACCGGAAAAGAGAGAAGGGCCTGTTGACATCGAGGCTCTCTTTAGTGAGAAAGAAGCTATTCCAAGCGAGCCGAAGGAGCCCATCAACTTCAAAGATGCTGTAGGAAGGAAATTCACTTTTCCATATCATCTAATCAAGTCATGGAAGGTAAGCTGTCACCACGCACCCCTCACACATGTACTCGTTCCACCGCAGCTAACCCACCACTATAGGGCATGGAAGAACTCATCAAGCAAGCCTTCCTCCATGTCGATGTAATTGGGCCTCATGTTCACCAAGGCCATTACGATCTTGTCGGGCCCGACGGCCAAGTCATCCTGCCACAGGTCTGGCAAGCCCTAGTACAGCCGGGTTGGAATGTGACCATGCACATGTGGCCTATGCCCGAGGCCTCTCAACATGCACCTCCGCCTGGACCTCCGGATTCACTTCGACAACCCCCCTCCAACCCCACCTCTCCTACCAGCTCCGCTTGAATCAACACTCCTTCCTGTTGATGTTTTGGATGATAGGGGATCGAAAACCGGAAGGAAGACAAATTCGGATGCTACGCTTCTGTGAAAATAGAGAACAATGCTGGATGGGTACCGTAAAGGCACGTTGAGCTTGATCGGGCTTGCCGACGACTGACAGAAGACATCAAGAGAGGTTACAGGGTCGAGAATACCGCGTACGACGGAACATACAAGGGTCTGTCGCGAAGTAACAAGTGCTACACTACTCAGTTTTCTATACCATAAATGTCCTTCCTACGTTATACATCTCGACAGCCATTCAAAACATCTTCAACTTGGGGTTTTTTTTTCATGCGGAATTTTGACTTTCTACTATGGAGTTGTACGCCATTAAAGATATCTTTGACATGCTTAAAACTATTTCATCAATTTTTATCAAGGGCATACGCGAAAATAAGAAAGAAGCGCTTATCTTCTGATACAACCTGACTGGAATTCCTACACCAATCCCTACACATTCGTTCGTCTGTGCCAGACCGCAATACATCATAGCAAAGCCGGCAAATGATGCTTCGGGCCGTGCAAATGAGTTCCACATAAACTGAGAGGACCGGGAATCTAAGCCGAAAAAAGCAACTAAAATCTCACATCCTCCTTCTTCTTCTTTTTTTTTGATCCCGAAATCCACAAACATCTAGGCCGTTTGTATAGGGTTATAGTCCTCCTATTCGTTAGTTATAAATAGTGAATAATGATCTGCTGTGTAGTGTAAAGTGATTGCAAGAATCTATACGAAACTCGATCTTGTCGAGCATCTCACGTTATTGCCATGGAGCGTTACTTGCCTTGATCTGTGCGGGTGTTCGATGCACAACATAAGCATGTATTCCCAGCCTAATGGGTTTTTAGACTTTTCCGTTGGTGGTAGTATGTGTAATTGTTATTCCCTCTCGGCCTACCTTACATTACATTCATGTCTGAATACGTTTCGGGCCTTCTCTCTACATTACCCCTTGATCTTGATTGTTCCCCCACACTATGAGGAGACTTCTTACTGGGCACATCGGACGTTAAGTATGATGTAAGATGCTCGGACAGCTGCGGAGGGGCGGAAGGCTATTGAGTACCCGTACACAAGGTATTTCGTCACGCTACAAGACAGGGGTGTTTATCAATGCAACGCTCTTCGTAATATTCTGTCTAGCACGGTGATGTAGGTCTTCTTTCTCCTCTCTTTCTCCTCTTTTAGTCTTTGTTCTAAAACACACAAGTGAAGTTACAAAAAGACAAAAAAAGGAGTGCAGAAAGAGAGAGGCAGAAGAAGAGGTGGAAAAGCGTATTTTTTTTTCTTTATCTCTTCTAGTGCCTATTTTAAGCAGCGCCCCTCTGCTTATGGGGCGAGGAACGCTTTTTGTAGGGATGCTCAATGATCTTCGCTCTATTGGATTGCTGGAAATAGACAAAACAACAGAAGCGGGATTTGAATTTCGATATTGGCTTAGAAGAGACAAGCATGTTCGGTCACTTTTCGTAGAGCTGACAATCACATGTACCAAAGAGTTGGGCTGATCTTCCACGTCAGTGTTTGTTTTTGTAGGCTGAAGAGAACTATTTAACTAGAGGCATTCGTTCTCTATCACCTTTTTCGCTTTGCTAGCATGGATGCCTACTATCCAAGCAGCCTCGTATTGCGGCACTGTAAGTCTTGATTCCTTGGGTGAGGATAGGAAAACACACTAGAACGATTGGAGGTATTTATGCAGAGCGAAATCTTCTCGTCTTCAACATTCAGAGTTGCGATAGGGAGAATGTAGCTTAGCTATTAAGAAGAACCTCTCCAGGGTTCCAAGTGTTGGTTTCTTGCTTGGTATATTGTGCCGGTGCACAGTGACCCTGTGTACTGGCACGAAATACGCTGATACCAGACAAATCCTTGCTAACGGTATTGAAGTGTGAGCAATAGGGCAACAAACAAATCCTTTACTATCGCGGTGATCATAACACGCACGCGAGGTATTGCACAACCTTCTGCGATGTAAACCAGCTTATCGCTCATTCACAAGCCTGTTGCGTATGTGCTGCTATTACATGCTAGCGTCTAACAGCAGTCTTGGCATGATTGCAACCACGTGACTTATTGTCTCGCGCTAATGGGTGCCTGGTTCCTCTATTCCCTTTGATGCAAGATTACCATGTCTTGTTAACCTTTCGAATCCTTGGATCCGTTTTCTCGATTGTTACTACTGCTATTGCGTCATATTCTATTAAGATCAGGGCTATGTAACAAAGTGTGTGTGTGTAAGTATACATGCGAGGTGGCGAGCTTCACCAGGGCGGGGGTGCCACGGGCCAACACAGCCACAGCCCAGCCCCAGGCCTCCCAGAATGACTGCCTGCATCAAATCAAGTTGTCATAGAGTTAAGAACCACCAAATAAGTGAAGCCAAACCTCACTGTAGCCCGGGCCTCTGGTAACACCATGCGGAAACGCTATCGCGCCTGTGAAGAATGTCACCGTCTCAAAATCAAATGCGACGTGAGCACCTCCCCACAACCAGGCATTTGCGAGCGGTGCCATCGCAACAATCTTGAGTGTGTACCGGCAGCGCCACGCCTACAACGCGACCGCATCAGTGAGCTCGAAGCCCAGGTCCAGGAACTCCAGAATGCGCTGCAGAGACAGTCCCATCAAAACATCTCCACTCCCCCAAGCTGTTCGCCGGGTAGTTTGTCAACGCTAAGCCGTTCGCCCGCAAGCCTCCCCGAAAGCCACCACGACGCCATCTTGTCATTCCTGGATGCACGCATCCCGCTCTACAAGCAGCAACAGCTACTCCACCACTACGCACACCAAGCCGAGACGGCGTGGCCGGCCGTCCGCCTGACTACCAATCTCGAGCTCCACCGAGCAAAATCCCCGGTCCTGCTGGTGGCTGCGCTAGTTTTCACCATCACGCAAGAGGCCCAGGGCGTTGACCTGGATCTGCACGATGAGCTTGTTCGAGAAGCCATGCGCATCCTTGGCGACGAGGTGATTGCCCGAGGGCAGCGGTCGCTTGAGCTCGTGCAAGCTCTGCTCCTGCCCGCTTTCTACACCAAGAGTACACGCAACGGCCAGCAAGGAAGCTGCTATCAGATCCTCCAACTAGCCACTGACATGGCTATCGATCTCGGAATTGCTGGAGGCTCGCTGCAGCCGACGCCTCCGGCATTCTTTTGCAGGCTCGAGGATACGGCATCACTCGAGGCACGCCGTACTTGGATAGCGTGCTACATTGCAACCTCTACTTCGTCCATGAGCACCCGCCGACCCAGCCCCGTTCCTTGGGATGCTTACTTGGATGAGTGTGTCGGGTACCTGGAGAGCAACGGCGATGCATCCGACCTGCTGTTTTGTCAGATTGCGCGTATCACTCAGCTGGACCAGGAAATCTCCAACCACCTGTGCCTCTGCCAGATATCTACCTTTGTGGATGGAAACGACTACAACGTCTACGCAGTCATTGATGCACTCAGGCTGAAACTTGATGCATGGGCAGCTCAGATCCCACCGAGTCTCGCACATTCCAAGATACTCAGAGTATACTGGCACGTATCCATGATACACCTGTATGAGCTTGTGCTACACACTCCCACCAACAAGGCATCCTTTGCGTCGCCGTTTATCCCCGGACGCATTCCAGTCAAGGACTTTCCAAAGCCTGCCATGATCATCCCTCCGCTGCGGGACGCGCTGCAAGCTCTCGTGCAAAACTGTCATGGTGTAATAGAAACAGCAGCCGAAATGGACCCTGGTCTGGTTATCGGTCTACCCTCGTTTTGCTTTGCGCCAGCCGTCTTGCATGCTCTTTTTGTGCTCGTCACTACCCTGGTAGCGGCCAACGACCCAGAGAACACATATGGTCAATGCTTGCCGAAAGACTGTTTCCGTATCGAAGAATGTGGCCTTAGACTGCGGAACCTGGTAGCGCCTATGAAGGTTCTCGATCCAACGCTGAGCTGCTTTACGACACGCATGATCGACGCAACGGGGTGGCTGGAGGAATGGTATAACGATTTCAAGGAAATTCTGCGCAGATATGAGGCAAGTGTTGCCACTTCGTAATCAACTACGGCACCCTTACATTGTGTCCCTTTAATAGCGGCTGAGTAGGCCGGCGAATTTTGACCGCTCAGCATGTGGTGTCTGTGTTCTGATTGGTGCGTGACTTCACTCTGCATTACTACCGAGAAGCATGCAGTCGGTAAGGAGCAGCCGAGCGCGGTGAAATCTAGCCGTTGCTTGGCGGCCATTCGACGTCATGCCCCGCCAGGCATGTCCTCAACACAAAAAGTAATACATGCCCGTGCGCCGCATAATCCTACTGCATTAAGGCAGTAGCCGTACTAAGACTAGTATAGGCGCTGTGTATGCCTAATACCCATTGTTCCTACCGTAGGCCAGATGCAACGGGAGAGTAAGATCCAACTTGGATACAGATGAAACCCACGACTGCTACAACTACACAAACGCCGTCTCGATTGAGCAAAGCACTCTTGATTCTGTGGGCTACATTGTTGTAGGATCTTGACGTCTCCACCTGTGATAAAAGTGATAAAGCGATCGTAGACAACCATTTATCACTCATGACATATGAACCAAGGACACGACAGCCCGTAGTGTTAACCAGCAAGTACGCTACATCCACCATCGTCTGAGAGTCTCGATCTGACCCTAACCTGCAAGTAAAACCCCATTGAGCCATCCTGGTCGGAACCATCCACATCACCTATCGCTGCCATTGCGCTAGGCGCAAACACGAGTGCCTGTCCCGGTTCGAGTTTGATAATCTTCCTGAAGATTTCTCTCGCGGTTTCTTTCCGACTACCACTGGAACGGCCGTCGCGCTGAGCAGCCGAGTCCGATTCGGGCGGTTGTTGCTGCATGAGTGCGATGTGGGCGTCGAGGGCATGCAGCCAGGCAGGCGAGGAAAAGCGGTGTATGATGGTTACCGTGCAGAGATCGAGAAAGGCCGGTGCTATGGTTGGTTCTTGCGTAGACACGAATATGCGTGCTCCGAGGTGGCGTTGAAGCCGCACGGTTGATAGGAGGGAATGGGTGAGGACGGAGGATTCGGGAGAGCTGGTCATGTACTGATGTCACGGTTATTCTCCGGGTAATCAGGCTTCCTGTAGCGTTCATACTGACCTTATGGGCCTCGTCGAGAGCAATGACACGGCCGCAGACTATCTTTTGTTCGAGAAACAAGCTTAGGCATATGTTGAATAGCGAGCAAGCAGTCTCTGGCGAAACGCAAGGGCAGGAGAGATCGACTATTGTTAGTAAGCCAGGCTGTATCTTGGTCAACTTTGTCATACAGTATGATGCATAACTCTCCTACCTGATTTGTCCAGATCGTACCTTTGTGGCTTTGTTGTTTTTCCTCCTTTCTCATGTCTCCCATAGGTGGCATAAAGCTCTCAAGCATAGCAAGGCGCTGGCTAAGGGGTGCAAGTTGAGCTGGCGAAAGATCTGCCGCCAAAATCTCTGCTTTGAATGTCTGGTAGTCGAATCGTGCGCCAGTCGCTTGTTGAGACATGCGCATTTCTCTCAGTATGCGAGTGACCGTGTGAACATAGAGAGGAATACTCCCTTCTTCTGGTTTGACGGCCATAAGATCTAGGATGCGTTTTGTGTTGAGGTCATAGCTGTCGATTTGGAGTGGTTCCACATTGACATTCAGATGCTGATAGGTTCTCTTTCACTTCTGTTAGTACTATAACCTTGTAGCAGGTACAAAACTTGGACTGACCTGGATCGTGCGTATGTTGGTTGGAGCACACACAACTCTCACCTGAACCCCAGACAACGACGCTAGGAATGCTGCCTCGCAAGGTGATCCACCATCGTCCGATATGAAGGTGTCGTAATGAAACAATAATGCTGAAAGAGGCCTTGGTAGTATTGTCGCATCCGAGTCTGCCAAACAGTTCTCCAGCAAACAAGATAACGTATGGCTCTTTCCTGACCCCTGTGAGCCACAAATGAAGATGCTTGAAGGGGTTGTGACATTAAAGAATAATCGTCTGTCCGCATCGTCTTGGTGGAAAGGTGGTGTGTCTGAAGCATCATGACGTTCGAGGGACAGAGCTGCCAACAGTCCACACTGCGATGGTCTCATCTGTGGTGCGACTGGCACATCTTGGGCTAGAGCATGAGTCGTAAATAGTGGAGAGTTGGTCAAGTAATCGATCGTGGCTGAATTCTCGCTGTTGTTGTCGGGTAATAGAAGAGCATGACGCTCCCGCACAGGTGTGGTCACTAAGACATTCAAGTCAAGATTCTCCATTGCAGTAGTGATATATCTATTTGAGGGTGAATGGAATGCCTTTCGATTTTATATGTTTGGGCATCTTTCAGATGAGGTTGTCCCTGTGAAGAATATGCAGAACTATACAGATAACTCAAAAGCACTTTGGATCACAATCTCATCAAGTTCGTTGTAGAGTATAGACATTGCTTGTAGTTGAAAGCAAAGTTAATGTGAAGATACGGATAAAAGCTCGCTCACCGATTGCGCATATTCGCTAATCTAGAGGGGAGATAAGCAAGCTTCAATTGACAAAAAGAATAAGATACGCACGTATTCACTGATCTGCGGGGAGATAAGCAAACACTCGCTAATCTGCAGGCGATAAGCGCACAATCGATAATTCGAGTGACAAGCATGATTAGCAGTTAAGGATAGCGTCGCTGATACCCTGTTCATGTGTAACAGATGCACAAGTAATGGACACCATTGCGTAGAAAGATCCGTGATGTGTCTGACGTGTGAATGCAGAAAAAGCAACTCCATGAGATGCAACAGCATGCCAACGAATCCATCCCACATTCTTTTTCCTCTCAGTCTCTCTCACCTTGCTTCATTTATGGTTCTTACTATTTCTAGACTTTAGTTTTTTTACATCATTAATTGTCTTAGGCGACATGGCAGCTGGTCCACCAGAGTACATAACTTCCCTTCAAAACAATTTGGACTATCACTTCTCAAACATAAGACTTCTTGTTGAGGCACTTCGAGCACCAGGCGCTGGGTGCAACACACCAAACAATGTCCAAGACCCAGATGGATACAGACGCCTAAGCCAGCTTGGAGAGAGTGTCATTCATCTGGTCATTGCCGACGAAGGCTACATCAAAGGCCATGAGCGAGGTAGGTACTCCAATTGTAGCACCGTCAAGATCTGATGTTCTGTCAGCGACAGTTAGTTTCGAATCCCAAAGCGTCACGCAAAGAGCTTTGACATGCGCAAATCGGATAAACCTTAGCGAATGTATGAGCACGAATCTGAGTCAGCGAGGAACACCGCCGTCGATCAAGATGATTACACAATCCATGATGGCCTTGTGTGCGGCGATATATATTGATTGTGGGCGAGATATTATGCGGCTCAAAGGTGCTCTGCACCATATCGACTTCATAGACAATGCAGATTACGCGAACTCTGATATGGAGAATTGTGCATGAGTAAGGTGTGGGAAAAGTGTGTATCAGTGTTACATGATAAGGGGTTGAGATCTGGAACGCCAGCATCAGATAGTTGTATTTAATACTAAGATGACTCTTCACTCTACCACTCTATTCCTACAAGCAAGCACGATCTCTTAGTAGTGTTAAGTATACCTAGAGTCTATTATCTAGACATCGATTGTAAGCTCCAGCCCTACAACTTTTGTCATTATTCAAAGATTCAAGGCAATCATAGTTTATTACACACGTGTCGTGTTTACTATTCTTATTATCATTTATTATTACTAATGACAAAATATTTGCTTTAACTTGAAGCTCCAAATACAAGTCCATCCTAAGTACCCCTTGACTCTTAGTATTTCAATCTATTTATGTAGTTAGGTAATTTGCTAAACAATTGGAAATGCTGTGTCATTGATGCCGTATAACTGAGCCATGAAAGATTATATTGCAGCGAAACTTGAGTACTATGTTTTACAGCTCCTAGTCAAGCCACACAGCCTCATAAGGCGCTGCATTATCAGGATAGTGCAAAGCAGCCACCTGTGTCAGATTCCGGGTACTAGGCAACCACCCGAGGATATACATGTACCCCTCTTGCGTATCTGACAAATACATGTAGTCAGTAAGGCCGGTTGGGTCAGCATTGGTTTCGTCCTCCCAAAAGGCCACGCGAAGCCCCGCAGCAGAACCGAATGTAAGTGGCGCCTCGTAGTATGTCAAGGCATCAGTAGACACGAGCCTGCCTTTATCGTCGAGCGCAAACTGTAGGCTGTCATTTATTACCACACCAACGCCAAACAATGATTCTACTTGATCAAAAATGCTCAGTACATCTATCCAGCGCGCTCATTGACAGCAACCGTGGTAAACATCCTCTGCATCGTTGCCGCAGCCTGCATGGCTTACCTTCCCCGATCCAATACCTGGGGCCGACTCATCAGTTTCTGGCTTGTAAACGCGCAATCTGTCGGCTTCACTGTATCGCTCACCACACTCTCCTCCAACATGGCTGGATACACGCATCGCTCACTAGCCAGCGCTCTGGTTTTCACCGCGTACTGCTGGGGCAACTTTGCCGGTCCGTTTGTGGTGGATGCAAAGGAGGCGCCCAGGTACGAGGGTGCGACAATTGGGTTGTTGGTTGGTTACAGTATTAAGACTGGATGTCACCTTGCTTTGCTCGGTAAGAGACAATTGTACTTGGTGCAATTAGACTCTTGTTCGGTTTCTAACACTTGTGTGTTACAGATTACATGTTCTTCACCAATACGCGTCGCAACCGAGTATATGGCCCGCCGAATAAGGAAGCAAGTGACGAGGCTGGAATGCGAGATCAGACTGAGTTTGCAAATGAAGACTTTTGATACGTACTTTAGTTTTACGAAGATAGTACGTAGGGACTTTCTTGGTTTCTCCTTGTTTGGCCACTGCACCATTTCTGAGCCAAAATGCTGTGTCTAGCCACTACAAAGATTCACTGAATATTCGATACAATGAATTGTCGTACATAAAGCTACCTCCACGGACGATTTCATTTAGTTGTTTTTTTTTGCCGAGGGGGTGCAAGCGCGGTGAAATCTTGCCGTCGCTTGGCGCCTAGTAGTACGACTTTACACGTCATGCCCCGCCTGGCTTCAAGCTTAGGACTGCATGTGCTAATTTCAAAGGGCAGTAGACTACGTACATCACATGGGTCGGTTAGAATAGACCATCTGCCTTTCCGTACTCTATTCAGTGCCAGCAGCACACCATACTGATGCGTACAACTCTCTGCAGAATGACGTACTCTATTGTTGGCAAAGGGTTGCAAACAGGGCCATGGTCGTATATGGTCTACACAGCCTCAATATGCACAACACAAAACGCCACAAGTACCTCACAACATGCAAACTCAACGTGCCCGCAGCCGCAGGAACTTGGCCGTTGGCCTGGCCCCTGGCGAGTTTTCGCCGTTGCTCCAGCCAAGAATCCTCACTGGCACGCGCTGCACGGAAGTGGAACGGCTTGGCAAGGCCCTCCGCCCGCCTATTCGTCCCATAGTATACAACTACGACTGTAGGATCATGCACATTTGCAAATCCTGTCTCTACCTGCGTCTTTACATAGTGGGAAGCCTCAAAAAGAAAGCAATTAGGCCTGGGGACTTCCAAATCTAGTCAGTGGCATCACTACAACCACTGTGCTGCGCCCCCGATCACAACCTCTCGAGAAGAAACAACAGCATCGGCTACAGAGTCGTAGATGTCATTCTGTCAGCATTGCGTACCAATTGAGGTTGTAGGTGTTGCTAGGTTTGGTGTTGTACATTCTATAGTTGATGAACGAAATGCGTATATAAAGGCAGAGTAGCAGCATCACCAAGAACCTCACACACCAGCACACAACCAAACAAGCAAGCCTTCTCTTCTCCCTAGTACCAAACGCTTTTCTTTACCCCTTCTTACTCTAACCATCCCCACAAACCCCCAACCATGCGCCCCTCCCGCATCTGGGCCTCCGCCCTCACCCTGAGCACAACCCTCGCCCAAGGCGACCTCGCCGCCCTCCTCTCCTCCCAACCCGACCTCAGCGAACTCCTCGCCCTCGTCTCCCTCATCGACGGTCTCGCGCCCACCCTCTCCTCCGCCACAAATATCACCATTTTCGCCCCGACAAACGCCGCTTTCGCCGCCGTCCCCCGCGACATCCCCGAGGGCCAGGCCATCGAGTTCAAAAACGATACTGCGGCTATTGGGGCGCTGCTTGCGAATCACGTCTTCAAGGGCGTGTATCCGGCGGAGGTGGTGACGGAGATCCCGACGTTTGCGCAGACGCTGCTGAATAGCTCGTACGTTAATGCTATCCAACCTTTTTCGGATTTTACAGGCGGAGCGTATAATGGACTTGTGAAAAATGGGGAAGAGGTGTGTGTGTTGAGCGGAGAGCAGACGATTTCGAAGGTGATAGAAGCTGTGAGTTTCCTTTGTCCATTTCCCTCTTTTTCCCTTTCTTCACTGTCTCGGTGTATCACACTTCATCGGGGGGCGAGGAACTGATATAGGAAAAAAGGATATCAAACTCGGCGAGGGAATCACGATTCACAAGGTTGACACGGTGCTTTCGTTTGGCGCCCCCTTCCAACTCTTCACCTACCGCGCCGGCTACACCGCCATGAATGGCGCTTTGCAAGCAGCGCAGCTTGCCATCGATTTTGGACTCAACGGGCCCGACCAGGTCGGGCTGAATATATCTGACTTTACTATTTTCGTGCCGGATAACGCGGCGTTTGAAAATATCGGATCCGTCGTCGGTTCCGCGGACAAAGAGACGCTCCAGACGGTGCTGAAGCACCACATCATACCCAAGAACGTTATTTTCTCGCCTAGCCTGGGTAACGTGACGGTGAAGAGCATGGCGGATGAGGACTTGGTGTTTACGGTGCTACCGGATGGCAGTGCGTGGGTGAATGGAGCAAAGATTACGTTTGTGAACACGATTTTGTACAATGGCGTGGCACATGTGGTTGATGGGTATGTATCCTCACCTTTCTTATTCCCCCTTTCTCTTCTGTTGTTGCTTGCGTCGAATCAGAAGCTAATCGGAGGGTTGGAAAATAGTGTCTTAAATCCCCTGGCGCCATTCGACCGCGCATCACTTCAGCCAGAAGCCCCAGCAGCCGAACGCACGGCGTTTCCCAGTGCAACCCGTGTGTCGCCGCTGCCGATACCGAGTGCGTCGCTGGCGTTTTTCGGAGATGCAATGACGTATACGACTACGCCTGAGTTGCTGAAGACGCTGGCGCCGCTGGCGGTTCCTACGCCGACGAGTGCGAGTGCTGCTGCGACAAGTAGCTCTGCGTCTATAGTCACGAGTGCGAGTATGAGCGGTGCGGCTACGAGTACCACTCCGCCTATGGAGATGTTTACGGGTGCTGCGGCAGGTGGACTGGCACCAGCGGCTGGTATGGCTGTTGTTGGAGCAGCGGGGCTGGCTGCTGTGTTTTTCTAAGATATGGATGTGCGAAGAAGAGAATGATGGTATAATAAGTCGGATGGCGATGGTATGTACATGGGCATGGTTAGCGAGCATTGCTTACTGCATTCCCTTTAGCTTTGTTTTTTTCTTACCTACTTTGTAATACTTGAACGTAGATGCATTCTTCATTTTAATGTCATGTTTTCTTGCCCCACACTATTTCCCTCTCTTTTCTTCCCAAACATTCCAATTACAGTCTAGGCGAAATCTTGGTTGTGCTTTCGAGGTTGTGGTGGTGAGGAGGAGGAGGTGGTGATGGGTCTGGATGTGCTGCACGTTGTAGAGGGTTGGCGACCTGTATGTCGTAAATTTTGACGGTCCTATTAGAGGCATTGAGCCAGATGAGGCTGGATTCACTAAGTTACACTGGGGACCCAATGATGCTATCTCAAAACCCTCTTCGCTATGGAATCTTGTAAGAAGCCGAATGAGACAGAAATGAGAACACCAGTTCCAGAGAACGGGGTAAGCTTTCTACAATAAAGAACGAGATGTCATCGGCTAATACGTATCAGAACCAAGTACTAACTTTCTCCACCCTCTTTATCGTCCTAGCAACCGCCATGGTCCCAGCTATGATCGGATTCGCCAAGGCCGTGCAAGACGGAGAAACCGGCTTTACGTCCGACGCCGACTTCAGTATTGTCATCCGTGACACTATTATGACGGTTCTTGCCGCGGCGCTCTCAGCAGTTCAGTTGTTCAGATCGCCGCGCAAAGATAGCGCATACAAAATGGCCTGGGTATTCTCGGGTCTAGCCATTTCCCTAGGCGTTACAGCAATCATTTTGTATTCGCTTGTCAACAAGGCCTACAGTTCGCTTTGTGGATTTTTTGCAGTTCTTTTCTGTTGCGTCATTGGCGATTTTGGCTTTGGATGGAGGGAAGGGAGCGCCTCATAGGACGGTCAAGGACGGTGCGAGTACAACGAGCAAAGACAAGAAAACAAGATAGAAGCAATGTTGGTTAACATGTTCGATTAATGAGTTGGAGTCTTTAGTGATCTGAACTGACCAATCAAGCGCCTCGCAAACCCCAGATAACAAGGCCGGAATTGCATCCAAGAGGCCGGAAGTCGAGCGCGCACTTGCGGGGTCTCCTCGGCGCTACGCTGGTTGGCTGCGCTGCCGAGAGGAGAACCGCCCCTTCCCAATACTAGTACTGTAAGACAGGGTTCCTGGGACTTTGTAAACTGGCTGGGGTAAAGTGGGTTGGGGGACTTGTTGAAGGGAAAAGACTGATATAAAGCAATGGATGGCTTTTTGTGATGATGTAGGTTTGGTGCAGATGGTCTTTTTTGGAGGGGAGTGGGTGCGCTGTGGATTTGGTTGGTAAGAGTCGGGCCGAGACAATGAGAAGGTGTGCAAAGGATATGGCGGGTGGTATTGTTGATGGGGAAGAGAGAGGGCGGTAAATAAAATCATGGAATAAAAATACGCATGATTTGTAAAAGATGATTTTTGAAAATGTGCTTCGGAATGATTGCTGAGTTGGATGTTTAGTGCTCTTTGATTCATCTTTTGGCTCTGGTGGGCTGCATCGCGATAACAGTGAATGAGATCAATACTGCGCCGTCACTCGCACCCCTACTATCCAAAATCCGTTTTTTTCTCGAAACAAAGCATGTATGAGACAGTCTCTTCCCTCTCATCTGCAAGAAATGTAGTTAAAGTCTCACTGCCGCCCCAAACCTCCCCTCCAACATCCCCATGTCTTGGCGACGACGAGCTGACCATGAAAATTGGTGCCGGGTGCTCTGGGGAACATGGGGAAACTCAGGCGGGCAGCAGAGAAGGTGTCCGGGTCAAAGTCTGCAAATGGAGACAAGTGATCCAGTCATTACGTACTTCTTATCTTGGTGAGGCCGGTACGTTTCCGTGGCCGGTTTTGATTCCGGCCACGAGATATAAGCGTGCGTTGAGCCCGCCTTTTGACATGTTTCTCTTCAGCACCAACAACAACCATCGGTTCTCGGTCCAGCTCTTTTCTGACTGACGCCTGTTCATCTCGAACATCTTTTTGCCTTCATCATCTCTTGTCTTGCTCATTATGTCTCCCACTTTTGACTTTCCTGTCCTCAAGGACACCCGTCCTGAAGACCGCTCTCTTCCTGCCTTTATGGTGTCAACAACACGAGGCTTCCTCCCTCGTCAAGAGCCTGTTGTTGAGCTTCCAAAAGAGTTTGCAGCTCTTGAGTCGCTCCTGCAACGCATGCCTATCAAGACACTGTCAGGGGAGCCGGGTCTCCTCGCCAACTTCACCTTTGGCGAGACCCTGCTTAAGGAGCTACCTGATCTCTCTGCTGAGGTTGAAAAGTATCGCGATGACCTTGTTGTCATGAATGCATTGTATCGAGACTACTCTTTCCTGGCCTCTGCCTACCTGTTTGAGCCTTGCCATGAGAGGCATGTCAAGGGTGAAGCATATGGCCTGGGTCGCCAGTCGCTGCCGAGATGCATTGCACTGCCTATTGTCAAGGTAGCTGAGATGTATGTTGACCTTTCTTTCTTGAATCCTCTTGTACTTGTGGCTGATGCAAGAGTGTAGTGCTGGCTTCAAGCCGTTCATGGAGTACGCAGGCTCATATGCCCTCTTCAACTATCGCCTCGAAGACCCTTCTCGTGGTCTTGAGTATGATAACCTACGGCTGATTCGTGCTTTTGAGCACGGCTTAGACCCTACCTCATCAGAGGCTGGCTTTGTACTCGTCCACATTGCCATGGTCAAAGAGTCTGGTGCCCTTGTCAAGGGGGCTGCAGACATGATTGAAAGCTGCATGGCGCGTGATCGAGAGGCCTTCAACGATGGTCTACGGACGCTCGTCAGTGGGCTAAGCAAAGTCAACGGGGTCATGAACAGTAAGTGACATGCTCTAACTGGTTTATGGGTTTCTGACCATGGTAGCAATGTGGAAGCGTAGCAAACCTCAGGGATACACAAACTTCCGCACATTCATCTTTGGTATCACGTCACAGTCCATGTTCCCCAACGGAGTCATCTATGAAGGTGTGAGCGAAGAGCCAATGTCCTTCCGCGGCGAGTCTGGCGCCAACGACAGCATGATCCCCATGTGTGACAATCTGCTGCAAGTGCAGATGCCGGAGACACCTCTAACAGATATTCTTCGCGACTTCCGCCAGTACCGCCCTGGCAACCATCGCGAGTTTCTCGAGGCAGTACGCGACTCGGCTGAAGAAGCTGGAGTACGGGAGTTTGCAAAGGGCGACTCCATCTCAGCTGCACTCTATCTTCAAGCTCTCGACCAGGTCCGCGACTTCCGCTGGCGGCACTGGTGCTTCACGCGCGAGTATATTCTCAAGCACACATCGCACCCCACTGCCACGGGTGGTAGTCCGATTGTGACGGTAAGTTTTGGCCTCCATTTCTACTTGGATGTTTGCTGACTGGCGATAGTGGCTACCAAACCAGCTCACGGCGGTGCTCATGCAGATGGCAGATACATTTGAGTACTGCAAGGCGGTCAATGGTGTCAGTGATATTATGGAGGTTGCCAACAACCAGCGCGAGACATTGCAGAAAGAAGTGGCCAAGTATTGCGGCGAGCGGGGGGTCACGGCGACGGCGGCCGCCTCGTGAGGAATCAACGGGGTTGTATATACGCAGTATGTAAGATTAGATGCACCAACACATCACATGACTCTTTTTCTCCCCATGTCTTGTGCGATGCCGTGATACAGATAAGCCTCAGCCGCTAGCGGTGAAGGTCGTGTCGTGTCGTGTTCGTGTCTGCGCCCTTCTTGGCGGCGGCCAGAGTCTGGAGCACGACCAGGATCGGCCATTCATTGAGGGCGCAACTCTAGTGTGGTGGATGACTGCGATGAAGATCACGGCGGTGGTAGCCTTATGGGCGGCGTCGAGGGCGGAGGGTGAGTCAATGGGCGGGTGTCAGCGTCATGGCCTCTATCGATAGCAGCAGCTTAAGTGCCCGTCCGCCCCCGGATTTCCTAGCATCATGCACTTTCCAGCGTCATCCAGCACACGCCACCCTTCATTCCGCACGGCACAACGACTCATGGAACTTCGATTCTTGACCCGCATATCGCGAATACCAACCGTCTTGTTAATACGGCGAACCTTTTGCATACTATACAACACAACCTGACATCGACTACTATCACTCCACCATCCACTACCATCACCATCCCCACACACCCAATGGCTTCACGGCACGAGCCTAAACAGAGCCCAGCAGAGCGGCGCAAGGGCGAGTCGGTGCGTAGCCACCCTGCGACTTATGCGCGGAATCTGACTTGTCGCCACAGGCCCTGAGCGAATTCGCAGACTATGTAGAGAAGCAACAGGCGCTGCGACGCCCCCCGGGTCTTTCCCCCGCCACTCTCGACGACCACGACGAGCTGAGCGTCCTGGACGAATTGGGCCTTTCTGACGACAGCAAACCACATATTCGCCTAAAGACGCTTCTTTCCGACCCTGCAGAAGACAATGTCGCTGCCCTCGCCGAGCATATCAAGGACCGCCTTGCCGAAGGCCATGGCGAGGTTCTGTTTGACGTCGGATTGGAGGACACGGGCGACTCCATGGGCTTCACAAAAGATGTCTGGGATGCGGCCGTGGAGAGAATAGGCACCGTATGTGAGCAGATCAAGGCAGACTACAAGATGCTCCTGACGAGGAACGTTGGTGGTGACATTGAAGTCGGCCCGCGCGATGCCAAAGACACAGGCTGCAGTGGCAAGATGATATTGCGCAAGCGGCCAGAGAGCGTCGACGATGTCATTGAGACGAGGATAGCTGTCGTAGGAAATGGTGAGTTGGCTGGATCGGATCCAATTGCACAAATGCTGACAGCCCCCAGTTGATGCTGGCAAAAGCACCATGTTGGGCGTCTTAGTTAAAGGCGATCTCGATGACGGCCGTGGAAAGGCGCGCGTCAATCTCTTCCGACATAAACACGAGATTGAGAGTGGCCGTACGAGCTCTGTCGGCATGGAGATTATGGGCTTCGACAGCAAGAGCGAGGTAGTCGTCTCGAATGTCCCTGGTCGAAAGCTCACATGGGAGGAAATTGGTCGGCGATCGGTAGGTCCTATCAGTTGTCATATTCAAATCAGCTCTGACATCCACAGGCCAAAGTCATTAGCTTTTCTGATCTCGCAGGACACGAACGGTACCTGCGTACCACGGTGTTTGGCCTGTTGTCGAGCGAGCCTAACTACTGTTTGCTGATGATAGCAGCGAACAATGGACTTGTTGGCATGAGCAAGTGAGTTTACTTTGTGCCCTTCTCTTTCCATTCACTAACCAGTTCAGGGAGCATCTCGGCATTGCACTCGCTATGAAAGTGCCCGTCATGGTTGTCATCACTAAAATCGACATCTGCCCGCCCCAAATTCTCGAGCAGACCATTACACAATTGACAAAAATTCTCAAATCTCCCGGTGCGCACAAGATACCGATCTTCGTTAAGAACCGGGAGGAGTGCATAAACACTGCAACCCAGTTTGTGTCGAGCCGCATTTGTCCCATTTTCCAGGTGTCCAACGTCACTGGCCACAATATTGACCTGGTTCGCATGTTCCTTAACGCACTCCCGCACCATGGCAACTACGACAGCTCTGCGCCCCTCGAGTTCCACGTCAATGACACATTCTCCGTCCCTTTTGTCGGTACCGTTGTGTCAGGAGTTGTCAAGTCTGGCGTCATACACACGGGTGACACCGTGCTAGTTGGCCCAGACAGCCTAGGCCAATTCCAAACCACAAAAGTGCGTTCCATCGAGCGCAAACGAATACAGGTCCCCGGATGCTCCGCCGGCCAATCAGCCAGTCTCGCCCTCCGCAACGTCCGCCGGAAAGATGTCCGCAAAGGCATGGTCGTCCTCCACAAACCCGACAAACCCGACCCCACAACCGGCATCTTGCCTAACCCCAAAGTCTACCGCGAATTTGTTGCCGAAGTCCTCATCCTCTCCCACGCAACCACCATCAAAACAAAATACCAAGCCATGCTCCACGTGGGACCCGTCTCTCAGACATGCGCCATCATTGATATTGATCGCCAGTACATTCGCACCGGTGACCGTGCTCAAGTCGCTTTCCGATTTGTCCAGCGCCCGGAATATCTTACTGTTGGCGATCGCATTCTTTTCCGTGAAGGAAGGACGAAAGGTCTGGGCATCGTGAAGAGAGTCGGGTATGATCCCAAACATCCGCTTAACCCGGAGTTGCACAAGGAGAAGGAAAAGGAGAAGGAGAACCAGCGTGAGGCAATCAAGACGTGAGGATGTTGTAGAGGTGGGCGATGTAATAGGCGTGTATTTAGTGTTGATTACGTCGTTATATAGTCGGTTAATCACGATTATGAATCTCTGAAGCGAAGAAGTTAAAATGTCAGATTGCCATATTTTTTGAGCTTTTTCTAATCCATCTATACACCATTTCCCCCTCCCTCCAAGAAACCAAAGGAAATTATACAAAAAAGCCTACGACTCTCTCTACTCTTGCATGTGTTCTGTTTTTTTTTCCTTTCCATTCAAAATGAAAAATGAAAACTCAATACAAAACACAGCAGAACCGTGAAGACGTGATATGGATTTCCCCTTCCCTCCCCCCAAGTTCTCCACGTACAAACGAGGGGACTAGTTAAAATGATTTACAAAAAAAAAAGGGTTGGAAAAAGAGGAAGAAAAAAAAGAATTGTATCCACCGTCCCACCCGATCTAGACAACCTTGACACCCTCGCACTCGCCTCCAAAATCCCCGCACCTTCTTTTCCTATGACTTGGGAAGAAGAAAAAGAGAGAGATGGAGAGAGAGAAAAAAAAAAGGGTCAAACCCTATGAACAGAAAAAGCAAAGAAGGAAGAAAAAGTCCGAAACACTTACTTTCAAGAAAGAAAGATGGAAAAGAGAAAAAAAAGAGAGAAAAGAAAACCTCAACAACTCTCTTCCCCCAAAAAACTTGGAGGTCTTAAACTTTACCCACCCCTACCAAGCAACTTCTTCCCCAAAGCCTTTGCCTTCTTCGTCCTCGGCCCATCACCCACACCCGCACCTACACCTGCACCCACCAACACCTCCTCCTCCGCTCCGTCATCCTCTCTATCCTTGCCATTGCTCAACCCCGTCGCCACACTCGCCGCCTTAGTACTCGCCGCCCCGCTATTAGCCCTTGCACGCATGTGTCCTGCAAACGGCGAGCTAACCCCCGCGATATGGCGACTTAGACTATGAATCAGATTTGCATGGATCGGCTCCGTGTTGTCTACACGCGACAGCTCGTCGGCAAAGGCGCGCCCGTCTTCGACGTCACCGGCGGGGCTGTGGTGGGTCGAGAGACCGCCCATGATGGAGCCGTGGGTGGAGCGGGCCTGCGAGGTTGAAGGCGGTTTCGAGGCGGAGAAGTAGGATGAGGCTTCTTCGGAGACAGTGCTGATGGTGCTACCTGCGCGGCCAGATGCGAAGGAGCGGCGGCCGACGATCCGGTCGTCAGAGGAGATGTCTGAGGCGCCGCCGGGGGATTGGTCGAGTGTCGAGTTTGAGTCTGTGACGGATTGGTCGGGCGAGGAGGTGAGGAGCGTGCTGCTGTTTGCGATTTGGCGGAGGCGCGATTGCGCTTTTGCCGAGGGGCGATGGTGTGATATCTTGTTGCCAACAATGGTACCTGCGTGCGAAAGGAGCGCGCGTAATACGTCTTTCTTGAGTTGCGTGACGAGGTCTAGGTTAGACCATGTCTTATTGCGGTACTCTATCGTGGGCATGCGGAAAACGAGATCGTGGACGTCTTCCAAGTTGCGAGAACTCTTGCCTTTGTATGAGAGACAAAGTACCATGGATGGCACCTTGATGTAGGCAAACGTCATGAATTCACTTGCACGATTCATCATCTCCGTTAAGTCGTCGTTTCTGATTTCCTTCTTGTTGGCTTTCTTCTCGCCCATACCCATACTCATGCTGGTGCCTGTACGGTACAGTGCAAAGCGTTTTCCGCTGCGCTCAGATTCGTTCAATGTTATGCTAGAGTTGGTTGTGCCAGATCGGACAGAGCTTGGTCTTGTGGAGGACAAAGAGGAATTACTGCCTGGCGTGGGAATGTTCAGCGCCGAGTTTGGATGCAGGTTTCGGCGGAACTCGGTTCCACTACGAGATGGATTGTCGCGGAAGAAACGGAAGTAGTGGTTGCTAGGTCTCTTCGGTGGGCTTTTCTTCTTGGAGTCACTCTTCTGAGAGGGGTCAGGCAGTTGCAGCGTCGGAGTAAGCCGTCGTTTGAGAGACTCCACTGCGCCTTCGTCGGTTGATAGCGATGCTCCCATGTTATGAGGTACACTTGAAAGAAGGACGTCATCATCATCCCCTTGATCCTGGATCGGTAGGGTATGTTTGAGCAAGAGAGGAGAGGGTGTAGTCGCATCGCTGTCTCCAGACGTTGGGAAGACATATTGAAGTAGCTTCTTGCCTATTTGGTACTCCAACTGGACTTTGAGAGGATAAAGCTCAACCTCGAAATGCTCAATAACAGGTATTCCGGCAATTGATTCCAAGGCTACAAGGTAGACCTTGAGACATTTCGCGTTTTCCGGCAGCGTTTGATCATTCTCCAAAAAGGGCGAGATCATCTCGGGGTATAGTGCATTTGGTAGCAGGTTCAAACCACGGACCTGCTCAATCTCCATCGAGTTCGCGTTCGACCCGTCGTTGTTGTCAGTTCGATCAAACACCACGTTTTTGAGTTGGAACTCTGCCAGAGACTCAGCGCCCTCGCGGAGAAGATGCCATACGATGTCAGAGGCTGCGACACAAATTCTCAAGAGACCTGTTGACTCTCTCGTCTGCGAGCGATCATCTTGCTTGCGCTGTGCAGTGGTGATGGCTTTCATGACGAAGAACAGCTCATCCTCGTACACAGCCAGGTCCTTCTCCACCTCAATGCGATCTTCCCATCCTTGCTTGTCCAAGTACTTTTCGTGGATCTGGAAGACAGTCTTGATCTCCTCGAGTTGTTGAATACGCTCCTGCAGACCCATAACCAGTTTCGGTGCACCAGCAAGATCGGTGAAATCGGATGCTAGCATAATCTTCTCAAGACGTTCATTGCGTGTCTTTTCCAATGGCTCATGGTACAGCAAGAGATCAAGCGCAATAACATACATGGCGTAGTATTGCCTCGAATCGCACATTGCTCGAACATGTGGAAAGTCTACCCAGAGGTGGTCGATCCTACTTTCAACATGATTGGTAGAAGATGAAGAATCAGCTGTTGAAACATCGTCATTGTACTTCAGGCGCAGCGCATTGTACTTGTCATATCGCATACTGGCCGAGGTACGCTGCACGACTCGCTGGAAACCGAACGGATTGGTGTGGAACTCAAACATGACTTCGAATGGTACCCATGGAGGCCATGCGGAACCAGCAGGCGACCCATAGCTGCTTCCAGAGTACATATGAATGTCTTCAGTGCTACTGAATGTCTTGGAATTTGTCACAAAGATCTGCAGGCTGTCCATGGCAGTAATGAATCTTCGCTGGACAAGGCCAGAGACCTCATCCATTACTCGATCCTTGTCCATGATCGAAAGCACCTTGAGTTGAATGCCCTTGGCCGTGACAAGGACAGCAGATTTTGTGTCTTTCTCACTTTGCAGCTGTATCTGGGGTGCAATGAGACGCACAAGATACGAGTTTTGGGATAGGTAGTCGTCTGCAACGTCTTCATCCGTTTTGGACGCGTTGGCATGCACGGCTTCTGGCACTGCTCCAGCTCCAGAAGGAGATTCGTTTTTGGCATCTTCGTCATCGGCATTAACAAACTTCTTGCCTTCATCCAGCAGTTGTGCGATGGCTTCGTCAATATTCATGCCAGGTTCGGTTTCGACTGTCACAGGAGTCTCTTGAGTCGAACGGTTTGATGGTCCTCGATTTCTCTCTTGCTCTTCGACAACGTCCAGGATAAACTTTACAGCCCTTCGCGACATGTAATAAACAAAACCGCGACGCTGGCTGACTTGATGGATGTAACGGAGGATGATGTTACGCAGTGAGTTGCTCCATTTCAGATGGATATTGTGGATAATGAATCGGTTGTTGAATTCGTTCGTTGAGTCAGTGATCGGGTTCGGAGGAACGTTAGAGTCTTTGCTGTTCCTGTCTGGGGCATCTGGATCCTCGTCTGCCTCAAAGTATTCGTCCTCTCCGTCTGCCTCTGGGTTCCGAACCGTACTATCCGAAGATGCTCCTCCTAGCCGCTCCAACAGACTCACATGCATTGTGGATAAGAACTCAAGTTTCCGCTGAAGGAACTGCGTATGGTTCTTTAGTGTCACAAGGCGTTGTTTTGTCTCTTGCTGCTCGTCTGATGTTACACGTATAAGTTTGAGCTCTTGATCATCGACGGTACGTTGATTGTGAGCAATTTGCTCTTTCACACGCTCGATACGTTGTTCAATCAAGTGGCACTGCACTCGCCGTGGATCGTTGCGTGCTGAAATGACGCAATGATGTGTAGGTTCGTTTCCAAAGGCGCTTTTCCTGTTCTCGTCGCCTGAAATATTGTTGTTGTGATCAGTCTGGCGGAAGTATGTGAAGCGTGGCGCAAATGCGAGCGGTAGGATTTGTGTTTCTGGGTGTCTACGCGAAGGCAAGACCCAACCTAGTTCGATGAAGTCGTCCATATCTACCCATCCGAGATCGTTGTCGGGTATGTTGAACTTTGAAAGGTCGGCCGTAAGGTATTCTTGATTATGACTACTAAAGTCATCTGGGCCCAAATTGTCCAAGTCGTCCAATCCAGTTCCAGCAATACTTGCAGACACAGCACGGATGTCTGTTCGAATAAAGTCGAGCTGGACCTGGTTTATTCGCATACCACTGGTTTGGTTTTGCCTACTATTCTGTTGACCCTCCGGTGCTTGAACCAAGGTCCGGAACTCTTCTCGCCGCTGATGTAAGTCAAACATGAAGCTGTCCAGACGAGCTTTGAGTCCAGTCGCGGAAACACCGCCTGCGCCGTAGTCCTCCATGTCCTTGTGCTTGTATATGTGACTCATGTACAGTGGCGACAATAAGAGATTGTACTTGATGGTCGCAAGGTGTCGCCCGAACTTCTTGCTCGACTTTTCTACTCCAGGCCAAAGCTTGCCTTGACGTACGGGCAATGACATGGCTCCAGAGAACATGGACCACCAACTGTAGAAATGGGTGAAGAAACGAGGGGAGAGATGGACACTGTTATAAGTCCTCGATGGCTCCAAATTAGCAACGGACCATTCTCGATCATAGGGAGCAGCGATAGCAATGGACATGTGAATGTGGTGACTACGGAAACCTCGGAACGCATCGTATTCCTAGTTATTGTCAATATTTTTTATCAAAAGAAGCGATGCAATCTTTACCTTTCCATCAGATGACTTCGCAAACTCGGGATTCTTCAAAGTGACCTCGTAATGAGGTATGAACTTGAAGGAGCGTTCACCGTCATCCAAGTTGCGCTCGAAAACCAATCCTGCAACCCATCGCACGTTGCCATTCAGTTTCATGATTGTTTTCTTAAACACGGCTCGCTGCTTTTGACTGGAGGAGCTGGAGGCTGTGTCCGGACGGACATTAGTTTCAGCCTCGGTCTCCTGGCGGGCATAATGGGTCAGGTCTGGGATAGCGAGTACGTAACCTCCGCTCTTGACAACCATGAAGTTTCTTGGGTCTTCGTCTTCGGCCAGGCTGAGCTGGACGTCGTTGTGCCAACACATGACAAAACCTGCACCGTGGCCAGTGACCATGTACGGATCCCGCGAACCTTTGAGAATGAGATGAACATCCCCGTCGCCTTTCCACGAAACATTGATTCGAGAGTGAAATGTCAATCTGATCTTATCCCAGAATCCAACTCGTTCTGAAGGATCCACGGGAGGTTTGGTGAAGTTTTCGATAATTTGCATCATGTCCTGAATTGCAGGCTGATACGATGTTCCCCAGGTGATCCTGGTTGGGTATGAAGAATTGATGTCAATCGCCATGTCAGAGTAAGTCTTCACAGGCGCCACAGTGCGGCGAACATCGACTGCATATCCACCTGTAAGCTCTCCTGCCGAGTTCCGCTCTGGTGGTACAACGACAACTCGACTGACACGTGAAGATTCGATATCCCGGAACTCCTCAGCAATCACGAAATCTGTTCTCATTGACACGCTTGGGAGGCGTGATGATTGTATGTTGCCGATGGCTGGGAAGTGTATCAAAGGCAGTGGGTAGTCTCGGAGGCTTATTTTGGCTTCACCCATTTGGAGTTGGACATGCATTGGTATCAACAAAGCGTATTGTGTATCGAATGGCATGCCTTTACCAACCCGGTTCAAGAAGCGAGGGTACTCCGAGATGGGGAAAGAGGGCTTGTCAATAACAATCTCCAAGTCACTCACAGCTAGTGACATGAGAGCGGGGCGTTGAGGAACAGCTAGGATGGTTTCCTTTTGTTCGATGTCATCAGGCAACTCGTCCAAGCCCCAAAACGTTGAACGAAACTCATCCATTGCTCGGTGTTCACCCGACATTGCAGAGTCGATGCGCTTCTTCCAGGTCTGAGCATTCAAACGATTGAGCTTTATGCGAGCATCTTGTATGGAGGTCCGGTGTGAGCCACTCAATCCACTAAAGCCGTCTTTGTTATATCGCATAGGATGATCTGAACGACCACGTTCTGGCGAACTGCTGCCATTGGATTCTGCACTTTTGGTGCGCCGATGGAACCTGAGGTCCTTTTCTTTCTTCTTCAGTTTCCCTCTTGAAGGGTCGTGGGATGACTTTGCACGAAAACGCGAGTTGCCACGTTGCTCCTCCTGCAACTTTCGTACTTTCAAGTCAAAAGCATGCTCACGAGCGAGTCTCTGTTTCTGCTCCATCAGCCCAATGCGGTATATGGTGCCGAGTTTCCATTCAAAAGCATTGTCTTCTAGCTCGAAGAGTACCGCACGGCTCCGCAATGAGATCTTTGGCACCACTTTGGGCCCTTCGGCTTCTTTCTCCAGAACATATTCGTTGGTACCAGTCCTAAAGCGATGATGCAGTTGCTTGCCAGTCTTCATGACATTAGCAATGTTGTCAAAAACTTTGTGCATGACCAGCTGATGAGGCACGCTCATCCTGATTGCATCCGTTGCAATGTCAAACAATTTCTCATCTGTGATGGTATGACCATATCTTAGCTTCGACTGTCGATAGTCCATACGTAATGACTTGACACTAATGATTCGACTCCAAACCTTCTTGATTGCTGGATTCTCGGCGAAGAGTCGGATCAGACGCGACCTGAGGAATGGACTTGACCAGCGATGCTTGCCTGCTTCTAATTCATAAACTTGAACCATTAGAGGTGGATCGGCAGGCATATCCGCTTTAATTTGGAGGAAATGAGTTTTGATGTCGACCGTTACAATCTCGCGATTGATTTTGCTCATGGGATCGATAAGATCGTCACCAAGGGAGGGCACAGACAAATGTCGCGGTGATGCTAAAGGCGTAGTAGGCTCTGCCGCCTTTGACCCACCCAGATTGAAGGATTGCTGTAGCACTTGTATCGCCATGCACAAGGCGAAGTGGCGGTACAAGGAGTAGCGCAGAAATAAGCTCTGACAATACATGTGAACGTGGAAAATAGGGCCTTGCTTGTCAGAGAGGGTGTTGAAAACAATCTCCATCTGGGGTAATGACAATGTTGGCTCTTGTTCCGATTGGTCGTCTTCCTCGATGACGAGTCCTTCCAGGCCCTTGAAATGTATAGCAACACGTCTGCCGTCAGTTGGATTGCCCGAAGGTCTCTTGGGTGATTTCGGGGTAGCAGGAGGTGATCGAAGCATGTGATCATCTCGATTGATTGTTCGACTTGGAGCACGCCGTCTGATAGGCTTGAGATCCATATCATCTCCTCGATCTTGCTTGTACTCTGCTGTCCACGATTCCAAATGCAGAGCGATTCCACGGCTGTGTTTTGATACTGCGGGGTCTACACCGGCTACTTCGACATTGAAGTCTGATCCTTGAAGATGCACGTAAGCCATCCACATGGGTAACCTTCGCAGCATGTTCATTTCTTTCTGCTTGAGTCCGTTACGCCTACTGCCCATATTTTTCTGCATCTGTGTGACGATCTGGCGCAGTCCCTCGCTGATTTCAGGCCGGACTAAATAGAGAGAGAATGTTTGCGCTGTGCCCCATACTTCAACCACTGGATCCGGAGCAGCGCTCATTTGTACTTTCACTTCAAGATAGTCCGTCAACAGCAGGTCATGTGTCTCGACAGTGGTTGTTTGGTAATACAACTGCTGCGCGTTCATGCGGAAAGTCGAGCTGAGCGCATAATGCAAGTCACCGCCTGCAGCATGGGATGACTCCATATCCAGAGATATGGAAGATGACGCTGAGATGAGAAGGTCGAACTCGTCAGTGTCGCGCTTACTGACGTCCATCGGTGGAAGAGTGACTCGAATGACGGGCTCGTGAATCGAAATTTTGATGTTCGCTTTTGGTAGAAGACGACGAAACAAGAAGGGCTTGCGACTCCTCACTTTTTGCGGCTTTTGACGTGACTCGTAGTTGTGGAAAATAGCCACAAGGAGCGGGAGATGTTTGGGGTCAAGGTCCAGCGATGGGGATGTAACGACTAGATTAGCAAATAAAATATTGGTATTGCGCTCTGCGCTGTCCTTGTCATTGGAGAAATGAATGGTTTTAGAAGGTAATGTTGTGTTCAGCGTAGTCGTCGCCATGGGAACGTAGAGAAGACGATCACACTGACCGTCACTGTTGTCGATACCGATGGATATGGATATGGCAGCAAGAAGAGCTTGATGTGCAATGTCATTGGGTGAAAAGTACATGCGATGTGCAGGGCTGCGAGGGTCTAAGCGAAGCAGGTCCATGCCAACTTCCTTCATAGAAAGGTTGAGATAAACAGGAGGCTCTGATTTTTGGCCAGTCTCGATCTGTTTTGTAAGGCCAAGGAAGCCAACGGCGAACTGAAACTCGTGTATGCCGCGAAGAATGGAGCTGGCGAACTCACGAGAGTCAGAAACGGTATGGGTAAGCGTTTCTTCGCAGTTGCCAGGGCTATCACTTTCTTCGGCAACATGCATGAGGGCAGTGTCTGTTGGACTGACACGAGACGGCTTCTGGGCGGTAGTGGCGCGGCACTTTTGGGCTCTGTCCACGCACAGCTTGATATCGTCGTACGGGATGTTGAGACGGCCGAGTTTGAGGGCAATGGAGGCATCACGCAAGCCTTCAAGCTCCTTCTTAAGGAAGCCATGAATGTTCAGGCTGAAGCCATCGAGCAACTCTGTTGATTCTCTGCCCTCAGGCGTAAAGAGTATACTGCGAGCAGTCAAGAGCCATTCAGCAGGTCTTTGTTCTTGATCGGGCTTGGCTTTGTGGTGGTTGAAGAGCCTATTGCGGTCGACAGTCTTGCGCCTGGTGTCGACGGCCAACTGCAGGCCCCCAACATGTACCGATCCCACGTCGATAATGACAAGAGAGGACGCATTGGCTACCAAATCAACCTGGCACAGCCAATGAATGTTCCGATGTAGACGCTTGATCTTCTCCTTGGCGTCTGTCAACCGCTTCCATGTCAGGCTTCTTGGTGTCTCGTCGTCGGTCGTATCGCCAGGGGTGGCTTCGTCGGAGGGGGGGTGGCCGTTCTTGCCCGTATTCGTAGTCCCGTTGGTCCACTGTGTCCAACCCGCCCTCTTCCGTGACCTCTCACCAAGCGCTTTTAGGTCAACAGTCACTTTGAGCTCGTCCAGGACGATGCTGGCAACTGTTGGCTGGGCAAAGGTGGGCCGGTGGAGGCTAAAGCCGAGGCCACGAATCTCGATGCGCAGACCATCCTTGGGGGTAAAAGCGATGCGTCGCAAGCCTCTGAGGCCAAGCCGTTGAATAGAGACGCCTGTGGCGATGCGGATAAAAGCGAAAAGAACAAAGGAGAGAAGGTATATCAGGAGCAGGAGCCCCGCGAGGAACTGAAGAGTGGGTAGGGCCATTGTGGTGCTTCAGCCGGGGGCCATTGACCGGCTCGAGTGTTATTGGGATATTTGGTCGCGAGTGCACGCCATGTGCTGAGGGATCAGGAGCCTCGTGCTGGCGAACATAATCGAGGGAAGCGCAGGGCTACGAGAGGGAGGGCATCGAGGGCGTCGTGGGCGAGTGTGAAAGTGCGCGGCAGCAGTGGATTCGGGACGGGTGGGCTAGCTCGCGGAAGCGGATGGAACGATGGCGTGATGGAACGAACAATCCGGACGTAGACTGAGGAGGCGGCGATTTTGGCACTGCCAGTCGAAGGAAGACCTCGTCCAAAGTGGTCGCGGGGCTGTAGAATGCCTCTGTGGTATCCTGCTGCGATGCACGTCAGAATCCAGAATGCCAGGTTCCCACGCCTCCCACGTCTCCCACTCCCTGTCCCCTGTCCCCTGTCCGCCAAGCCTGACCCCCATGCCTTCTGGAAGGAGTCCTGTCCCCACCTGCCGCTAACCTAATCTCACACCCCCGACCATCCTCGATTTGCTCTCGGCGCCGACAATACGTATAAGTAATGATTCAAAAGACAATGCTGCGTCGTGGTACGAAGCCCTTCGCCTTCTATCTCGCTTGGCCTTTTCCCTCTTGTGTTGGAGAGACTGGGAAGGCAATCGAATGCAGTGATCAGCAGGAACAAGAAAGGTGCGTATTTCGTAGCACACTAATTTGGAGGTGCAGATCTGTAAGTACGCAAAGCAACACTAAATGAGAGATTCCGTTCGCACCGCGAGTACTGCATAGCTTTTGATCGGCCAGGTATTAAAAACAGACAGTATCTTGTGCATGCACAAGTCGGCTTGTCACTCTGTGGTGATAATAGCTGGTGGAGTCCCTGATCGCGTGACCGTTGCCAAGGCGCTATACCTAAACAGGGTGCTGACAATCCTTACATACACAATCGACTGCCACAGCAAATCCCCTTTTCCTTCACGTGATATGCTGACAGTATGCACATCGAATTAATCAGGATGAGGCTTAGCTCGCGCCTTCCACAGAAATGACCTTGACTCAGGGAATTTGTCACAGATGTCAGGTTACAGATTCAAATCTTCTTTCAACCCGAGGCATAACACCACGGTGTGTATGACGCATTACCGTCACAGCATGCACTCAGAGATACCATTACATCTCAATATGTCGATTTTGTGGGAAAAAATTCAACTGATTGCAACAAGCAGAACAGGTCCATAGATTGTCTAGTCTCTCTGACCTTGGGATGCTTTACAGCTTCAACTAAGAAACTATGGCATGCCTCTCATCTTGGACAAATCTACACCTACGGTGATTTGAGTCAGTGAAAACCACTTCTATAAAACTCAATATTCACCTTTGTTAAGATTTCAGAGATGGGTGCTATGTGGATATCTGTCAAAAAGATGTACTCCACTAATACGACATCGCAACAAGACCTACAGCTTCCCTCAAGATAGCCGAATCTGTATTCCTTTTGTAAATCCAACACAAAATTCTCATAATCAACTTCAACCAGATCATTTCCAGATAATCACCGCCTCTATCATCTCCTTCCAACCAATGCCAGATATGTCCCTTCCGGGCTCCATCGCACGTCCGCGCCATCCCGCTAGCCCGGATCCAAAAAAAACCCAGGAATACAAGCCGTTCGCATCACAAATGTTGGGGTAAATTCTTGCCGCTCCCCATCCATTCCTGTGAACCCCCGCTTCCCAAACGTCAGCAAATTTTGCCCACCCGCTTCATGGATGTTAGCAATTCTCACTTCCCTGCCCCTTGTATGTAATCGGTAGTTACTTACTTACATACCGGATAATGATAAAGTCCTAGGTGAAGTAAAAAAGTTACATTGCGGCATATAGACCGGGTACCAGCGATCAAGCGTGCAAAGGATGTAGGTATTCGGCATGCTACTACCCAGAAATATCCGCCACGAAAGATCAAGGTTAATAGCCGAAGACTCCCAGATAACTTCTGTAAAACGCACAAGCGACAGAGCCCGATTCCCCAACAACGATTACATCGTCCGACACATCAGTATCTCGCACCTTCAAACTTCAAAGCCACATCCCCTTCTCAGCCCACCAATCCGCTTTCAAAGTCAATAGCCCTGATTCCGTGAATAAACATTCCCCGGAATCTCCAGAGTCAACCACGAAAGCCCGGTGGAGACCCGGGTCATAGACTCGAGGAGAGCTGCATTGATGTGGCACTCAAGAGGCGACAAAGTGTCGAAATATTTAGAACCCCATTCCCCGAACAAGATTCACACAAGCAAGCTCTACGTTTTAAACACCTAGTGCCAGGATTTCACAAAAGACCTCCCCCTCCCCCTCTCGGTCTGGCCCAAATCTCTCATTTTCCTCCAACATGGTATTTTTTTTTCTTTTGCGCTAATGGCAAAAAATCCAGACGCTGAGTCGTCCAAATTTCCAAACAGCTATCTTTCATTCTCTTCCAACCCACTGATACTTAGGCTGGCGTAATACACGGGTTTGTAATTCAAACTAACGTATATCCTGGGCTTGAAAAACCCCCCAATTTTCAGAAGATAAAGTAGGATTATGTAGTTACGGTTTGGTTTTCGGATACTGAAAGCTTGCGTCGGACCGCAGTAATTCCGAGATAGGATCGAACCCGCTTCCGCGGTCGCAAACTTGCTGCAGTATGACCGAGGTAGGTGGCATGTGCCTCTAGATACGAATGCTGCTACAGTCTGATCTAGTCGTTCTGAAAGGCAACAGAAATATCCCATTGTGATGGGGTAGAGGGCATTCTTGGTAATAAATATGTATTTATCCTAGTTGCCAACAAAGTAAAAGTAGAAGAAAGTGCTCTGCATTGAATGAAGAGGAAGCAATAAGTACACCCTGTTGTTTGCACCTATCCCAACCTCATTTCCGAACCCGTTTTGCGACTAAACCACTCATTGGCAAGCGGGATATTTCACCGTGCCAACAGCACCAACCGCATCCGCTGGGATCTGTTCACCCAGCATGACATGGTGGCAATGGAGCGTATGGTAATAGTCGTTCAGGTGACTGTCAATGTGTTTTTGAATCGTAAAAGCGCGGTGCATCTGTCGCCACGTGTACATGCAATGTGTACGGCGATACTCTTGAGTAACGAACAAGTCGAGCTCTCTTTGCAACGCAACGTCTCTGGAAACGGGCGATGTGCCGTTGGGCTCGCGGTAGAAGACCCAGTCTTTCTCGGCTAGGAATTCGTCCATGATCTTTTCGTCGTAGCATGCTGGTAGCTGCCATGCGAAGCTGAGAATGTCGAACTTGCATCCGAGACTCTTCGCTTCTGCTGGTGTGGAACCACACTTTGGCCAACTTTCGGCATGAGATGGAGATGGAATTCCGCCAGGCGCAGAGGCGCCCTTGTACAGTGACGATTCGTCTTTGTATGGTGAGGAAATGTCTTTGTAAGGCGACTCGTTCCCCCATTGTAGTTGCGTGTGACATATGGGAGTGGGACCCATTTTTAAGCTGCAGAAGAATGGCAATGAGCAACAAGGTTGTGATCATCCATCCAATGACTCCAAAGATTGTTTTCATATATCCTGTCCAGAAAGTGGATCGTTGGCGGTGGTCTCGGAGATGCTCTTCACCATCTCCACAAGAATCTTTTTCTGAAGACGACATGCGTCTGTAATCGTAGTCTTTAACTTCAGGCACGCTTCAGTGGTGGATTAGCCTTCAGTAAGGATTACATATAGCAGCAGTTACGAATACATACGCAGTGTGGTGGTGTTGGCTAGGAGAGAATCAAGCTGCTTGATTGATACACTGGAAACCGAGGGCCGAGTGAATATGATTTGTGGGGTTGGCAGACCCTTACTGCATGGCAACTATCATCATTTCATGGCCTTGCATACTATACTTGGTAGAATCATTGCTGCCCTTTACGTAAACCAAGAAATCTAGCGGGGTATTGATCCGATGCGATCCTACTTCGGATGTTTGTCTCAATGCAAGGTGCCTTATGTCATACCGACACCAATCAGGTGTTCTGTGGTACTAGGCCAAAGCTTTTGGCGTGAGCCACCAGCAAGGGGATGACATGGACTGCAGTAGAGAGTAGGAGCTATATCATGTGTATAGATTGTAATTTCCGTTGTATTATCAAAAACAGCCTAGTATTTCCCTGTAATAAATCAGGTATGAATCTATCCAAGGGAGAACCTGATTGTCATTTCAGTGTCTCTACAACACAAGAATTTTGCCTTGTAACATAGTATGTTGACCAATAGGTCCACTAAACAGAATTGAGAAGAGTCGAATCAAATCAAGAACCACTAATCTGGGGAGCCGTTAGCCGATGTCTTTTTGCTCGGTTTCATTGTTTCCGGGCCTGCTACCGGGATATGTCCCTGAAATAGTGTATAGAGCTAGCTTTGCCATGTCTTTGTGGGTATATACGATGTGGGAGACGTAGAAACTTTCAGAGATAGCTCGTATGAGCTGGTTTTACTATGTCTGTGCGGGCCTATACAACATATCATTAGTTAAGTTAAATTGGCTGTTGTGATGGACTGTACGCCCTTTGAATAGTTCCTCGATAAAATTTTAGCTCGTTCACAGAATCCAGGTCGAAGCGAAAACAACCAATATTAGCTCTACTCTCATATAAAAGCATAGGAACCCGGATTTTAAAGCACTTTCAACATTGCTAACATGGGGCTTTCTCTTACCCTACCTCCCATGTCCACTGCCATTGCGGTTCGTGTTCCAACCACGACAGTAAACGAGTACAAAGCACTTGAGGCGCTTCAAGGCCATAGTTGTGAAGCAAGTCTCTTACGCTCTTAATCCCTCGTGTTTCCTATCAGTACTCATGGGCACCTCTCCTTTGGATGTTAAAGAGCTATGCCAACACCGTAGCACCAAAATCAGTCAGTGTTGACAAGTCTTTTCCTAGCTGGTGGCTGACCACGAAAGCGTTGGCGAGAAGCAAGCGGGTAACCACTTTATAGACTTCTTTACAGAATTACTGTAGAGTTCATGCTCGGCAGTATTAAAAAAAATCCCAGTCCGAAAATCCCCACCAAAGTGCACTCGCAGTTTACGCAAGATCACACTCAAGCTTACACCTTGCACACTCCTCAAGCACTCAAACTACGACCAAAAACCGGGGATTGGGGAATTAAGGAAGAGCAGCCGAAATGCCAAGTTGTGCACGTAATCTTGCACTTGATAAGTTACGAAATGCTAAATTGGGAAGCTAGTACTTTACGATGCGGATTTTGCTGTAAAAGATTCCAGCGTATGATCTTACTATTAGGAACGGCATTGAAGCGGTATTTAAAAAAAACAATCAGTCACTCTCCACGGAAAGTGGACATGTGGAATGTTGAGAGTTTCCATGAAGTACACAGTTGACTCAAGAGTAGTTGATGAGATGACTTTTTTTTGGACTGAGATTCAAAAGACGTAGCAGGACGCAAAAGCCGCACCTTCCTTCAGCGTTGCTTACATGCTGTTAGCACTACCTTTATCTGCATCACGATACAGCAGTAAAGCCCAATCCCAACATCTCAGCATGCGATGCAACCGAAGCCAATACAATCACGTTCAAGAAATCTCCATCGAGAAAAAAAAGGTTTGGTCCAAAGATTCATATTGAACAATTATCGAGCCTTTCATATTTGATACATGCACAAAGTCTCAGGATGAATTATCTACAACATGACTTTTGTTTCATCCGCATTAACAAACAGTCATAAACATCTTCCCCCCCCCCCTCCCAAACAATCCACATAGTACAAGAAGAAAAAAACGAAAAGCACACTCTTCGTCCTGGTCTTGACATCTTACAACGGGGGCGCATTAGGATCCATCATGCACTGGTCCACACGCATAAGCTGCTTTCCAGTCTTCTTAGCAATCTGGATGAACTCCCTGAGGTAGCTGACAGTGCTGGGGTAGAGGTAGTGCAGCACGACCAGGTTACCGCCCTTGTTGACGTCACGCTGGAAGGCGACCTTTTGCTGCTCGGGGGTGTCGGTCTCGGCCCACAGCCAGTCCTCGACATCGACGCTCCAGTTGACAATATGGGCGTCCTTGCCGACGGCCTTTGTGAGACGCGAGCGCATGCGGGCACCCTCGTTACCGAAAGGAGGACGGAAGTACTTGGATTGGAAGCCGTTGAATTGCGACTTCATGGCCTTGACATCCTCGTTGTACTCCCAGTCGATGGAGGCGTAGTCGGGAAGACCCTCCATCTTGGGGTGGGTGAAGGAGTGGAGGGCGAGCTGGTGACCGGCGGCGCTCATCTCCTTGTAGACGTTGGTCAGGTTAGTGGATGCGTCGAGGAGAGGGGCGCCAACGGTGAAGAAGGTGACCTTGATGTTCTCCTCGCGGATGATCTTGAGGACCTCTTGAGCGAGCTCAGGCTGACCATCGTCAATGGCAAAGGCGAAAGAGTTGGGGCGCTTGCAGGCAAAAACAAGGTTGCCAGTATCATCCTTGCTGGGGATCTTGACAGAGGATGGAACGGATGATACAATCTCAATGACGGAGAGAGTGACGGACTCCTTCGTGTGGAACCCCTTGAGTGCGAAACCGACAACACGGCTGAGGTTGATGTTGAAGTGGTTGATGGGAATGTAGATGTGACCATCCTTAGCATAACGCTTGGCCTCAGCAGAGTCCCAGGTCTCGGGGTAAGGGGCAATTTCAGAGTCACATTTGCTGTTGTGCTGCTGGAAGGCGACAGTGAAGTCAGTGGTACCAGAGTAAGCAATGTGAAGGTAAGAACCCTTGTACTTGGTGAAGTCGGAGCATCCACCGGACACCTGAGTGTAGAAAGCATAGTCAGCATCAGGCGAGGTGATGGTGAGCTTGTTGCTTTCATATTTGAGAGTCATGCCCTCGTCACCGCCGTGCCAGTTGCCCATGGCATTGGTGTTGGCATTGGCGAACCTGTCGATGACGAGACCAGTAGCAGCAGCATTGCTGGGGGCAGGGACAGTGGCGGTAGAACCAGAGTCTGAAGGAGTAGGCGGAGGAATGTACTCTCCAGAGTTGCCACAGTAGAATGCCATGGGGCCAAATGAAGTGGTACCAGTGAAGCCAGAGAAAAGGATGGTGGTAAGCTTGGCGGTGTTGAGACCCGAGAACTTGCTGAAGGGAATGGTGTACAGCTTCTCGGAGCCGTCGAACTGCCAGCCGAGATCCTTGGAGGAGGCATAGAATGACTTGGCCTGGGTCGGGTCGCAGCTGTCGGAAGAGTCAAGCTGGATGTTGAGCGAGGCGCCCTGGGGAGCCATGATGCGGAGAGAAATGCCGTTGTATCCCTTGGCCTTGGCGTCAACACAGCGGAACTGGCTGTAAAAGTAGGAGCCGTCCTTGGGAACAAACTCGACACGGTTCTTGGCAGGCTTTCCAACGGTGATAGAGGTCATGGTGCTATCGTCAGAGGTAGGGAATCCCATGGCGTTGTAGAACAGGAAAGTCAGGCGGGATTGGGAAACCCAGTCGTCAATGACCAAGGGGGCGCAGGTGCCAGTGGCGGTGGGGACGGGGACGGTCTGCATGGTAGTGCGGGTCGCTGTCGTCGAGGTCGGGTTGCCTCCGGTCGAGCTGCACCCGAAAGCAATCTTGCTGAGTTGCCATGTGGTGGTGGAGGAAGAAAATGTGGACCAGACAAATCCAGTTATGGCATTGGCGTTGGCACCAGAGAACTGAGTGAGAGGGATGGTGATGGTCTGGGTGCTTCCGGTCAGACCAGTCAGAGTGACCCACTTGGACGAGTATGCAGCATCGGAGCAGCTGGCCTTGGTCTGGATCTCGAGGGTTGCAGAGCCTTGAGCAGGACCCTTGATCTGGAAGGTGATGGAGTTGTATCCATTGGAAGAGGCAGCCTGGCATGGGAGAGTCTCGTAGAAGTAGGAATTGGCGTTGGGCTTGAAGGAGAGCACACCGTTGGCGGCTGAGATTGAGGGCATGGAAGAATCATCTGTGGTAATTAGGAAATGCATGGATTTGTTTTTTGGGGCAAAAAAAGCACGAACCGCTGGTCCAGGTGCCCAGGCTGTTCTGGTTGGAAGACCACTTTGAGAAGTCGTCAATCTGAAGGGGTCCGCTGCAAGCTGCGTTAACAGCGTGGGTAGCAAGTCCGGCCGCGAGGCCTATTAATGTGGTAAGATACATGATTGGTAAAGGTAAGCGAATGTGATGCAAAAGCGAATGTACAGAAGTCCAGGACTTCCAGGGACGGGGAGTCGCGATGCCCTTGGGATTGAAGGGAGGGCAATGAGAGCAGACGATAACTCGTAAAGATGCCTTCCGGCGCAAGGCTCCTATACATATAATCTTCGGCTCCGACACGGCGGTAGCAGAGATTGGACTAGCGAGCTGGGCATGCAAGCCCTTTTCTGGGCAGCCCTGGCGTAGCAGGAACGGCACGAGCTATTTCGGGTAGACTTTTTCTAGGCGAATGCAGATCATGGGTGGGACGGGCGTATGGGCGCTGGCGGTTTGCTGCGATGCGCGACTGGGGCGTACGGATGTGGACGCCATTTACTTATTGCTTGCTGGGCGTTTGCGGGGCACAGCATCGATGTCACTTTTCCATACATGCGCAGGCTACATGGGCTTCCAGAGCGCCGTCATCCGAGTGGTATACTTACACATGTACCTCTGTGACGGCGCCTCAACGGTACGACTTTGTCTTGTCCAAAGCACATGGCGATGGAAATGCTCCATCATGGCGTTGTCGACTTTCCGACAGACTGCTGGCCGGCCCCGGATGCGAAGGCCATGGCTGAAACCACCCACATCTGTTCTCTACTTTAGTCATTGCAAAGATACGAGAGGCCATACCTTGGCTTTGAGCAGAGGCGAGCGGAAAGACTTGGCCATGACGTTCGGTTGGGATGCTGTGCGAGAGAGCACAATGGGGGGCTGCCGAATGGCGAGACGCATGTTGGTATTCTAATTACCATTTCCTTTCTTTTTTCCCTTGGACCTGCTCCGGGAACAGCACGTACGTGAGATTTGGGGATGTGCTATGTCAAAACGGCCTCGTCTCTGCGGAAGCAACGGTGCCTGTGCCCGGCAGGGTGGTGGGCGTTTGGTGCACCTGTCGGACCCGCAGACAATACGATGGTTGCCTGACAGAGCAGCGCATTGCCGGTACCAGGTGGAGCGGGGACAGCGCATAAAGTATACGTCGATATAGCGTTTTCCCCAAGTGGTGCAATCTGCCGACGTTGATGGTGTGCTGCTGCGAGTCGTCCTCACCAACAGCACACTGGGCCAAGCCCGCGCCTCTCCCGTCTTGCCACAGCACCCGCCGAACCAGCCGTCGGCCCTGCCGGCTGCGTGCGCGCAACCAGCTGCTTGCCTCTGTTGAAGTCCATCTCTTGCATCGTCTGCGCGAACGGCACAGTGTTGCCGACGAGCAAATCTGTCGCTGACCGAGCAATCTTCTTCCGCCCCCCTGCCAAGGCGAGGCAGCCAAATGGCGCATCCAGCCCGGCTCTGCATGTTTCGTCCTTCTCCGCCGCCGCCCAAAGAGGCTAGCGTATTGCCAAGAGCGGCTCCATCCCAATCTCTCAATAGCGGCTGTGCTGGAGTAAGGCCCAGGATGCGACTCAAGGCTGGCCGACTAATGCTTGCTTCTCTCGATACGGCGACCCTTTCCAAGGCCATCTCCCATGCCCAATCCATGGTTCATCGCATGCTCCCACCGCCAACATCATCATCCTACCGCGGAGGAAAAAGCAGCAGCAACGACGATTCCTCGAGCCCTGCAGTCGACACCCCAACACAGGGCTCAAGTCCCAACCGTCCAGCATGAAAAGCACATGCTTCTCAACAGTAGCTGGCTATGACGCCGCCCTCTACCCCCCAGAATTAGCCTTTACCACAGAAGTCTTCTATACATGACGAAAGCGAGAATCGTCGGACAAACATAATTGCATGATACCGTCATAGATAGATGAATTTTACCATCGACATAGCTACCCCCAGGCCCTCGCCAGACACCGAACCGTGTTTCAAGTCTATCGGCTATCGGCTCATGTCTTGGTAGTAAACGCAAATAGCAGCGGGACATGAATGACATGATTTGACCCCCCAGGACCACAAATTAACATTTGAACGATGGCAAAGACAAGACATCTAGCATGTGCCAAATATATTGTCACATGGTCGTCCAATCAAATCAGAGTTGTGAAGAACCCATCGAGCGATATTCGCAAGAAAAAAAACAAGACCATGTTGATTTTTCCAGGCGACAAGACTATGGGTTTGGTTGTAAACACCCTGAAAAATCCCTTTTATCCCTTTAATCCAGCCTTTCTGTTGAAATCGCATCTGAGTAATGGTAAAAATGCGGCGATCAGATTTGCCAACCATCCTACCCGAGAAAAGCCCTTAATCCAATACACACTACTCACCGAACAAATCACCCTTTTTTTTAAAAAAAAAAAACTACTTACCGCACCTCCTTCACCCCATCAACCCATACATCCACCGCCTCATTATAAAAGCACAAATACCCCGCAATCAGCGCGCTCTCTGGAATCGGATACCGATAATACCATACCAGATTATTATACGTCCCCCCGTTAACATTGACGTGATAGTACTCCGCCTGCCCCTTATACGGGCACAATGTCCGCGTATTGCTAGGCGTCAAATACTCCCATTTCACGCTGGTCGGCGGAACATAGTACCGCGTTCTCAGCGTCGTTTCCAGTAAAAACAGCGCGCTGCTGGTCTCTGCCAGCGTCACGCCGTCGAGTGCTACCTTGATGCTGCGGGAGGACGGCAGGATGTCGATGCGCTTGTAGGGGTCCTTGGGGTGGCAGTAGATGCGCGTGTCTTCTTCGAGCCATTGGTCCATGGCGGGGAAATCTACTTTCACGAGGTCTTTGAGGACGCCAGAGGAGAAGACGAGGATGCGCTGCGTGCTCCGCGTGCCGATGGTTAGGGTGCCAAGGTGGGCGCCGCTCGAGGTGCTGTCGACGGCGGCTTCTTGGGATAGCTTGGCGTCGGCTGTGAAGCTGGAAATGGGGATGAAGTATCTTGGCTGGAGTCAGTCAAGTGGAGGCCTTTTGGAGAGAGCGGGTGCTGCAAAGTGATGTACTGTGGATATCTCAAGTCGAGTTCCCACACGTGGCGGGCCTGGGTAGTGTCGAATGCATATTTCCCGTTGAAAAGACCGCGGACGCGTCGAGCTGTTGGCTCGATTCTCTTTGGCCCATCGCGAATAAGCGTTTGAGCTAGCTTTACCAAACTATGTTCGTTAGTGATGGCCACTTGTAGTGTATGCTTTGGTGAAGTTACTCGGCGGTGGAAGAAGCCATTGCTAGTACTTGGTTCTAGAGCAATGCGAGTTTATCTCGCAGAAACAACTCCTTTTTTGCCTCAAAATTCAACAGGAATGAGAGTCACTGCTGTTTATGTATACGGACTGAGAGGGGTGATGTCACCCATGGAAGCGGGGAAGGTGCAGGACCGACCGGAATAGCCGAATGTGCTTACAAAACAATAACGGCTACATGGCGCGTATATCGTCACTGGTGGTGAGCGTTTAGCCTGTTTCTAACATGTTTCAGGGGAAAATATATCTTGAGCTCTTAATATCTAGCCCAAACTTGATGCAATTTCAGTAATATCTCCAGAGGCTGCTCCGAGTCAAAAGATGGGTATAGAGTACTCCACAGTCGGATACCCTAGGACCAATGTGCTGCATCGGCACACTTTCACTCCCATAAGTCTTAATCTGTGTCTGAGACTGCTAAATCGGATGCATGTTCGACTGATGTGCTCGTGCATGGTCCGGGTAGGTGCCCGAACGGTGATATTGGGTGGTTCTTGGTGTCACGAAGTTTATATACCCGATAACCCACTTTTCAAAACAACACATTTTTCTTCTTATTTGAAGTGAAAGACCTCTGAGAATGTAACAGAAGATACTTGAAATTGCTAGAATAAAATGATTGAACGATGTGCGTTCATGTTCGTGTTTACATGAGAATTGATTTTGTACACTGTTAATCTCAAGTTCAAACAGTGTAGTGTAGTATTACGTTCTCAGATCTTGGATTCAAATTCTGACTTCTCTTCGTAAGCAGAGAGTTATCTTCTCGAATCGATTCTTTGGCAATGATTGGATTTCAGCTTTGTTCTGTCTACTCGATTGCGGGTCGCCCCTTGATCTTTTGAGCTCGATCACATATCGTGCCACGATAGTTTCCGTTTCCCGTTTCCCCTTTGTGTTTTTCTTTTACATTAAACTCTCCGAATGGTCGGTAGTATTTTGGATTCGACGGTACTCTCTATAATCTTCATTTTCATTCTTCAGAGCTTATCGAGATTGTCATTTTCCGTTGTTGCCTCTTGCTCCATCAGAGTGTTGTGTATCTGACTCTAAGGATTGTCAAAAATCCCTAGTCATACGAAATGCTGGTCAATTTATTACATCAGTGGTGAAGGATTGCTGTTCATTCTTTGTTCGTAATGCAAAGAAAGCCGTAAATCTTTTTTAATCTACCAGTACAAAAGCGCTATGACTCGTGGATGAAAGCTCATCACTTTCTGACAATGACTCTATGGTTGAGAAGCGAACTTGGAAGAGTTTTCTTGCCGAGACTATCTTTGTCTTATCGGGTTTCTTACATGCCAGAGAATAAGGGGAAGACTGGTAATCATTAGAAAGCATTTCTTATACACCTCTTGAAAGTAATTCACCAATGAAACTATATTCAGTATTGAGGCAGAGGGGAAACCTATACTGGTGTGTCCTTCAATTCATACCAAGAAACAACAATGTGGAGAAATTGCCCACTGATGCAATCGGACTTCAATCACTGTTCAGTAACTAGTTTTATATCTTTGAAGTTTCTTTGCATAGGATTCGTATGGAAGTAATCGCTGTGGCTAGAAAATTCTCTCTAATGCATGTCCATGCCCCATTTGCTTGCTCAATGCATCCTGCAGCATTTGCTATGAAGCATTCTTACATCAGCAACGGTCGGGTCTCTTATCGACTTGTCATCTCACCACAGGGGGTAATCTCTACAGACCAGGGGTGCCCCCACCAAGCCAACGTCACCCTCGGGCCTTGCACGTGTGTATGGGCCTGTAAAGAGATCTTCTCTACAAGGCCCCTGGGGTTGATGTTGAGCAGCAGCGGGAGACGTGGGGAAAGGATTAGCGCCGGCGGCCTTACCGCTTGTGGACTAGCCACTCGCGTGTTGGGCCTGACATTCTCAGGGAGCCGGGCTGGACTGGCGCAGGACGACAACCGACGGGTGGACCAATGCGCCCTCAACGCTGCCTGCAACTACATACACCACTTTACCACCACCACAGACCAAAGGGCTGTCCAATGTGCCACGGCGACGTCGCCCGCCCATCCAGCGCCCGCCTTACGTCATAATCCAGCCCCTCTGCCTTGTCCATTGACCGCCATCTCTTCCTCCCCGCGACGACGGTGCCTTGAGGGGGCCATAGCGATAACAGAATGCTGAGAACAGTGGCTGGCCGCCTGGCGCGACGGCCATGGAGATTTGTCTTCCCCGGCCTCCTATTCTTCTTCTTCTTCTACTCGCTCTCGCACCGCACAGGGTCGCGAACACAGGGGCCCGTACACAAGGCCAAGACCAAGTCGTTTTTTCCGCCTCTGGAGACAAAAGCCGCCAACTCGATTGAGCTCGACTACTGCAAGAACTTCCCAACCAAGCTGCTTGAAGAAGTGCAGGTTGTACTCAAGGTGGCCTCAGACGGCGCACACGAAACAAAAGCGCACCTCAACACGGTTTCGAGCTGCATCACCAACCTGATCATAGTCGGCGATAGGGACGAGCGACTAGGCGACCGACAAGTCATTGATATTCTCGCGGAACTGCCCAAGAGCTACCAAAAGGACAACCTCGATTTTGAGGCCTATGTCGCGCAGAAAAAGGCACACGAAGGGGGCGAGACAGTCAAAGGACAACAGCGGTCGTTCAAGCTCGACCGTTTCAAGTACCTGCCCATGGTGGACAAGGCGTACATCACCAACCCTACGGCCAAGTGGTTTGTATTTGTCGAGTCAGACGTCTACTTTTTCTGGGATACGCTATTCCGGCTGTTAAGCCAGCTGGACCCCTCTGAGCCTCATTACATGGGCGAACCACACAAAGGCTCCGAAGGCCGACAATTCGCCTACGGCGGAGCGGGCATCGTCCTCTCACAGGGACTGGTAAGGAAACTCATCCCTGCCAAAACGGTTGGATCGACGGAAATCCCGCGCGAAAATCGCCTGAGCGTCCGATATGAGAACTGGGTCAAGGAAGAGCAGCGCGGTGACGCTGTACTAGCCTATGCCATCCAAAACGCGACAGGCCATAAGATAGGGCCGATGCACCCCACGTTTGCAAGCGACAAGATCAAGGACGTCGTCACTACAAAGGAAAGGTGGTGTGTCCCCATGCTCTCGCTGCACCAGGTCAAGCCGCAGCAGATGGAGGATCTTTGGAAGTGGGAGCGCACCCGACCATACAACACTGTGAGTCTCGTGTCCCGTGCGCGCGCCGATGCACTCTGCTAACATGATGATTACAGAAACCATTTACCTACTCGTCATTCCTCTCGTACACGCACGCCTTCCTCGCTCAAGGTCCCAGCCGCGAATGGTGGGACAACCTCTCGACGGCGCCCGTCCCCAACGACCGCCCTGCGCATCACAACGCCGGTTCTTGTGGCTCCGAATGCGCCAATGACAACAATTGCTTACAATGGTCATATTCGCAGACGGTCTGCCGCCATGCCGACTACATTAAGCTTGGAGACGCGGTAGATCGAGAGAATGGCGGACAGGGTGAATTCGTCAGTGGTTGGGATACTGCAAAGCTGCGCGCAATGGGATTTGGGGTTGAGGGAGAAAACGGACAGCGAGAGTTCTACGCAGGCTGTGAAGAAGCTACCTGGCTTACTCCCAAGGCAGGTTAGACTGGGCGAGGGAGTGTACCTGGGACATAGAGTACATAATGTTCAGGCCGTGTATAGGGAGGCGTTTGCGGTGGCTTGTCAGCACGTTCATGCATGGCGTTTTAGGTTGGCACATGGTTTGGGTATGCGAAGCACGGTAAGCAGCGCGTTGGCGGAACACGATACCGCATATGAGTGGGACAAAGACGGCAATTAGGACATGTTGTGAAGGTCGAGATTGGGGACGCGTGGATGAGCATGCAGTGAAGACGGCTTGACCACCTGCTCCCCTTGGCGCAATCTAGGATCCGCTCTTGTCTGGATCGCATGGGATAGTAGAAGACAAATGTAGCTCGACTATAAGCTGGTATACGCCAGGTCTTACAGCTGCCGCCCATGCCTTGGGGCCCTAGTAGAGCTTTGTGACGATGAAGCCGCAACTGCGAAAGGTTAGCGGCGCACAACTTAGAGCTCGGAGCGCGGGCCTCTCTCCCATTTGGAACAATGGAGCATGTGGAACCTTTTGCATCCGGAAGCTACTACACGTCGGCTTCCCTGCTGAATTCACGAGTGACATGGTCAGCAATCGCACGTATCGCACATCTCGTTCGCCCAACGGCTTGTCACCTTCACTGAACGAAGCGCCCGGTCGTGTGCGCGGCCCCTGCTTACTCTTGGCGACACTGGCGTGTTTTACGGTGCTATTCGGGAGTTCCGTGGACAATTTCGCATGGCGGAGCAGGCACAGTTCATGATACTCGGACCAAGGCCATGAGGAATCCAGCGTGTCAAGCATAGGAATAGAACGCATGCTGTTACATTTAGTACTCATACACACGGCTAAGCTCATGCGCAGGAGGAACAAGCAACGCGCAAGAAGTGCCCTCTCCACAACCACAGTCACCTGTGCGGAGCAGTGCTTCATCTCCACTTGTACAGCACGTATACACACCAGTCGATATTAAATGGGCTTCTAGGGGGTCTTGGCCCCAAGCAGCGGGTGGCCGGACCGCTTGTCAGTGCACTAAAAACTACATACTAAATGGGGTCGACTTTACCCCACAGCCCAGCGACAGGCCGTGGTAAGGCGAGGATTCACCCTTCCCATATTAATGCGGCCCTACTCTGACGTCGCCGGACCTACTGTGGAACGCGCAAGGTGCCTGGATCCCCTGTTTTCATAGGTTGGCGATCCCGTTGAGTCGACTACCTGCAGATGAAAGGTACAATGAAACCTTCTATTTCGGCGAGGAAAAGGCGCCGCGGCGGACGCTTGCTGTGCTTACATGTAATATCGAAGGTAAAAGTATATTGACTAGGATAATTGCAACAGAGCTTGGTGTTCCATCAACTGCTACGTATAAAGCTCAAGCTCAGCCCAGTGAAACCGTTTCCACAACTCCAACTGCATCCACAGTCTCGACGACATTTCTATTCTCAGCAACCATCATGTTCACCAAGACACTCTTTTCCATCGCCCTAGCGGCCTCTGCTGCCCTTGCTGCCCCCTCCTCAGGCGGCGCTTCTCCCAAGTGCCCCATCGTTTTCGATGGCCGTGTTCCTCTCAACGCCACTCTCGAGTCTTTCGATAGCGCTGCTACCAACACCCTCTTCAACGCTGACTTCGTCAAGGGCAACAACTTGACATGGTCTCAGATTCTCAAGTTCCCCAACGTTGGAGCCTCCCGCTTCGACTGCGGCTTCAAGCCTGTTGAGCTCACCATCTCTGATGCTTCCATCTTCCAGAAGCAGCTCGGATTCCGTCGCGCCGAGCTCCTGTTTCTCAAGGACGCTGCCGATGGCGAGGGTGGCAAGGGCGTCAAGACCCTCCACTGGAGTGTCAAGCAGAATCCCAAGAGGGCCATGAACCTGACCCACGAGTACCTCAACGTGTGGCACGAGGCCGCTGATTTCAGCAGCAACCAGATCCAATTCCAGGCCGGAACCCTCATTGGCAGGAACGATACCGACAAGAGCAGCTTCAAGATTCTCGACCGCACCAACAAGCAGCTTTGGGCTACCCCCATCGACTTCACCAACTGGCAGAACTTTGCAATCACCCTCGACTACGTTAAGAAGTGAGTTTTTCTGAATCAGTACTGTACAATGATGGCGAAATATAGTACTGACATGCATCATAGCGAGGTCACCATTTTCTACAGCAAGGGCAAGAGTGCCCTCCAGAAGGTGGCTGGCCCCATCACCGCTGACCTCTCTGGTGGCGGCCAGTACCACTGCGGTATGCTCAAGAAGCCCACTGGTACTTCTGATGTTGCCAATGCTGGTTTCCAGGAGTCACCTCTTGACGAGAGCCAGATCTACGGTGGTCTCTTCCTCGAGGACTCTTCCAACGGCTGTGTTTCTCTCTAAATCAGCGGTTGCCTCATGTTAACACTGGGATCCTAGGGGCTGGAGATAGACATAGTCAGTGTACAATGCTGGTGCATAGTAGATTAGTAGTGCACGTGGATCTGTGCAGATTCGGGGGTTTTTTAGTATGAGAATCTCGAGGTTGTGTTTTTAGAGCTTGTACATACATGAGCACAACCTCGGGGTTTAATTACATTTTTTACGGATGCTACTTTACAAAGCCTATTTTACTGTGAATTACTTATGAAGAATAGGTGAGACTTGCGACGTTGTTAACATACAAGGATGCTATTGGCACTACTCGATGCCTAGCCTTGGTATTTCCAATAGCGCTTACAAAATAGATGAGTGAACGGCCTACTAGTCGATCCCCTATATTGACCGCGAAACATAACATGCATCAGTAGCTTGTCATGATCAACATGTAGTGTCTTGGTAGGTAATCACAACAACAGGGGTACGTAGAAATGGAAAAGTATGGCGACTACAGAATTCGGGGAATCTGATGCCTGCCTAATTCGGACTAGCACACATCACATGCAGGAATGATGGCATCACACATCTCGAGTCTAGCTTACCAAAATGACTCTACTGTCGTCTAGCACGCAAAATGTGATTTCCTTTCCACCAAGAGGCGCAACGGCCATTTACATACGTATCCTGCTAGAACCCTGTGAATATGTCTGGAGCGACAAATACAAAAGAAATCGCGCCGTCGATTGACGTGAAAAATCTCAGCTACGCCTTTCCCGATGGCTCCAGTGGGCTCAAGGATGTCTTTCTCGACCTGCCGCCGGGCAGCAGAACATTGCTGATCGGAGGCAAGTAGCATCTCAAGACCTGTAACATGCCCAAGCAAAGTCACTAACATGATGCAGCCAACGGTGCGGGTAAAACAACATTGTTGCGTCTCCTCTCGGGCAAGCGCATGGCCCCCGCCAATACCGTCCACATCTCCGGTATCGACCCTTTCAAGATGGGCTTGGAGGGCGTGACATATCTCGGTCTCGAATGGGTGCTTAACCCCATTGTCCGCACCGACATTGATGTTCCTACGCTCCTTTCCTCGGTCGGCGGCGACCACTACGCCGAGCGCCGTGACGAGCTCGTGCGCATCCTCGACATCGACTTGAGCTGGCGCATGCATGCCGTCTCTGACGGAGAGCGGCGGCGTGTGCAGCTCGCCATGGGTCTTTTGCGACCGTGGACAATCCTGCTGCTTGACGAGATTACAGTAGACTTGGATCTGCTGTCGCGCAGTAACTTTCTCAACTTCTTGAAAAAGGAGACGGAGACAAGGCCTTGTACGATTGTTTATGCGACGCACATTCTGGACAACCTTGCTACCTGGCCAACCCATCTGGTACATATGAGTCTGGGCAAGGTGAAGAAGTGGGGGAGCACAGAGGAAATGAATGTCAAGGTCGAGGCGGCTGGGGGCCAGCAATACACGGGGAACAGTCTGTTGGGCGAGCTCGTGCTCAAGTGGCTCAAGGAAGATTTGGAAGAGAGAGGTCCAAGAAATGGAAAGGGAGAGGGTCTGAGTTATCAGAATTTAGAAGGCAAGGGCGGGTATGGTGCGGAGAAGAGGACGGAGGATTAAAAAAGCGAATGCAGGAGGGGCATGGCAACTGTGGCTTCAACAATGCCTACAGTTTGTGAATGGGTTACCAGGCGTTTTTTTTTCGAGGTGGAAACTCAACGATGATACCCCCGTTTCCGTACTTCAACATGGGTTCAAGATGGTGCTAAAGAAGATTTGTATAGATCTTATTCATGAGGTATCCAGCACATTGCATTGCGCCACCACTAAGCCTTGCCTCGCTTCTTCCCACACACTATAATTCGGACGATCATGAACAAAGACTTCCTCGTACAAGTGAATGCACACTAAGCAGAACGGGTACGGACACCTCTAGGGCATGCATGAGCCGGGGGTTTCCAGTATGATAGGGCTCGATTAGGAGTATAAGACTACGAACGGGCACCTGTAGACAAGGTGTGACAGGGACTACACTTGCAATGGTAGACGAATCACATGTGTCTGACAGCTTACATCAGGTGGCCAAAGCAGCTCAGCTCGTGCATGTTTCGCGTTTGCCACCCCACGCGTCTCCCGCCCGCCCGCACAATTCAATGCCGGGAACGCTCAAGCCTACTGCTCACCACCTGCGTCTTGCTGATCATGACCTGCATGCTATCGATAACTCCGGCCTAGAGTACTAGAGAGCACACTCACATCCATCGAGCGGATGCTTTCGGATCCTTGCCGAAACAAGCCGCCGTCGCGCTATGACGATCATCATCCAAGTTGCGGCAATTCCCATCACTTGTTGAGAAACATTTCTCCCGTGTGAAACGATATTCATGCATCATACGCAATCATACTCAATTCTTCGTCAAGCCGTAGAAGGACCTTTCCGAGTAGTTCCTCTTGAAACACGACGCACCCTGAAGCCAGCGGCAGCCGCTTCACCATGGCCGAACAGGAAACCAAAAAGAGTGGCTTCCGGGCCATGTTTGGCATGAAATCCGGCAAAGAAGCAAAACCACAAGGCGCCCGGAAAAAGCTTTCCAAGAAAGGATCACGAAGCGATATGCTTGGAAAGCTTGACTCGACCGTCAGTGTGGGCAGGACTGCACGTCAAGACTCTGGTAGTTTTACCGACGAAAGAAACGGCTCAACCGTAACTCAATTTGGCCTTCCGCCATATGATGAGGTTATTGGGGTTGCACCGCATGCATTGCGCGATAACCCATACACTGCCATCAATGCTCTCACTGACACGAGCAACACCCATCTCTTTGTTGATTTGCAAGCAGCCGACTATCGTCGCAATTCAGAGGGACAACCACAATATGCCGCACCGCTATATCACCCGCAGAGCCCAAGGTCAGGATCTCTGCCACAGATACATAGCGAGAATATGCGTCCGTACTCGCCGCCGAAAGCGCAGCCGTCGAAACTCAGCAAAGCACATCGAGCACCTTCGGCACGCGCAAGAGCAGATGATATTCTTGACAAGGATACGGGAGAGAGAAAGGACTTGACCGAGATGATGCATGCATTCACATATGTCGATGGAGTAGACACCATTGAAGAGGAGAAAGATAACGAATCTCTCCTTTACGATCCTTCACGACCTGATGGAACGGCAATGCTTGCCAGTGCATCACCCGAGGTGTGGCTACGCGTTGCCGACTTTCTATCACCGTTGGATGTTGCCAATCTATCATCAACATGCCGGACCATGTATGCTCGACTAGGCAAGCACCCATACAAACTTCTTCTGGACCCAGTGCACCGCACACACCGATTAGACTTTTTACTCGCCATGGATCCCAAAATGCCACGCCATCTCTTCTGCTTCCCATGCGCTCAATGGCACCTCCGAATCCAACCCGGCCTAGAATCGCTGAAGCCCCAAAACGTCCTCAACCCCCTCTTCGAATGCCCAAACATGACAAACATCCATATACCCCCTCCCCGCATCCGCATCACCGACGGCCGCACCCTCCCCTTCGCCTTCATCCAACTCGCCCGCCGAAACTGGGCCCACGGTCCCGACTACGGCATCCCTCACCAATCCCTCGCGCGCCGCTGGAAAGACGCGTATTCAGACTGGACGCACGAATCCGCATACCATATCACCGAAAAGGGGCACGTCCTCATGCGCGTCCGCTCCCAGCACCACGTCCAAGGCGGCCTCACCGACGCAGCAAAGCGCCTCCTGCTCTTCAGCCGCGGCGACTACACACCCTACTTTAGCGTGTGCGCCCACTGGAAACACGGCATCCTAACCTCGATCCCCAAATGCGCCCTCTCGCACATCCCCTACGCGAGCGAAAGCGAGACCACCGCCATCGACAAGTTCAAAGAACGCAATCTCGGCAAGAAAATCCTCGGCATGGTGCCCCTGTGCTCAACCTGCCGCCCTATGCGTCGCTGTCCCAAGTGCCCAACCGAGTACCTCTTCGAGCTCAAGCTCGTCGAAGACAAGAACGTCAGGAGTTATGAGCATGGCCGCTTCAAGCAGGCCCTCGTCGTCACCCGCTGGAGCGATCTGGGGCCCGCCCGGAGTCCGCTCGATGCCCAGTGGAGTGCCATCATGGGCGAGAATGAGGGTTACGATAGTTTTCAGGAGATTGGCAGGAGGGCCGTTAGCGGCGTCTTTGAGAGCGCGTTTACCGATACCATTCCCGGGCAGAGGGTGTTGAGCATGAATCCACAGCGTGTGACAGCAAATGAGGAGGCGGGGGATTGGTATTAGACATTGATATGACACTTTGTTTTCAAGGACAGCTTGGAAGTGTTTCATGCTTGATAAAGAGAAGATTTAAATGTACATTTTTCTTCTTCTTTTCTTTTTCTCAACTCCGATTCTTTTTCTTCTTCTTCTTCTTCTTCTTCTTCTTCTTCTCTGACTCCTCTATGCCACTTTTTGTCAGGACTTGTCAACTTGACAAAATTTCCGTGCTACTAATGCATCCGCAACTCCTTATGGCAATGCACATTGCTGGACCGCTACCTTACCGATCAAACCCCAAACACCCCAAGCACAAACCCCTTCCAAGGTTCTTATGGCGCCCGCACCACTTTCCTACCCGTAACCTCATATCGCTTCAATTCTTGCAGGATTTTGGGCGAATCGGCAAAGTCGTATACTTCGACTTTTGGTGTGATCTTGCCTTGGACAGCCATCTGGAGCAGCTCGTCCATTTGCTTTGCGCTACCGGTAGATGAGCCGCGGATTGTTAGGCCTGAAATTTTTTTTGTCTCCAATTAGCATGACAATTCAAGATACGTTTGGATGGGGGGGGGAAACAACATACCCCTGTTAGCAATGTGTATGGGACTCATGGGAAACATGAAGGTATCCGGTGGCAAGCCTACACAGACAAAGACACCACTGTTTCTGCACAGGTCCGGTGCCTGCATGTATGCCTTCTCGCTTCCGGCCACGCAAATAACGCCGTGTGCGCCTTCGCCATCGGTGAGCTCCCTGACAGCCTGCACGACATCCTGTTTGGCGAAGTCGACAAACGCCACGGCGCCCATTTCCTTTGCGAGTTTTTCTTTTTCAACCCCGCTGTCAATGGCAATCACCTTGTACCCCTTGATACTCGCAATCTGCACACCGATATGTCCCAGTCCGCCGCCGGCACCGACAATAGCCACGAAATCGCCGGGGTTGACCTCGGGCTCGAGTTTGGACACACCGCCTGCTAGACTCAAGCCCGCGCACAGCAGAGGCGCTGCGATCTCGCTCTTGACGCCATCGGGAATCATCGTCACAAACTGCGCATCGGCAACGACATACTGCTGCAGCGTGCCCCACACATTCCTGCCGGTGTTCTTCTGCTTGGCACAGTGGTTCTCCTTGCCCTGCTTACAGCTACTGCACGTTTGGCACGCATTCCACAGCCACTTGATGCCGACTCTTTTGCCCATCAGCTCCGACGACACATTTGCGCCTAGCGAGACTACGGTGCCGACGCCCTCGTGGCCAGGCACCTCGGTGTACTTGCCCGGCCAAGCGAGGTTGTGGCAGTCCGAATGGCAGATGCCGCTGTATTCAAGCTTGACGAGGACTTCGCCTGCGGATGGCTGCTTCACGGCCACGTCGTTCCGGATCTGGAGGACGCAGTCTGGGCCGGGGTCTTGGATCCAGCCTGCTGTTTGCGTGGTGGGGATTGCGTTGGTGCTCATCTTAGGAGGCGGTCGAGGGATTGGGGTGATTTTGAGAAAGAGATTGGGGCAGCAATGAGCGACGGGGTTGGACAAGGAAAAGGGAGTCACGTTGTTTGGATCCCCGAGATAGCAGAGAGATAGCAATGGCGGGGTGGACGAATGGAATTGACCCCGCCAATGCCCCACAGCTGTATCGTCTTCTCCGTTGATGCACCAATGGGAGCGCGTCAATCTCCGCATCCGAGGTAGTATGACAGTAGTTCGCAGCAGTCCAGACTTTGGCTGCAACTTGACTGAATGCGCTAGTGTCCTCAAAGGCTGGGCTTGTGCCACTTCCTCTACTAGGGAGTGTTTGAGTTGTGTGCTGGCCGTCCCTATGCCCATTCCCAGGCCTTTCACTTCGCTATCAGAGAGTGTGAAGAGTGGCAGAGGGTGGTTGTCGCTCGAGTGGTCTAGCAAGAAGTTGAGTGTATACATTTTGGAGGCGAAGAAGACCGGGAAAGAGAGGAGGAACTGGGTTGACGGTACGACTGGTGTTGTGGCTAAGGTCTTCACAGCAATACCAGAAGAAGCTGGGAATTTTCATGCATGAGCATCCTGTGTTTGGAATGGGAATGGGAAGGCAGCATAGGGGAAAATGGAGGAGCTACCACCACTGTTGCGGCTGGTGCCTCCTGAAATATATTCAGTGTAAACGGCACTTGATTCCATCTCTCTTAGCTGGACCGTCATTTTCACTTCCCACCCAATCTTACCCTTTCATTCTAGTACAGATAGCATGTATTTCTGCGTCCTTCCCGTGCACCTGGAATACAACATCTCACGACTAACCTTTGTGGCGTGGTGACATGAGAGAACTGACAAGGTAGTGCGTCAACTTTGGCGCAGAAATCTTTGTCGCCAGTTTGCCCGCTCGATCACTTATTGTTCCGGCCCTGCAGGGTTCAGCAGAGTCTCGGGGAAACCCACCCGATTCCGGCAGGTTGGGGTGTGACCTGCCCGTCTTTTCTGAGAAGATTGATGTGATACGCTACATATATATAGCAAACAGAGAAAAAGGTCAAGCGATTGTTCCGGCTCAGTATAGTGCAGCAGAGTAGTACACAATGCCCGGCGACAAGGATGTTTAACAACTTTGTTGCTCGCGATATTACGGAAGTCGCTCCCAAAAGTTATCGCTAGACCGGAGGAGCTTAGTTAGAAGTTCTTGTTAGCGTTTTG